TAAATGAAATAATCATAATTATATAGGGAAATATAAGATTAAAAAAATTTAATTGAATACTATGAAAAGAATAGTAAACAATATTAAGAAAAGTTATCTGAATTAAATTAATCTATTAATCAATATAAATCTTAAGAAAAAATATTACAAAATAAAATTCAAGAGAATGAAAAGAAAATTTAAGAATACTAAGATTTTAATCAAAATTAAAAGATGCAATTATAATAATTAAATTAAATTATTTAAAATTCTTAGTAAATAAAAGAATAGGAAGATAAGAGTGAAATTTTAATAAATAAAATACTCTTATAACTTGAAAAATAAGACAATCAAATTCAACTTTAATACAATATTTTAAGTGAGAAGAAATGTAAAGAAAACTTATAACAAAATGAGAAAGAAAAGAAAATTTAAGATTACTAAGAGATTATTCAAAATTAACAGGTCCAATTATTAAAATTAAATTAAATTATTGCAGATTCTAAGCAAATAGAAGAACTAGAAAATCAATTTGGAACTTAAATTCTTAAAATACTTGATTCACTAGAAAACCAATAAAATCAAAAATTAATTCAACTTTAATAGACAATAGTTACAGAACTAAAATCCATTAAAATAAACTCATAAAATTAGTCTGGATAGAATGTATATCAAGAGAAACTGGAGGAATTAATATAACTAAATGTTTAATTATAAAACACAGTTTAATAATAAGAATGCCAACTTCAATAAAAGAACATATAAATAGATATCGTTAGATCTGAAACCAAACGTTTATTAGAAAATTTAAAAAAAAATTCTATTTAACCTTAAAATATAAACATGCACATACGATAATCCATAGCTGCCTTGATTGCTTAATAAATTAAAGATATCTAATAAATATTTTAGATTATAGATGAAGCTAAGAATTAGATTGTCTCCTTTCTTTAAGAAAATAAAAACCATAGTATAAATCAGGATAAAGGGTTTGCGAGCGATTTAGAATACATAAAAAGCTAATCTTCGCTGCTTTGTGATTTTTTGAGGAAATTAAAGAAATGAGATAATGAAATAGTGATATGTAATATTTTAGAATTATAATATATTTAATTATTATATACCAACCATTATATTCTTGATATAATATGCACATTCTCGGTATTATCAGAGAGATCTTCAAGATGTGGAAAATATTTCTGATTATGAAGCCAAAGATTGGTTCAAAATAGTATAAAAATAATAGAAGTAACCCTATATGCTTTTTTATAAGCAAGCACCATTAAGATAAGGATTTGGAAAGCATTAATCTTTAGAGTCTGTAACGTCTGCTGTAATAAAGTTAGGTACTATTTTGATTGAACGAGTGTGCAATACTATAGATTCAATAAATATCCTAATATAGACAAGCTTCTTTAATAGGCTTTTTACTTAGAATCTAACTTTAATGATTATTTAACTAATAAAAGTAGTGAAGTTAAAATAAAATTTTTCTGAAAAATCATTTAATACCACATATTTTGATTATTTTGAAACTAATACTCAGGATTTGACATTACAAAATTTGTTTCAATATTTATAATTCCAAATTACGCTGCCTTCCAAGATATCAAAGTATTTTCCTCATTTTGTTGATATTTCATTTTATTAATGATATTATCTGAACTTATTAATTTTTCTTAATTCCATAATTTTTATCATCCCTATAAAATCTACCTTTAGGGGAATAAGAAAGCAACAGCTAAATATTATAATACCTTCCAATATTTAAAAATTTAAACTTTAGTTGTGAAAGATATTTTAAGGATTGACTAACTTGAATTTGATGTTACTCATACTTTTCATAGTTTGTAATTAATTGGTTATATTATAAATTTGCATTTCTGTTTTGTCCTTATTTAATTATTGGTTTAATAATGTTTCTACATTAAGCCTCTTTAAAATAGAACCATTTTATACTATATATTATAACTTAATATAAAAGTAACAAATCAACATGACTCAATCTTCATTGATAATGATATTCTTAACATTTCGGTCATATTAATATCTGAAAAGATTTTTCAATTTGAACTGTATTTCACTTTATAATTGGATTTTTTGGGAAAACTCTATAATTTATTTAATTCTACCTTTTCTGCTTCAATTCTTATTTTAATCTACTTAGCAAGCTCATTTAACTAAAAAATTCATACATCCTTCAATCATCAATTTTTGGTTTAAACCTATAACACCTTTAAGTTAGATTTAAATCTATCCAGGATACCTCTTTCGATTTCCTAATGGCTGAAGATTACAATAACTCATCCCCTTTCAATAGCACACAATTATAACTTTACTTGTCTTCTCTAAAATTCAAAATACAAACAGATTAACTGTTAAAGAATATTAAAATAATTAAAAAAAAATACAGATATGATGTAGCCATTGTTAATTTCAAAAATTAACCTTAATGGAATATAAAACAGTTTATAGCATTGGATTGTGAATATACTTTTAAAGCACATCAAAACAGATCAAATTATTTCTAAGGCTAATTTTTTTCTAATGCCTGCCTAATCTAGCATGCATCTTCAATCATATTTTCTTATATTATTATTATAATTATAAAATCCTGTTAAGGAAACTAAACATACATTAATAATTCATTCTCTGATATTTGATTAATTCTATTATCACTTGGTCTATTCGTTTTTCCTCTTGATAGTTTGCCTTTCTCCTGAAGGATTGCCTGTAATTCTTCAAAAGCCAAACCTTATTCAATTATATATTAATCATTCATCTTAAATTTAAGAGTATTGCATAATTTTCCTTGTTGCTAGTATAAATTCAGGTTATCGTCTTTAGAGATTTTCATTATAGTTTTATTATATCATTCTTTGGAGTTTTTGATGGGCTGTTTAATATGCTAAACTCGAATAGGTGATATGCGGATTATCGATGTTTTCCAGAGGAAAAATTCTTTTTTTGGTATCATTTTAGAGGAGATCCATTTGAGTTAATTGGTGATATGATTAATTCTTCCTTTATTTTGTTAGTCTTGTTAAATGTTGAAGCTTTATCTGTTAGATTGCTTCCAAGATAGATATAATTATTTTCATATATTAATCTTCTACTAGTTAGTTGAAATAAATATCAAACTAAGGTAGCTAATAGAAAGTCTTAGTAGACACCATTTTTACAAATAGAGTTTGTTTTTATCTTGGATCATAGGTTCACATTTTTTTCAATCTAAAAGTTTTTCATCTTTAAACTATATTATATGATTTGATAAATTTAAAGGCTTAACACTTTTTCTTTTTTGATTTTTGAAAATTAATTTTTCTAATTAGGGCATCAATCTTTTGATTGCGTGCAAGATAGGATACAAAGCCTATTTTGGATGTATTCCTTTCTTGCCAGTAAATTTTTTTAAAAACTCCTACAAAGAGGCCTTCAAAGAATTTAATAAAATGACTTAGGACATAATGTGGCCTGTAGTATCCTTGATTAGGTAAGACTCGGTGCATTTACTTAGAGAATTAGTCTCCTAGAAAAAAGGAAAATCTATATGTAATATAATTTAAAACCTATCTCTAATTCCAGATATTTATATTTTTAAGGAATTGCCTTGATTCAGTTAAATCTGAAGATAAAATTTTTCTATTCTATTTAAGTTCTTATACATTTCCTTTTCTAACTTTAACATAAAATTTTGGTAGTTTTAAACACTTTGAGCGTTATGTACTATGTTCTACAAGAGCTTCCAAAAACTAATTGAGAGTAATCTTAGGTCGGTAAATACAATCTTTAATACTCCTCTCCCACAAAGAATGGAGTGTGTTCTATGTTCATTTAGTTTATAGTTTCATTATTTGGATCAAGCATTTAAAATGAGGTCTCATCAAACCTATTCAAATAAAAGTATATCACTGTATTTCATCTTAGTTAAGATAGGTGAGAATTAATATTTAAGCAAATCATCCTTTATAATAAGGTTTAGATCTGAGGGGCTGAGTATAGTGATAGTTCTAAATTCTTAATTGTAGATTATGTTAGGGATATTTTTACTTAAAAGGTACAATTTCTAACTTCTCCAAAGTAGGAATGATTTAATTTATACTATTGTTCTAAGTATTATTCAAAATTTTATATGCTCCCATTTTATATATCCAAGAATCCGATATTAGGACATCAACTAGTACTTTTTTAGAGCTCAGTTTTTTTCTCTTATGCTAAAGTTTATTCTGAAATTACTGGTTCTAGTATTTGGGGCGCAATATTTTGTACTTCATTTATATTTATAGTTAGCAGAAGGTTTTTATAAAATTATCCTTAACATTATTTTCATCAGTTATCAACTCATTTAAATCATTTAACAATACTATTCATAATTCCAGGCTCTCGTTTGCTTGGGTTACTAATTAGCAACTTTTTAAGTAAAATATGAGCCATATTACCTCAATTTTTCTTATGTTAAATTAATTGTTTTGCGTCATCTATTAAATTCCCTAAAGGAGAAGCAATATGTTTTATTTATTCAAAGCCTAATTTTCTTTTACGGCCAGGTAATATATAATTAAAATAGTATTTACAGGATTCTTCCTGATCATCATTTATAAGAAAGAAATCTGTTTGAGATTTCTTATTTTGTCTTTAATAATTCTCTTATTTGGCCATTGCGATTTAGTATAATGTCTGTTAATTCAAAAATGTAGAAAGTTGAAGAATTAACCCCTAACATTTAAACAATTATTATGGTTTCCTTACTTGCAAATTGATCTTAAATAACAATTTTAGATCTTTTCTTTATTCTTATTCAGCTCATTAGGTTTTGGTGAATATAAATTGAGCACAAACAGTTCGATCTTAGGGTTTATGTATTATAACTAGATAAATCGATATTCAATAATCAAAGCATTGAATAATATCTCAGCTGGTGAACCGCTTATGAATGCCGATGCAAAGTTCACTTTCTTTATATATTTTGATCTGAGTTTAATAAAGAATTATGTAAAGGACTTGATTATATTATGTGTTTTGTTTCTTTAGGAAAAGTTATGGGGGGCTGGTATTGTTTAACATATTGATGTTTTGTTGGCTATAAAGAGGAAATATTACAACTGACAATATTCTGATTGTTTATGGATGAAAGTTAATTCATAAAAAGAACAAAATATTTTTATTAAAAAAAAAGTGTTTTTGATTAAAATAGTCGCCAATTAGTTTCTATTATTAAGAAAGCTGATTATTTTTAATCTCCGTTTTCTTCTCAGCCGGCATTGCTGCTTAATGATCTGCTATCTTAGTCAAAAAAAAACTCTCCTTAAGCTCACCACTTTTACTAAATTTATTAGAATTGTCAGTTTTACTGTATTTCTGATATATAACGGGTCCATAAATCTGTTATTATTCAATGTGAAACTGCACTCAAGTAAATTTACTTACTTTCCTTCTAATTAGAAATTTGTGGTGACAAATTAATGCTTGATGGTTACTCTTACTCTCCTTCTTTAAGGGATTTTATAAGTTTTTCTTCTATATTAATTGAGGCTTGTTGATTTTAATTACTTAGAAGATTTTCGTCATCTTATATTTGTTTTAGATGATATCATTTTCAAATTGGCTTTTGACTACTTAAATTATGGCTTATTTCCTGAACCTTAGTAATTTTTGGTTGAATCACTATTTTGAAAGAGTTATCGATTTTTTCGCTTGAATTTCATAGCAGGTTTTTTTGTTTGAATGACTTACAACTAATTATATGAAGGTTTATATACAAGGTTGTTTTCTGACAAGAATTTTTGAGGATTAGTAGCATAATTATGACTTTTCATATTTAGCTAATAATCCAATTTTACTTTAGTAATTCTTTATATTTTGCTTTGATTTTGAATAAATATTTAAATATTTTAGATGAACAATATCTTGAAATCTAAGATTGTAAAAGTAATTTATATACTTCATTATTTGAGATGAAAAATTTAATTTATAATAAATCAATCAAGATATGCAAGTAGTGGTATTCTCCTTTGTTCTTTAACTTAAATTGGCGAGTAAGACAAATACTCATACTATCTTTTAATCTGCCATTCTTCTATAAATGAGTATGGAAAAGTTAAATAGAGTAGAATATATCGCGATACAAGTATTCTTATTTATTGTAGTGGTATGGAAGCCGTCATAATCTGTAGAGGGGTTTAAGAATTATGCTATGACTTCTCTTTAAAGCAAACGCTTTTTCTAAATTGTTCCTCTTTACCTAAGTACTAAAAGGTTCTTTATGGATTTTAAAAGCATCATANAATAACAATTTTAGATCTTTTCTTTATTCTTATTCAGCTCATTAGGTTTTGGTGAATATAAATTGAGCACAAACAGTTCGATCTTAGGGTTTATGTATTATAACTAGATAAATCGATATTCAATAATCAAAGCATTGAATAATATCTCAGCTGGTGAACCGCTTATGAATGCCGATGCAAAGTTCACTTTCTTTATATATTTTGATCTGAGTTTAATAAAGAATTATGTAAAGGACTTGATTATATTATGTGTTTTGTTTCTTTAGGAAAAGTTATGGGGGGCTGGTATTGTTTAACATATTGATGTTTTGTTGGCTATAAAGAGGAAATATTACAACTGACAATATTCTGATTGTTTATGGATGAAAGTTAATTCATAAAAAGAACAAAATATTTTTATTAAAAAAAAAGTGTTTTTGATTAAAATAGTCGCCAATTAGTTTCTATTATTAAGAAAGCTGATTATTTTTAATCTCCGTTTTCTTCTCAGCCGGCATTGCTGCTTAATGATCTGCTATCTTAGTCAAAAAAAAACTCTCCTTAAGCTCACCACTTTTACTAAATTTATTAGAATTGTCAGTTTTACTGTATTTCTGATATATAACGGGTCCATAAATCTGTTATTATTCAATGTGAAACTGCACTCAAGTAAATTTACTTACTTTCCTTCTAATTAGAAATTTGTGGTGACAAATTAATGCTTGATGGTTACTCTTACTCTCCTTCTTTAAGGGATTTTATAAGTTTTTCTTCTATATTAATTGAGGCTTGTTGATTTTAATTACTTAGAAGATTTTCGTCATCTTATATTTGTTTTAGATGATATCATTTTCAAATTGGCTTTTGACTACTTAAATTATGGCTTATTTCCTGAACCTTAGTAATTTTTGGTTGAATCACTATTTTGAAAGAGTTATCGATTTTTTCGCTTGAATTTCATAGCAGGTTTTTTTGTTTGAATGACTTACAACTAATTATATGAAGGTTTATATACAAGGTTGTTTTCTGACAAGAATTTTTGAGGATTAGTAGCATAATTATGACTTTTCATATTTAGCTAATAATCCAATTTTACTTTAGTAATTCTTTATATTTTGCTTTGATTTTGAATAAATATTTAAATATTTTAGATGAACAATATCTTGAAATCTAAGATTGTAAAAGTAATTTATATACTTCATTATTTGAGATGAAAAATTTAATTTATAATAAATCAATCAAGATATGCAAGTAGTGGTATTCTCCTTTGTTCTTTAACTTAAATTGGCGAGTAAGACAAATACTCATACTATCTTTTAATCTGCCATTCTTCTATAAATGAGTATGGAAAAGTTAAATAGAGTAGAATATATCGCGATACAAGTATTCTTATTTATTGTAGTGGTATGGAAGCCGTCATAATCTGTAGAGGGGTTTAAGAATTATGCTATGACTTCTCTTTAAAGCAAACGCTTTTTCTAAATTGTTCCTCTTTACCTAAGTACTAAAAGGTTCTTTATGGATTTTAAAAGCATCATACCATAAAATCAAAATAAATAATAAGAATAAGAAAAACAAAAAAATAATATACAACTTATTTTAATTTATAAGAAAATCCATCCAGTATATTGAGAAAGTTATTGGAAATAGAAAAAATTAAAAAAATTGGGCTTATCAGTAACCTACAACTACTTAGTTAAGATATAATTATTCAAAAGCTAAATCAATTAAAAATAAATCAAAACCTCCATCAAATTTAATGTTGATTAATCTATAAAAAATTCAATTCGAAAAACTTCTATGGTAACCTTTAACAATAATAAATTGTATCAGGATTATGAAATTTGAAAATAAGGTGAAACAACCTTCCATCATTATGGAGGATAACAAAATACAATTATATATGTAATATTGATGAATGTATCATCTATTAAATCGTAAGCTCTTTACTTAGTTAAAGAATAAAGTCCTTATTTAATAACTCTATGGAATGACTAAATTTCACTAATCTTGGCTACCAGATTTATTGATGACAAACCAAAAACTCTCAATTACCAGGTGGAATATTAATGTGGATGCGCTCCAATTTTCTTTTATTAGCCTCAATACTATAGTCAAATTTTTACTGAATAACTAATTCTAATGTAAAATTGATTAATCCAAAAATAATATTTAAATCTCCTCATTTTTCATACACTCTAATCCTTATTATTTTAAGCAAGTTGAATTTCAATTTTGAAGCATTGTTTTTGAGTATTTATCAAGATTTAAGTGCAATCAGGGGATTATTTTATGTCTTAGATAACAGCCTTTCTAAAATTTCTTAATTAATCAGTTTTGAAGGAGATGTAAACTAAACAAAAAGTAAAAAACAGAATAACACTCCAAATAAAAGGGTATAAACTTAAATATATTAAAAGGATTTCAAAGTTTAATTCTTATATGTATTTCGACTATTTTTTTTAAAGTAATACAAAAGCAAAAATTTTTATTAAATCTATCATCGGTTCAACAATAGACAATAATTCATAAAAAGACAGCTTTTTAATTAATAATTAATAAATTTTATAATTCTAAAAAATTATTTTTCACTATTTAATTATCTCATTTCTTTAATTTCTTCAAAAAATCACTTAGCAGCGAAGATTAGCTTTTTATGTATTCTAAATCGCTCGCAAACCCTTTATCCTGATTTATACTATGCTTTTTATTTTCTGAAAGAAAGGAGACAAACTAATTCTTAGCTTCATCTATAATCTAAATTATTTATTAGATATCTTTAATTTATTAAGCAATCAAGGCAGCTATGGATTATCTCACTTGTATGGTTATATTTTAAGGTTAAATAGAATTTTTTTTTAAATTTTCTAATAAACGTTTGGTTTCAGATCTAACGATATCTATTTATATGTTCTTTTATTGAAGTTGGCATTCTTATTATTAAACTGTGTTTTATAATTAAGNTATTAAGTTATAATATATAGTATAAAATGGTTCTATTTTAAAGAGGCTTAATGTAGAAACATTATTAAACCAATAATTAAATAAGGACAAAACAGAAATGCAAATTTATAATATAACCAATTAATTACAAACTATGAAAAGTATGAGTAACATCAAATTCAAGTTAGTCAATCCTTAAAATATCTTTCACAACTAAAGTTTAAATTTTTAAATATTGGAAGGTATTATAATATTTAGCTGTTGCTTTCTTATTCCCCTAAAGGTAGATTTTATAGGGATGATAAAAATTATGGAATTAAGAAAAATTAATAAGTTCAGATAATATCATTAATAAAATGAAATATCAACAAAATGAGGAAAATACTTTGATATCTTGGAAGGCAGCGTAATTTGGAATTATAAATATTGAAACAAATTTTGTAATGTCAAATCCTGAGTATTAGTTTCAAAATAATCAAAATATGTGGTATTAAATGATTTTTCAGAAAAATTTTATTTTAACTTCACTACTTTTATTAGTTAAATAATCATTAAAGTTAGATTCTAAGTAAAAAGCCTATTAAAGAAGCTTGTCTATATTAGGATATTTATTGAATCTATAGTATTGCACACTCGTTCAATCAAAATAGTACCTAACTTTATTACAGCAGACGTTACAGACTCTAAAGATTAATGCTTTCCAAATCCTTATCTTAATGGTGCTTGCTTATAAAAAAGCATATAGGGTTACTTCTATTATTTTTATACTATTTTGAACCAATCTTTGGCTTCATAATCAGAAATATTTTCCACATCTTGAAGATCTCTCTGATAATACCGAGAATGTGCATATTATATCAAGAATATAATGGTTGGTATATAATAATTAAATATATTATAATTCTAAAATATTACATATCACTATTTCATTATCTCATTTCTTTAATTTCCTCAAAAAATCACAAAGCAGCGAAGATTAGCTTTTTATGTATTCTAAATCGCTCGCAAACCCTTTATCCTGATTTATACTATGGTTTTTATTTTCTTAAAGAAAGGAGACAATCTAATTCTTAGCTTCATCTATAATCTAAAATATTTATTAGATATCTTTAATTTATTAAGCAATCAAGGCAGCTATGGATTATCGTATGTGCATGTTTATATTTTAAGGTTAAATAGAATTTTTTTTTAAATTTTCTAATAAACGTTTGGTTTCAGATCTAACGATATCTATTTATATGTTCTTTTATTGAAGTTGGCATTCTTATTATTAAACTGTGTTTTATAATTAAGCATTTAGTTATATTAATTCCTCCAGTTTCTCTTGATATACATTCTATCCAGACTAATTTTATGAGTTTATTTTAATGGATTTTAGTTCTGTAACTATTGTCTATTAAAGTTGAATTAATTTTTGATTTTATTGGTTTTCTAGTGAATCAAGTATTTTAAGAATTTAAGTTCCAAATTGATTTTCTAGTTCTTCTATTTGCTTAGAATCTGCAATAATTTAATTTAATTTTAATAATTGGACCTGTTAATTTTGAATAATCTCTTAGTAATCTTAAATTTTCTTTTCTTTCTCATTTTGTTATAAGTTTTCTTTACATTTCTTCTCACTTAAAATATTGTATTAAAGTTGAATTTGATTGTCTTATTTTTCAAGTTATAAGAGTATTTTATTTATTAAAATTTCACTCTTATCTTCCTATTCTTTTATTTACTAAGAATTTTAAATAATTTAATTTAATTATTATAATTGCATCTTTTAATTTTGATTAAAATCTTAGTATTCTTAAATTTTCTTTTCATTCTCTTGAATTTTATTTTGTAATATTTTTTCTTAAGATTTATATTGATTAATAGATTAATTTAATTCAGATAACTTTTCTTAATATTGTTTACTATTCTTTTCATAGTTTTCAATTAAATTTTTTTAATCTTATATTTCCCTCTATAATTATGATTATTTCATTTATTATTATTGTTCAATATCTTTAATCAATTCTTTATTTTGTTAATCTAATTGTTAGTATGCCTATTCTTTATCTTTAGATACATGTATTTAATTATTTAATTCTTATATTTTGGTTTAGAATTGAATTAAACTTTAATTCAATTCTTTTATTTCAATATCTTATTCTTTTATTTTTAATTTTAATTCTTTGATATTTAATTAGTACTCTTAAATAACTTTATTAAAGTTCTCATTATTACAATTTTAAACTTTTATTTATTAATTATTTTAATCTTTAAATTCATTTTTTAATTCATTCAAATTAGTCTCAAACTAGTTTTACAACTATTAAATTTATTATGTAATTGTTTATTAATATTTATCTTATTGATCTTATAGATTTTTAAATTGTTCTTAAGTATTTGATCTTTCTAAAATAGTTATAATTTATTAAATTAAAGTAGTTTATTCTATTTATTTTTAATCTTAATCTTTTAATTATTATTATTATTATTATTATTATTGTATTTATTATTTTTCCTATTACATCTATGGATTAAATTTAATTTATTAATTTATTTATGGAAAATTATTTTATTATTAAAATTGTTGATTATTTTTTTAGAATCCATTTTAAACTATAAAATTATTATTTTAATTTCCAGATTATTCTATTTAGATTTGATTGAGTTTATTAACCACTTCTTTAATTGATAATCTATCTTTTGGATTTGGTTGAATCATTTAAATTAAAAGATTCTTTAATGATTAAGGCATCTCATCTTAATTTAATTTATCTTCTAAATATTTTGAATTGAAATTTAGTACAATGTTTTATATTTCCTAAATCGTATTTGCTAAATTAATAGAAAATAATACCTTAAAATAATACTTATGATTTACAAAGCTCATAAAATACACAACCTAATGACCAAATATCTACAGCACAAGTGTAATCTTATTTGTATTAAATTATTTCTGGTGCTTAAAATTACGGTGTTCCTACATTTTATGTCATAAATAAATCTTGAGTAGTTTTAGCTAAGCCAAAATCAATAAGTTTGAATTCATCTCCTACTTTGATAAAGTTTTCAGGTTTTATATCTCTGTGAATCAATTTCAAGGTTTCATGAAAAAAGTAAATAGATTATGATAACTATATAAATATTAAATTTCAATACTTATTTCATTATTTTTATTTTTGAGTCTAAACTTAATTATTATTATTGTTCAATATATTTGTAAAGATCTTATTCCCCAGATTCCATTATTAAAAGTACCTTATTATTGTATTAACATATTTCATATATCTTTATTACTTATGATGCTTGATTAAATTAGTTGTTTTAGTATTTGATTATCATGTTTAAGGTTTATAGCTCATTGTCATTAAAATTTGCCTATTATTTTATGGCAAACTATTTTTAATCATTTATTCCCCAATTTATTGATTTGACTAAATAAACTGAACCTTAGGCTCCCTTTCCAAGTTGAAATAAAGCTTAAAACTTTCTATTTGGAAATTGCTGATTGGGTGCTTCGATTATCATTATATACAAGTTCTAATTCTATTGAAATTATTATTAATTAATTCGATTTTAAAACTTAATTATTCAGATTATTTATAGAGTATGAGATAAGAAAATAACAGCAGCAGGTTTCTTAGCAATTTGATCATTTAGACAAGCAGAATTAAAATAAAATTTAAGGTACTAATTCAATTTTTCCTTAATATTTATTTTTCATTAACTTTCTTTGCTATAAATAGGAGATAATTAATCTAAAGTTTGAAAAAGATAGTCTTTAAATCCAAGTTTTTGATATTGGATTTAGGATGGAATAGGATATCATAATCATTTAAATTGAGTTTGATTGAATTATTTATCTCCTTACTATACAAATTGTTTAAATCTATAATTCTTTCAGTTCTAATTCAAAATAGTTTAAATGGGAAATTAGAGATAGGTGTGTAAAAAAAAGAAATTTATTTTTTCTCATAATTCTATTGCATTAAATAATGTATTATTATATTATTATTCACTATAATTGATTATCTCTTCATTATAATGTTTATAAAAACCCGCTCTTTCTAACTTAAACTTATTCAGATTATTTGTAATCCACGGTTCTTCCTATATTATCCTTCCTTTCAACAACAATTTGCTAAATTACATAGTTAGATTACTTTGACTTCTTTAACTTCTCCTTTCTTAATTGATTCTAATTCAGCTTCAGCCAACATGAGCTTTTCTTGAGTTTCGTGATACTCTCTGTTGAGGATGATGAATTTTTATTTCCAGGTTTCTACCTCCTTAATTATTAATAATAATCAATAAATACTTTTGAAAGATATGTCATTTTTTCTACAGTTACTTCTTCATGTGTGGTTTACAACTCCTCAATATGGTGATGAGCATCGTCTAATTCTCCTCTAAGAAGGTTGATTTCAGCCTGGAGTTAAGAAATAATTCCATCTTGCTTTGTTATTTATCTCTAAGAATAAATGAATATTTTATACTTCTCTTTCAACAAGTGTAGTTTGTAATGAAACAAGACTTGAGCTTCTGGATAAATCATTCTTTTAGATCTGAGCTCTAAGATCAGAAATAGTCCTGTCCTTTTATGCATTATTCTCATGTTCGTGTTCTAATTGCATTTTAACCATACGCAATTCCTTTTCTAATCTAGTTATCTACATAATTATTATGATATTTAAACTTATTCGGTGTCTGTAACAACTTCTTTTACTATTTTTACTTCAGGTTATCTCATTTCCAATTCCATAATTCTTGCTCTGAGTGCTTCAACTTCTTTATTATTCACCTTCTTCTTCTTTTGTTTCTTCACCTGAGGACATGGTTAATAGATTGGTTGTTGGGGCATGAGTAAAAAGGTGGGTGGATGGTAAGTGTATTGACTATACACTTTCTAATAAATTTGATTTGATATAGGCAAATAGAATCGACCATCGACATCATAATTATAAGGAATCTGTGGAGTTTCCAAATCGTAGTTCAATTACTCTGTTTCTGGATTCATTAATAACTCAGAAATAAAATAAATTAAAAATGAAATTAAACGATCAAAAAAGCAACAGTCAATTAACTATCTTTCCTTAGGCATACAACACAAATATGACTGCAGCCTATAAATACTTATCAAGAGAGTCAAGTGCAATAAAAAATGATAAATCAATTTTAAAATCTCCATCATCTAACTAATTGCTTTGCACATCAAATAGAGGGAGTGACAAGAAAGTCAGAATTTAGGAATCTGCTTCGAAAGGCTCGGTTTAATTTAAAAGTACAGCGTAGTTTGGTCGAACTTCGACTGACTTAATATAAGTTCCTCCTATGAGAAGTCTTAACAGAGAAGATAGAGAAAAGCTTATAGCCACTCTAATTTAATAGGTTAAATAGCAGAATTAATTAATTCTTTAATTGGAAGATAGAGTGCAGTAATAAGCAGAACAATTAGATGAGTTAAATCTGTATAATGAGAAGCATGAACAAAAGGAGAAATGTTATGGAGAAATAATTTAAAATTAAAATAAAATAAATTAAAGAAGTAAAATAATTAAAGATATTGATTAGTCCAATAGATAGCAGAACTCAGGGAATTTGATTAGCAAACATCAACAAATGATCATTTAGATCTTTTAAACTAAATATATGAAGATGAGGTTGATATGGACATGGCGATTAAATGGAGAAATGCTAGGTTAAAATTTAATTTTTTGGATGCTTTTTCAAAGGCTGCAAAATATTCTAAAAAGTTGAAACATGTTCTTCAAAGAAAATAAAATCTCTAATTAAAGAATTGCTTTACAGGATGGAAATATTATATTAAAAACAAAGCATTATTGAATTAATTTAATGAAGTCAGAAAGTTAAGGACTGTAATTAATTTCTGGATGAAATGGAAACAATATATTTAAGATAAAAAATAATATCATAAAAATCTAAAGACATCAATATAGTTTTCTAATTAGAATTTAAAAAAATAATGTTTTTACAAATTGAAATAGAATTATCTGAAATACAATTTTAGCTTGAAGGATTTTCAGTAAATAACTTAATCTGCTGTGAATGAATTTAATAAAATAAAGTTGTTTAAAGTAAGAATTTAGAATTATTCTAGGTTTTCAGTTCATGGACTCTCTGGATAAAATAGCAAAATTAAAAACAAAAGTTCATTTATTAACACATAAATAATGGACGCATTAAATAGATGAAAGGAGTTATAAGATTTTTGAAATAGAATTGTGATTTTCATAAGGAAAGAGCTAACCAAATAATTAGGTAAAGAGGATAAGCTAAGTTGAAAAAGTTGTTTAACTAATTGAAATAAAATTGGAAAGAAAATAAATATAGGGAAAATCAAATTAAATTAAATAGAAATTTCTTTATCAAGTTTAGACAATTTAAATAATGGATAAGGGAATATTAAAAATTATCTAGATTAAATTATATAAGCGTTAAAGTAGTGAAGAAGAGAGAGAATTAATTCTTATAAAGATGTATTTAAATTCATGTTATTTTAGTATTCAATTCTATGAAGAATAATGCTTAGTATAGGAAAATGAAGAGATAAAATGAAATATTGTTGAACAAGAAATATGACAATAGAGTATTAAATTAGGCATTTATGCAATGGTTAAGCAATCTCTTAAAGAAGAAGAATTTATTGGTAAAAGAGTAAAATGTAGTTATTTTAAAACAAAAGGATATTGATTATTAGTAATAAAACGATGTATAGAACTTAAAATAAATGTACGATAGTATCTCATAATAATTGGGAAATTAGGAAGAGTAAATTAATAATTATAAAATATTGATATCTAATCAAAAAGAAGTAGAACGAGAGTTGTAAATGCAATAGTAATAGATTATTAAATAATTAGTGATTATTTGAAATAAGAGCTGATGACGACAAAGGATCAATTGGTAAATTATTAGATTGAGGGAGATGAAGTGAGAATATTGAAAGAATAATATGCATAAGCCTAATAACAATTGAAAGAGATAAGAATGCAATAAAGATGTAATATTCAAATCTGATATATTCAAGTGGGATCTCCTATTAGAAATATGTAGAGTAGTGGAATAAATGTAGACTAGGATCAATTAAGAAAGCAAGTAGAGATCAGCACTTCATTACTAAATGATTAGAAATAGGAGTACAATCATTTGCAAATGGAATATTCAAAGGTAGTTGGAGATTACGAGAAAAAGATCAAAGACATTGAAAAATACTTTGTAGATTTATGTGACAAATAAAAGTTGTAGATTGAGAGATGTAATTAAACCAATATATGGTAGTGTTGAAGGAGAATCAAACTATTAAAATTGAAAATCAACAAAACGTTGTTTCCAGAAACAGGCTTATGGATGAATTGAATATGATACATGAGTCTTTTAGAGATGAGATTCCATAGTAAAATCGCACAAACCTCCAAACTCAAGAATCCTATGAATAATAATAGTTTGGAGGCTATAATAGAAGATTAAAGTCGAATTTGTATAGTCAAACATCACCAATATCAGAAAATTAATATTCTCAAAATTCTCCTTAAAAAAAAGTATAGATTGAAGATAGGTATGTATGATATCATATCATTATCAAGAAGGATAAAAGAAGAAGCATGCAACTTAAGAGAAGACATTAAAAGACGCTTGGCTTCCTTAAAAACTTAAATGGATTGCTAATTGTGAATTTTTTATAATATTTTTAATCTATGAATAAATACTAGCTATTGAAAAATCATATCTAGCTGTTGATAAAAAAACCTAATACTACAAATATCTTGTTCGTGAGACATGGATAAACCAATTAGAATCTAAGCAACACAATATGTGGTTGGACAGATAGTAGATTGACAATTAGAGGTATAATCAATTAATAATCAATATTCAGGAAGAGAATAAGCGAATCAATTATTATAAGCATTATTACCTTTTCGGGATCAATTCAAAGGAATATATTCTTCAGATTTGAGAAGAGCAAAAGAAACAGCTCAAATAAGTTTAGGATTTCCTCATGATACTTTAATAATTGAAGATCCACGTTTGAGGTTCATATATAATTATACACAAGAGAACTCAATTTTGGAAAACATGAAAATATTGCTTATTCAATGTTAGATCAAGAAATAAAGGACATTATTTTCACATTTCAGTACCAAGCTCCGGGAGGAGAAACCTGGTAACAAACTTAAGAAAGGGCAATGAAGTTAATAAGGGAGAAATGCACTGAGAATGGCACTTACTTAATGTATTCACATGGAGTAAAATCATCATGCTAATTAAAAGGGATAAATTTGTAGCATTACATATAATTTGGGGTTGCAAAACTCAATAGGAAATTGCAGTTGTGTAGGGTTGGAATATGATTAATAGAAAAAGGAGATGAAATAATTATTATTCAAATGGGATTTTCCAGAAGAAGAGAATGAATAAGAAATATGATATGAAAATATATATTTATTATAAAATTTTATAAAATATGAGTCTTTCCAAAGAAATATCTAAGTTTTTTATAAAAGTGCTAATAATCGTTAGATTGTGAGATATAGATTTAAATATATGGGACTAAATTGATATTTAAAGAATATCATAATGAATATGTTAATGAAGTATTTAGAATGAAGATTAGCTTTAAGAAAGTATAATTGATTATTTTCAATTATTTATCTTCATATAAACCTCATTAATAATTGTTCATTTATTTTTTAGTTGGGTTTTAATACTCATTTATTAATTAATTAATTATTTCTTATATTCGGAATTTCATCTATAATTAAGAATTACTCAGTTTATATTATATTTACAGATCGTCACGATCAATATTTTTCTAGTAGCATAATATGATTAAAATCAATATAAAATAGAGTGAATCATTGATGGTCTCCACCATATTGTTTATAGAACTTTTATAGTTTATCACTTTCTTATACACATTGATCATGACTATAAAATATCTCTAACTATTTAACAGGTTGGTGGTAATTAGAAAAAAACTGAATATAGAAAAATAGTCCATACATATCCCATATAGGTTTAAGAATCAGTATGAGTATAACACCCATATCCTTTGATATGATTATTTCGAAATTCACCTTTGAAATAACTATAATCAGGCCAGGTCATCAAGCCTTCTCCATGCATCATTCCTTATTTAACTTATCCTCGATATCTAAAATGTGTTGATATATTTACATTCTACCATCCGGAAACGTATACTACCCTCTCCCGTCAATTATTCCACATTTAAATTAACCTTCATATTTAATTCCATTTTTTCTCACTTCTAGCCCATTACCTTAGAGTCTGTTATCAACCCAAAACCCTTAAATAACTAAAAAATCTACCTCTAACTTCTTTTTTTTTATTTCTGAATATTCCAAAACCATTAGCTTTATTCTCAATTAAGTGTCCTTCAAAACTAAAAATAAATGAATAAATTACACATCTCCATTTGAATAGATCATTCTGGCTGGTCCATTAGCTTTATCATCTGCCCAAACACTAAAATTAATATTGGAATATTTACCTTTCTAAATAATTTCCATTGGTCAACCAATGTTATTTTCCGATTCCGTTTCGAACACCATTTTTTACCAAACCATAGAATATAGAACCATCAGCACATTAAAGAAATTAATAACAAGAAGCTTTAGAGTCAATCTATTCTATGGCCTTAAAAGTTCCTAACTCATCAATCTTCTCCTGGACCTCAATTCTCAATTAACCCAAACTTTTTATTTCTTAGCCAATATTGCAAAGAGATTGGCAGATATCCTCTAAACTATCTTATGTATTTATATTCCTGTTATCTATAAATATACTAAGAACTTACTTCTATATTGTTCAGCAACATTAAATTACAGTTAAGTATTTTAATTTGATGTCTTAGAAGATTTACAATTGCATACACAACCCATTTATTATATGATATATTTAATTATTATTTTAAATAAAACAGCAAGACATATTTATATCCTACCAAAATTAATTTATAAATATGTTAGATTAATTATTCCAGAAGATTTACTCCTATAACCAATATTAAGTCAACTTTGTTGCTTCTAATTTTTAAATAATTTATAATTCATCCATTAATAATACTTGCCTTAATTGCATTTTACTATCCTGTCTTAAACTAACCATGCTAGATATCATCAATATCAATCTGTATCACAAATTCAAAGAGATTCAACAATTCTTTTTCTTTGTTCAGACTAAATTAAATGAATCAAAAAACAGTTAAACCTATGTTTTTATACTGTCAGATCATTATAATCATAAGAATATATATTAAGACCCATCTGTATAAAAAATTTTAAGCCATTTTTGGAGATCCGAGTTACGATGTAAAATATCAAAATATTTTTAATATAAATTAAGTTTGGCTTAATAAAAATTCATATTATTTTTCCAATCATTTATATAATTTTAATTTCATTTTTAATTATTAAAAACCACGACCTCACATATTTAATATTATGATTATTAATAATTATTTGCTTATTAATCATGATTTAGATGTAATAACTTCTCATCGCCCTCCAACTCTTGCTGTCGAAGATCCATCTAAACCTTTTAACAACACAAATTTCTCAAGAACTTTTAGAAACACTCAATTGCTTCGTAAATTAGACACCAAATAAAATTAAATGAGCATGATGTCATAGACAAAATTAAAACCTCTGACAAAATCCTAGAGCCTTATTTGTCTTAGTCTCAAGACACCCATCTATGAAGCAAAAGAGAAAAAAATGGAACTAGCCAATTTGAGGATGGGGAAGCGGATGAAGCGGTAAGCAGCATGTTAAACAGATTGCTTTGAAAATAATATATTTCTCAGAAAAACACTCTCATCAAATTGTAAATATCAAATTACAAATATTAATTAGTCTAACAATCGAGAAAAACTGTTTTCTCTGAGACCTTCTACAAATCTAAAATTGACTTTTAAAAAGTAGATGAATAAACAAAATAAAAATGATAATATTTAAAAACCCTTATAAAATTCAAAGATTGTCAATAAGCTTTGTTAAGAAGTGAAGCATTTTCGATTCATCTCCAGGATTAATCTAATTTTATACTAAATCTGCTTTTTTCATTTTCCCTTCATAAAATATATAGATTTATGGTGCTTAGATAGGAGATGGCAACATTTGGGATTCATTTAAAATATTGTATCTAATTATTAAAAATTATATACTTTTTCAATGAGATTTTTTTAAAGTTAGATATATTTTTAACTCTATACGGATTGGGATTACAGATATTCCAGGCAATTTTTTCTAAGGTCTCAGCTACGGTGTGACAAGCAGCACACCCTGGCTTATAAAAATAAATAAAATCATTGCCTGACAACTCCAAGTTATTTGCAGTTATAGTTTATAGTTTATCCAAAGGGATTTTAACAAATGTTTTTTCGTAGTATTCTTCTCTATTTTTATCTTATGGTTCTATATTTTAAATCTTTAAATTGGTAGTTTATACAATAAACTATTTCAACCTATTGACAGTTATTTTATCGCCAAAAGAGTATCTCTTACATAACTTATATTGATCATAATTATATTCCTTCTATCCCAATTACACTATATTAAAGGATGTAGTAAAGGTTTGATGCTAGTTAAGATCAAGTAATCTTACATCATCTGTGATCCCATTATCGACTATTCCAAAATATGTTTATATTAATTCAATGTTATCAGAATACACAATTGCAAATTGTTATTGTTATTCAATGTTCAAAGATTTCTTTACATTGATAAGTTTTTTAATAATTTTTTCATTAAGATCATTTTGACTATGGTACAACAAGATATATTTTACACCCATTTACTTGTAAATGAGCAATTAGGAATCCATTTATTATTTGTTAAAGACATAGTTAACATAATTATTGGCTGTTAAAGTCAGTTTGTTAACAAATTTCTGTAAATTCTATTATTAAACAGTCTCTTCCTTAGATCCCTAGAGGTATGAAGTAAAGGAATCGTGTTTCTTAAAAATCCTAAAAGTATCCGTTCTTTTTATATTTGGATCAGGCTCTACTTTGTTCAGAAGGTATTCTTTGTCATTGTGATGAAAGGAAGACTCTTTTGAATTGAAAATACTTGTCTGTCTCAGAACATAGATTTCTCCAATGTCCTGAATGGATAAATTGAATTCTTCAGCAACTTTCTTATCTTTGATAATGTAATACTAGGCTTCTCTATTATAATCATGAATCCTGAGCTCTTTTAACTGTTCCTCCAATTACTATGGATCGTACTGTTAAGAAGGCTCAAATTTATTAATTTATTCCTTTGCGTTTATTATTGATGGAATGTAACTCAAGACAACCTTAGCATCCATTTGATCGATGAGATTGATGGCATCTTATTTACTGTTTAGAGTCTATAGGGGAGTTAAGAAATTAAGTAATTTCAAATAATCTTCTTCTCCTCTTATTTTTAATAGGAGAAATCTATGTTGATTGACTGCAATCAAATCATAATCATTTTAGGAGTCATCGCAAATAAATAAATTGGCTAACAAATTTTTAGGAAGATCTTCAATGATGTTTTTATTGAAAATGATGATTGTGTTAGAGAAATCCTATGGATTTGCCAAGAGTGCATCGACATCTTTGTAGTGAATGGTTTTGATGGTTTGCGTGTTAATTTGAGTACATCTCAACTTGTACTATTAATTATAAATCAGAGCCAAGCAAGTTGCAACTTGAGTGAATTTTAACAATTTGGGTATTAATCGAATAGTTCTAAACATTATATATATTTTTGAGTTTATAATTCAATATACTAGAAAGTATTTTAATTAATAAAAACTTGGAATGGATTAATAAGTAATGGAAACAGCGAGCAATTATGATAATATTATAAATGAAGTCTACACAAAATTGAAGCGGAACTCAGATAAAGGTTAATTGTAAATGAGTGAATCTGAAATCCAGACTTTTAAGGATGTATTAATTCATTAAACCACCCAAGCTCTGGCAAACCCATCTCAAAGCAATTTAAGAGGGGAGAGAAATTAAATGCAAAACAGAGGTTTAGGTCTAATCTAAGATTTCTCAAGTGGACACTGATCAAATTGAACCTGCTAAAGAAAAGAAAGTACTTGTTGTGAAATAAGTAATTACTTACAATTACATCTTAGGAGGAAGAGAATTAAGAAGTAGATGTGTGTTTTGACGACGATTCAGATGAGAAAGTTCATCTGAATCAGGATCAAGTTGATAACTATTAAACTTAGAATCAGAAAATTAAGGAGTTTGAAAAGAATAGATGTGAGAGTCTGAGGGAAAGGACTCTTTTTGATAAAATTAGAGAATTAGATTAACTTAGAAATTAAGTTAAATAGGAAGAATAAGATGATGATGATACCGAAGAGCCAAAAGCATTTGATACTTAGATCTACGCATAGAAGATCAATACTGATAGTATTGTTAGTAGAATCAGAGTAAAAATTCATCATATACTAGCCTAACAAATTGCAAAAGGCAAGTTTAGAAAATGTGCTTATCAAAGAAAAAAGCAATAAAGAAGCTCTCTATCCATAAGCCCAATTATAATTTAATTTTAAAACAAACAAAAAAAAAAACTAATGATCAAATTGTATATATCATTCCTAAGATTTTAGTTACTCCAATTTTCTGTCCAATTATGACATATATATTTTAATCTAAACAATCATGATTATTACTCTTATATTCATTTATTTATGCACATATATAATCAAATAATTTATATGTTCATTAAATTGTTTATTACCCTTCTGCTGATATCAATGCTTATAGTTCAACCATGACGTCGTTTATTGGTGTATAAATTTGATTTTATTTCTCCAATGAATTTACACAAGAAATCCGAAAAATATGTAAAACATTTTATCCCAACTTTTCTTAGTATTAATTTATACTTTGTTCACTAGATTCCAATTAATTTTATCTGAATGAGTTTGAATTAAATAGAATAATAATTGCGATTGATGAAACTGGGCTGCTTTCATTATTGGTGATTCTCCTCCCTTTCTTTAAAAATCAATTTTACTATTGTTTGTATATTAGGTGATGCCTTTGATTATATTAAATAATCCACTATTGCAAGATTGCCAATTGCACAAGCAAAATGAAGAGGAGTTCTTCCAAACTAATTTTTGCTTAAAAATATACTATGTCTTATTGATCAATATCAGCCTTCTAAATTGCCACTAAAAATTGAACTAAATTCAAATTCCCATTGCTTGCTGCCTAATGCAAAGCTGTTATGCCTTGGTTTGTTAATGCTACATTGACATTTATTTCAATTTTCGGCGAATTAAAAAATTGCACTATTTATTCATTTTTATCTAATATCATTATTACAATTATACTTTACATAATTGCTAACCAGAGGGCATACTTGAGTTGCTCAATTTATTATCTTTAATCAGCCATTGCAAATTTATTAAATTATTTTAAATAATACAAATTATTTCTTCTTATTGAATTCGTCAATAAATCAATTAAAGCATTTTACTCAAAATGTATTGTATTTAAATTTAATGGAATAAATATTAATTTATCATTAAAATTAAATAATTTAATTTTTTTAATAATGGAAAACAAAGAGTTAGAGTAAGAAATCAAAAAGAAAATTACAAATATCCCTCTCAAGGATAGAGCAAAAGTAACAGCTCTTAGATATTATTTGAATAAATGTAAATAAGCAGATTCAGACATGGAAAAAACTTGTGATAATATTCAATCTAAATATGATAAATTAAGCATGCCAATATATCAAAAAGTAAAATTCATATATATTTGTTAATTAGGCTGATGAAATAATTTTGGGTACAGCCTAATTGAATGAATAAAATCTTGGTTTGGCAGCTAAATTATTATCAGAAGAGGAATTACAATAATTCAATCAAGCCCCTAAAGAATCTAAAGCTATTCCTGACTATTGGTTAAAAGTGTTTAAGAATGCAGATTTATAGGAATTGCCATTATCAGAGAGAGATGCTGAAGCATTCAAGTTTTTATAAAAAATCGAATTTACATTGGCTGAGAATGATTCAGATTTCTTCCTCAAATTCTACTTTGCAGAAAATCCATTCTTCAAGTAAACTGTATTGGAGAAGAAGTTTTATTATGAAGATGATGAATTAATAAAAGTAGAAGGAACTAAAGTAGAATGGCATGATGGCAAGAATTTGACTAAGAAATTAATCAAAAAGGTAATCTAATTAGATGAATATTTGTTTAGAAATAAAGAAATAAGAAGACAGGATAATTTAGAGTAATTTCAAAGGAAGTTGACGATGAGAGTTTCTTTTTGTTTTTCAGATCAATTGACATATCCAATAAGGAGAAATATGACAAATTACCCGAAGACGAAGTATTCACATTTAATTTAACGCGTAGTAAATCTCATTGTAAGGTCAATTGGATGTTGACTAAGATGTGGGTAGAGAGATAGTTGATGAATTGTTGCCTTACTCTCTTGAATACTTTTTGGGAATAAAGGAATTCAAGACTGAAGATGATGGAGGTGCTGAAGGAGAGGAGGATGATGAAGAAGATGATGAGGAAGTAGAAGTCCCAGCAAAAGGATAAAACAAGGGAAAGGACAAGAAGAAGAAATGATTTATGTATATTAATTTTTATATATATATTGTACAATTAAAGCGATTTCATGATCATTAAAGTGATATATTCAAGTGTTATGTATATATTTATATTTTGGTGTTGAGTTTTAATAATAATTTAAATAAATGAGCAGAGCTGGTGATTTCCAAAATAAAGTTGAAAAGATTATAGAAAATGTATTTGAACCTAATTCATTATCTAATTAGTATCTTTAGAAGCATAAAATATTTAATATGAAAAATTCAATTAATCATGTTGATGCATCCAATTCTGAATTTGATCTGCTCGAAAAATAAATGACCAGAAACAATATGATAGATGAGTTAATTCGAAAAATTTAGGTGTTGATAGATGCTGCAAATGATCAAAATAAAATTGAAGTATTTCATCAATAAATCTACATGTAGATTGAGTAAAAGTTTAATCGATTTGAATAAGAAATTTCTAATCTTAGATCAATAATTATGATGCAATCAGATTGTAATCCTCCTTAATTAACAATTACGCGTTCGGAAAATAACTCTTTTATCGAAATGAGTGATTCGTTTCTGAATGATGAAAATGTTTCTTCTTTTAAAAAAAAACTAAAAGAAATTCAAGAACAGTTTTCAAAGAAAACATAACAAATAGACAACATGCTTACTTTAGTTATTGATTAACAGTAACAGTGTTTATAAATATTAGACTGCAATTAAAACAATAAATGATTCAAAGTCCCTCACCAAGTTAATCTATTGAATCTTAGATGGATCTCAATTAATAAGCTGATAAGATATTGAATATAATTTAACCAAGTAAGAAAAAGTAGTAATGTTTAATTAGAAATCCAATTTTTGAATAAAGAACATTTTGATGAAAAATATCAATAGTTCAAAAAAGTGATGGAAGAAATGAAGAAGGGTGCTAAAGAGAAGCAGTCTCTTTTAATGACCATTGTTGAAGAGTGCAAAAGGGATTGCGAAAAAATTGAAAAAAAATTTAATGAACATATTACTTAGTTGAATGCAGAAAAGAAGAAATCTTGGATTCCTTTCAAGTGATTTATTTATGTATAATGTACCACAAGTCCTTTATTTTTCACCTTTTTAATAATAGAAAACTTATTTTTCATTTAAATATGGATGATATCACTTATGTAAATCAAATTTTCAATAAATGCTACAACATGGTTCCTCCTTCTTTTGGGTTCCACTACTTATCTCCTATTTTTAATTTCCTGTCTTATTTGGTGCTTTATTCGCAGATTTGGCTTGCAATGCTTTTTTCACAGCTTCATCGAATACAATCTTCAAGCCTTCCTATGTTAATGCAGAACATTCAAAATATTCAAGGTTTTGATTAGATAAGACTTATATAGCCTACAAATAAATAATGTATCATTACAGATTCCTTTTTAATGTGTTTGCTATTGCTCTCTTCTCTCATATCTATTTTATTACCAACAATGATTTTTGGGACTTTTTATAATTCGTCTTGATTTAACTCAGGATACCACTTTAAAATCATTAGATCATATTACCTTTGACAAAACATTATCAAATGAACTGCTATCTGCCACAGAAAATACTATGAGGAATATATCTGCTGATCCATATGATAAAGTTCTTAGTCTATTGTATGTTTCTTGACCTGCTGTGTCCCATAAACTCAAATTTACCATCTAATTGTCGACAGTTAATTGTGTAGTGTAATTATCAAATACTGTAGGAACATATTCTGTGGGAAATTTATCTGTTGTGTAACTATTCTCTTACTATTTATTCTTACCTCAGAAGTATGCATGTCTTACCAACACTTCCATCTCCTACTACAACCAATTTAATTTAAATTGACTCCTATGAAGCTTGCATTATTTATTTTTATTTTTATATTTTAAAATTCCATATTAAATGATCCTTAAATCATCTATTATATTCATAAATGCATGCATTGGTTATAAAATTCTACAAATTGAAAATCCTGAAATATTCATTGAAATCTCTTAAAAGGAACAACAAATTTTAAGATAATATAACACTAATGATATTAGTTTTAATTAGTAATTCATTCTTCTGTTCAAAAAGCTAGAAGGATTTGTGAGTCATATTTCATCCTTATGATATATTTCTCATTTCAAAAACAATGAGGATACAAAGATTTTTGAGGAAGAAATAAAATTCTTAAAGAACTCAAAATTTTCTTTCTAAATTCTAACTAAATTCAATTCTAAAAAATTTATCTAGTTATGTTATCTATCTAAGCTTAATTTCTCATAAATAAATGGATAGGATATGAATATTAAAGTAACAAACTATTTATTACTTTTATTTTCATTATATGATTTATTAGTTTATTCCATAAGATTTGCCTTAGTAAATATTGATCTAATATTCGAAAACTTTAAATTATGGCGATTAGATTTAATATATTAATATATAATCAATCCACCATCCTAATCTTCAGTTTAATTACATGAGATTTTTATCAATTCAAAATTAAATTCTTGAAAATTCAATTTAATAAGGAAATTCTATTAATTAAAATGATTAAAAATTTAATCCTAATTTAGAAAGAAAGTCCTTATTCTACTTAACTTAGATCATTTCATAAAATACAGAATAATCAAAATTCACAATGCTTTGAAACTTTGGAATGTAAAAAATGAATTAAATTATTTAATTTTATTTTGACTAATTCAAACAAAATGATATTAATTTAAGAATATTCTAAGTTCTAAAATGATAAAATGAAGATGACTTTATATATGATATTCACACTAATTATTCAAGATTCTTTTACAATAAAGTCAACTAAAACCAAAATTTTTAATAACAAAAGAGACAAATAAATAACTAAATTGAAATTTAAAATCTTGAAAGAGATTTAGAAAATATTTAAAAGGGTTATAGTAAAGAGAGTATAAAACTTACAATTAGAATATACAATCTAAATCAGTATATACTACTATGAGGACTGGCATAAATCCAAGAATGAAAATGGAAGTAGATCTTTCATGAGGTTGTTTTTAATTAATTTTTATTTTAAGAATCCAAATAAAAGAATACAGTGTGAATGTTCTCCTTGCAAATGTATCTAGAAATCTATAAATTTTTTTTATAAATAAATGAGATTAATTAATTAAAAATATGAAGAAATTTTCTAACTACATCAACGCATTGATTGGAAAAGGAAACACTCCATTTTTATAGAAGTTTAATTCAAGTTCATTAATGAATAATACGCCAGTAATTTTGATGACAGATATTTTATATTTAATTGAATGTTTTGAAGGTTATGGACCTGAATGTCAAGGAATTTATTTGACAGGACAAGAATATTTATAGCAATTTTTTCAGGAACTATCTTAAAAGCCTTTGAGTGGGTTGATGGCAGTAAAAATTTCATTAACAATCCATTTGGTTTTATATGAGTTCTAAATAGGGGAAATTGTGGCTGAAGAGATGATATCAAGAGATTATAAGCTATAAGTAATTGAGACTCAGAGTCATGGGCAATTTGTGTAGAATTATTTGATGTACCTATTCAAGTTGGCTTAGAATTTGAAATTGTTCTACTCTTGTAAAATTGGACAATATCCAATCTTTGATTAGGAGGTTACTTATACAAATTACACTGAATCAACAAGAGAAAATCAAATTAACTAATTCAAAATGTTCAAGAAATAAACTAACTTTAAGGATACTAACCTTCAATATCGTGAGTATTAATAGAAGAAGTTAGAAAACCATCTATCAAATAAAACTGGGTACATAACAATAGATTAGAAGATCCTCTATTTATTTAAATTGCTAAATTTATTGAATCAATGCATACAAATATTGAATTTGAGTATAGGGGTTTGTTAGATAGAATCATAGGATATCAAAAGCATCTACGTAGAGATCTGTTGTGTGCTTTGGAATGATACTATGGTGATGTACAAATTTGCAACTTTAGAGGTATACATATATATATTTATACAATTCATGGTAGATATGCAAAATACTAGATTCGTTTCGCTTCTTGCCACTCTAATAATTATAATCATTATAATAGGTATATTGGGCAACAACTAATTCTACAAAGAGTATAAAGTGGATATATAATAATAGAAAGTACTTTGACAGTTAAAACATTGTGAAATAGCCCTTTTGGTTTGAAGAGAATAACTAAATAATCAGAGATATATAAAACAGTATAATTGATAGTAAGATTAATTCAATTCCAGAGTAAAATATATGTGCTTATACAGGTCTTGTCGTTAACTGAAGTTATAGACTCCTCAGAGTTCTAAATTGAAATCTCCTATTCAAATCTAATAACCTTATTCTGGAAGAATCTTAAATTAAAGAAATCAGCCTTTTTTTGTAGCCCATAAGAAACTGCAGGAATCAATCTCTCAATACACTGAGATAAAGGATCAAAGTTAGTAACAGAATAATTAAAAGAATAACAACATCAAACATGCAATTTATCCAATATTTTCAGATTAAGAGATGTAATTGTCTCCAAAGTTGCAATAATAAGAAATAATAAAATGATTAAAATACTAAATATAGAAATTAATTATTTATACAATCAGACGTAATAATACAATTACTCATTTCTATTGTTATATAAAATAAGAGGCAAGTAATCCTTGACCAATCTTCATTTCACTAAAGTTTCTATTTAAATTGGTTCCCTCATATTGATCTGGTCTATTTTTGGACTCAAATAATGACATGGTGTCTTCTAAAGACCAAACCTTAGTGAATTCTATGTTACTATTGAATTGTTCTTCCAATTCCTGAGGTATTTTCTTAACGGTATTTCTCATTAGAATTTAATTATTTCTTTTTTCAATTTTCAACTAGTTTTCAATTTCAATATTGTAAATTTCTTTTAGATACATAGCCCATTCATTTTATTCTAATTTAATTTTAATGTCTTTGATTAAACTCATGTTCAGATTGGATTTGTAGGAGGACATAATCTATTAACTATACACACTAGTTAGTTGAGTAATCTAACTAACTCGAGTGCTTGAAGTGAATGTAGAAAGCATTCTAACTTTATTGTAATCGCCTTCAAGAATGCTTTATTATTTGGCAGATGAGTATTGATAGTATGAAGATTATTTTATAACAGACTGCTGTGGATGTGTTACATTTTGAGATTACTCTTATTCATTCTATTGAATTTTCTCTTCCTTTAAAATTTCACAAATAACACTTTCGAGAAATGAATCATCTTTCTCAAAGCGCTGTGTAATTTCTTCTATATCATTCAATTGCAATTACTAAACATTGCTTCCAATTATTTTAGATTCCAAAATGCTATCCTCAAAATGAGGGTGGGTAGATTCTGCTATAGATTAATTTAATTGGTAGGAGACTACGTGTTATCTGAGATTGATTTTAACTTTTTCATAAAGATATTCAATTCCTCGAGGTAGTAAACACACTTAAACGGTCCATTGATTCAGAATTTCTTGCATAAAGTTAGAATCAGCTATGCAATTTAATATTAGATATACATACCTATGATATAATCTTTGAACGCTTAGTAATTGGTGGATAATTGTTCGGATGTTTTGCTATATAGTTCATTTGTTTATGAGATTACTGTGTCCAATATTATTCCATAGAGAGAACCCACTTTCATAATTGAGTGTCCAATCCAATTTATACTTTATTCATGCAGAGACAGATCAAGAATATTAGAAGCGAATTTATTTAAAAGAAAATTTACAGCATTTGGACAGTTTATAAGGAAATCATCATTTTATCTTTACCCAATTATTTACTGTTCAATATTACAATGATTCTTTATATAGAATTGTTATAAGGTCACTCTTTTTTATTTTAACAGACTATCAAATGAAGTAAACAATTCATTTTCAATTGAATCCAATTATGAATTTTTAGTACCTTTTATAACAATTTATGACCACAGTCTAGCAAGAGCACTGGTGAATGTGATTTTAGGGAAGTTAGTAGTAAAATATTCTTCAAATATCAAGTCTATTTTATTAAATATTTTCTTCAAAGCTCTATTCAATGCCCACATCATACCAACATAAGATTCCCATAAAATAGTATACATATTAAGAAACATGGGTGGATTTTTTTGTGTCTTAGTAATTACCAAAACATTTCTACTAAATAAGCATCTTTGATAAATGAAATAGAGTATTTAAAGCAAGAACCTCAACAGAAGGGGTATATTCTCAGAATCTAATATGGTAGGATCTTTGAGAAAATTGTCAATCACAACCCATCTCAATTCAAATAGTAATTAGGTGTGTTTCATGTTTTTGACATCAAATTTAGCCAGACAATCTTAATAGAGCTTCTCTGTTAGTTCATCAAATAAAGGAACCTTCTCTACAATTGTAGAATCTTAGGTCCTTTGGGCCAACTCCAATTAAAACCAGCTGGTTGTGCATTACTTGAGAACATCATCTGTCAATAAAGGGATAGGCATAACTGGATTACGGCCTATATCCAAGATCTTATCAACCAGTGGATATTCAATATTGAAGGTCTTTTATATCTCTTCTTCTATGATTCTCATTTATTATCTAATTGATAGTCATTAAATATTACAGGCTTTTCTGGAAGCTTACGTATATCCTAATCCAGGATTCATCTTAGTTGGTTTCGATACATAACAATTAAGAGTGGTATACGGAAAGAAATCTCTAATTTAATCCATATTCTACAAAACATCGGAGCTGCAGCTTTCGTAAATAGAATTAACTGAGATAGTTTGAGTAGATGTTACTGCTCATCTCTACCATGAATTTTAGTTTTTTGTTCACAAGCTTAAGTTAAAAACATTCTCGTAATGTCAAGAAATTTAAGAAATACTGTAAGATTTTAATGGAATAATTAGGCATCTCTTCTTCACTCATTTTTCTAAAATATCTGCATTTCATAATACGTCAGGATATCTTGACTTTATTATTTCATGTTTTCAGATAGACTTTTTCTTAGCTTTGAATTGTCACTTGATTCTTTTGATGCCAATTGACTCATGCACATTCCAATCAGATAATCTCTTTTTCTGAGTTTCCTCTTTTCCTATTACCCCTATTGTTGACTCTAGTTTGCTCCCATTTAATTTAATTGATTGTATTAAATACCTATCTATTTAAATACTTTTAACACTAAAATCCATATGGAAAACCCTCAACAAAAACATTATTATGTTCTCAATTATCTATCCTTATTTACTAACAATCGAGTATATTTAATTTTTATAATCATTAAATGGATCAAGTCGATATGATATAAGATGAGGAATAATCTCCATTATACATTAAAAGAGAACTCGACATTGATATACCATACAGAGTAGTATACCCAACGGATTTGGATTTACAATAAAAAGAAACACCTAAAACAGCAGTGAGATAAATTGAACATCCTGATTTTGAGGATGTGCAAGTACAAACCGAAACAACCCCAAAAACCTAAATTGATGTATCCTCTCCTAGAGTAGCATTCCTAACTCATTCGTAAATAATGGGAATGCATCACGACGAAGATGAGGTTCCATTTAACCGATCTTCCTTAAACAACCCTCTCTCTGAAATTCCCGAGGAGCTTACACCCAGTAATATCCATAATGTATCTCATTAAATACAATTCAAGAAGTCTAAGGTGTCCAATCCAGAAATTATCCTTGATAATATGAGTATAGTAAACAGTTAGTAGTTGAAAATAAGTAAGAAATCTTCTGAAACCAATGTGATGTCCATTAACAACATTGATGGCAGCAAATTGATCGAAGAGGTAATATATCCAATTTTGTATAATAATAGTTAAAAGAACATATAAGTATCTTGGAATCTAAAGTTCAAGAATTGGAGAAAGAAAACTGTATTCTAAAAAAGAAATCTAGTTAAGAAAAAGTGAAGTACATTGAATTGTAAATGGAAACCGAATACAAGTTAACATCGTTAAATGAATAATTTTAAGATTAAGAACTTAATTATAAACACTAAATTGCTACTCTTCAAAATGATTTAAATACTGCTAAATAATAAATTCATATCATCAAATAATAGATTCCACATGATGACAATAAAGGATAATAATTATAGAAATCATAATCCAATCATCAATCTTATCAGTAATACCTTAAATAACCAATCTTATCATAGTCATTTAATGAATAATAAAACAAAAATTAAAAAGATTTATGTCTTACTTAAGTCTAGTATGAAATTGTCCATTCTAAATTAATCAAAATCATTAAAAAAATTGATTAGTAAATTGATCTTAATCAAAAAGATTTATGTGACCTCCTTTAAATACTAGAAAGCAAAGTTAAATTAATGGTTAATATTGAAGAAGAAGAAAAAATTGATGAACATCAGTCCTTGATATCAACATTAAAAACTGAATTGGGAGAGATTAAATAAATTAGAGGACAGCTAAACAGAATATTTCATGACCATGATTAATTTATCCACAAGAGAAATAATGAAAGTACAAATGATTCGAAAATTAATGAGTTGACTCTCTAGATTAAAAATATTATGTAAGAAAAGCAAGATTTAATTGAGTTGTCATAAAAATAATAAGAGTAAATTAATTAGCAGAATTAAAAAATAATAGAATTGCAATCAAAACTAAGTATAATATCATTCTCACTTAGATAATTCTACTCAAACAGATACACAAAGAATGTAATCTTAATTTATACGTTCGCTTTAAATAAACTCTACATCAAGTATTAAGAATATCAAGGAAACATTAAAATAGAAGTAGGAGGGCACTAAGTAACAATATATTTATCATCAAGAAAATAATTAAAATCATAAAATTCTCCCCAAAGCAGATCTGAAAATGTTTCTCCATCGTTAAAGTTTTTGAATTCCCCAAAGTAAAATTATTTGAGATATGATTAGAAATTCTAATAATGTTTCTACTTATTAAAAATAGTGGTTTGATGATAAAAAATAACAATTCTATAATCGAACATCAGATTTTAGTGCTGAAAATAATTCAACTCATTAGGCAACTACTTAGAATTTTAACAATAGTGTTCATTCAAGTAGTGAGATCATTTAGAAATTAGTCGATCAATTTAAAGGAAATTCTGTTTTTGCATAAAAAATCTCAAGTTATTCAAAAAAAAGGATATGAAACATATGAATTTTTACTCTTTGCAAATTACATCCTCAAATCTATTGAAAAGTTTAATAATCTAATTATTTTAAATATTAAATATAAATCAAATATATGAAAAGAATAATTAAGATTCAGCCGATCAATATTCCAGGTCAAGATAGTCCCATACTATTGGAAACTGCTGAGACTGATTTATTTTATTTAAAAGCGAAAAAAAAAGTTGCAGGTAATTTAATTTGTATATAAACATATTTCAGAATCTTTAAAAGGGTATAATCAAGATGAGTTTGTATTTTATTCTAAATCCAAAAGTTTAGTAGTGCATGAAGACGATAGAGTATCAAAGTAAGAATTTATATGTAAAACAATAGACTATTTTAAAACAAGGATCAGAATGAAATTGAGTTGTATTTGACATCAGATTTAATCAAGAAGGTGGTTTAGGGAGGATCTACAGGAGGAGCATAATTTTTTTAAGCAGCTTAACAAGTAATGGGACAGCAATAGAATAAGGAAGGAAAGGTAGAAAAGTTAGAAAATGATATAAAAAAATTAAAAGAAGAAATTTTTAAATAAGAAAACAAAGCCAAATTGGATCAGAATGAATTAGAGGATAAACTTTAAGAAATTAAAGAACTAAAGAATGAATAATTATCTATTAAAAAATGGTGTGATGACAAAGTGAAATAAGAGGAAGAATAGAGAGCAGAAATAATTTAAAAATATAAAGATATGATGAATATTAATAACAATTTGAAAAATGAAATTTTGTAAAAAGACAATCAAATAGAAGATTTGAAATATCAAATAAAAGCAATTGAAGTAGAGAAGAATTTCAATGAAGAATAATTTAAAAGAGAAAATGAAATGGGAAGATAGAAATCTACTATTGTCAATGATAGTTAAATAAATGAAATTAGAAGGGATTCCGAAAATCTCAAAAGATTATACTAAGAAGAATAATTTGAAAGAAAAAAAGATAAAGAAAGGGCAGTTTAATTTTAGATGCAATGTTAAGAATTCAAAAATAAACTATAATAGAAGAATGAAGAATTGAATCAAGCACGAAGTTACTCAGAGCAAGAGATAGAAAATTTGAAGGAAGAATTAAGAAGATCAGAAGAAAAGTGTCAATAATACAAAGATATAATATCTCAATAAAAGAAGGATATTTCTGATCAAACTTCTAGATATATGGAGATTCAAAGGAAACTAGGTGAAGTAGAAGCAGAGTTAAGTTTTTAAGTAAAAACTGTTAATAAATTAAGAGAAGAATAAAAAGAATAACAATAAGAAATAGAAAGAAAAGATCAAGTTATAAAAGAAATTAAAAACTCAAAGGACGCTTAATTAACCAAGATGAATAAATCTGAAGAGGAAAAATAGGATAGAATTCTTTAGTTGGAAGGCGATATGAAGAAATAAAGAGAAGAACTCAGAAGAACAAGAGATCAATTATAAGATGAGATTTCATAAAAAGTAGCTAAAATTATGAAATTGGAAAAAGAATTAAGTAATTTAAATGAAACATACAATTCAAGCATGTAGAAGGCAAACTAGGAAATCTAAAAGCTATTTAATTAACTAGACAAAGAGAAGGAAAAGCTAAGAGTTGAAGAAAACAAAAGAGTCTAATTAGCAAAAAGAATTAAAGAGAATGCACTTAGAAAGGTAGGAGATGGTAAAATAATTTCACCCACAGAGGCTGTTTTTAGAAATATGTCAAATCCTTTTGAATTTTTAAAGAATGAGAATATAATGACTAATGATTGGACTGCACAAGTTGAATTAATTAGGGTGGATACAAATAAGGCAATAGAGAGTTTAACTAAGTCTTAGGAACCTAATATATCATAATTTGTAGTTAGAGAACCACTTGGAACTTGGTAAATCAAAAGAAGTTTAGGAATTGTAAAAATTAATTTAATTAACTTAGAACGGTGATGGTACAAAAAGAAAAGGATTTCTGATGTAGGTCATGAGTAGTGATGGAGATCGTTATACTCATTAGATTTTCTTAGTTAAAGAATTGACTGGCTTCGAGAGAATAGTGACTCTTGAAAAGGCACTTTACGTTGCTCAAAGTTCCCTAATAGCCAAGGTTTTAGCTGAGCATTTCCAAGATAAGATTCAAAAGGCTTCTTCTGAGAAACCTCCTTGCAGATTTGCATACAAGGAACCCTTTTTATTGCAAACAGAAGGAAGTAATTAAAATTTTATTCACATTATATAGACTACTATATTGCAGAAAGACTGATAAAAGGAACCTTCATAAAGTTCAATGGAGAAGGCGAGTCTATGGATAAGGATCTGAAAGTTACTAGTTATTTTAATGCTTTTTCACTTTTCACATATTTGGCCACTCAGAAAATGTTGATGGTCTCTAATATTTAAGGTAACTTTGATGGTGCTGAATTTATATTGTGTGATCCAGTAGTTTCTTCACCTGAGGGCATTATGGGAGATGAAGATTTGGCAGAGCCACATATTTTATAATTTTAAGATAATTATAAAGAGAACCCTAAAAACTATGGGAAGAATTATTTAGGAAGTTTAGGGATTAAGATTTGAAGTGAAATATCATATAGAGATATTATATTAAATAAATAGAATTATCTGTTATATTTCTAGTTGTAGAATATTTTTTTTTTTATAAGCAAATTAATTAAACAAGCTATTTATTTATTTAATTAGAAATTAAAATGATTAATCAAAGAGTATACATAAGAGCAACAACTAGAAAGCAATAAAATCAACAAAATGATGACTTTTATGGGGAACAATAATATGATGATGAGGTTGAATAATGTGATTCATTGTTGAACAAGAGAACTCAAAAAGAATTTTTAAATGAGGAAAGTAAATCAAAGAAAGCTCTATATCATTTTGATATCTCTGATTAGTAATGGAATCCTACTTTTTATTAAAATACCTAAAACGAATTGGTAAAAAAAAACAATGTCCAATCAGAAGAAAACTTTGAATAATAAAAAAACTATAAATAAAAAGGGGTCTAATTATTCAAAATCGATGACTTTTCAGTACTTGAAATAAACGAGATTAATTATATAGAATAATTCCAGAGACAAAGAGATTATTAACTTTTTGGAAAAAAGCATAAATAGAACATAAGCAAAAAAATATACAAATACGTGTGCTGATGTTTATTAATTACTTATTTTATCTATAAATAATTATAACTCAATAAAAATTAAACATCTTTAAATTTAATATTTTTCTATCATACCTATTAACATTTGCACCTTGCGAATAGATGTATTTAAATATTCTATTCGAGTATCCTTATGATGATGAGCAATGCTTTTCTCACATTATAAATAGAATACTCTGAAATTCCATTAATTTAATCATAATTAGTTTGTTAATACTAAAACAAAAATTTATAAAACATCTCAAAAATATGATTATTTTCTGAACTGCAATTCATTGAAGACATAATGATTATTTTCTAGTCAATTAATATTTATAAGCTATTAAAAAGAAAGTCCAAAACCTGTCATGAAAAATATTCGAATAAAATTATAGTAAACATGTTTGAACATATGCATATGTTAAGAAATTAGAGAGAGAATTAATAATAAATTTAAGCTTGAAAACCTAAGTTAAGAAGAAAAAATTAATTTAGAAATAAAATAGAAGTCATGAAAGTAATTCTTTTTAAATCTATTATAAATAATAGTATTTAACAAAATTAATTATACTCCTAATATCATTTATCCTATTAATTTATTACTTATTCATCATTTTGCACTGAGAGTAATGGGTAATTAATCCCTTTATTGAAATATTGTACTATTTTAGATTAGATTAAAAATTATTAAAGAATGAATGAAGATTTTCAGAGCATCCCTAGACTTTAGTGGAACAAATTGGAAAAAGAAGTAAAGGCTTAATTTAAATAATGAGGGAGGTTATGACTATTAGATTATATATATAGATATATTGATTTTGGAATCTTATTTAGATCAAATTCCGACTTTTGATTTAACGTATTATTCAAAGCTTGGTTATGTTAATAAGCCGAGTGCTTACTTACTGATTTCAATTTCTTTATTGTATTCAGCAACTGTTCTATTGTAGAGATCAGTTTCTGCAGCATAGTTATCATTTTCAGCTTGTAATTAAGCTTACAAAGTAGCTCTGTCATCTTTTCTTTATCCAACATAAACGATGGTTTCTCCTAATTTTTCTAGAATTTAACAAATAGGTTACATTCATTTGCAGCGATTTCAGAATTTTTGATAAGAACTGCTCTTTAGAACTCAGCGAATTCTTTTTCCAATTAAGCTACTCTTTCACTGAATTTGGTTTCAGCAGCACTTTCATCTGCAGTTTCTTGATTTAAAGTGTCAACAAATTGAACTCTTAGTTCATTGAAAATCTTGACCAATTATTAGACAGAACCTTGATCAGCAAAGTTTTATTCAGTTGCCAACTCAAGTAAAGCTTTAATGATTGGAGCAAATGAAGAGTGATTTTAGAAAGATGTTTAGATTCTTCCCAAGTTCGATTAAACTCTCTTGAATTACACAAGAGATGGGTTAGTAATCTAAGATAAAAGTCCTAAGGATTCATCAACAGCACCAATGGCTTCATTGATTTCAGCAATGTTTGATAAGAATTATTCGTGCTATTTCTTTCTATTGACTGTTTCTTAATCAAGTATTCTTCTATTTTCTTCAATATTGGTTTTCAATTAAGCCAAAGCATCTTGGAATCTTTGCTTTTAGGGGATGAGAACATTATCGATGAAATCTTCACCATTGAAAATGTCTAATATTATTAGAAATGATAACCTCTATCAGCATCTTAAATTTCTTATTCATATCTTGTTACATCTCTATTGTGTTCATCTGTTCTTCTAGAATAAGCTTGTTGAATATCATCTAATTCTTCTTCTAATTAGTCAATCAATTAATTGATAGCTTCAACCAATTCTGTCAAAGCACCTCCACTCCCCAATTCTACTTCTGCAAACTCCAAAATAAAAGAAGCCCATTTAGATTCTCTCAATTTACTCATCACTTCTTCTTAGTGTCTTTCCATATTGAGTTCTACACTCAATACACTCAATACTAAACAAACCAAGATTCCTGTTCTCATTTATTTTAAATAATAAAAACGACTATTCAAATTATTGATTAAATGTGATTAATTAATATTATTCTAATCTTCATAATCTATGCAAATATTCTCCTCCCCTTGTCAAATATCTAATCCATTTATTTGTTTTATATGCCCCTTTTTCCATTACCTTCAGGAATCTCACTCTCAATCCACTAGATGTGAACATAGGAATCTAGAATTCCATTTTCAAAGGTGGTTTACTCCATGTCTACTCTTTATTTGTAGCACCCAAACTAATATCACACCTAATAAGTCATCGTAAATATGTTATACCTTAACGATGTTTCAACATCTCCTTACAATTTCTTGATTCTCCAAATTACACTTTACTCCTCTATTTCATGCTTTGCCTTTCCTAATGCTGTTGCAGATATCACATTCACAGTGTTTTTAGGCACTGGCACTTTTACTGCAATATTTGTACCATAGACATTTTTATCATATATTGATTTAATCTATCTTCATAATTAGTTTTACCTTCAGTCGTATTTCCAACTTATTCTCGCTAATATCACTATAGATCACATTGACTTTAAATGGAATATTAATGTTCTCCGAGATTCTATAAGACATCAACTAGAAATGACCATCAGGTGGAATAAATGTAATTGTCCTATCCTTCTCAAATTTTGGTAATCCCACACATGGATGAAATTTCATATCATCAATTGCAATTCCGCCATTTTATTTAGTCGTTCTCGCTTGCTTTCCCATTAATAATTTATCGTTCATTCCAATTTAACATTCAGGCATGCCTGTAAGCTTACTTTTAAGTTCAATTGATCCCACTACTTCTGCCCTTAAAACAGTATCTTTAGCTGAAATCAATAGATTCACAGATTCTATTATATCAAGATACAATTCATTCTTTTCATAATGCAGTCCAGTTGGTCTCCATGATACAGCACCAGTAATCGTGACTGTTAATTATCTCAATCTCTCTATGTTCATGGATGTCTCTTATTGGATCCCTCCTTCTTAAATAAACTACACCATAAGATGGATACTAACCTTTTATAATATATTTGGATCTGCTATTTGTGGTATCCCATAATCAAGTACTTCGTCGAGAATCTCATATATTAGGACAAAATTCTTTTTTATGCAGTTTTCATCTAGAATGCCTTAGAAGTACGATTTACAAATTTTGGACTTACACTCATACAACAATGAATACCAATTGATATAAAAATTCAAGAACCATAGCTACATTTACATCAGTCTTAGTAGTGGCTAAAATTATGATATCTTTTATTGAAATGTGAATAAAAGATGTTTCTATTCATATTGAAGAACATAAATACAATCAATGTTGATTATCGGAGATTCTTTATTTTCTTTTGTAGCTATCATTTTGGCACAAAATTAAGTGATTTCACTTCTGCTGATATCATCCTTATAAACTCTATAGATCAGGATCTCCCCTTTCTGATTTATAAAAGAGAGAGAACTTATCATAATGTAATATTATAATGAAATTCAGCCTTAATATTTACCTTCATAAACCTATAAGAATTCATCATATTTATTTGATTTAAATATATATCAAATTGAAACCTAGTTTAAACAATCAGCAAATAAATTGTGATATTATTATCTCATTTTTATCATTATAAATTGTAGAATTAGAAGATATTATTAATAAGATAGAAAATGTTAGAATTCGATTCCATTAAAAATGCATTCAAAGATAAATACACAAATCCTTAATTAATAGGAACAGGAACATTCTCAAAAGTGTTTAAATGCAATACAAAAAACAATGAATTTGTGGCAATCAAAGTAATAGCAATACTTTTCTATAGATTGTTGATTTAGAAAGGATTTAAAATGAGATCATCCCCTACATGAAAAACGAAATAGTTTTGCTTTCGACCAATTAGAATAATAATATAGTTTAGTTGATTGAGGCTGCTCAATATCAATAAACATTACTTCTTGTTTTAGAGGTATCTGAAAAACTTTATTATATTTCAGTATTGCTGCATTGATGCTTAAAGCATGTTGATAAAATGGTTTAAAAGAACTATACCTGAAGATTTAGTAATCATCATATTTCGCTAATTGGTAAATGGGTTGCATTCTTTACATAAGAATAAGATCATACACAGAGATATCAAATTGGCTAACTTAGGAGTGAAATTAACTACAGAAGAGGAGTAGAGATTAATTTAAAATAATGATCTAAGCGTCTTTTACAATGCATAATACAAATTGCTGGATTTTGGTTTGGCTAAGTAATTAACTAATGAGGAACTCACTAATACATATGCTGGAACTGAGTAAACTATGGGTAATTAGAATTAATAAATATTAGCTCCTGAAATTATATTAGAGTTACCATATTCTATCAGTGCCGATATGTACAGTTTAGGGGTTATTATATTTTAATTGATAACTGGACAGTTACCATATAAGATGGTGAAAGGATGTTTGGAGGTGGTAAAGTATGAAATGGCAAATTTTCAATTGATCTAAAGGGAAGCCCTTAGAACAGTCGTTCAAAAAATGCTTAAATTCGATCCCAAAGAGAGGATGACTTGGTCGGAACTATACTAAAAAGAATTTTTTTAAAATAAGTCAGGGTAAACTCAATCAATATTGGATTTGCAATTAAAAAGCAATCAAGATATCTATAGTGAAATATAATGTGAAGACAATTAATTCAAATAGGATATCTTCTTTGATTGTTAAAATAATGAATAGATAGACAAATATTAATTAAAGCTTCTGCCCAATTAAGAGAACAAAAATATTGCATCGTATGTTTGCAAGAATTTAATAAATTAAGAACAGAGGAATAAAATTCAGTATTGGAACAAACTTAGAAACATCTGCATACTCTTGAATAAACTCAGTAGCAATACTACTATGTTAATGAATACAATTAATTATATGGCAAATGAACTATTGTACTATAGTTTAAACTCTGAATTCAAAAGTTATATCAATTATCTTTGTGATCTAAATCAAAAAACATATGATTACTTGAAAAAGGACACCAATAATCATTTTTCAGAATATATCCAGTTCGAAGAATATGTTACTTTAAAAAAAAATATTGAAACTGATATAGAATTCAAGATTATCTAAAAAAATAAGCAAACTTAACAAGAATTAATTAGTGATTTGTTTTTTTTTGCAAGTCAATATTTATATTAATTGAAACCTTTGGATTTGAGAGAGTTTGATTTTGGATAGGAGGGCTTTTATGAATAGACTACGAATAACAACATTCTGATCTATAATTAAATCCTAGAAATCATATACAATTCTCATGGCAGGATGTCTGAACACAATTCTTAAAATTTCAAATTGATTTAGGGTCAAATATATAGGATTTTAATTGATTTAGCAAGAGTGAGAGCAATGTTTGGAGCAGATTGGAAGTGGAGAGATGAAAAAATCAATGAGTTACGGCTTGAAGACTTTGCAAAAGAACCTGATTTGCTGCCTTAATATTTGACTGAAATCTTATAATTCTATTAATTAAGATATTAATGAAGTTATAGAGATATGAATATTAATTTCTATTATCATTTTTAATTAAGAAATAAATGGCAGAATTGAAACCCGCAACAGTTCTAGAACCTGGTTATGCTATTACCAGGGAGTAAATTAAGACTCTTAGAACCCAGGATGGGAATATGTACTTGTTGGGGTACATAAACTATGGATCTGACAATCCCTAGCCCTGTGCTGTCAAAATTAATAATCTACACTAAGAGGTTATTGGATATTCTCTAAAATAGGAAGCCCGTATTTCAGCTTAAAGAGAGAGAGAGGTGCTGATGAGAGTAAATCATAAAAACATTGCCCGAACATATAAAATTATAGAGAAAGACAATAAGATGTACATTTTTAAGGAGTATGATGTACAAATAACTTTGTAAATAATGATCTAAAGATTAATGCGAGCATCATAGAATGTTGATGAAAGTATCAAGTTTAATTCATTATATTAGTGAATATATTGAATTTAGGTGCTCAGTTGATACATTGTCTTAATTATATGGAAACTTTGTCTTTAACAAACAGAGATTTGAACCCTTCAAATGTTTTATTTAGTTCTGATAATATTTATAAGATTTTTGATTTTGGATCATCAAGAATCATAGATGAAAATCAAATATTACAATCTATGGCTGTTGGAGGCAATGAAGTATTGAATTTAGTTATTTATAGTTCTTTATGAGTCCTTAAATGTTGGGAATTGATGATTCGACCGAAATTGATTATTACAAAAGTGATATTTGGAGTCTGGGCATGATTTTATATTACTTTGGAGAAAACCAATTCCCATGGAGAAAGGAAATCCAATAAGGTGATCCAGATTTTGAAGCTGAAATTGAAAAAATGAGTAGATAAAAACTTCCATTCCAAAAAATCAAAACTGAGCAATTAAGAAATTTGATTAGGAAAATGTTGGAATTCAATTAAGAAAAGAGAGCTTCTGCTAAGGAATTACTTGAAGAAAAAATCATCAAAGATTAATTGAAAGTATTATATCCATAAGTATTATTATTTCTTAATACAATTTAGGAAGCCAAATTAGAATTTGTCACTGAATTGATTCAAAGATAGGAAGAAATGAACACTAAATAACCACTTGATGAAACATTTAAAGAATTAATTTTCAATATTTTAATCAGATATTTCACTGAAAATAAGAATTTTATCAATTAGGGATCATAAGTTTATAAGGCTTATCATTCCTTGTTGGACTATCAGATGTTCAACAAAAAATAGTTGTGGCAAAATTTTAAAATCAAATACTGCACCAAGATGTTTATAAAAAACTTTGTTAATGAATATAAAAGACAATCCGAATTAAGCACTCGCTAACAATAGGAATTATTGTTATTGTTGTAGACTATTGATTCTTAAAAAGCATTCCCTAATGATCCTTAATAATTGATTGAATTAGCAGAGAAATAATATTTAACAGATTGAACCCATATATATATTTATCAAATATAAAAAATATAATGTTCTTTCCTAATTTTATATAATTTTCTTAAATAATTAAATTTTACATCTCTAAATGAGCAATGCATTTAAATAAGCTGGTAACACTCTCTCAAAGGGTAATGATATGGGATAGACTGGATAGAGTTTTGCAGGATCTCAAAATCCAGCATCCTTGAAAGGGAAACTAATGAGTTTGGAAGTAATGAAACTGATACCATATATTATAATAGGAAACAATAAAAGGCATTTAAGATGAGATGAACTTCCATAAGAAAGAAGTCTAGATATTAAAATCTGAGAAAGACACACTTGAATCTGTTTTAAGTATGAAAACCCAAGATGTCAAAAAAACATTAACTAATGAATTAATGAGAATCGAAGAGGAAATGAAACGGTATACTAATTTAATAAAGTAGACATTTTGCCCATCAAAAAGCAGAGAACTCTAGATTATAATAATAAATTACTGCTCTCAAAGGAGAAAAAACTGCCCTCCAATAATAACTACTTGGTCTTTAAAGAAGAATCGCAGAACTAGAACTCCAGGTTGGACAAGAGTAGGCATGATTATTTGTCATTATCAATATAAACATTTTAATTATCTAATAATAATTCCAGAGACACAATTAGAATGTATAAAATATTATATTAATACTGATATCATATGATCAATATCTAAAATTCTTATCAATTTAGATGCAAGCATCTTCCAATAGTTTCAGCAATGCTTCAGTGGTACTTTCTCTTTCCCTTCTCTCAAAGTTGATATCTTATTATAATTTGCCATGCACATCTTCTATCATTCTGAATATCTTTCCCTAGGTTTCCTCTCTAACTTTCTTCTCAATCAACAATTGATCTGAGAACTTGTTAATTTCTTAATCAATTTGATCACCCAAACTTTCTGACGATTCTTCTCTAAAGATATACAACCTAATTTATATACCTAGATCTTCTCTCTTGATCCAATTAATTTTTCACCAATTAAATTTATTACAGTACTTCTGCAATTTTAGCTTAACTTCTGTCTTCGTATTGATGATTATTTCTAGTTATTGTCAATGTGATCTAAGCAAATCTCTCATCAATTTGTTTTTGCAATTTAGTTTCTCCTTACCCTCTAATATTCCTTTCCTGATCAAATGATAGAGCTATGTTGTCTGATAGAGTTCTAAAGTCTCTCTCCTTCTTATCATCAAAAGCCTAAAGGCTACAAGTGTATTATTACTTCTCTTTCTGCCTTTTGGTTATGGGCATAATCTTATAATTTAAGGACTGAATCCTTCAAAACTTTGAATCTCTATTCGTCCTTTGGTTTTTCAGAGGATAGAACATCTTCAATAATTTTGATTCTTTCCTCCAAGACTTCCCTCTTCTCCAATTTATCCTTGTCTATACCATTCTAAATGTGATTCCATTTATCAGAAAGAAGTTTAATTCTTTATCTAGATGGTGAATCAAGATCTTAATTCAAATAATTAACTGTTGATCTTTATGGACTAGACAGTTATGATCTTTGAAGTTTTGATGTTGATAGCTTGGAAGTTGACAATAACATTAATGATATTTTGTAAAATAAATTTATTTCTGTATATATATTAGAAGAAGTGACAAATATATTATTGATATCCTACTTCATTCTACCGATAATATATTAACAATTACTTAAGTTATATGACTTGGAAAGTATAATCAAAAGATGACTTTAAACTAACATTCAATTTTATGAATTCATTCTACTAGTTTGATTATTTTGATAATAATTAATTAACACAAGTGTAAGATTTATCATAGTAAATTCTTTATATTGAGAATAGATATCTTATCTTTGATAAATTTCCTCTTTTATTAAAATCATTGGAAATATTATAATTTATCAACAAAGAAAATATATATTATACATCATTTTACAGAATAATGAAATTAAGTATTACAATAAATTTAAATGTATGATAAATCATGCTTTTATTATGTTTCTTAAACAACCTTTGATGCAGTCTCTTGCAAATGGAATATAACTGGCCACATACCATGTGTATGAACAGAATTCAGCCACTAAAAATATCAAAACCAGAAGTTTTGATTTAAACACATAAACTGAAAGAAAGATCATTACTAAGGAAGAAGCAAAGATAATAGATGTCAGTTTTCTTTCTTTGTCTATCATATTTTCAAATTATTTCTTGAATCCAATAAGAAAAGCTGTTCTATAAATAATAAAATTCAGTATTACCCAAACAATGCTAAAATATTTCCTAAACTATAAGTAAGTGCAAATTTATTTGGACTTCCACCCAAAATTCCTATAAAAGATCCAAAACTTAATATTTAGATAAAGTATCCTTATCTATAAATTACATTCCTTACCTAAGACAGAACAGAATGCAAATCCCATTAATCTTTCCTTATATGAGAGTGAAGGAAAGAGACTTTCATTTTCATTTTTTGGTTTAGTTGGTCCGCTAATATCGAATATCTGCAACATTATAATTTATGTTATTTAATATAAAGTTTTTAAATAAAACAGAATTACTTTATATTAGAATCCAATTATCACTCTTGAAATGTTAAAAGCTCTCTTATTTGAGGATATCAACTATTAACATCGATAAAAAAAATAATATTAGAGACACTTAAACAAGTCTCCGTAATTTTAATAAATGATAATCCAATTTTGAGTTTAATGATAATATTTTTGTTCCAACTTCCAAAGCTTATTCCAAAAGCAAGTCTTTCATCATTACTTCAAGTCCCATTAGTTTCCCAAAATCACTTTATACTCTCTAATAAATTATTCTATTTCTTTACGATTTACATCAATAACAATCTTGTTCTAAAACCAAACTAAATAAATTATTAGTTTAATTCTTTCTATGTCGATTAATATTGATCTATGTAATTTTGCAATGTAAAATAATATTCATCTTAAAATACCATTTTAGCTAACTACTTTTGAAATTAAGAATGTTCCAATTATTTATTTCTTGCTTTAAATCTCTTTAAAAATTGGTAAATACAGTTGAGCATCCTTCAAATTACCAAGTATTATCAATATTTCATTGAAAATGATGGAAAAAATAAAAGATTTAATACCTTGGAGATTGAGGAATTATGAATCTTAAATTCAATATTTAATTTAGGATAATGAGTAATAGATCATACATCAAAAGGTTTAGAAATACCAACTAAAATTAATTATTATTTATAATAAAATAAATAACTCAAATTTTCAAAAGGATTTCCATTTATTTTTTTCATAACAAGACCTAACGATTTGCCCATCCTTTAAAAGACACATAATTTTGTTAGAATAGTAAATCGGTTGTGTAAGAAAGTGTGCTTATTGTGGAATGGGATGTTACAGTTGATAATATAATTTTGGTTAAAATTCTAAAGCAATACTACATTAAAATACTTATTTAATCTTAATCAAATTCTTCTTCTTCCTCAATCTGAATCATAAATCCTTGATTAACTGTTTGAAATGATTATTTTTATAATATTTGTCCACCAAATATATATATCATATTAGAATTAAGTATCTATATGGAAGTAGATAAAATAGTATGCAATGGATATTAGGTATGATTGGTGGTGTTTTCAACTCTCTCCCAACAATCTTATTCTATAAAATACAATTCTAATAATCCTGAACATTATTTTTTTAAGTCTTCTCCTTCAGTATTGGCAATCAAACCACCAAACTTAACAATCAATTTATTATTATATGTACATGATGAATGTAATGTTGACAATTCTGTTAGATGACTTAAAATGATTTATTAAATTGTACTTAATTAATGTAATTTGATTAGTATTTATATTATATTTTTCACATTTTGCCAAGCACCCCTCTTTATAATTTTAACCTCCAATAATAAATATATCTTTATCAGCTGTACAAGATAATGAAAAATTCTTTCTTAGAGTATACATTCTTGTCTTTTTGATGAATGTTAATTATGGATGATCATACTAATATATCGTCTTATTTTCATCATCATTTAATCCATTATCATATCCTGAAAAATAATAAATTTGACCATCAGAAGCCAAAATAGACCTACTTCCTTAAGAGATAACAAAATTGATTTCCAATTCAACTTTTGTGATCTGAGGATTTTATTGTTTCAAATCTAAATAATACAAGAATTTAGTTCCTGGCTCGAAGTAATGTAACCACGATCGATAGAATGAGTATTCTTAAGGCCCCTACATTGTATTTCTCATTTCATCTAATTTCTCAGGGGCATAACTTAAAAACTTTTGAAAATTCTTGATTGATTTCGATTTAGTTTATTATGCTTTTAGGGTCATTTGATTAAGACTCTCAATTTATGAACTTAACTTGTTTTTTTCGTATATAACTAATTATTCTAACTCTTTCTGAATCACTCCAATAAAATGTAAGGCCACATCATCATCTATTCTGCCATAGAACTTCTGATTTGCTCTTTAATAAATGAGAGATTCTAATCTGTTCTTCTGATATTACACTTAATAATCCAAATCTGTAGACATTACTTTCTTTTGGGTATCTATTGAATTGATATCATTTTAAAACTGTCTAATCTGTGTCAATTACGCTTATATTATATCATACAAAGCATGAATACTCTATTTTACTTTATATTCAAATTTATCCCTCAAACCTTGGATATATTTGTCAAACAATTTATGAATCTGTTGTCTTATTGATTCTATTTCTAAGATGATCTCATCAATGTTGCTATTGACTGATGTTATTAATGCATTAGCAGCTCTATTTTCTGCTAATTCTAATTCTTCCTTTACAGTATTCAAATTCTTCTCTACCTATTATTTACATTCCTATATTGTTATTGTGAACTGGTTATTTTAATATATTTAATTCTTCTTATGTCTGCTTTCGTGATTCACTCTGCAATCATTACACAGTCGTTTATATTTAAAACAATCCGGATGTATGCAACTGTCTCTTTAATACATATATATATACATATGGGTAATGTCTTTCTAATGTAATTTACACTTCTCTTCCATTAATATAAATTTATTATAAAATTAACAAAAATAATACAATTGACATATATTCCATCAATCATTTACTAAGTTATAAGATTCAATTTTCTATTAAGAACAACTTTGCTACAACTTATTTTTTACTGCCAATTGTTTTATAAAAGAACAGTAACCTGGGCATTCCAATTCCTGTAATTTGTTCCATGTGCAAAATGACAAATTGCTTTTTAGTTTCTGTCTCTCCTATATTTATTCTATATTATCCATATATTTCTATTAGTCATCACTATTATGTAAATGCTTATTATTGACTTTTGATTTACTCATACTAGTCGAACAATTTCTAACAAAGAATAATTTCATATATTTATCCTTCGTGTCCAACACCTCCTTTTTCTTTCTTGCATCTGCTGATGTCGTAAAGTTGAATTAATGAGGATACTTATTCAATAACTCCTTAACTGCCACCTCTTATATTTGATTCAATTATCTTTAGGATTCTCTTGAAGCTTTTTAAACATCTTCTTTTGATTATGCCAATATTCTTATTTCAAAGAATTTGTTTATCTTAGATGAATTCATTAAAGTAATAGGATCTTTAGGAACCTTTTCAAAGAATTCATTAGGTTGCTTTTTTAATTTCTCCAATTTCTATAAAATTCGATCATCCCACATAGTATCAGTCGTTTATAATACTAGTTAATCCTGTTTCTCATTTCTTTATAAGTCCTATAAGAATTTTACTTCAGGTTTTTTTATGTTTCTTCTTATATGCTTATTGATCAATACTTTCTAGTTGCTAAAGGCTTCTAATTTATATCATCCTAACTTTGTGAATGCTTTTGCAAACCTGAAAGAATATGTTTGAATTCTATTCTCTGTAACGGAACTGGTATTCTTTAATTGTAATAATACATTACAATAATAAATTTTCTTATAATTATTATAATGTTCACACTCCTTTACAATAATTAGAATAAATTTTAATTAAATTAAACTTAATTCGCAACTCGATAAAACCATGCATGATCTCCAAATTATGGGCTATAATAAACAATGTTAATAGTTATATAGAATTATTTCTATTCATTTATTTCTAGTATGGATAAGAGATGGGTGGATTGTCAATAGCAGAGTATTGAGAATGCTTTGAATGCTTTGAATGCATCAGAAATTAACATTTCCAATAAAGGTGTCAATCATAAACTACCGATTTTTATTATGATAATCTGACGCTGATTTTGGAAATTAAATTAGCACATAAGATTTAGGTACTTCCAATTCATATGAGAGTAACTCTCAATATTATTCAATTAAAGCATGTGGATAAGAAAAGTGTGCAAGATTTAAGATTGAGAATCAACATGTAGAATTGCTATCAATTTAATTTACTATTTCAAGATGATCTAATTGAGTTTTTATTAAAATGAATATAGATCCAAACAATCTTACAATCTTATGAATAATTCACTTACATAGAAAAAGAGTCTAAGCAAAAGTGATAGTTGAAAATCAATAAAGTATGTTGTATTCATAGGAGATAAATTAAAAAATCAACTTAGAATTGGCTCTATAAGCATATAAAAATATAAAAACCTTAGAAAGTCCAAACTTATGAGTTCTAATTTATATATATAAATATTATTTCTAAATTATGAAGCAATTTCTATTTTCCCACTTAAATTTAACAATATATTAAATTATTTATGATGAAAACAACACAAACACCACTCAATAAAGAAGAATAAAGGCGCTTAAATCAGATAGTTCAATAACTACTAGACTCAAATGACAGTGTGGAATTCAGACAACCAGTAGATTACAAGGCATTAAATTTACATGACTATATTACTATTGTTAAAAAGCCAATGGATCTTGGGACTGTTTAAAGGAAATTAAATAGCAATACATACAAAACAGTGGAGGAATGTTTGGATGATATCCAATTAATTTGGGATAATTGCAAATTGTATAATGGTTCATAGAGCGTATATATTATTACAAATAATAAAGTGGATTACTAAGTTGGCAGAGAAATTAGAGAGATTGTTTAAGAAAAATGTTAGAAACTATTTACCTCTTGTGAATCTACCACAATTGGTGCCTAAATATAAAGATGCAGGAGCAGATGTATTCTAGGAGGAACCTTAGGATTAAGTGAGTTACAATGATAAAGTTGAATTTTCTAATAATCTCAAACAATTGGCAGCTGAATAAATTGGTCTGATAGTGCATATGATTTAGAATACATCTCCAAATGCATTCGTTGAAATAGAAGGAGAAAAATATTAAATCATAGTAGACTACATTGAATACGAAGCATTTGTTAAATGTTAAAAGTAAATACAAACCTGGATTGCTGGAGACACGATCAATAAGAAAGTGAAAATTTGACATAAATATATCTATATAATTAAATATTTAAAATGACATACATAACAACATATATTATCATTTCCAAATTACTAAGTTCCCACGAGTATCTGCAGAATACATTTATCCAGAAACAGGATGAAATGACACACTTAGAACAACTCCTTCATGTTAACCCTTTGTTAATTATTTGTGAAATCTACCATTAATATTCCAAGAAATCAGACTGCTATCAGCTAAGTTATATAAAATTAATGTCATTACAATTTCCAGCAATAATATACTTCTCATCTGGTCCAAATGTGATCATGTTATGATCATGACTATTCATGTACTTATCATGTTCATAAGTCTTCAATAATTTGTTCATTCTCAAATCATAAGACTTAATATAGTAACCTTCCTTCGAACAACACAACAATGTATGATTATCTTGCGATATGCATAAAGATGTGACTGAATCATCGAAAAAGGATTTCTCTTAAAAAATTGGTTTTGGATCACTTTTTAATGAATATCCTCTGATAGATCCATCCCTATGTCCTGAAATAATAACAGGTACATTATGTTCACTTATGATTGATAACACTTGACTCCCAGTTGACAGAGTTCTTGTGCAAAATGAATTATTAATATTCCATAACTTGATTTATCTGTCTTTAGACCCTGAAACACAAGAATCTTTGTCTCCACCCAAAAATGTTGAGCAAGTAACTTAATCAACGTGTCCACTACCTCTCATTTTTTATTTCCACTGCTACAGATAAAATAATTGACAGGAATTATCTGTTGAAGATACCAAAATACAATCTTAAGAAGGAGAGAACTCAACACTTGTAAAAACTTCATCAGAAGATGTCTAATATTATGAAACCTAAGTTAAATTAAATGGATCATATAATCTAATTATTCTATCTCCTCCACAAGTAGCAATTAAAGTTCCATTTAAATTTTAAGCAATCGCATAAATTTCTACATTGTGGAACTTGTTCAACCTCCTGACTACCATTTAAGGTATATCATCTAAGAATGCATTCTTTGCTAATTATTATTCTGTTGCCAAAGGAGCTAAAGTTTAAAATTTACCTTAAGTCTAAATATCTTTGTATTATTTATTAAATCTATCCTGATCCTGTTCTAATACTCTTTTTTATCTTTACACACTTTCATTCAATTCATTTATTTCATTCAATTATTCTAAGATCTTCATTTTCTCTCTCAACATCATCTCCTCTAATTAACTTCTCACAATTGTTAATTGCTCAATTTCTACAAGTAATTTATCTCTACTCTCAACTATTTCTCTTATATCTTTATTCTTTTGTTCTAGAATGTCTTCAAGTTTTAAAATCTTATTTTATGATTCCACTTTCTCCCCCTCTAGATTCTTTATGCACTATTATTATAATTCACTCTATTCCTTCAAGTGCCTTAATTACTTAGATGTTTCTTAAACTTCTGTGTATAAATCTCTATTTTATCTTTCTAACTCTTCATTCCTCATTTATAACTCAATCAACTCCTTTGGCTGCACTCCACATTCTTGCATTCCTTCAATTTTTACATACAACCTATTCTGCTCTTAATAAAATTCAATGGCTTTTTCATTCTGCTTATAATAATCTTCCATCAGTCTTTAAGTTATTGGCTTGCTAAACAATTATGACAACCGCTGAATATCTTCCGTTCTATATTATTCAATTAAGTCAATCATTTTTTAAAGATAATATTGAAAATTTATATTAATTTTATTATTAATTACAAAAATAATAATTTTCTCTCTTTTCACTTTTCTATTTATTTCATTTATACTCTAACATTTATTTTTCCTAATTTCTATTTTGTTCTAATTTTTGTTATTGCTATTCCTTTAATTGCTGTTTTTATTCAGACAGATTTGCTATTTATTTTTCGGTCTCTATTGTTTTTTAAAAATCACTTTCTAGTGAGGAAATCTCCTTCTTTAATTTTTCAGCATCTTTCTACAATTAAGTCAATCCATAGTTTTTATTTTTCATTTATGTAATTAAATTTGTATTTTTTTTTATTTCCGCTTACAGATTATCTAATTAGGACAACTGCTATTTAAGTTTTTCAATTTCCTACTATTATTCCTCAAATGATTTTTGGACATATGGTAATTGTTAACAAGAAACTTTGAGTGATTCTATAGTTTTTACGTTATTCTAAATTTCAACCTCCAAAAATTTATATTACTTTTGTTAACATTTTAGCTCTAATAATTCATCTCCTTATATCTTGATCTCATTCTCTAAAGCAGCATATATTGAGATCTCCTTTTTTAAATTATCAATTTGTATTTGTTATTTTAGTTTTTAATCTTATAAGTAATTAATGGTATATACAGATTATTCTAATTCGATAATGTTTTTATTACTCGTTTCAATCTCTTTCTGAAGTGACAAAGCTTACCGCTTTGCTTAATTTTCTTTTTTTAATAATTGTAACTCCTCTTCTAAAATCTTTGACTTCATAACTGCTTTCTGTCCTTCTTTTAACTGATTGACTTATTATTATAATTCTTAATATTCTTTTTATCTTCTATCTAAATTTTCGGTATTATTTTTAAGAATTTCAATTTCTTTATTTATTGTTTGTAAATTTTGATTTAGTACTGCCTATTCTGAATTCGAAATACATTTTTCCTCTATATCTAAACATCTTTTTTTTATTTCATCTAAACTCTATTAAACAGCAGGAGGCAATTCTTTTTGTTAAGGTTTTTGATTTTATTAGTTATTATCAAAACTAAGCACTGGTTCTAAGGAAGTAATATTGTTTTCGAATTAATTTTACAATTATTAGATTTTATCTTTTAAAGACACCAACAATTTTCTTGATTATTCTTTTTATTATAATAATTAGTTGATAGAATTCGGCTAATCTAAAGCTGTAATCATTGCATTAATTTATATAACTATTGATGATTACAATTAGGGTTATTAAATATCTTAATTAAATTATCTAAATTAATTTTAAGATTATTAAGCAATTGGATACTATTATTGTGCCACAAAATTCGGCTATGAAAATTTTTAAATGATAAAAGCTGAAGATTTTTTCGATAATTATTCCATAGCATCCTTTGGAGAAATCCTTAAATTCGGTTGTTGATAAAGCATTTTTTTCATTGTTTATTTCCATTCATCAGTTATTTATAAGTCATCTATTTTCTCTGAAATATAAGATTAATTTTCTTTCTGCTGCCTTAATTCCTCCAAATTTTTACCTAATTTAATATGAATAATTTTAATACCCTAAAATAGTGATGATCCTTTCATAATTTCATAAAAAATACAAGCCAATGACCAAACATCAGCTGCTGCAGTATATTCTTGATTATACGTTTCAGGTGGTTTAAATTTTTGATTAACTATTACATCCTCGATATCAAATCCTTTAAAATTGGTTCTTTTGTTTGCAAATCCAAAATTAACTAATTTAACTGATAGACCAATCATTAAATAGCAATCAAGTGAAATATCTTTATGAATCACATTCAATGAATGTAAGAATATAATTGATTATAACATCTAATAATTAATGTTAAATTTTACCTATTTACAGAACAATTATTTCTATTAAAATGTTATATTTTAATATTTCTTCTAGTAACTACTTAAATCATTTTATCCTACTTCCATTACTGTAACTAAATATTCAGAATAATCAAATTAATCATATATTCTAATAAAATTAGATTGATTATCATTTTAATTATTTTAGGTTTCAAACTTATTCTAATATTCGATTACTTTTTAGTATAACTATTTCATTTCATCTTTATATGATTATCGAAATTTTAAAGCCACTTTATTTTAAAACGTACCCCACTAAACAGGCTTTGCTAAGAATACTTAACTGTTCTTTCCCCTTCCCAAAACTCCTTCTATAATAAACTATCTCTTCGGATATAAACCTATAGGCGCATCTATTGTATTATTGATCTCTTATTTTGGCTAATTCTATTATAACATTTTTTAATTTATTTACAAAATTTATGAAAACACATGTGCATTTCAAAGAACTTTTAAATAAAATATAGAAAATTTTTGTTACTAATTTCAGATTCAATGTTTATTGTAATAAATAAAATAAAAGAAACATTTAAATTCTGAAGTATTATAAGAGATATAGAGAATAATAATAAACTTTTAGAACGAGGAAAGAAAACTTTTAGTACACTCATAGAAAGAAATCTAAAAAAAGATAACTTTCGATTTTAGTAATTTCATTTTTTAGACAGAATTTATAATAATTGGTTTAAAAGAAGGGATAACAAACTCCAGTATCTTGCGTCATGGATGCAGTTTCATCTCAGCATAGAGTTACAATAATTACCATAACAAATTATTGTTATCGAATTCTCTTTCTAATATATCGCATTAGCAAGCATTTTAAAAAGATTTGAAGTTGAATTTAATTAGATAATCCAATTAAGTCAAAAGAGAATTTTTTCCTATTTTATTAAAAGTCAAGAAAGACTTAGCTTAGAAAAGGTAAATCAGGATATTGGTTATAGTTTAGATGAGTTAATAATACAATATAAATCATTTTTCAAATTATCCATCAATAGAACGACTTAACTCTGTAATCAGCAAAATAACAATGAACAAAAATTCTTAACTTTGCTAGTCGAGAAAATAATGCAACATCATTACTAGAGATAATTTAGTTCTTTTTAACAATTAATCTCCAAATGGTTATTACCAATCTTCTATTTTCCTTTCAAATAGTAATAAAACTGTAATTTTCTCTCTGTAATAAATCAAGATCAATAGCTGGATCTTTATTACATAAATGAGGGTTTTTATTACAAATAAAATTATATATTATCTTCACTAAGTCAATGTTTGGAATAATATGGTGTTAATTTCAATTGTAAAAGCAATTTAGAACTGTTTCAATAGGAAACAAATATGAGATTTGAATTTACTGTATTCTTATATAATTGGGTTATCTTAACAGAATATTAATTAAAATTTCAAATTTATGATCCCTTATCCTCCTTTTATTCAACCAACTCTCAAGTCAGCAAATCAGAGCAGCGGATTTAAAGAGGGCGAAGAGAAATTTCAACATTCCACACCGAAATACGTGTTAAAAGTTCCGATTCCATCACTAGCAACATTACAATAAGCACCTTAATCAGATAACAAAAGTAAATCGGGACATAAGGAGAATAATTTCAGTGCTATGACATTCGATTAGAAGTATTAATTGACAATTCAAAAAGAAAATGGAATCCAGATAGCCAAGGCTCTGATAATAAGTGTGTGTTATCTTAATCAGCCAAAAAAATCAACACTGAAAATGATGATGGCTCAAGCATTGTTGAGAAGTCTTTTACAGAAGCAGCCTAAAAGATATTGAAGATAAAAAATCTTGAATTAGAGAATAAGGTTTCATTGCTTGTAATTGAAAATGAGCGTCTAACAACATTCCTCAATGATTAATTTCAAGAGAATGAAAAATTAACAAATGATCTACAAAACTATTAAGCAAGTCTATAGGATTTATCCAAGAATTATGAAGATAAATTGAATATAGTCTTGTTGGAAAATGAGAAGATTGTAGCCATCAATCAAACTTTGACAATGAGAAATGAACAGATGCAAAATTAAATAAAAAGACTGTAGAGTGAGAAAGATGAGGAAATCAATAAAACTAGGAAAGAATGGGCAGGGAAATATCAATAATAAATTAATCAAATTGATGAAATGAGAAAAAGTGAAATACATTAAGTTGATAATAGAATTGATAAGTTACAATTTGAAAAGTCAGAATTGCAAACTTTAATTTAGGAGTAACAACAGAAGTTGATGGAGTTTTAAATTGAACTCAAAGTTAGAGATTCAACTTTGATTGAATATGAAAATGTGAAAGCAGATTTGGCATCTAAAATCCACAGAATAGAAATGATGAGTTAAACTATATTAGCTTAAGAGAAGAGAATAAATGATTTAGAAGTTAGATTAGATATAATGGTGGCAGATAATAAATAATTGCATGACGTTAATGAATAATTAAATTAAACATAAAGAATATTATAAGGGACAATGGAAGATAGATAAATCGAATTTGATAGGGAATCTCATAAACTAAAAGATTTCTATGAACTGGAATTAAGAAATTTGAGTAACAAGAATAAATAGTAAATTGAAGAGATCAAACTAAAGCATTAAGAATAATTATAGGGACAAAGAGTAGAAATAGAAAATGAATTGATTAAAGAATTAGAATAATACAAGATGGAATTGGAGACGAAACAAAATGAATTAAATAATAATTTATTAATTTGGTAGGAGAAAGAAAGGAATATCATTTAGGAGAATAAGAAGGAAATAGAAATAAAAGATTAAATGATATCTACATTAAAATTCTCGAATTAAAGCTTACAAGAATAGATGAATCAATTATAAGCATTAATCAATAAGTAAGATATTCATATTTATAAGAATGTAAGAAGATTTTGATAGTCAATATAGTTAGAAAGAGACGGAATGTGTTAAGATGGCTAAAAATATTCATCTTAAGGAGTAGGCATTGAAATAGATGGGTTTAAGATTAGATGAAATTTGTAAGTAAGTGAAGATATTGGAAGAATAAAGAGATGAATTGAGTTAAGAAATGAAAGATAAGAATGATAAGGTTAAGGATCTTGAAATGAAATTAGATATTGTTGTGAAAGATAATGACACTTTGGAAAATCAATTGAAGAATAATTAAACTTAAGTACGTTTTTAATTTGATTTAGTTACAATTATCGGAATAGAGATATGCTAATTTAGAGTAGACAAGTGAATAAAAGATAGAAGATATGAAAATATAATATTCATTAGAAGTTCAAGCATAGATTGAATAATGCATCACTTAATATTAATAAACTATTAAATATGAGTAGGATCACTCTGAATAATTAATGAAGAATTTAAAGAAATAGTAAGAAAAAGCTAAACACTTTGAATTGTTGAGTGAGTAATAATTAAATGATATGGAGAAATTGAATAAAAGAATAGAGGAATTGATAGATGTTTGTGAATAAAATGGATCTAAAATGATGATATTAGAAAATCTACTTAAAGAGAGAGATAATGATTATGAAGCCTTAAATCAAAAATTGTTATCAATAACAGAAAACTATGAATTGTAACATATATCATAATTCTTAGGTAAATAGATGTTTTGAAGAAATAGATGTATGATATGGGTATTCAAAATGAAGATTTGGCTTCTAATTTGAATGAAACATAGGAAGCTTTCATAAGTATTATTGCTTATTGAATTTTAGAGTAAGATGAGTAAAGAAAGAAAACCATGAATGATTTGGCAGAGGTGACAAAACAGAAGATTGATTAAGATTAGTTAATAAAGAAGATGAGAATTCAAGTCTAGGGTTTAGATGAGGAGAATAGAAAGAATTCGGAAGATTCCATCAAATTTAAAAATTAAGTTTATTAGTTATAGTAGGAAATTGAGGAAATTACTCGAAGTTTGTAAATGAATTTTGCAGATAAAGAATAGGAATTACAAAATAAATATGAGAATACAATCATGGATTTATCATAATAGTTGAATACTTTAACAATCAAATTTAATGATTTGGTAAGAAAGGAAAAAGACAATAGATTTAGACTAAAATTATTGAAAAGTAATCCTTAGATGAAATTACCATCAGAATTAGAGGATGAGAATTGTTATGAGACAATGAAGAGGAAGATGGAAGATTAATCATAATATCTTTAGAGATTAATTTTGGAAAACGATGAATTAAAACAATAACAATATTCTCATATTACTAAGGGCTCATTAAATGATTAATAAAAGTAAAAATCTCAAAGATAGAGCATGAATATCATTAAGGATTATACTACTTAAGATACAGATCGAACTATTAGGCAAAACGAGCATCAGAAGAGCATGAATCCTTTTAAATAGCAGCCAGTAAAAGTTTTGCCAGTTATTATATTTAATATTATTTAGGTTATGAATAATTCTCAGAATATTCTTGATCAGAAGTATGCTAGCAATAGGCCAATCGAAAGAGACGTCTACTTAGGGCAAACACAAAATACAAAAACGGACCCTCATTTGTATAGGAAATAGTCATTATAACGATTTTGAATATGAATATTATAAATATCGTTAAGATCCTCTGCTTATTATTCATTTTAGTAAATATGGGTATGTTAATAGTAAATGATAGTCATTCAATTTTTTCATTAATTCGAAATCGCACCTTCTTATAACCCTCATATAATTTAAAAGTGTAATCGGAAGCTAACTCACAAGAGCTTTTCGTAGGTGAGAGACTCTTGGTTGATTGTTCAATCAGAGGACAGGTTCTTCTATTGGAAGGCTGCTCATTTTATAGGATATTAAGAGATTGAACTACTTAAATTGGTTATAATGAGGAAGTGTGATTAGTTGATTTATTACCCTGATCAGACATGTTTGATTCAGAAATTAGTTGAAATGGAACTAATTTCAAGGTCTTTAAATTTTTGTTCTAATTTATCTAGCTTTTGGTTTTTGGAGAAAAAGTAACGAGTTCTCTGTACTTATTGTGAAGGGTTTCAAAGTCTTCCTCATCTTATATAGCATGTAAGTTTGAATCCATAGATCAGTAACAATCTTTATATCTGTGCAATTAATCTTAAATTATTTATAATCAAATGATATTTCAACGAATATAAATCTCGTATTAATAATTTTAGTCAAACTCATCTAATTATAATTTTGATTATCTATTATTAGTTAATATATAAATGGAGATATTTAAAATAAAGATGATTGTATAAATTATTATTTATTTCTTAATAAATTAATACAAATGGTGGATGCTAAGCAATTGATGCTCATGAAGCGATTTTTGGAGAGCTATCAAGATAGAATCAAAATATTTTTAATTGATTTACAAGAATAGATTCATATGTAAACTACTCTACTTCAAGTTACCTAATATAGGTAGCGAAACTAAAATAGAAATAAAATTTATTTAAGAATTGAAATCCAATATATCTATAGGATTCATTGCAAATCATGGATTAATTAAACTAAAGAATTGTTCTTATCTGTTATTGGTTACAGAAGGCAACATGATAAGATAACTATTGCAAAGGACAATAATATAAGTTGAATAAATAAGTTTCTTACCTTTGGTTCCGAATGGAAGATTAAATGAGTAATTCTATTAACCTATGTATTGTAGTATTCATGCAGATGATTAGTCTTATTTCTAAATGCTAAAGTGTGTGTCTTCAACAAGAACATTATATTTTAGTTATGAGTATGATTTGTCTAATCTCTTTGATAAGGTAATGGGTAATTACTCTCAATTTGGTACTTAACAAAAGACAAGTGAAGGACTCTACTATTATAAGATTCCAAATCCTAGATTTGCATACAATTGGGAACATATCAAATTTTTGAATCAATTTTAAAGTACAAATCTACCAGCCTTACAATATTGGTAAACCATATACATAAGAGGATGTGTTTTGATTAGATATTGCAAACTCAATCAATAGTCTGATTGCTTTCTAAATATGATGAGCAGAAGAGAGACTCTCAGTTCAGGAAGAAGATTTATGTAAAGAGGGTGTGATTAAGATGGGAATTGCACTAATTTTGCAGAAAATGAATAAATATTGATACTCAATAGATCAGAGTCTAGAGATATATATTCGTTTGTTTAGACTAGAGGATCTATGTCATTTAATTGGTAATAATAACAAACATTGAATTGGGTACCCAAAACATCAATCATAGGAGTAGTTAAATAAAAGAGATTTAGATCAGAGCATAAAAGGTAACTATAACAATTATAAATAATTCTTAATTTAATTGATAAAAAGGGCACATAAAAAATGTTAGGAGAATATTTTACAAGTATGATGAGCAGTGTTAAAACAGTAAAATCTAAATATGTTTGGTTTGACTTTCATCATGAATGTAGAAATATGAAGTATGAGAATCTCTCTAAATTATTAATTGAAATAAAGGAAGATCTAAAATAATCAGGATATTTTCATGCTGAAATTGACAAAATTAATTAAAATCTTCATTTGCCAATTCTTCTTTAATGAAACTATTTATTTTTGGAATAAGTCTCTTACTTCCAAGCAAGATATTACTAAAAACCCATTATTTGTTTATATCGAAACCAATAAGGGATCAAAATTGATTATCTAATATATAAGCATATATCTATAAATAATCATGCTTTGCAAGGCATATCCAATCTCTAATAATAGGCATTCAAAGACCCAACATAAGTGAATAAGATTGCAATCACTACACTAATATGCCAAATTTGATGACTCTGTCCACAATTATCGAATTTCCCTGGGATTTACTTCTCTGGAAATCTAATATTATAGATATACAATCCAGATCTAGATATAAATAAATTCGATACAAATATGAGATGGCCATAGCAGCATAATAAGGTAATTATGATTAAAAACTATATCCTTCTAAACAAGTATCACCGATTGCAAAATGAATGAGTGGGATGGCACTTGTAAATCCAAGTCCTGCAAATAATTTGTTTTTTAAGGATCTCCATTCTTAAGTGTAGAAAAAATCAAATAGACAAAAACTAAAGAGAATGATAGCAAAAAAGCCTTATAAACTGGCATATATGATTGCATATTTTAGATTGCATTAGAATCCATAAAATAATGGAGCAAATGTCGAACCTGAAACAAGAAAACATATACCAGCATAATCTAATCGAATGAGCACTTTGTTGACATTTTCTGAGAGACAATAAAATAGATGGTAAGTAGTACTACATCCTAAACAAATGATGGCAGACACTAGAAATGCGATCAAGGGCCATCTGGATATCATTTTATGTAATTTCTCTTCATCTATGGTTTGTCTTCCTGTGAGATGCTGAAATTCTAAATATAAATCAATCCAATCAAAATCTTTGGATTCAACAATTTCTGTGGCTTTCTGCTTATAATCTTAAATGATTTCTGAGATATTATAATTCCATTTCAAGTTTTCCCAATCAAAGGCTTCAGCAATATTTTTTTGAATTTTTGAAAATTCGTAATCATATTGATGAGCCACTTCATTGAAGAACTTGTTGACAGTATCAATCTTTTCATGTAATTGTATCTGCATCAATTAAATATCATCCTAAAAATTGTGAAGTCCATTTTCTAATTATTCTTAGATTTATTATTCCAGAGTGAAAGCATGCTCATAGATGTTGTGTAATGATTCTACATAAATGGTAGTTTCATGTACCATTAAATGTCTGGATTGCTCTATGACGAAAGAGATCATCATAATTTAACCATAGGTAAAATATTAGTGAGACTATGATGATAGCACCTATCAGATGTGTCCAAATATTGACCAATTCATTGTGCCACATAAACATGCTCTTTATAACGTCCTTCTTGTTTTTGAAGTTAATTCTGTAGCCATGTTTAATATATTGATCTTTTAAGTAACCGGGAGCTTTACAAATGGGACCACTATTTTATATTGAAAACATATACATAATTCTTTCATGGATGATATTCTCTTTAATATCCTTGGTTTCTGGTTTGTTATCCTAAGGAACTCTTTTTGATATATTGCCTTGGCTCATTATAATTTATTAGATGTTATTTTATAAACTATCGTCATCAATAAATTAATGAGAATATTTGAGAAATTCTTATATAAAATTAGTATTGCTCTAAATTCATGATATTTTTGACTATCTGAAGAGGCTACTAGTCCAAAAGGTTTGATTACGTGAACAATGATGAATTTAATATGTATTTATTAAATAAAAAATGTTCGAATTGTGGAAGAACTCTGACGTAATCGTAAATAGTATTTAATCAAAACTACTTTAGTAAATGAAATAATAATATACATATGGAAAAGCAATTATTAGCTTTGCTCACTGTAACACTGTTAACATCAGCAGCCTATTTCATGAACGGCAAAGATGAGAGTCTTACACTTGAAGGATAATTCTCATCTTGGAAATAATAGCATGGAAAAAGATACTCAGACTACGAAGAAATCCATAGATTCTCAGTGTTTGCTTCAAATTTAGCTCAAGTTATGGAACACAATTAAAGATTCGAACTTGGATAAGAAACCTTCACTTTGGGAATGAACTAATTTGCAGACCTTACCCCTGAAGAATTCCAAGCCTCATACTTGACACTTAAACCCAGAGCTCCAGAAAGAAAGAATATCAAGAGCGTATCTGGATTAAGATTCCCAGATACAGTTGATTGGAAAGATGGATTGACAGTCAAAAATCAAGGTAGTTGTGGTTCTTGCTGGGCCTTCTCTGCTGCTGCTGCCCTTGAAGCTGGTTTCCATCATCACAAAAAGAATAAGGTTAACATTTCTGAATAAGAATTTGTTGATTGCGCCACAGCCAAACTTGGATATGAAAGCGAAGGATGCAATGGTGGTTGGATGGATGATGCCTTTGATTACACTCTTAATTATGGTGTTACCACTGAAGAAGAATATCCTTACAAGGGAGTCGATTAACCATGCCCATCAGAATTCAAAAAGAAGTACTTCATTGATGCATTTGTTGATGTTGAACCATTGAGCTCTGACGCTCTTCATGAGGCCATCGCCAAAACTCCAGTCTCGTAATATAATTTTCTATATTATTTAGTGTCGCTATCAAAGCCGATGGAATCTTATTCCAACTTTACAGCAGTGGTATCTATTCCAGAACTTGCACTGCCAAAACTATTGACGACTTGAACCACGGTGTTTTGGCTGTTGGTTATGCCAAAGATTCTTACACTATCAAGAACTCTTGGGGAGCCAGTTGGGGAGAAAAGGGTTACATGAGATTAGCTCTTATCGCTGCCAAAGAAGGACAATGTGGTATTCATTGGGTTCCATCATATCCAGTCCTTTGATATTAATCATATAATGTTTAATTAAATATTCAAATTTTAAATTATGAAAATTTATAATTAGAATAACTTTGAATCAAATTCAGATATTGATAATCTATAATTTAATTTTCAATTGTTAATATATTGATTTACTAAAATTTAACAATCTAAGAATTCATCATTCAACATTTTAATAATTTATTTGGATGTATTTCTTGATTGAGAGTAGTTGATGAAAACAGATCTAAGATAATAGTCAAATTATCAAAATAATCAAGTTATATGAATATTAATATTAATATTGATCTAAATTAAAGAGTACTCAAAACTTAGGCATTGATATTTTTATTTTTGTAGAAACTCCTTCCATATCTCTTTTGAAAATGCCTGGTTTAATGTCTCTACTTTCTTTGCCAATAGAAAAACATGGCTTAGTAACACAATTAGACTTGATTTGTACTCCAATCGATCCCCTAATTCTTAGATTTTACAGAATACTTAGTGTAATAAGTTTAATTTCTTTCAACACTCTTGATAGCTTTCATCTTTTCCCCTTTTGTGAATCCAATACTAGGATAGCTTTCATGAGTTATATCCAATGATTTGTTTACGTCATAAGCTCCTGGACCAATTAAATCAGGTGTCGAACCTTAGAATGATTTAGAAATAGGTCTTTTTGGAACTACTGAATATTGAGGTCCTGTTTTTTTAATGAGATTATCATATTGATCAGGACCAGGGATTTAGTTTTTATAATCAGTTTTGAAACGTTAGGCAAGACCTATCTTTACAATTGTTGAGTTCATTTTCCTAAAGTCATTAGCCTTATGAGGTTCGAACTACACAGCATAGTATGTAAATAATTACATCACTATCTTGTCTTGTATAATAATCATACTATGTCTAATTAAGAAAGTTTCTTTTAGCGGTTCCTATTTTGACAGTTGCATTTCGAGCTAATAACTCTTTAATATAATTGGAAGAATTATAACAGGGTCCTGGACTGCTTTTTCCTTTATGAAGTAATTTTTTATCTCGGTAAATGGATTATGCTTAATATCTAGTGGATGATCCAAAACCATAAGCAGGTGCAGTCTGTTTCATCGAATCTAGCACTAGACATACATAAGTTATTTAGATTTACTCTTTCCAACTGATGAATAACGCTTGTGATTTTCAAATTCAATTAGATCATTTGGTGTGTACAATTTGGAATTACTCATGATTAAAAAAATAACATTTATAATTGAAGAGAATAATAAATATTGTGAATGATTCATCCAGGATTATCCGTTGTTGATTATCAATAATTCTATGAATGTATATTGATAACCAATAAATATAATAGAATACTCATTATATTAGAATGCATATGATTTTCCCATGTAACCTCAATATCATTACACTCCATCATCACCTATGAATTATGATTCTGAATTCAACGAGGATCTTTATAGGAAGAACAATAATAGAAAGATCAAGTAAGTATTTCATAAAAAATAGAAACAAATAGCCGAAGGAATTATTGCCAAAAACTAAAAATCAGGTTGAAGAACCCATCGGATAAAAAGAGGAGATGTAAACATTTTATATTCATCTTATTAGCCATTAATAAATCATACAACCTTAATATTAAATTGTGGATATTTCATAGGGAGCTCTTCTTCCTAAATTATAATCTCATTTAGCAACAGAGGGACATATGAGTAACTCTAAATAACACATTAAATCAATCAAATTAACCAAAAAATAAAAATTGGAGAATATTAATACAGGACATTGGTCTGCCATCGAACATACGACTTATGTTAATTTCTTGTCACAATATGAAAATATTATGAACTCATCTATGATGAAAAAGACTTCGAAAATATTTAAATAAATGAGTGAATTAATAGGCACTCGAACACCTAGTCAATGCAGAAGTCATCATTAGAAATTCAACCCTTATGCATTAAGAGGAGACAATGGAAAAAGATTGCCAAGGTCTCAAAGAAGTAGAGCAGGCAGAAAAAAGAAATTGCTATTAAATAATACTCTATAATCTAGTATATACACTTTCTATTTATCATAGACCAATTAATGGATAGCAATTTGCATAATTTTATGTATGATAAATAAAATTACTACAATCCATTCATAATTGATTATTAATTTAATGAATAAGAAAATTATATTAAAAATTAAAATTAATTGATTCAAACATAAATTGAATATGAGGATTATTTAAAGCTTAGACAGGATTATTAAAATTATTTAGAATATTGATTGTGCATATATCTGTATAATTATTTTATTTACCTAATTAAATATAATCAAATTAGTTACATAATTGTGAGAACTTTTATTATTAAATTAATTTATTTCTATATTTGAAATCTCTATGAAGTAGGCTTTATGATTCTTCTTTAAATTATGAATGAGTTCTAATATACTAAAACTTTGAATTTCGTAGTCAATGAATAATGGAAAAAATTCAATTCTATAAACACATAAAGCAACTACCAGAGGATGATTTCATTAAAAAATACAAGCTTAGATAAAGAAATTTAATTGATAACTTTATGAATTTAGTAATTTTGGTTGATAAAATGAAGATTATCAACAAGATTGTGTTGAATAAGAAATTAAATTTTATATTATGAATTCATTTTTAAAAGAATTAAGCATACTAATAATTTTACTTTGATGTTATTCTCTATTTCTAATTAAATATAAACAGATTTCCATTTAATTTTGAAAATAGGTTCTAATTATGCACTGAATGAAAAGACTTTATGGAATAAAATATCATTATGATGACATATGTAATAATATTAGAATCTTGAAACATAAATCAGTTCTATAAGAATTATTATTTAAATATAAAAATCATTAAATCTGCATTAAAAATATCTTAATATAAATGAAATTCGTATTTTATTTGTGTATATTTTTAGTAGTGTGCAAAGGAGGTAGGGTGAACAAGAAATTAAATGCTTCAGTCGATGATATAGTTAAAAGCATGACTTTAGCATAAAAGATTGGTTAAACAACTTAAGTTGATTTTATTTATTTGAATGATGCTGAAGGAAAAACATAATATGATAAAATTAAAGAGTGGAATCTTGGATCTGTATTAGTGGGAGGTAATGGATGCCCTGATGATGAGGGCAATATATCCTCATCAGGAACTTGTATGGAGGCAAACAATGTAATATGGAAAAAAGTTGCAGACTTGGCACTAGCCTAAGGAGTGTCAGTCACAGTTGATATTAGTGAAACAGAATCAGAAACAGTTGTAATATAACCATTACTTGGTACAGATGCTATCCGTGGAAATCAACATTCTGTTGGGGAGATACTCTTTCCTCATAATATTGGTCTGGCTGCTTCAAACAACGTGGAAAACTTTAGAAATTCAGCTAAATGGATGAGAGATAGCGTGATTGAGAGTGGATTTAATTTTGTATTTACACCCACAGTAGCTGTATCTCATAATCCACAATGGGGTAGATTCTATGAGACTTTGGGAGAGGACACAACTAAAGTGAAAGAATACTCCAAAGCTTTCGTTGAAGTAGCCTAAGATATTCAAGAAGACTAGATACTAGGAGTTCTAACCTCAGTTAAACATTTCATAGGAGATGGAGCTACAATAAATGGATATGAAGAAGGTGATTCTATTGTAGATGAAGAGTCTATGGATCTCTTTGTATAGGATAATATCAAAGGGTATGAGGGAGCTGTTGAGGCATAGACAGGTAATGTAATGGTCAGTTATGATGCAATCAATGGTGTGGCTATGAGTGTTCATCCATTTGTTAATGAGAAATTGAAAGCAGCAACAGAAGATGGTGGATTAGGATTCGAAGGATTTGTTATTAGTGATTATAATTCAGTTATCAAGACAGCTTAGGTAGATTTACCAAGAAATTCTTAAAAAATGCCATTGAATTAGGCATATGCTGAATCCTTTAATGTAGGAGTTGATATGTAAATGATTTCTGACAAAGTTGAAGACTACCAGGCTATGATTACTAGTTTAGTGAATGAAAATGATCCACAAAAACCAAAAATAGATGTAGCAAGATTAGACGATGCAGTTAAGAGAATATTAACAATCAAAAATAAAATGGGATTAATTTAATCAACTCCCAACGAATAAGATTTAAAAGAAAATAAGAAAATAGGAATAGTGAAGGATAAAGAATAAGAATATCAAGATGCTTTATAAGCTGCTCTTGAATCATTAGTATTGTTGAAAAATGATGCAAATGCACTTCCAGCTAACAAAAATACAATTAAACATGTTATTTTATTGGGTGATAGATATGTACCAATTGGAAATGGAGAATATAAATTATTTTCAGATTATGACAATATTGGAGCTTAAAATGGAGGATGGACAATCAGATGGTAAGGGTATAATGGTAATGATTATTGGACTGGGGATTTGAAGGTTCAATCAAAAGCTTCATCAATCTTAGATGCCATAAAAACAAGATTCTAAGATGCAGAAATTCATCATCCAAAATACACAGATCCATCCGATTTGAATGCCATTCTTGCAGACAGAAATACTTTTAGAAACCAATTAAATACAATGAAGGATTAATTCACATCAGCAAACACAATAGTCATCAATGTATTAGCAGAAAATCCATATGCTGAATATATGGGTGATATTAACTGCAAATATTGTTAAGGTGAAGACAGGACAGGTTGCTTATATGATATGCATGATAATGTTTATTTAACCAAATCATAACCTACAAGATTAGAAATCAAAACAGGAGCATATGAAAAATAAGTATAAATATATTTAAAATATTTAGATAATTACCAATATCCTTTAAGGTAAAAGTATAGTTGTTTCTGTATTAATCAGTGGCAGACCAATGCTAATAGATGACCCTTTAGCAATTAGCAATAGTTTTATAGCAGCATGGCTCCCTGGAACAACTGGTGGTGAAGCCATTGTAAAGTCCATTTTTGGAGAATATGGATTTGGAGGAGTAGATAATAAAAACAATAAGTTACCATCTCCTTGGTTTTCTACTTTAGACTCTATTAAAGATTATCCAAAATATGTTTCAAATACTCAACCTATAATTAACAATCCAAAGTTTGCTACTGGTTTTGGGCTCTAGACAGCTGTAATCAATAATCCAATTCTAGAATGAACATCATATATATTAATTATCTATTAATATATTCATTAAAATTCTGTTATTCAATCTTTGTAATTAGCTAAAGATTCTGATAAAGAATGTGATATAGAGAATCAAATTTAAGAGATAGATGTGTTTTAAAATAGTCATTTTATTATCTCCATTAGTTCCATAATTTTGGTAATTCTATCATATTATAAAAAACTCTGAGATTTTCATGTGAAATATTATTTACAAATAATATGTCTAAATTTGAGGAGTTCTTTCCTAATGATTATATCCATCTTCTATTAGCTGCTTTTTGTGCAGATGAAACAGGGAAGAAAGGGGGAAAATGCCCTTTATAAAAAAATTAGGCTGTAAAGTTTAAATAAGAGACTGGCATCTATAAATTTATGAAAACAGAAAAGAATGTGGATTTGAATAAATATTTATAATAATGGATTATATCTGAAATTTTTGATGATGATTAGACAGGTTATTTAGGCTTATTATTAGAAAATTAAAAAAATAAATAATTAGTATTATCACATAGATCCACTAATTTTTAATTATCTCTCAATTCAAACATTTTCAAAGAATCAGGTTTATAATGTGATATTATGTCAGTTGTATTAGGCACTTTTACAAATCACTAATAATAAGCATATTAGTCAACTCAAAAAGCTGTCGAAAAAGCTAAGTAATTAAACTATTCGTTATCATTTTGTGGTCATTCTTTAGGAGCCTGGTTAGCCGAATTAAGTGTCTATTATTGTCATTCAAAATTTAATGAACCTTTTCCAAATACTAAAGCAGTGACTTTTGATGGACCAGGCAGTTTTGAAATGATGTAGCTTATGGATCAAAACAATGTAAAAGGTTAATCTTAGTAATTCTATCCAGAATAACTTGATATTGTGTATTATTTATCCATTCCAAATATGGTTAATTGTATGAATTCTCATATTGGAATTGGATATAGATTATACAAAGAGAATTATTATAAGCTATAGCTTCCTATATTAAAATCCTTTTAGTCATATTTAGATGCATTCTTATCAATATAAGGACATCAACTTGAAATGATTATTCCTTTATTTGATCCATAAACTGGTAAACCAAAACAGGAGACATACTTTAAAATTATAAAATGGCCATCAATTAAGTATTAACAAAGTAATTAAGGAAATATGAGAAATTTGAGTGAAATGCTTCGTATATTTTCAAATATATGTTGTCCTGAAATCCTATTGAAACTCATTTTCCGAATTGGAGTTAAGTTATCTTGTTACATAACATGTTGTTCAACCATTATTGGATTTGTAGAACTACTTCAAGGAAATATTGATCTAAATCAATATTTTTAAGTTCATGAAATATTATTAAAAACAAAGAAATATGACCCTTAGGTGAAAAATGAGGAAGAATTTGATTTAGAAATAAAGGGAGGTTACTAGATTATTACACCTAATGACTATGAAAAAGCAATAAAAAATTCAAAATAAATTGATAGTATTGACGAGCATCTTATTAATTTAAAGAAAAATTCTAATCAAATTGTCGCTTCATCATGTAGTAGAGAATTGAAATAAATTTTAATATCGATTTCAAATGTTTATTAATATAGAAAGCAAGTTTTTAACTAATGCATTGAAATTAAGCCTGAATTTAGAGATAAAATAACTATTAATTTATTAAGAGATTAAATAAGAATGATAACACGAGATAGAATACAAGATTTTGAAGTCTTTTTGAATGAGGATCCTAACTATACTAATAAAATATTACCATGCTTTTTCAATAGAATATTTGTTTACCAAGAACGATGGATTTAGAGAGAAGAATTAAAAGAGATTGAAAACCTATTTTCTTAATAAAATGTTGTAGTAATAACTGGACCTTCTAAATTTGGAAAGACCGCATTAGCATATTAATATGCAAAAAAAATAAAAGATTAATGTAAGGCAATTGTGTTTCCATTTAATGCTGAAAACAAATCAACTTTGCGTGAGGATCTTCTGTATTATCATCGTTATTTCATCAAGTACCTAATGAAACCTATTCATATGAATAATTATTGAATGATATTTTTGCTGATATGTAAAATATCAATTAAGAAATAATTATCATATTAGATAATTTATAAAATCTTGAATTAAGTTAAGCCTTCATTGCTTAATGGAAATAATACTTCCAAATAATAATAACAACTGTCAATAATCAAATATTTAGTTAAACTCAATATTAGATTGTCAAAATTTCAGCAATGACTGAATAAGAATGTCTCAAATATATTGATAAAGCCATTCCTTAGAAAAAATTGGATGATCAATAAAAGAAGATGTTAATTAATCTATCTAATTGCATTCCTTTCCGTCTTGATCTCTATATTGATCTATTAATCGATCCCAAGAATTGTTTGTAAACAAATGACGAAAGATTGAAATATATAAAATAGAACAATGATTGTAAGTATTTGATATAACAAATTAAAGATGAATATTCTAAGAAAATAATGAATTATATCTCATGGTTAAATCCAAGTAACATTGAATAACGATTAATATAATAATTATTGTCAAATCATGAATCCCCTAAGGAAAATGAAATAAATCAGAGTTTAATAAAACTTGCAGAGCAAGGATTCATTAGTATCCTGGAAAATAGATGTATCATGATAGACAAGGTTGTTCAATCGGAATTTAGAAGACAATAGTAAACTTCACAATTAATATAAGAAATCTTATTGTTTTTTTACAAAGAGTTGCCCAATATAGAATATGAAAAACATAACTCACAAGATATTTAAAAAGCACGCATTTATCATCTTCATGCAAAATACATGATAACACTTATTGCAAAAAAATAATCTTTTAGTTAATTCTTATAAAATAATAATTTAGATCTATTTAACTATGCAACTATTATTACTTTAAAATTAAGTATTATTTATTAGTTTATAATCAGAGATTATTAGTCCTGCCAATATTATTTGGACCTTTTTTGTGATTAATATTTTCAAGCAATGAAAATGAAACAACCATTTAATCTCGAAGCACTCACTATCGCAATTATCAACAAAACGAAATTATTTTTGACAATTAATAAAAAGAAAGAAGCCCTTGAAAATGCTTAGTTATTTTAAATTATTGAAAACGAATTTATTAATATACTTCCTTCTATCAAAGCATAAATTTATTATTCGATTGCAATTGTATATTAGTAATATTAATTATATGATTACTCTAATAATCAATTAGAAATCTCAAGTAAATTATGTTGTTCAAAGCAAGGAGAAGAAGATCTAATGAGTCAAAAAATATTAATGGCATAAGCAGAGAATTATTAATTCTAAAAATAATATAATGAAGCTGTCAAATTATATAAATAACTCAGCTAAAATTTGAAAATATTAAAAGATAAAAATAATCTGATAGATGTTGACATACTCTAAGCCAAATTATATTTTTAATTAGGGAGAATATCTAGCAAAAAAAAATAAAATCCTGAAAGAACAATAGATTATTTCAACTTAGCTATAACAATTTTGGCTGAGAAATCTAAAAATAAAGAGTCTCTTGAGATGGCAGAATTATATTTTAACCTTGGATTAGTATAAAAAAAAATGAAGATATATAAAGAATCTTTGCGTGCACTTCAGGATGCATATTAACTAAAAAGAAAAATTATTGGTGATATTTAACATGATACATTTGCTGAAATTTCTTATTAAATAGGGCTTTTAATGATTGAAACTAATTAAATAGATGAAGCAATACTTGAGTTTTAAAAAGCAAAAACTCTTATGGATAGCTCAGATAATTATAAGTTAAAATTCAAAATTGATTTCTAAGTAGCATTAATATAAAAATTGAATGGCTAAAAGTTTTACTACATCAAATTTTTAGAAGAATTGATAAATAAAAAGAGGCTTCATTATGCATATATTAATACTTCAATTAAGAAGGATATATAGTAATTGGCTGATGCATATGCTGAATTGTTTAAGGATGATGCAAAATAAACAATATTATATTAGTTGCTTTACTTCATTACGATTTTACACGAAACTAAATTTTAATATTACCAACAAAAAAATCCAATAGCTGATTAATAAGAGTAAGCAAAGTTCTAAGTTAATTATAAAAATAGCAATGTTAAATGGCTTAAGGATTAGCATTCTTAAGAAATAATCAAAAGGTTTGACAAAAATTTCTTTAACACAGAATAAACAAGAACCCTAATTATTAGAGGCGGAATAATAAATGAAGAGGAATTTTAAATCAAAGAATAACTCCAAGCATCTACTCTGAATTAGATTAGATAATATACCCTCGAAGGGAAGTGGAATACAAGTATCATAACTGGATTCGCACTAAATTCAGTCAGTGATTTCATTAGTAGAAAACATTTAAAAAATTAATTAAAGGAGAAATTGCATTAAAACTAGAATTTCAAAATAGTTCTGATGTTTTGTTTTGAAGCAATCAATATTGGAATAGTATAATCAAATTTTGTTAATATCGGATTTGCCAATAAATTTATTACTAAGATAAATAAATATGAAAATATGTAAAATTTCTTAGAAGATGTTATATAATAGCATCCAGAATATTTTATTGATGGGAAAATTCTAAAATCGTTAACTAATGATTAAAATGTCTTAATAGCTAATTTAGGGGAGGAAGAAAAATTAATCACATCTGATAAAGAAGTAAGTAGAATTATTTTGACTATGTGTTGAGAAATAATTTGACTTTAATTTACAACTACAATCCTTATTGTAAATCATAAATTATATCCTCTTTGCTTCTAGACATTAACTTTTCATTATTTTTCAATTTTTTTTTTAACTATATTTTCTAAAATTGAGCGCATTTAAAATTTCCCTAATCTGTTTTATTAAATAAGTATATAATAAAAATTAAGCAATTTAATTTTAAATATTTTAAAATCAAAATTATTTAATTTACAAAGCAATATGCAATATTAATTAAAAAATATGAAATGGATTATCAAAAGTCATTTAAGATATTGGAAAGATATTTCTGATGAAACAAAAGATAAATCTATATATTTAGACTTTCTTTATTATTTATAATTAAGTTTTATATACAAAATTTTTGAATTATATTTTAGATACTTTTTAATAGTATAAGAGGGATTGAAGATTTTTATTAGATTATTATTTTTAGATTAAATAAATGCTACTAAGAATACTTATAACAGTGTAAGTTTTGCTAATGCCAACTTTAGTTCAAGGTTAAAATCTTTTTTCTATTTTTAGCTATGTTGGATGCTTCAAAAGATTCTACAAAAGATGCTGTTGTAATTCTAGCGGTTTCTACGATTTTGGGAAAGGAGAACTCTGTTCCTGTTGGTTCTTTGATGGGAGGGACAACTTTGTATATGAAAGTATAAATATAAATTAATAGATTAGGTTTAAGGATTAGATCAAACTGCTAGTAACAATGCAGTATATATTGGGAAGTACCCTTGTATAATATCTGACAAAGGAGTTAACGGACTATTTGTAAACTGTAAAACAACAAAATCTAATCCAAATGACCATAACTTATCAAACCTATAAATTACTGTCAAGGTCTAAGATAAGCCAGACTCTGTTTGTACATTCAGTTACACATACTGTCATTTTTCCTATTCTACAGAAAATACACCAAAATTATATTATGTGACTCCAAGATCTAATTACCCAAGGATGATGAGCTATTGGAGAGCCAAATGGGTTGTATCTAGCAATGCAGTGGAATACCTAGAAGGATAATTCATGGGTGCAAATAGATGTGACAGGTTCTCAATACAAGATTTGTATCCAAAGGAGATTAATTACTAGGATGACAAAGTCGTATGTTAGGTGTCAGCTGAAATTCAAGCAGGCTACTATGATTACACTATTAAATCACAGAGTGGGTACTAAACTAATTCTATAGGGATAAAATAGAAAAAAGTATATTCTGATAGGGTGTATAATTCAAAGTATTTATATTAATTGATAAAGAGTTGTCCCAATAATAACAGGACTTAATACTAATTTGGCATCACCGGAAGGACAAATTTTGGAAATCTTTGGATATGGATTCAGTCCCTAAGCAGATGAAAATAGAGTTAAGATTTCAGGGAGAAGTGAAACCATAGAAGTGTTAGCCTCTACTCCAACCAGCATAAAAGCGAAGATACCAAAACAACAAAGTTTATTACAGGATAAGACACAGAACTCCCTGTATATTCAAGGAAGTGGATTACATTACACAAGATGGGATGTTTCAGGTTTAAATCTGAATTGTGGATCCTTTAGATAGTAGATTATTTCTAACAAAGCTTCATTAGATGGGAGAATCAAGTTTGATGGAATCTATCCAGAACCAGATGTTCAAAGCACATTTGGAGAATACTATGGGTAATATTTTAGAGGTTTCTTAAAGGCTCCATTTACAGGAGTTTATAGGTTCTATTTATCATCAGATAATTGTGCATAATTCTATATATAAAAAACAGAAACCTAATAGCCTATTAGACCTGATAATCCAATAGCAGCTAGTAATTGGAATCCATACAGAAACTATTGGTTTGAAACTTTAAGTTATCCTTCTGCAATTAAATCAATATCAGAGCCTGTGACTCTAGAACAAGATAACCTCTATTACATTGAAATTTATCATATTAATGAAATTTCAGAGGGTCATTTGACATTGTCAATGGAAATAGAAAGTGAGACTAGAAAACCTAATTCATTGAATAGCATTTATTAATTATCCACTTCTTATACACCAATCAAAGAAGTAATAGAATTCGTTCTTTACAATTCAAATGGAAATACTCTATTAAAAGGTAATTACAGACTTAGATTTACTTATGGAACCTAGAAAACCCCATAAACGGATACCTTTTACATTTATACTAGTAGTGATTTAACTGCCAGTTCAAGTGCTTATGCAATGAAAATTGCAATATCCAATAGTGGTGCTCCCTATTATATTACAGTAACAAGCACAAAGTTGGATAATACTGGAAATCCATTGGATGATACTGCAACATCTTTTGCTGGATATAAATATACAATCACTTTTGATTCTCATAGGGGATAACCTAAATATAGAGCACTTCCAAAGATAGTGTAATCAACACTTAGTGGAGGAGTCATTGCTTCAACAGTTGAATGTATTTAAGAGCCAGCCGATCCAATTAGCGGATCATTTCAATTATCAATGACAATAAACGGATAAGAAACTTTATTTGAAGCATCTGAAAATAACTATGATTTGAATTTTGATGTGTCCACAATAACAATAGCAAATAATATTTAGAAGCTAACTGGTTAAGCATCATTTGTTTGGACAGTTGGATAACCTTAAGATGGATAGAAATGGTTTATAGTATTTAGATCTTATTTTGAAGGCCTTGATGATTTAAAAGTCACAAATAATATGTTGGTATCTGGTAACGGAGATGTCTCTATAACATTAACCAAAGTATAACCAGATAGTAATAACATGTTATTTGAGCCTATTCCTAATGAATTATTATTTACATATAGTTAACATCCTCAAATCCAAGTTGAAGTGTAATATCATTTATTAGATGAGAGTAATGTTAACGTGGTTGAAAGTGAATTGATATTAGCTGGATGTTAATAATAATCTATTTGTGACTTAACATTAAGTGATGAGAAAACACCAATTCTAAAATCCTATTCTGTTGCTGGATCTCTCTTATCTTTGACATTGTAAGAAGGAGTAGATTTAAAAATAACAACAATCAACATAGATATTTAATTTGCAGGAGCAGATTGCACCAATATTTAAATAACTAACGTTGCAAATCCGCATACTATAACTTGTAATTTAGAGTAATTAAATGGGTAAAATATTAAAGAAGCAGGAGGAATGTAAATACCAATAATTCATCATAAGGATATTGGGTTTTCAAAAATAGATTAAAGTATAATAGGTGAAAATGTTAATTTGGAAATAATTTCAATTTAACCTAACGCTGCTTCTTCAGATGGAGGTACAACGTTAACTATTACTGGTGCTGGTTTCCCAAAGAACTTAAATAGAAACTTTATATTCTAAATTGATGGTTAAAACGTCAAACCCTTATAAATTTCAAATACCTAATTAGTATTTATAGCTCCAAAGTAAATTAGTGGAGGAACTGGAAGCATAGAACTTTAATTTAATTCAAAAACAGCAACAAATGTATTTACATATGATGAGTCATTAAGAATTCAAGTTACTGGTTTAGAGTTTAATTCAAAATCACCAGCATTCAAAGGCGAAATGACAATCACTGGAACTAATTTTGGAACCATTTTAGAGGATATTAAAGTTACATTGATTGGAAATAAATCCTATAATGCTAAGGTATTATCAATTACAGACACTTAAATTAAAGTTTATTTAAGAGGAGGTATGCCTGGTGATTATAAAGTTACTGTTACAAGAAAGAATTTTGGAGATTCCTATGCAAATAATGATGATAATTTATTTAAATATATCATCCCAATTAATAGTGTTACATTAGAAGATGGAATCAGTCAAGCAAAAGGATCTGAAGCAGGAGGAACTGTTATTAAGATTACGGGATCACATTTTGTAAAAGGAGAAACTCTTGTGTTTATTGGTTAAGCAGTGAATTGGTTATGTGAAATAGATGAAACAAAGTTTACCAGTGAAAACATCTATTGCACAGTTCCAGCAAAATACGAATTTTATAATTAAGAACCTTAATTAGTTGTAGTAACATTATTAGTAACACTTGAATCAACTTGTCTTGATAATATAAACAATTGTTTATTTACCTATGATAACTAATTGACTCCAAAACTTGATGCATATCCTGAATCTGTTACCTAATACATAGGGTCAAGAATATTAACAGAAGAAGATCATTCAAAGCCAGATTATTATAAATTAATTTAAAGGAAGAGATTTTTATGGACAGAGGAATCAAAGAAACATGGTCATAATCACATTTTGAATGTTGGTAAGTCTGCAAGGAGAGATATGCTGACATCAGCAGATTTAGTTTTGACTCAATAAAAAACTTATAAGCCAGATGATGTAGAAACATTATCAGGAATAGGATTAACATCAAGTGTCTCAGTTGTATTTAAAGGTCCTGTGACTTAGACAGTGACTGCCACTGTTAATGATAATACTTTCACATATACAATTCCAAATCTACCATAAGGATACTATTCTACTTACATATTAACTTAAACTGGTTATGCTGATAAAATATGGGTTAGTATAATTGAATTAAGTATTACTAGTATTGAAAATGCTGCAATAGGAGGATAGATATTAACAATAAATGGTGCAGGATTTAATGCTAATTACAATCCAATTGTGAAAGTTGGATCTACAACATGCACTGAATTGTAAGTAATCTCTAGTGCGTAAATTAAATGTAGAATGGCAAGATAATCAGGTACTTCAGCAGTAGTCACTCTAACCTAATCCCCTTCTGAGAGTAATTCTGCTACTCCTTACACAGTTCAATATACATTCGGTATTAAACCAACTTCAAGTTCCCCTCTTATCACATCCATTAGTGGTGTTACCTATGATGTAAATAAATAGGCGAACATAATGTAGACCGCCAATGCAGTACTAATATTTACTGGTAGTATGTTAAGTGGTTCCAATGTTGCAGTAACATTGGAGTTTATGAATAATAAAATCAATGGAGTAGTATCAGAATAATCAGACACATCTGTAACTTCTACATTTGCTGATATACCAGTTGGAGTATATTATATTAATATATAAATCAACGATAATTATGCTTATTTTAATGATATAACATAATAAAAGTTGATTGTACAAGCAAATATTCTGATTTCAAACAATCCAACTATCTCTTATGCAGGAGGAGCTATAATAACCTTTACTGGCAAAGGATTTGATTAAAATACTCATTTTAGCTCTGTATCATTATGTGGATTCAACTGTCCTATCACTTAGGCATCATACACTTCTCTTTCATGTGAAGCTCCTAAATTACTAACAACATCGGTTTTTCATCAATACTCATCTCTCTAAGAACCTCCTCGATATATCAAACCATCTGAAGTCTTGTTACTAACTGATAGTGGATAATCTGTTTCCTCATTTTTTGATCATCAATAATCCACTTTTTATAGTTCTACAGCCACATCCAATTGTTTTATTAAAGTAGATTTTGGTAAAAACAGACTCTTAAAGTTGCATTAATTAAGATACCTTCCAAGAATAGATATCTAGGCAATTATTTTGAGAGGTGCTGTTTTCTAGTACACAACTGATGGCACACTTTGGCAAACCCTATTAGTAGTAGATTAAACTGTTCATACAGGCTGGAATATATATGTTCCTGCTGAAGACATTTCAAATATTAAAGCAATTAGATTATTTGACTAAAAAGGAGCAGCCGGATCATCCTGTTAGTTGGCAGAAATTGAGTTGAAAGGGTGGGTTTTTTCAAATAGTAATAACGATTACACGATTCCAACACTATGTGATGCTGATATTACAATAAATGGACAAGCAATAGATACAATCTCTGGAGCAGGCATATATTCAGCAAGTAGTGTTCCAATTGTAAATACTGTTGATCCTTTATCTGGAAGATTTACAGAAGAAGCAGTAATAACAATATCTGGTTCAGGATTTGAGAATGGTCAAACTACAGTTTCTATTGATGGAGTTACTTGCAGTATTTAAAGTGTTACTTAAATTTAAATTATTTGCAAGACTGGTATCAAAGATTTAGATTAAACTTAATTAAATGGTGACTTTTAGGTTAGAGTGAATGGAAATTTGGCAATCAATAACTAATAATTTATATATGCAACTAAATGGTCAGATATCAATACATGGGGAGGACATGAATTCCCTGGAGATGGAGATTCTGTTATTGTTAATGCAGGATAAACATTAATTGTAGACGTTTAAACACCCAAATTAATGTAAGTGTTAGTTGAAGGCACTTTGACATTTTCTGATGATTTAGATACTTCCATGGACGCACATTACATTGTGATTAGAGAGGGAAAGTTTAATATAGGTACAGATTCAATAGCACATTAACACAAAGTATAAATTACTTTGCATGGTCTTGAAGGAGATATTTAAATGCCAGCAATGGGCAATAAAGTTTTAGGATGTCACTAATGTCAATTAACTATTCATGGGAAGGAAAGAACACCAACATGGACACTATTATCTACTACAGTCAAAGCTGGAGCTACTCAAATTACAGTAGATGATGTAGTAGATTGGTAAATTGGAGAACAGATAATTATAACCTCAAGTGAAGTCTAACATTTATAAAGTGAGAAAAGATATATCACTGCAGTTAGTGAAGATAAAAAGACATTGCATTTAGATTCACCACTTTAATATAAACATTATTCTGAAATAGAAACGTATGGCGATGAATAATTTCCTATGAAAGTTGAAGTGGGATTATTGACTAGGAATATTGTTATTTAAGGTGAAGAATCAAAAGACAAATATGGGTATCATTTAATGATACATGGAAGAGCAGAAAAAGGAACAGTTGGTAAGATATAGTATGCAGAATTCAGACACGGTGGATAACCAAGGATTATTGGAAGATACCCAGTTCATTTTCATTTGAATGGTGAAGTAGATGATTCTTATGTTATTGGTAATTCCATTCATGATAGCTATGCTCGTTGTTTGACTATTCATGGTGTTCATTATCTAAAAGTTTAAAAGAATGTTTGTTATAATACCTTTGGACATGCCATATTTTTAGAAGATGGAATTGAAACTAATAATATTATTGAAGATAATTTGGTTACAAATACAAAATAGAGTTGGATAATGTTATAAACAGACATATCAGTTTCTACTTATTGGGTTACTAATCCATAAAATATATTAAGAAGGAATAGATCAGGAGGATCTGAATGGTATGGATTTTGGTATGAAATCAAAACGAATCCAGATGGCCCATCAGCTACATCTGACATATGTCCACCAGGGTTAAATATACTTGAATTTAAGGATAATTGGTCACACTCAAATGGAAAGTTTGGTCTTCGTATATTCCATATGGCTCCAAGGCTTTTTCCTTGTAGGGATGTTGCTACTTGGTCAAATAGTCAACCTTATGTTGATAACCCAAGTCTTTAAGCAGTATTTGAGACATTTAGAACATGGAAAAATGATGAATGTGGCATATTAGCTGAAGAATTGGGTAATATCTACTTCAAAGATATAATGATAGCCGATTCTAGATATGCTGGTTTCTAATCACATAAAACTAATTATTCCTATGAGGGAGCAGTATTGGATAACGCTTTGATTATTGGAAAATCCATTTATAATGCATAACCAGATGCTTATTATCAAGGATCAAGAGCCATCATTGTACCAAGAACTAATGGGTTTTTAGCTAAAAATATTAGAATGTTTAATTTCGGAAATTATTCTGCCTTGATTGAATCTTGTTCTACATGCTGGCATGATTTAATGTGGGTTCAAGGTGGTAAGAATACTCACTTCATGAACTTAAGAGCATACAATTCTGATTAGGCTCATCGAATCTATTGGCAGAAACATAGGAGAGAAATATTTTGGGATATAGATGGCTCATTTACAAATATAGATGGAGGTGCGTACATAATTCCATATAAGAAACATATTGATGGTATTCCTGGATGTGTTACTCATCCAGAAGATTTTTGGGACAATTCAATCATTTGTGCCATGAATTAAGTTACAATTAGAGATGTATTAGTCAATAATCCAATGCCAGAATACGATTTTTAAGGAGTTGATATGAAGCTTTATAGGTTAGACAGCACAAACCTAGCAGTCAAAATGGATCCTTTGATTGATGAAAATAAATACATAGAGGGTGAAACCATGAAACCAATGAAGAATCCAGATGGAGTGGCATCCTTTGTAAGTGTCTTTGCCACTGGATACATATATAATGTACATTTTAAATTTGGAGCCAGCGACCCTTTAAGCATGGGAATATTCTCATCACCATATTTCACAGAAGTTGATAAGGCAGTTATACTTAGATTTAACTATTCTGCAAATAGAGAGACATTCGATATCATGAGACATATTGATAAGACATTCCCAATTACTTACAATGAATTGGAATCCATTCCTGATACTAATCAATGTAATTAAGGGGATTGGTTTAATGATAAATCTAATAAATTATTCTTCCTTTGTTTATCTGGTAAAAACAAGAAAAAATATGAATATGTAGAAGTTAGAGGAGTTATTTGTAGAAAATAATGCGATTCATTAGGAGACATGCCATAAGAGAGTCAATATAGATTATGGAGTAATCCTACTACTTGGATTGATAATAAAATTCCAGTTGACGGAGATAGTCCAATAATTTAGGCTGGATATTAAGTTGTATTGGATGTAGATACACCAAAATTAGTAAATCTAATTATTTTTGGAACATTGATATTTGATGAGAAAAGAGCATCGACTAAATTAGAGGCTGAAAGAATTTGGATTAGATCCGGAAAATTATTAGCAGGCAATGCGACCAATCCATTCCCTGGTAGGATAAATATAATTTTGAATGGAGAATTTGGAGATAATCCATTAGTCATTGATGCTAATTTAGATGTAGGCAATAAGGTATTGGCAGTTACTAGAGCAATGGAATTATATTCAACTCCCCCAGGAACAGTATGGACTAGATTGGCACTTTATGCTGATGCAGGAACAACAAAAATTACTGTTTAAGAATGTCTTGATTGGGTTATTGGGGATGAAATTGTATTTGGTCCTTCAGGAACTGATCCAGATTAAAGAGAAAAGAGAATAATATCAGCTATTTCTGGATGCACCATTACTTTAGATAGAGCGCTCGAGTTTGATCATTTTGGGGCACCATAGGTAACAGTAGATAAACCAGGAATAGGTTAATTAGATATGAGATCACTTGTTGGTCATCTTACTCGAAAAATTAAGATTGAAGGAGGTCCAAGTAAACATGGTCTGGGATGCAGAGTCTTAATATATTAATTTGAAGAGCCTGAAGCAAATTTGGGATTCCCACGAAGAGGATATACTATATTAAGGGGAGTTGAATTTAATAACTGTGGCTAATATGATACATCAAGAAGCGGATTAGATTTTAGAAATTTGAATAGCGATATTATCAAAACACCAAGTGAAGTGATTGGATGTTCTTTTCATGATACAACAGGTATGTTAATGACGATAGAAAATTCATAATACATTCTAGTTAAGAATAATGTATTTTTTACTGGTATCAAGGCTTTAGTCTAGATTAATAATAGTCAATATGTCAAATTCTAAAATAATGCTTTGATATATGTGAAAAAAAGACTCATCGAATAGTAAAGCAAATTTAATTGGGCTGTTTTAGGAAACTTTATCTATATGGATGGAACTTAAATGACCAGAGATATTGTTGACATATCTGGTAATGTTGGATAAGGATCATAGGATACAGGTTTCTTTATTATGGGTACCAAATGTGAAGATGCTCTGAAATCATCTTTATACAATAATCACTGCTCATCTTCTGTATTGGCATGTTTTGCAATTAGATAGGCTGCAAAGGATTGTACTTACTCATAAGGATTAATTGCTTATCATAGTGAAGTTGGTATCATGTATGCAGTTTAAACTGAAAATGCTTAACTAGATAAATCAATGTTGGCTGAAAACAAGAGAGGCTTGGCATTATCATTAGGATCATGGAACTTTTATGAAAATACCATAAAGCTTAGTAACATCTTCATTTCTGCCCTTGCTAGACCTGATTGTACTAAATGTTATACTGCATCACAAAACCCCCATTGCAATAACATCATTGGAGTATAGATGGGAAGTGTAACTCTTACAGCATTCCCTCCTATCGATACAGGACCATCTTCAGAATATGATATTATTTGTAAGCCTTAGAGAATTGATCTCAAAGTCTATATGGATACTATAGATTTCCATAATTTTAGACTCTCTTATGATGACATACCTTAATGTGGGTTAAATGCTGCTTTACGTTAACATCCTGGAGCACATGATATGTTAGGTCAGCATTACTTAACAAATTCTTAATGTATAAATTGTGAATTTGATGCTTTATTGTATAAAACATTAAATCCAAATATTCGAACACTTGGATGGTTTGGAGGATGTGGTACATTTGAATGTCCAGGATTGATCAACTTTTTAGTTGAAGATTAAACAGGACATTTCTTTGGAAAAGTTAGCCAAGCCATTGGAAATAATACATATATAGGTCCAAATGTCACATATTGTACAAGATAGGAAGCATGGAATGGATATTGGTGCCTTAATCGTTAAATAACTGCTATGGGTTTCATGAGCGTAGCCCCAGATTACAATAAAAGATTATATTCGCCTATTAAATTAACAGATGGTGAGTTTTTTAATGAAGTGAACAGTTAAATGGAATGGCATTGGTCAGGAGCAGAACCTAAAAATTTAAGAGAATCCAAATTTGTTGCTTTGATACCCTCAAATAAAATTGTAAATATGAGTAATGCAGGAATGAATCCAACAGCATCAGAGTATTAATTATCAAAAAGATATGAAGCAGGTAGTCCAGAAGATTTTGTAATTTTGAAATGGCAGTTTTAAGTGCCTTAAGTTATTTAAGTATCAGTAGGTAACAAAGTTATTCTACCTGGAATGACTACTAATTCTAAACATCATAATTTAATAAATATGACAGATTAATGTGGAGCAAATAATTATTTCTATTAAAATAATACAATTCATTTTGTAGTCAACGGTTAACTAGGTTGTAAAGTTAAAATCACTTTAAAAAATACACTCTAAATATCAACAAGACTCGAAATCACAACAGATTAATTTTTTGCTGATAAATTTTTACAATATGCTATGGCACAATTAGGAGGGGATCCATTTAATTACTTCATTATTGGTATAAAGAGATCTACAAGAAGGTTTTTGGATTAAACAATAAGTTACTAAGTTTCTGTAGATTGGAGCATAGTAGATAATGTTGAAATTGGATCTTAAGATTCTAATAATTCATGGACATTTTTCGAAGGGTTAGCAACTTAATTAGAATCCTTTAATCCTCCCCCTGAGATTGGCAAAGTATTAGAATAATCAACGACCATCAAAACTTTAGCCGATTAAATTTTCCCATCTACTGAACCTACATCATGTAATTTTCTCTGATATTAATATTTTAGCATCCCCCTTAGAACCAGAATAAACAGAAAGTACTGATGTGATTCAAAACCATGACAACCAAGAATCACTTAATGAAAGTAGCAATAATTAAGATGATACATAAATTGAATTAGATTAAGATGAGCCAATATAATAATAAGAAATTAGTGAGAATGATAACAATAGCACTCCAGGAGCCATTAAAAAGTCAATTAGGTAACCTGAAACTACATCAAACACAGTTATAATTGTGGCCTCAGTAATCAGTTCAGTAGTTGGTGTTTCTATAATTGTGGCTATTTTGCTTTACTACAAGAAAATTAAGTTGGCTAAATTAATTGCAAATAGAAATTAAAAAGTAGATAATGAGTTCTTTAAAGTCAATCTCACAGAATTGTAGCTATAAATCTAAAATTAGCAATAGCCAATAGATTGATCTCATAAAAAAATTATTTAGTATATTCAGAAAATTTATTTTCATTAACTAAAATTAAACAATTCAGCTGCATCTATTTTATTTATAATAATAAAGTTTTTATATTTTAAAGGAATTGTGAGAATTATAACCACTTTGCGGATATAAAATGGCCAAACATAAATATTATTAACTTAATATTAATACAAATTTGGGCTTCATATTTAAATTCAATTTAAACTTTAACAATCCATATATAGAATTCTCTTCAAATTTTCATCAGATCTTACAGTATTTTCAAAAAGAAATCACTCCAATAACATCTTGAATGGAGAAGAAAAAGATAATAACTTGAAAATAGGATATAAATCCAATTTTTTAATCTCAATTGATGAGATAAAATTTCCAATAAAAGATATATGATTTTCATTTTAGATTGTGGAATTGTAGTATTTTCTGTCAAAATTCTAATCAGTTTTTATTGCATTTGGTAGTGATCCGAATTTTCTTTCAAAATACAGCTACCCTTTTGCCTAAGTAACTCTCTTAAGTTTATATTTCTTTAATCTATTAATGTTCCTTTATAAATCTAAGCTCCTTGTGCTTGAAATTTAGGATATTAAGCAATAAGAAGAATTTTCATTGGATTAGCTATATAGAGTTACATAATAATTTAAAAATTCCAAATGTCCAGAAAAAGATACAGTTCAGGTTCAAAGGGAGGTAGTCCCTTTTAGGTAATTCTAACTCAATTTAGTATATTTTGATTATTCTGTTTTGCATTATGAACTTCAATAATTATAAACTGCACTAATCCTTAAGATTGTTTCTTTCAATCATCATCTGTAATTTCAAGGGATTATGTATTAACGTCGTTTTGGGAAGTTATTATTGTGATCTCAATTTTTTATCCTTTGATGATTGAGAATAATGTCAAAAATGATAAAGTCAAGTGCGCATCCATGAAGATTATCGCAACGATAAAAATCATTTAAATTTTTTGGATTAGTTGAATTTCTTTGCGTTTAAATAATTAATGAGACTATGTGCTTGGATGTTTTAAGGTAATATTAATTGATTACGTAAATTTTTTTTAAGAGAGCATTAGAATATTAGAATGATAGAATTGGTTTAAATCTTTCCAGCGTTAAAATTATTGGAATTAATAAAGATAGAGATCTCAGAAATAGCATGGTTAATGTATTAATTCGATTTGTGAGTATGTATATAAATATTTTAGGCTTTCTTGCAATATATATTGAAGATTTTGTGCTTTGATATATTTAAACATCACACATCTCATGTTAATATTTTAATATTATAGACAATGCTCTATTCATAGGGAATATCACTGAAGAAACAAAATATCAATATTGAATTGTTGAGAAAAATAATAGAATCACACGACATAAATTATTTTAAATATGAGAACATTAATCGACGAGTATACTACCTTGAAAACAGATCAATTATTCACTTATTTATCTATTAAGATGTATAGTATTAATTTTTTATGGCCCAAGATATAATGAAGATTGCATTTTTACAATTATTTTTTAAGAATAAATAAACTATTGATGGTAACCAAATGCAATAGACTGTAGAATTCATTTGACTTTAGGAATTTTTACTATAAATACAAAAAGAGAAATCAAACCTTAAAGAATTAACTGTTCTAAGCTGATAAAAAGGGATTTTTCAAGTTATTAAAAATAAATAACATTCTGAAGAATAGAAAAAGAGAAGAAGGTATATTTAATTGTTTTTAGATGATAACTAAAATATTTTTTTTGATTAGGTTAGGTAAGAATTTTTTTTGATTAATCAGATTGCTTTTTTGTCATAATCATTAACTACTCTAAAAAAATTGAGTTAATAAGAAATAGATAAACTGGGCAAGATTAATTCCTCTTAATAAAGTATATCCAGAATTCCTATACTCAACATTTCAGACACCAATTTTCCTACCATTTCTATTTAATAACTTTCACGAAATCAATCATCCTAATCAACTCATTTACAACTTTGAATCCATAGCATCTTTCATCATACTATCCGACTACACTTTCAAAGCACAATTTATAATAATTTTTTATATTTTAATCCATATTTATTTAAATTCATCAAAATAAATAACATTTGCCAGTTACACTATCTCATTATATATAATAATTTTATATCTCTTTTAATTTTTGATAAATTTAACAGATTAATACATCTCGAAATTATCAATAATATATAATTCCCAAGGTCCATTCCTGATATCTTTTGCATATTATCCTTCCTAAAATACTTGTTTAAGACTTCTTATAGTTTATTACAATTAATTGAAATTTTTTCAAATCTATTTTAATAAATTATACAATATTATCCATAGAAAATGTTATCCATTTTTTCTACTTTCTGATTGATTTGCCCATATTCTCCTGGCCGTCTCAGATTTGTAATTTATTATATTAAGCCAAATCTTAGGTTTCGTTTATATGGCCTATATTGGATCTCTTGATAGGATAATAAATAAAAAGAAGAATACATTTTAATAATGTGTCCATCTTTCATATATAAGTTAATCTAAACATTATAGCTAGGTTTTTCCTTTTCATAAATTAGGAATTAAAGGATAATCCAAATATATTCCCTTAACTTCTTTGATTCTCTTTATTATAATTTAAAATCAAGTAATATAAATTTTATATATACAATGTTACCTCTTTGAAATAAATATCAAAAAAATAGTGACAACGTAAAATCCAAATTCTTTTTCAATACGTCATATTTATCAATATCAAAATTTGAAAAAACACTAAAAGCATCAGGTTAAATCAAAAATTAATTCTTCCATAATGACCTTCTTTTAATCTTAACCATCAAATTACATCAAAAAATCTAAGCTTGATAAGAATGAAACCGTTGATTATTAAAAATATTTTCAAATTAAATCACGAATGACATCTCGAGACTAAAAAATCAAACAAAGTATCAGCCCAGCCAAAAGATGAAAAATCTACAATTTTATAAAAATAATCTGAAGGATTATCTAACTCAAATCATCGGGAATTGATTAAAATGATTACAATTTGAAAATGAATTTGTTGGAAGAATTATTCTAAAAATTGTTACAAATTAACCAAACCCTATAAAAGAATCAAATTACAATGCTTTTGAAACTTTCAGTGAGTCATTTACTAGGTTACATATTCCCAAAAGTATTTTTGGGAATTGTGTAAACATCAACCATGAAAAACAAAATCTTATGATTTAAATAGATAAAATAAATGAACCGAATTTTTTCCGAAAATACACCAATCAAAATTTTAATTATGGTCTTTAGGAATCCTTGATGTATACTTGATTGTAAATCTATATTTAAGTTTATTAAATTCTCTTGCAAAATTAAATTTGATTATAATATTGTGAAAATATACTTTTGTTTGTTTTTCATCATTAATTTGCAACAAAGTTAATGAATCAACATCATTTATTTGATTCAGACGGAGCATATTATTTATCTTTAAGTAAATTATTAAATCCTGAAAAATACATTATTTCTGTTTTTACATTTGCGATCCAAACAATTAGCTTTAAATTCTTATTTAACATATGGACATGTGCAACAAAAGTAAAACTTAAACATTTTTTTACATAATCAAGTTTTAGTCAAAACTAAAATTTATTGAAGTAATGATTTTAACAAAATACTACAAAATTCTTTTAACATCATTTATCAATCTAAGATGGTTATTGATTCAACCATCCAACGAATAAACTGTCTTACCATAGCATAGTTGAAACTTTTATTCTTCTATTAAAAATGTTTTAAAATCTTTTATGGACTTATGTATTTTTCTAATCCGAAATTCATCACAAAAAATAGTAAATCATGATATGAGGACTTTTGAATAGTAGTTAGAAAGATGATTTTACCATCCTTTTAACCCATAATGAAAGTAGTTTTTTAGAACAAATCTTTGATGAATGAAATTGATACTAGATTGAGAAGGAATTAAAGCAAAGTAAAATCTTTCATTTAGATGAGTATAATTAAACCGTTAGTATTTTTATTATTCAATATTATTTCTTGCATTCTATTTCATAATATTGGTTAATATTGCACTCATTTTCAAAAACAGGAACAATTCTTATATTAATAATTAATTCACTATTTTACACTTATTCTCAAAACTTAAGTACATTATTATCACCATATATCCCTGCTTGTAAACCTAAATTTTATTTTCAGATCATAATATTTTAATACTATTTTCCTAATAATTAAAACATTTTAATTTAATTATAATTTATAAAATCTTGGCAAAAAGCAATGTAAAAACAAAAGCCAATTTTAATAAAAGCTCACGATGTATAAAGTTGTCCAAACTTTGCAAAGTTAATTTCTTGAAATTTATGTATTTTTAAGAGTATAGTCTCAATAATATTATGATGTGATTTTTTTCCTAATAATTATTATTGTTATTAATATTTACAATAATTCCAAAGGGTTTTAGGACTTTTTATTTCATTCACTAAGTCTATTTAGAAAAACTATTAATTTTTAATTTTAATTTGGAATAAATATAGTTGTTCGTTTTAACTTGATTTAAAATTTTTCCGATTAATTTTGAATTGTCAAAAAGTATCTATTTTCAAACATCTAAATTAAAATATTTTGTCAATTTAAGAGAGAATAATGTTTTAAGTCTATCGAAGTTGAAGGATAAATAGTTAACCGTAAAATTATGAAAAATCATTAATAATTTTTATATTTTTGAAATGATTAGAAAACTGATTCATTTATCATTATTGATATTTTAACTTGTTAATGGGTTCAGGAGTACTTGGAATAGTTTTGATAAATCAGGTTACTATGTGTCATGTCCAGGACATAATCATGCACCTGGGCTGCATCCTCACCCTTGCGCTTGTATGTTTATATGCTGAGTTAGTTTACAATTCAGCCTGCGCATCAGTAACAGAACCAAAAATGGTTATAGTGAATGGCAATGAACAACTATGCCATCCGAGACTTAAATTATATTCTGTGCGGCCAATTTAATTCTTTGAATAAGTAATGTTCTGTAGTTATGGGGCTAATATTTACGAATATTCTGAGAATACCGATTTAGTAATTTCGGGCCTCTATATTATTGACTAATGTGAGGCAGGTCAAAGATCTGGAAACATAGTTAAATGCTAATACTGTCATTAGTACAAAGGTGGCGAATTTTGTTAATCACCAATTCGTATTTATAAATCTATTTTTAGAATGTGGAAGTAATTGTGCAAGTTGTGCTTCAAATTATTGTGGAACATGTAAGGAAGGGTTTTCTCCATCAGACAGCACTGCTTTAAAATGCACTTTAGGTAACTCAGATTAAGATTTAATAGCCTGTCAAAGTGGACATAAAAAGTGTTCTATTGTTAACGGTGTATATGCATTTGAAGGATGTAAACAAGGTTATGAGATGATTGATAATTAATGTGTAGGTATAAAAAATAAAATGAATTCAAGCATGTCCCGATAAATGCAAAACTTGCGTTATGGGCATTTGCTCTGCATGTGAATATCATTATTTTTTAAAAGACAACTAATGCTTTGGAGACATTAATTGCACTAAAGTAGCCTATATTTTAGATTTTAATACTGGTTTAGCTGTTGGATGACTTGCGAAATATGTGACTTTGGATATTTTTATAATCCAAGTCAACAAAAATGCACTCGTAAATTTATTAAAAATATTTGAAGCTTGTAAAGAGTAACCTGGATTGGAAAATTGTTTTATTTGTTTTAACGCCACATAATGCAAAATTTGTAAAGGAACTTATGTAATAACTGATGATAAGAAATGTGTACCATTTCTTGGCTGCTCATCCAAATGTTAAACATGTCTTTACACTGATCCTAGTTACTGTACAACTTGTTTTTTGAGGGATAAATTTCAAACTTCAACTATCATACCAGGGTAATGTGTTTGCGACTATGTTCATGGTTATATTGATAAGGATGGTGGATGTGGAAAATGTTCAGACGGATTATGCTTAACTTGTGGTTCAAGTTATTATGAATGCACATCCTGTAAGCCAACGACTAATAGAATACTTGTCGGTTCTTAATGTAATTGTAAATAAGGGTATTATGAGTCTGGTAAACCTGATTATATATGTTAAAGTATGTTTAAATCTAAATTAGAATGCTATCTTTATTGTTATAATTGTTAAGGGCCTTATGAAAATGATTGTACTGAATGTGGAGACCCTAGCATTTATTTTAAATACTTTGATAAAGGAAGATGCTTTTGTTTTGAAAGAACATTATTGTAAATTCAATCTGACGGAAATAGCATTTGTAAACGTAAAAAATTAATCATTTAAATAGCTTGTCATCCTATGTGTGAGAAATGTTCTAAACCATAAGATAATACAACAAATTAATATTGTACTATGTGTATTGATGGTCAAAATAGAGTTGTATCTAGTGATTTGAAATGTGTTTGTTAAGATGGATATGGAGAAGATGGAACCTTAGATATTTGCTTTAGTACTAGATTTCAAAGATAATAATAGAATGCCATTATTCATGTTTGAGTTGTAAAGGACAGCTTTAAACCGATTGTATTTCATGTTCCTCTGCGGATCATAGACATTTGACACTTGATAATAAATGTGTTTGTGACTAAGCCTATTATGACCCTGGTTATAAGATTCCATTATGTTATTGTAAATTCTATTTCTTTATAATAATTAGTGGCTTGTCATTATTCTTGTGCTAGTTGTACTGTTTATGGTTTAGATAAATGCACTTCATGTCCATCTTCAAGACATCCTAATATTGTTGGAACTACCTTCTAATGTCTATGCAATGATACACACTATTATAGTGATCCATTATTTTTAGATGTTAACCATGCCATCTAACATGCAAAACTTGTAACGGCACAGGCCAAACTAATTGCCTAAGTTGCGATATTACGTATAGATAATTAGTAATATCAAAATGTGATTGTTACCCCGGTTATTACAGTACAGGAGCTCTGCAATGTTCATTTGATTATTAACTACTAACTATTAGAATGCCATTATACCTGTCTCACGTGTTATTCTGCTAAAGTTGATGGTTGTATCACTTGCTCTTCCGCTAAAAATAGAGTTATGAAAGCAAATAAGTGTATCTGCATGGATAACACAATGGAAGTATCAACTACTGATCCTATGTGTTAAAGTGAATTTTTCATTTAAGTTAGAATGTTCATATCGTTGTTCCTCTTGTACTCTAAAAACCGACCATTGCACGCAATGTCCTGATTAATCTTTTCGTGATTTAGGGACTGATAATTCTTGCTTATGTCCACCTTATCATTAAGATAAACCTGACAGCCCAATTTGCATTAGTAATATTTTTATGCTAAATTTAGAGTGTTATAGTAACTGTTATGCTTGTAAAGGGACATAAAATAATTAATGTACTGCTTGTAATCCTCTTAGTAAAAGAGAATTAAATTCGAACGGAGAATGTGTTTGCATGAGTAAATACTATGATACAGGAATTCAAGAATGTTCATGTCTATATTTATTATAATATTTATAGCCTGCAGTACTGATTGTTTAGATTGTGTTACTATTCCTACAAATTGCATTTCTTGTAATTCTGAGAAATATTTACTTGGAAACATTTGTTTATGCAAAACAAAATTGTAAGGAAGCTTTCTTACTACATATTTTGTTCCATCAAAAAATAAATGCCAAAGTAAATTGGTCAAATTATAATAAGGTTGCCATTATAGTTGTCTATCCTGCAGTGGTCCTTTAGTAAATTAATGTTTGACCTGTCTCAATTCAGAATCAAGAATTTTGACTGGTACAAATTGTGCATGCATTGAAAATTACTTTGATAGTGGTTTTCCAAATTGTAAATGTAATTAATTCCTTGATTTATTAAGAATGTGATTATCGATGTTAGGGTTGTGCAACACTACCTACTCTATGCAAATCTTGCCCATAATCAAGCTTAAGAATATATAATACTCTAAACTCTTCTTGCAATTGCCCTAATTCATATTATGATGATGGAGTCGGTCCTGTTTGTTAAAGTAATATTTTATAATAGCAAAAGAATGCGATTACACTTGTTAAACATTTAAAATAACATCCAACAGGTGTGAATCTTGTTATGTAAACACAAATCGAACTTTCGATTCTTTATTATTTTCTTGTCCTTGTGATGTTCATTTTTACGATTCAGGAATTCCAATTTGTGAATAATGTCATTATTCTTGTTTAGTATGTTATTCATATGGAGTTGATTAATGTATTAGCTGCTCATCATAAGCAACATCTTTTAGAATATTAAATGGAAAATTTTGTGACTCCTTGGATATTATGATGACGGATTTTCTTCAAATTGTTAATAATGCTATTATAAATGTTAAAGTTGCGTTAATTTTTCAACTTATTGCACATCTTGCGAGTAATCAAGGCATTTAGATTAAAATCAATGTCTATGCAATACTGGTTATTTTGAAAATGGGCTTAACAATTGCACTAAATGTGATTCCAATTGTTATAATTGCAATTTGAATTCAAAATTATGCACAGAATGCGAGTAAAATACATTTAGAGTATTGAACACTACTACTAATACTTGCTAATGTTAACCAGGCACAACCGAAATAAATGAATTATGTTAAATATGTGATGTAAATTGTTTGACTTGTTCAAACTCTATTACGAATTGCACATCTTGTGGGTTTATGAAAATAATCAGTAATACAAAATGTATATGCATTGATGGGACATATTTGTCAAATGTTGATAATAAATGCAATTCCTGTAATTTTACTTGTGAGACTTGTTTTGGTTAAGGCTCATTTTGTATGAGTTGCTCTTCCGATAAAAATAGAATGCTAGATAATACAAATCACGCTTGTATTTGCAAGGCTGGATATTATGATGATGCTGTTTTAAACTCTTGTATTTAATGTGAATAAACATGCTTAACTTGCTTTGGCATTTCTACATATTGTACATAATGTGATTCAAGTCTGAACTTAGCTCTTGATTTTCAAAATCGATGTGTTTGCAAGTCAGGTTATTTTTTTAATCTTCTTTCCAAATTATGTGAAAGTAGTTTATATATTAATTTTAGTTTGCGATTTTAGTTGCGTTGAATGCTTAACTTTAACTTAGTGTTTGACTTGCGAATAAATTACTAGATATCTTGATACTGACACATCAAAATGTTTATGCAAGGATCGCTTTTATGAAGCTAAAAAAAATAATGTTTAAGTACTTAGAATTATTAATATTTTAGAATGTCATAGTAGTAGTTGTAAAACATGTGAGATTTAATCAAATAAATGTCTAACTTGTGAGTTAACAAATTTTAGAGTTTTTTAAATGAATACTTGCCCATGTGTAGATGGCTACTATGATGTTGGAATAGAAGTGTGTCAAAAATGCAGCGACGTTTGTTAAATTTGCAAAACAAGTTCAACAAAATGTTACGCATGTTATCCAAACCACCTTCGTGTTTTAAATCAAAATTCCTGTACCTGCTTTCCTGGATATTTTGATAATGGCTAACTAATTTGTGAAAGTATTAATCCTAAATAAAATTAGAATGCTCAAATGCTTGTAAAACTTGTAAAAGCTAGAGAGATTATTGTACTAGTTGTGACGTTGATTAAGGTAGATTAGATTAATCTATTATTCATAAATGTCCATGTGTTTCTAATTTTTATTAGGATCCTAATGAAACTTGCTAAAGTATTTAATCTCTCATTTATATAGAATGCCATATAAAATGTTCGGGATGTGTAAATGAAAGAAATAATTGTGTGAGCTGCAAATATGTTTAAGGATCCAATAGATTAACAATTTCAAGTCAATGTAATTGTAAAGATGGATATTATGATGATGATCTCCAAATAATATGCAAAAAATGTAATAACCGTTGCAAAACTTGTGAAAGCACTCCAAATCATTGTCTAAAATGTCTCAGTAATTTAAGAATAGATCCTCCTGATTGTTCCTGTATGAATGGTTACTTTGAAAATGATTATTAAAGTTGTGAACGTACGATCATTAATATAAACTAAGCTTGTGAGATTTAATGCGATACTTGTTAAACTCTAGCCTCAAATTGTGTAACAAGTAAAGTAGGTCGTATAAACAAGACATGCGATTGCGAGGACGGTTATTTTGAAGGCGGACAACCAGAATGCATTAGTAATTTTCAATCAATATCTTAAGAATGCGGTTTTTAATGTTAAACATGTGCCTATTATGCAGGAAATTGTTTAGCATGTAAAGGTGATAGATTTGAAATTCCATTTTGTCGATGTTAAGATGGATATTATGATGATTTTTAGAGTTTAAATTGCTTGAAATGTGATTACACTTGTAAAACATGTACATTAGAAGAATGCTTATCATGTAATGGTAATAGAATCTTATCTGATCAAATGACTTGTGATCCTCCTCCAAATTCAATTAGCTCATTATTAACTCCATGGTGTTCAAGTATATAATCCTTAATATCAAAGATTGCGAAGTAGCTGTGATGAAAATCAACTTATCGGATGACCTGACAACAATAATTGTCCATTTTGATTTCCCCTTAAATCCACATTTCTTTACAAGTTAACTTGAAAGCAATGCTTGTTTCAATATCTTGAATTAGACGACTCTCTCTAAATTAGGAGTTAATCCTCAATGTTATATAGATCCGAAAAACAAAAGACAAGTAATATTAAATCTTGGTTAAAATCCTTCTATTCTTTTAGGAGATACAATTGATTTTTTGGAGGATTCCTTTGGCCACACTGATTGCGATAGCAAATTGTAGTATTTCATTTTTAATACACTTGATTAACCCTCTAACCCATATGCCCCTGTTATCCAATATGATGTACCTACATATCAATTGAATCCTTGTGAAGAGAACATCATTTTAATGGAATCAAAGCTCTATGATGGTTTAAGAAGTTTTATTTCTGTATAATGGACATTTATCGTGTAAGGCTCAAATGGAAATGGTGATCTTGAGAACTTCGTTACAGAATTAACAAATTTTTAAGTCTTAGATCTAACCATTCCAGAAAAAACATTTCCTATATAGTCAAATATTACCCTATATGTAGAGGTTCAAAACTTTGTATCAGAAAAAAATGTGTCTAAAATACTAGTACAAACTCATGCGGGATAATTTCCAAGTATTTTTAAGAAACACAAACAATACTATTATCCATTTGAATATATCAAAATGAGTTTTATAATGAATAAAAAAAGTTGCGTAGGCAATTCCGATATAATAAAAGATACATCTTAATATTAAATAAGTTTTTATGAAATCTACAGAAATAACTCAAATTCTAGATCCTCAAATATGAATTTTAATGATTTAATTAATACTAACCTTTTAGAACTTTCGATTGATAGCTATTCTTTAAGTGCGTACACAGCTTATACGTTTCAATTTACAATTTCAGATTCTTCAATATAATATTATTCCTAACGAAATATTACTATTTAGATTAAATCAGCCGGAGTTCTGTGTGCTTTTAATGGAACAAAGAAGATGCAAAATTACTAAGAAGTTACAAATATCTATATTATATGTAAGGACCTAGATGTTCAATATGATTGGGATGAAGATCCAAGTTTGTAAATAGAAGTTATTTGTTTAGAACTCACTTCACAAAAAGAATGTGAAAATTCGAAAAAGTAGAAATTACAATATAATTCTACTTAAACTAATTAGACATTTCCTAAAGCAACTATGGCACCATATACAATTTAATCTTGGAAAGTAATTGCCACAAAAAATTCATTGTCATATTACTATAACATTAACATTATATACCTGGATTATGATTTCAAAATCCTAGCTATAGAGTATAATAGTGGATATTCGGTGAGGCCTGTTAATAATTATGAAGATTTATAATTTACTTTTAATATTCCATTTTAGGATAGATAGTACCTTTTAGATTTTTCAATTGCATTAATTTATGACTATCAATTAATTTCAATACTTAAACCTCAATACTATTAATATTCTTTTTAATTATATGATTATTATTAACAGTTTAATAAAGGAGATAAGTTTAATCTTAAATTTCTGGCTTAATTTACTAATGATATTATTCCCAACCAGGAAGACTTGACTTTATATTTAAATTAACCTCCAATATGTAATTTAAAAACGCGTTAATAGTTTTTATAAGCCTTAGAATCTTAGAAGATAGCAATTAGTTGTGAATAATCTAACGATAAACCATATTAGTATTAAATGAAAGTGTTTTTTTTTTAAGATGATTTTGAAGAGTTTAATAAAAAGTCATCCGATAATTCCCTACTTTATTACAGCTTTTAACCATCAAATCATTTCACAGCATACTTTCCTAGTTCAGAAATCAATGTTATTTTTTAGATCATAGATATAAGGGGATCGATAACAAATATCCTTATGAATTTTAAAATCCCAAACAAACAAATCACATGCAATAATTTGAAAACTGACCAATTGACGTTAAGATAAAAGATTGCTTGGATATTTGAAATAATGATTAATCATAAGGATGAATAAAATTGCACTATATTGAAAGATGAATTATATAATTCAGTTGAATAAGAAATAAATTCCGAGGATCTATATGAAAAATTATTGGTCTATTAAACAATTAATCTATACAAAAAATTAATACTAAAGTAGAGAGTTTCAAATTCCTCAATGAGATTATTAGAATAAAATTAGTAAATTGAATGCTACAATAAGGATTCTTCTCTCTTTACGAATACTGATTAAGAACTTACTTAGAAAGCTAGTACTAATATCTCATCCTTAATAGCAAGTTCTTAAAAACTTGAGTCATAAATAACAGATTTAATCTAGTTGAAGAGAGATCTCGAAGAAGAAAATGCCTAAAAAAACAATCTAATTATTGACACTGAGTAAGTCATGAAGGTTAAAGGTGCAATCTAAATGATATTTAGTTCAGTACATTTGATTGACAATTAATTGCAGATTATTTCATAGAATGAAACATCAGTAGAACATTAAGAACAAGTAATGAATATAACTTAAACTTTAATTTAATTAATTGAGAAAATTATATTGCAAATTAGTGACAAAGTTGAAGTGAATGGTTAGGTTTTATAAATTTAAGGAATGATGTTGGAGTTATAACTTTAAAAAATTACTAAGTCTGTATATAATAAAGAGTTTTAATTAGACGATGATTATTTGGATAATTTAATTGCCTATTTATAGAAGGAACAATTAAAACTTAATTACAATTATTATAATCTATCAAAACCTTAAAGATCTATGCTTCAAATTTACTTAAATCGGTCAGATTTTGAGATTAATTAAAATTATTTTGTCAAATCAACCCTTACTAATTTTCTTTACACTAATTCTTATATTAATCAGCTTTAATTAAACACTTAGTATAGGATTGACTTGGCCGAATTTCAATATTGCGATACTTCAAAAGGGGTATCTGAATTTTTGCAATATAATTATTATTGTATGAATCATTTAGAGGAAAACACATTTGAAGATTGTGATTTATAAATGGATGGAATTAATAATCAAAGTGTATAACTTTATTGTAAATGTAAATCCTTTGGAAATTTATTTTTGATAAAAGTTGCCAATAAATCTACGAATTAATAAAATAGTACACTAGTGAAATAAATCTAATAGGATACTAAGAAAAATGACCTATTTAAGCAAACTTTTCTATATGTTTAGAGTACATTTATTATATCATCTATCATGGTTTACTTTACCTTCGTTTATCTAGAATACCAAAGTCAAAAGGAAATAATTATGGAAGAAGGTTTCAATGATAGATAAGATACACTAGATCCAGCTAAGAAAGTATTTCAAATTCATTTTTATCCAGGACACATCTCTATGATTAAATCATCCTTCTAAGTAAATATTTTTTCTAAAAAAATAGAATATCCATTCTATTTTGTAATTTTGTTAAAGTGACCAGAACCCTCTGAAAAAAAGCTTTAGATTTTTGTAGATTAGTAATTAAATAAGCATTTTAATATTAACATCCATTTGGGAAGTATTATTTATTGAAGTTGTCATTATCAATGCATATCTAAATCTCCTTAATTTTTGATCTTTAGAGCAATTTCAAAGATAACTTAAGCAATTTATATGTTTGAGGGTAAAGTTGCTGTAGCGATGGTTGCATTATATCTTTGCTTACCATTTTTATATTTGTTCCTTACAATTTTAGCATTAAATTAAATGTATAATATTTTCTCATAATAGCGAAATAAATAATTCTGGGGTGGATATGCAAATAACCTTAAATCTTTTAAGCACTTTATTATTAGTTTTTTTCATTTATGAACCAATTGCAATTTGCTTCAGAATTGTTATTTACAGATCTTTTTTGAACAGTATTAAACACAATGAATTTAACCCAATCAACCATTTTGTTTATTTCTTTATCTATCATAGCAAAATAAATAAAACTTTTGATGAATTAAATATTGGATGAATCTGATTTTATTTTAATATTAAATATAATCTGTTCGAATATTTTAAATAGTTATCTAATTTCTATAATAAAAACTTATTTGTTTACCTCCTCTTAAAAATTGGTTTTAAATTTAAAGTCTTAATTATCATTTTCATTAAATTTTATATTTTTTTTTGATTATTAATTTATAAATGATCCTGATAATTTTTTGACATCCAATTTAATGAACAAAAAGATTTCAAAAATTTGAACATAAACATAATTAAAAAGATGGCTCAAATAATTTTAAATTAATGAAAAAGATTCAAATGACAGATACTAAATATTTTCTGACCAATTAAAACTCAAAATTTTAGGATTATTATATTAATAAAAAAATGTTTTGAATATTTATAAATTAATGCCTAACTGAAAATTGTAATAGAAATTCTACATTTTCAAGAAAGATATTTGATAAAATAAAAAATATCAGATTAAATATCATTATTCGGATAGGATGTAGAATATGTAAGTAGAATTAAATAATATATTAAAAGTCAATTTATCAATAAGATTAGAAAAATAAAACAATCAATCAAGATTTCATTTTTATTTAAACTTATATGCTTATAAGTATATTTAGAAAGGATTTACATAATGCTTTAATAATTTTTCCATTTATTTAGCCAATCCTTTATGAAATCTTAAATTAGTATTCAAATTGGTGATTCAATTTTTTTGAATTTTTACCTTGTTCAAAAACAGAAATTTATTTATTCACAATTTAACTGATGAATCATTTTCTTAGTTTATAAGTAAGATACATAAGGTTAAAAAATTCAAATTATCTGCTTTTAATAACAAAATAAACATAAAGAATAACTCTTCTATAAATTTTAGTAAAAAGAAATGAGAATTAGCGGCGGTCTTATGAATATTTATGTATATTCACTCAATGATAATAATAATAATTATTATTCGACCCTAGTAAAAAGAGCAAAAATATTAAATATTCTTCATTTAAAATGTTATGATTCTTTATCCTTGTATTTATATTATTAGTAAATAAATAAAATCAAAGTTTCTTTATTATTTATCTTTTCAGATTAACTAAATTCTGTATCAACATGATTCTTGATATTTCATTTCTTTTATAATTTTATAATTTAACTATTATAAACTCGCCCAACTAATCAATGAATTATAATATTTAATTATTATGAGATTTAATTTATTTCAATAGAATTAATTGTTCCATTTCTTATTCGATATCATTGTCTAAATCAAATTTGTTTATCAACACTTTGATAACTTCATTATTAATTTAATTAAGATTGAATGTCAATTAAAGCCTTTCATTATCAAATTAACTTTTAATAAAAGCATAAACTATGTTATAATGCGAATTACTTTATTGATTTCCAATTGCTTGATAGAATTGAAAGGTATTACGAATGAATTGAAGAATTTCTTCCTCGATTTCCTCTGGATTAGAGGATAGCAATTTGCAGACTTATTGTAATTTATTATAAGAATAGGAATCTTCCCTTCTAAAAGTAGTTAAGAGACTTGCATTTCTAAATTTGTCAATTTAACTTTATAAAGATTCGATTTTGGACATATATTGTTTCTGAAATAATATAGATGATAAAATACTTCTTACTAGGAGGTATTCAAATGTTATAATAATTCATTTTCTTTAATTTAGTTAGTTAAGGTCATTAATAATTGTTATTAATTTGATAGTTATTCCTCTTAATTTGCTATGATATCAGTGCTTTCTAAATAAATGAATCAGATTTACATTACAATAGCTATTTGTAATGGAGGATGACTTTGCTATTAATTTCATCTTATTGCAGATATTGACTTTTGTCTTTTTTGAATTGGATGATAGATGAATATATGTGCAAAATGAGTTATTCATCATTATCATGGTTAACTTCAAATATTTCGTTTAGTTATTTGCGAAGTGATTGTTGTTACGATTACAATTAAATAATGAGTTCATCTTTCTGTTTAATCTGATCATTGAATTTTTTGGAATCATCATCTCTTAACTGAATAGATTGTCCTTCTGATTTGATGTGATTTGAATGATAACTGATGGATCTAGTCTTTTGTTTATTCTGTCTCTTGATATTACTCATAATAGCATGTAGTGATACAACCTTGTTGCTGGGTTTAAATGGTTAGTTAAGCATTAAATTAATAAATGATTAATTCACGAATAATTTAACTCATTAGTTTCTGATTCCCATTTAGCAATCTGTTCCATTACAGTATCAATAAAATCATCACTGATTTAATCTTTGGCTAGTAACATATTGAGAATCTCAATTACTTGATACTTGACAATTTTGTCTAGCACCAAATATTTAAACTCAATTGATAAAATATCAAAAGCGTCAAACAAGTCCAAAATATAGCAAGCCTTAAAACAGCCCTATAGTAATCTAATGATTAATTATAAATTGTATACATTTCTCTAATTTACTTCATAACATTTTATTCCTCCAACACTTAAGTTAGATTTGCTTCATTTAATTTTTAGAATTTAATTAGGTTTTTGAGTAGGATCAGATATTCGGCCACTATTTCCTCAGAGAAGTGATTTGAACCTTCAAAATAGAGATCAAGAAAGGGTAAGAAATGATATATTACCACGCTGGCTAGATGTTGATATTAAAATGTTAGAATGTTGTTCAAACATTTATATATCTTAATTATTAATTGTTCATCTGGTGTGCTTTATAACCAAAATAACATGTTGTTCAATAACCCTATATCCATCAAATGCTTTTCTGCACTAAAATCAGAGATTGGAGAATCCTCGTCGTAATTCATAGAAGTTAAGTTGATAAATAGACCATACATTAGCAAAGGCAATTTATTGATTAGTATCATTTTCACCCAAATATGCTTAGTTAGAACTATGGTAGTCTCAAGCTAATACTCAGAACAGTAATTAATTAATAGCAATGCTGTCTCGTATAATTGATCTTATTCCGAAAGTTCCTTTATTACATATCCACACTACTTTAGTATTCTCTACAACTATATGGATATTAAATAATGGCGTATACATTCGATGATACTATTTCTGTGTCTGGAATGGCTGGTTTCAAAAATAGCATCTGTTATAAGAATAGCATTGAACTCCAAAGTTGTTATGGTGGAAACTCTTTATAGATGTATTGCCAGATCTTAAAGAAGGGGGATTTCATTATTTCAATTTTCATTTAGACTCCTCTTTAATCTTTCATATCTAGCAACAAATTAATAAATAGTTAACAGAGCTGCAAGTAAGTAATATTATTACACTATCAATTATCGATTACCAAACATCATAATTAATTGCTAACTTTTGCTTAGTATTCATTCGACCCAATATATCATTCAAAAGGATGTCCTATAAATCATGGTTCAATAGGTTATTAATAATTTATGGTGCATCCACATATGTAATATTGACCAATATAACAAGGACTTGATTTATACACAGCATCCTTATCTCCTCTATATTGCTCTCCTATGAAACATCAGACATACGCATAATTTGCATGAATAGTTGAGTGGTTTCTTAGTTAATGCTAAAATGATTTATATATTGATTCATTGACACTTCATCAGCTTATTACTTTCTCACGATAATTATTAGGAATTGTTCGTTGTACTTATAAAGTAAATTCTTGAGTGTTAAAAAGTCTTTGAGCATAAAACTTTTATAAATTTAGAGAATCAATTCATCTGGCTGGCACTTCAAAACTCCATTTAAATCACTATTCAAATCTGTGTGTCTCTTTCGTGAAAAGATCTCTTCTCGTGCCTATTTTCTAATCTGAATAACAAATTGTTCCCTCTTCAATTGCAATTATGTATTAAACATTAAAATATAAATGAATAACTATGAAAAAAATATTATAGTATTGACTCATTGTCAAACTGTATTCAATAATTTGCAACAAACTGTTCTAATAGAACTTCATTAAATAAATATATGGAAATCATCTAAATCTTCTCGATTGATGAAGTAGACTTATATTTTTATTATTTTTAGAATTTTCAAAGACATAAGTTGAGTACCTGTAGGAGAATTTGATGAAATATTAAATAAGGATAATTAGAATGAATTAGAGTATAGTAGAAAGACAAATTTTATTAGGTATTAATAAATAATGAGAGTACCAAAATATGAATCTATTATTAAAAACACTTACATGAAAGCATTAGGTGTTGTTTACTAATATTAAAATGAATTTGAACTGGATTATGATATAGAATCTAATTATTTATTTAAGAAATTGATTTTAATTTATTATTTTAATAGAATTGTTGTATATTTATTATAAACCGAAGAATGAATACATAATTTACTTCATAATAATATTATTATAGTATAGATTGCTAATAGTTCTAGACTGTCTTGTCATTAGAAAAAGTCTATTGAATATACATTTTATGAGATAATTTATAATTTGATTCAAAGGTTGTAATGTATATTCCATTCCATGTTATTTACTCATTACTAATATCCATATCTTTTATATATCTCTGTGTGAATAAAATGATTCAAATAATTCACTAAAACCTTTTATATGATGATAATTCAAATTATAATTAAATATGGGATAAAAAATATCAAAAAATAAAGTAGTCATATTATCCTCATTAGGAGTGATAGGTTTTTGGTAAGTCCTTATTGAATATTTCATAGCGCCTACTATAAAATGAGCTCTAAAGAGAAACAAAGCTTAGAGAAATTATATTGGAAGCATGATTTAGATCAATATTTGGACACAAACGATCGATCTATAGATTAAAAATTACAAATTAGCCATGATATCGAAATTAGATATAATGAAGATCATTTTTTAGAGGCTAATTGCATAGTGGAGATCTATGCCAATTAGTTAGAAATAGCAGGAGAAGACTATGTTAAATTGAGTAAGCTCAATCGAGTTCAGAGGAGGAGACTACGAAAATAAAAACAAGAATTTTATGTTGATAGTATTATCTAATTCATCATGAATGTTGAAGATGTCTTAGATTAAGCATTAAAAAGACTACTTTATGAATTAGATGTACCCAAAGAGATATTTGAGGAGAGTGTACTTGTGAGAATGGATCAGGGATATTTTCAGCAGTTGTATATGTTGTAAGCAAGTGTAAAACAAAAACTAAAAGAGAAAATTGAATCAACTAAGAAATTGAATTTAAAATAAACGAAGGAAATTATTCAATTTAGTGTAAACATTCTAAGGAATTTCTCTTAAGATTATCAAGACATTTTACATCGAATTGTATACTTACAGAATATAGTCATAGCCCTCAGAAAATGTAATGTTGATACCAACTATTATCAACATAATAATACAAGATTTGATTTATGCTAAATTTGGAGTTGAAGAAGAGGATCAAATTGCAAGTCTCAGAAATGCTTAAGGTGATTAAGAAATTCTCAATCTTCTAAACAAAGTGGAAATTGAAATGAGTAGACTCTTGTAAGAATAAGGTATTAGATTGAATGACATCCCTGAGAGTTTAGAAAATTTTGTTTGATTAAATAATAAATTTCATAATTTAGGTTATTCTAAAGCTGATTGAACAAATTTCTAAATTTTCTTAAGTTACTCGAATGAAAAAATCGGAACTCTGTGTGCTTTTATAAAATTAACACTTACTCGAATCAGTTTGGATGATTAAAGGATTCAAAAACTCACTAGATTGAATTAGTGACTCCATTTAGAGGGGATCTCTTGTTCCCACAGATTAAATTGTTGGAATAGTGATTAACCTTTTTTAGGAAAAAATCTCTTTCTTAGCTTTTATGCCATGACAAGAGAAAGCCATAAAAAATTTAAGTCTCTTCCTCAACTCTTAATCAGTATGAGCTAACTATCCTAATTCTGTCACTAATAATGTTCCTTGAGAGAATCCAACTACTCCCACGATTGTTGGATCATTAATTATTTTAGCCCTTAAGTTGGCTATATCTTATGAATGATCAAGGTGGATATCCCCCCATCTATAAAGCGTTTCTTATAAATATATTAGAATATTACTTCCTACTCCTTATGGTACTTATATGTGAGATGGTAATTGAGAAATACTCTTACTAACATCATAGGGAGGATCTAAGTATTCAAATTTGATCACTGAGGCCAATGCCTTTTCTAATTGAGCCATTAAACTCTTCATTATGTCAGCATCATTTAACCATCCAGGCAATGCTAAACATTTATATTGCTGCATATTAATCTATTTAATTGCGTATTATTTTAAATTTGTATTTGATTATGATAACAATAACACTATTGATGAACCCCTACTATATTATGTTGGATTTAATTCATAACGGTTTATTTAAGGAGATTTTCAGGGATCTTATTAAGATTGATGTTTGTTTAATATAATTATGAAATATCTGTCATCCATAACAAATGTTAAATTATATAAATACAATCAAATTAACATTGAGTTCATTTTTGTTTTCCACATTTACATCCCCTACATCTATTCTTTAGGATATTCCGCAGCAGATACCATTTTCGGTTTCAATATTTTCAGAAATACCTTATTATTTTTTGCTGGATGCATTGTATTGTCTTGATACTCTAGATTGTACACTCTTATAGTATCACTATGCTTTAATTTATCTGCATTGTCCAAATCAATAGAAACTTCCTTATGATGTTTTCCTCCAAAGTTTTCAGTATTCTTTTTCACAAGAAAAGGCTTTGAACTTTGAACCTGTCTTCTTTAATTAATTTCTTCCTTTATATTCTTTCTGACGAACTCCTTTCCAGTTAGAGTTATTGCAGAATTGGGTCTCATTCTTTTAATTTTGTTAATAATTTCATTGGATTCATCCACCATAGAGGATTATGGTCTTCCCTTCATGCGAGACAATTAATCCTCAAATTCTTATAATGTGAGAACCTTGGCCAATGGAGATTGTTTATCATCCATTTTCATGCTGTCAGTTTATTTATCTGAATATTCTACTCTGTCAATTTTACTAAGCATCATACTTGATTTATTCTTGCCAACTGAAGATTATGGTGATCTCAATAATTTAACAGGTTCCTGCACAGTTGCTGATTTGGAAGCCAGAAATTGTAGAACCTACTTTGTATTAGCTCTTCTCTTCCAATTCTTTATGAATATGACTTTCAATATAGCACTTACTAATGGGAACTCCTAGAAATCACTTGGTGGTGGTTCCCTATATATTATATTATAAGCTATTGATCTCTCATTGGCTCCAGAAAAAGGCAACTCACATTTCATTAAGTAATATGCTATGCATCCTGCACTCCAAATTCCAGATGACTCCACCTCCTTCCTTAAGACTTCAGGAGATGCAAATGAAAGCTATGCGTTCACTATGTTCAAAACATCTATCTAATAATAACAATTATAATAATACTTTCACTTATAATTATTCATCCAGAAACACATTATTCAATGACACTGTTATTGGTATTTACTGTTGTTCCAAATAAAACATTGCCGATATGATTTGGTATAATATCGTCAGAATGGTATTTTCAGAGAACTTATTGTTTTGCATTATCTAATATGATATTATTCATTACTTCTTATAAATCATTGATGTTTTCGCACCTCTAAACAGAACAAATTTGTCCTCTCTCTTCCCAATACTCCTACACTAGTAATAAATTTGGATGATTCAAATGGTAAAGTAAACGATTAAACTCGCTCGGAGGTTGGATAGTTAATATGTATGTCTCCTTTGTCTACTTGTGATAACAAAAAGCTTTGCTATTGGAGATTTTATGGGTTTTTTCTAATTAACATAATTACATAATTTATATTATAAACTATTAAATTCAGATCCTAGTTTTTTTTTTCAGTTAATCTATTATATTCTAGAGAATATATGTCATTTCTGAAGTTGGTTACTATAGAATACAACAATATATATTATATTAACAAATAAAGTGTCAAGCATAAATAATTCATGATAAATGTGATGGAGGTTTCCAGATGGGAGGATATAAAAACTATTTTATCTCACTTACAATCTATATAGAAATTGATATCTTACTTCATGATTCCACAATTTAGTGTACTTAGCAGGACTTAATTTTAATTTGTTCATCTTTATTGCCCAAATATTCTACTCCTTCTTTGATAGTAATGCCTATTTATTTTTCCTACCTCTATATTATATAGATCGATTAGGTTTCTTCTATTCTCTGTTTGATTTATTTGATTGATCAGTTCCTCTAGTATTAGGAGAATTTGACAAAGAATCAAACTTAAATTTATTATTCCCATTTTGTTGATGATCCACACTACTACTATATTGTGTGGGAGTTTTCTTATTGAGAACCAATTTAGGAAGAAACTTCTTATTGCTCTCAGTTTGAATTCCAATGCTTGAACTATTCTACCTGTGTGAAGCATCTAGAGTTTAATAATGAAGTCCTTAATCAGTAGGACTGAGTATTTCAAATTGTCTTTACAAAATAGGCAATCTCTGATGAAATTACGCCTCATTGTGACTAGTTTAATGAGAAGCAGTTTGAATAGGACCAGGAATGGTGTCTGTCTTTGAAGTAAGAATTTCTGATTAAAATTAATTACCAATTTCATCCTGATCTGGTTCATCAGGCATTTGTGATCTAATTTCATCATCCTCATTTATCTCTTTTAAGTTATGTTATTGTGGAAATTAATTCAATGAGACTCTAACCTTGTCAATAGTTTATAACTGATTGCTTTTCCAATTCCCCTTCAATACTAGAGTGTCATATTCATATACCCCTTCTCCTTCCATCAACCCATCCACCCAGTAACCCTTATAAGTGGCCTTGTCTTACCATATGATTTCACCATATCCACATCTTTTGTCATCCACAAAATAGCCTTGAAATATAGTTCCATTGGCATATTGAAACACTCCTTGCCCACATTTTTTATCATTAGCATATTAACCCTTGTATATGTTTACTCCTTCTTGAGTCTTACTCTCCCACATTCCTTAACCATTTCTTTGGCCATTCACAAATTCTCCTTTATAGAAATTACCATTATTCCAATAAAATTCCCCATAACCATTAGGTTTCCCATTTCTATACTCTCCAACAAAGTAATCCCCATTTTCAAAATATTCTTATCCTTTGCCATGTTTGAGATCATTGGTAACATAACCAACATATCTAAAATTATGAGTCAGTTATACATGTCTCCATTGATGTATATGCAATGTCCGAAACATCTTCCATTTTCCCATTGTCCTAGATAATAATCGGAATGACTCCCTTTATACCATCCAATTCCATGCTTTGAAAATAGAAATTGTTATATACTTTCTTTCCTTAATGCCATTATCCAATATACTTCTAGTTTTTTGACCAGAACACTCCTTCTCCATGTGGTACCCCATTGAGGTATGTACCATAGTAAAATTGATTTTGCTTCAGCAATTCAAATCCTATGCCATCCTTCTTGTCTCTCAGAAAAGAACCTTCGTACAGTTGTAATGTTGATTTAATTAAAATGCCTTGTCCTTGTCTCAAACCGTCAATCAAGGTTCCATAGAATGCTGCATTTTTGTATAACTTAATCTTAACGTCTTAAATATGAGTTAAATCTAAAATGATTGGGTTGTAATTCTAAAAGAATTCAACCACATTTTCTTGCGTAGGAAATTAAACAGCATTGATTTATTCTGGGATTGGGAACTTGGTTTTTATTTGTTAGACCAAGACATGGAATTGTTATAGAGCGATATTTTCATAAACTCTTTGGAGAGTCTGGTAAGATTATTCCTATAAGTTAGGGAATAATTGCTATATATTTTATTATTTTATCATTAATAAAACTAATCTAATTAGAGGTTGTTTTATAAAATGATTATTTAGACTCGAATCATTCACTCACATCTATTTTATGATAAAATCTAAAGAACTATCAATGATAGAACCACTTATCGAAGAATCTTTAACATTTCATTTTGTGCTGCACATCAATGTTCCCATTTATGCAAACGAAGGCTTTTCATAATTTTATAAATTTCATGAATTCAACAATGCCCTTATTTTCATATTTTTAATTCTATCTATCTGATCCTTTCTTTTCTTAAGTTAGCAAGTGGAATTTATGAAAGAATTCCCTATTCACTACTTGATGTATTAAATTTGTATACTTCTTCACATTTCCCTATCTTCTAATCTAATTTCTTAATCAACTAAAATTTCTCCATGATTTAGAAGTTATGAATTGATAAAAGTAGATTCAGCAGCGCCATCTATGTGCTGCTATCCCTTAATTGTCTCTATTTTTGTCAATAAATTTACCCCTTGATTTCTTATCTGGAGATTTATTAACGAATTCAGTTTCATTTTTCTTCACTGTGTTTATCCTCTCTTGGTAAGTTTATAGAAAGGTAGAGTACAATGGAAAGGACCACCTTTGCAGAGAAAAGCTTCTTCTTTAAGATTCACTTGTGCTAAGGTTGCAATTATTAAGTTAATTTTATTGAATGTATTCATAAATAATTATTCATTTTTATCTGATTTGGATAATTTGTTGATTTCTAATCTAAAATAAAGGTTCCAATATCAGTCTACTCGATTTTTATATACTTTGGAGAAGAGGTATCTTTAAATTTGTTGTCATATTTATTTCCCTCAACATTTTGTATATCACATTATTATATACCTTTGTTTTTCCCTTTTACAGGATCTAAAACAAAAAGAGAACTAAAAATCATACAAGTTCAACTATAATATTCTAGCAGTGCTAAATTTTTAGATGAAGCATTTCAACATTCCCCTGGTTCTTAGCATACTTTTAGTTGAAGCTTCAACCCTTAAGAATATATTTATAATTTATTATATTGATTAGAAAATGCATACAAAAAATCATTAATTCTTTAGTCCTTAGGTTTCTACTTATCAATCCAATCTAAAAGAGTAGCTCATCTTCTTCGAAAAAATATTCAACTTAATTTAAAATTCAAGGACAGAATCAGAATAAATTATTACCATACAAAAAACAAAAGTCATATATACGTAGAAGCAGATTAAATTATTTACCTTGATGATTTTATACTAGACTGTTAATAACTAAATTATACTTAATGCTCAGACCTGGCAAGCTAAGATCATATTATTTATCATTAACTTATTTTTAATCATCGCATGTATTCTAAAGAATTCAGTTTTTCTTATTTTATAAAAAACTTTAATTTTGAAATTAATATTATGGTTATTCATATTTGCGATTAATTAAAGTCAATTTGGTTTATATTATCATAACTTTATAATTTAGAGTTTATATTAATTTATTTTTATGTATAATTAAATTGTTATTTAATGTATATATCTTTATTTTGTTTAATATTTGAAAAGATATATATGGTCACAAATTTAGATGTCCTGGTAATAACAAAACTGCAAACTTCTGTCTTAATTAGTTTTTCCAGGCGTTCAGATTAATGTGCCTCAAATTTTTGAAGGAAGGGAAGCATCTTCACTAATAGAATCTTCATTATTTTCAAGAAATGCCAGAACTTCTTGAAACTGGATAAAGTATAACCTTTATCTGGTATGGAATAATTGGATCAAATTAAAGCCTTGTGATGATGCTTCAAAATGGATTGATAAACAAGTATCAAGTTCATTAGAAGATGTGTTAAGTATGAATGATAATTAATTATATTCTTTTATTGATCATATGATTAAGAATGAAGAGAAGTTGAAGTATTTCAAAAATCCATACAATCTTCGCTTAATTCATTAAGTGGCTTAATTTTATCGAATAGTTAAATAGTTGAGTTATAGTTATACACATAAACTAGATATTAAGTGTAGGCTAAATTGGTTATTCATGGTCAAATTTGATATAGAATTAGAATAATAAAAGTAGTATTATTTGTAAAGGTATTGATAATGAAAGTGATACTGTTTCAAAAATTCAATAGCCAAAGATTTCCTGATTTTGATATTATGTAAAGAATAGTAAGAATAAGAATTCATAATGAAAATTATTATTTTAGACAATCTAATTCTAACATAATCAACCCCTCGGAATTGTACACAGAATGCAATTGATCTTGCTTCTACAAAGAATTTCCTAATTTTGATGATGTGGATAAAAAGAAATGTATATAGCCTAAAAATAATAAATATTTTGTGAGTAAATAAATGAAATCACATCAATAATTTTACATTGAAGTAGGCAAGCTTGGATATTAGGCATAAAAAATAATTAAGTATAGTGAATTGTATCAGAAATTTTAACTAAATTATAATTTTGGTCATATTTAATTAAGAAATTATTTATGAGAATTTAAAAGCTAATATTAGGTAAAATTTGGCTAAATTTTAATTAAAGGACTTATTATTCTTGAAATAAAGTTCATAAAAACATTAATTATTTGATATGTTCATAAAAATTCTTTCCATATCATTGAAAAATAGTTTTGAATTTGAATTTAAGATAATATCTTTTCAATAAATTGAAAAGATATTATTAAATGATCAATTATGAAAAAAATATCAATAAATAATAATATTGAAGAATTCTCATTTAATTCATTTGTTCCTTAATTGCAATTTCCAATTGATTTTTAAATAAATTCTTCTTAAAATTTTTAATTTATAATAACAATTAAATATCATTTATTACACTCAAAATATTCAAACCTTTGCTTATGATATCGTACAAAATTCTTCCTTATCATCTGGTGTTTGGAATTTAATTCTACTTTTCTGTCTATCATTTGCAATCTAACTTTGAATATATTAATATTACATTCAAAAACAATAAGTGTCTTGAGGGCATAATATCTAACACTAGTTCATTAACATTCTGAATTGCCATACCATTAATAGGATAATGAAGAACTGGATTATCAATAGCTTTAATTCAAATTAATAAATACCTTCTACAGTTTCATCATGTTTTAGCCAACAACCAACATATTTATCTATGGTTAGCACTAGGATAGCTTATATCTCATTAGTTTTATCTATAACATGTACTTTGAATTCCTTAATCAACAACAATCTTGCTGCTTGGCATCCCAGTTCTTTTATAACTAAAGTCTAAAGGAATTCCTCTTCATGTCCATCTTCAAATTAAGACATCTCTTTTGGTAATAACTTTTTTAATTTGTAATGATCCTCAACATCTATTGTCAATTCTGGTAATTCTACTTATAAATTATGAACTTCTGCTATTCCTTTTTTATAAATCTAACATGAATCTTTAGCCCATTATGCCCTTGTTTATTCAATAGCAATGACTTATTTCCAATATGATAAAACCTTTTCTACCAATTAATTCAATAATTTATTAGCATACTATTGAGTGGCCACAAAACTAATTATAAGTCTATACACATCCACTTATTAATTTTGTTACTTTTTTCCATCCTCATTCTTAATATATTACTAGATATTTGGCTATCCTTAAGATTAGTAATTTTTTGATTTCAATTTATTTTAATCTAATGTTTATCGTTCTTTTAATTATTATTATTATTTGTATTATTCTGCACTACTTAATGTTTCTACAAAATGCTACGGCTATTTTTCTTATGATTGCTATTAGACAGACTACTCCTAATTATCCTTAAGTTATTCTTGATTTTGAAATTATTATGGTTATTCTTCTTTATGCTAGATTGTTTCACTTTTAGTTTCATCTTCTTTGTTAAGTGATATTTATAACTCTTATTTTTATTATTCTTGTTATTCTTACAAGTCTTCTGATTTTAATTCACTTCCATTACTTAAACTTTATTCATCTCTTAATTATTATTCCCTAATTTATCTTTCTTATTCTTTTATCTATTTATTAAGTTCTATATCAGCTGGATTTTATTGAAATTCTGTTCCAACTACTTCATTACCTTGAGCTTATGTATTTTACTTATCAGTTTTACCTTATTATTATTACTCGTCAAATATTGGTTTTCTCTGTCTTTAAGGTACTTGATGCTGTGGGAATTATTAGATTATTAAATTCAATTTCTAACCTGCTGTTGTAATGTAATTTTACAATAATTTTTTCTATGTAATTATTGAACTCAAGAGCACATCCAATTTTCTATCCATATCACCCAATTCGCTAAAGGATTTGGCTTTAAGTATTTCAGTTTAAATTTTATGAGCAAAATTTCCAATTTTTTCTAATCTTTTTAAATTGTTTTCCTCAAATGTTGAGACTGAGATTCCGACAGTAGCATAAAGTTACTAATTCAATGGGTTTTATTTCATTGCAGGTTAAGGTTTAGTGATAAGAAATTAAGCATATTGTTACTCATGGAAATATTTCTCATTGAAAAATTTGTAAACAATTTGAAGGAAATCAACTGATAATCGGATTTTGTAATCACATGAATTTGCTAATTCTTCCACAATTTCTCTATTCCGTTCGAACAATTCCATTCTATCTTAGGCCCATTCTTTTAATAACTTTAAGCTTTCCTCCTTTCTCTATTTTGAATTACAAAAAAATAGATCACTCTACTCTTAAGTCTCGTCTAATTCTGAGTATTATTTTGGAAAGGATGGAAATTTTAAAATACTCTTGTAGTACTTTATGGTTGTTAATATTGAATTTGAATCTTCTGACATTTCAAAAAGTACTAAATTAAATATTGAATTTTAAGTATTTAAAGTAATTAAGAAGCATAGTATAATATAATTAGTCACTTTTTTTTCAATATTTATTAATAATAACACTTAAAATCAATTTCTCTTTATCGCAAGTGTCATTTATTTTTTAACCAATATAACTGAAAACAAACGATAATATTTTGGAGATATATAAAAAAACTCATGAATTTGATTATTGTTATAATTTATATTACTGATTATTATAAAATAATTAATGCTATAAAGAAGATTTGCTTTATAGTAAATGAGATATTAAAATTTATAATTACTCAATTTTTGTTATGAAAATCATAAAATTCTGTATTATACATAGTCAAAAATTATTATTTTGTTAAATCATTCAAAATTATTATATAATATTTTATTAAATTATAAATATTTGTATAATTTATTCTCATTATAATTTTAATATTATGTTTGCTATTCAAAGCATTAACATCTTACAAAATTCTATTGTTCTAAGTAACAATTATATCTCATCATTTTTTCTGAAATAATTTCTGTTTAATTCCATGGCGATACTTAATTTTTACTAAATATCTAGTACAACTTTCCTCAATTAAATGGCTTTTTGCTTGGACTTCTCAAAATGGAGAAACTTTAACTATATATAATATTATTATTAATATCATCAAGCAGAAGACAAATTAAAGGTTGTAACTACAATTCTTGTTATTAAATGATCATCATCTGATCACAAAAGCATTACGGTTTTCTTTTTACAATAAAAATTATCTTTCTCTCAGATTTTGTTATTGTAAGATTCTAATGAATGATTTTGGTATTCATATATGAGATTGTGATCCATATACATTTTAATAATAAAAATTAAACATGCAAAACTTAACTCAGAGTCCAATTAAACATCTAATTATAGAAGGGGATAATAGTCCTGTAAATTTTATAGATGACTTTGAATTATCGAGCCAATCTTCCTAAAACAATACATTTATCTAATCAGCAAGGAAGATTTCTGATGGGGACAATACAACAAGAAGAAAAAAGTTTCGGTCTTAAGACTTCACTGAATAATTATACATGTGGAATGGCTACTTAGTGAAAAAATTCGAACCGAAATAGTTTTGAATGTGAATTTATGATTTATATATTGCTTTGACTTTTTAAAATTATTCAATGATTAGCTTAATTATATAAATATTGCCAGATTTGAAATAATAAAAATAATGTGCATTAGAAAATAGCAAATTTATTTATATAGTAAATAATATTAAAAAAGACTTTATAAAAGTTTCTTTAATTTCTTCCAATTTATATATATTAATTAAAAATGCAGTAGTTTCATTAAAATTCCCTTTCTCCATTAATTATAATTGGTGATGTCGATAATCTAGATGATGATTTAAAGTCTAAACAATCTCCTGAAAAATCTCCATCCTACTTAGATTTCAATAATTAAAAAAAAGAAAATACTGAGAAAAAAGAAAATAATTTAATGATTAAGAAATTCAGCAAGCATTCCTCTGATTTTACAGATTTGTTATACTTATGGAATGATTACCTAAGAAATAAGTTTGAAAAACACAACAGACTTCAATGAGAAGAGGTTTATTTTGATTTTAAATTTCAATGTTACATATTGTTTGTTATTCTGTTTTAATATTCAATAAAAATCATGCTCATGGTGATTTGAATCGATATTTAGACATTAAAGTTTCATTGATATAAGGTGAACATGCCAATATTTATGATTAACGATAGAAATTAATATACTATAAAACAGTCTTTATTCCTTTAAAATTCCAAATTTAGAACTACCAGAACTTTCTAATACAAATTTCCCTTGCTGATTAAAAAACAAATCACTTTCAATAAAATAGAGAATTTCAGATATTTTGACTTATAAAAAATTAATCCAAACTTAGGCTATTCCAGAATAATTCCAAAAGTTCTTTAACTTTTCTAAGAAATATTATGCTATTCTTTATTTAAAAAACTTTAATAACCTCATTTGCATGAAATTCAATTAAATTAACCTATTTCTCTATGAAATATTAATTATAAGTTATTTTACAGACTTTTTGTTTATTTTTAATTACAATTTAGATAAATTGAAATAAAATATAATTAAGAGTTCAATAGCACAAAGAAATCAAGTTAATGGGTTGAATATCAGAAAAAATTGAAAAGAAATTATTAATGAGAAATATGCAATTAAGTAGCGGGAAACTAATAAAATTAATTTAATAAACATTAATACAAAAATAATTGTTGAATAAAACTTGATTTATTCACATCCATTCATTAATCTTTAATTTAGAAAATTAATTAATAAATGATTGTGACCTTTAATTCAAGATTTAATAATATTAATATGAATCAACATATGGATGATATTCTACATATTCTGCATAACAATAATTGTTGAACAGTCTCGTAAAAACATGTATAAAAATGCATAATAGATGGACTTTACATTATACAAGAAAAGGAACATTATCAATACTCAAGCTAAATGTTTAAAATAAAAATAGTCTATAAATTATTCTTTTTAAATTTCAAATTCAAAACACAATTAATTTAATTGTTAAATTTTTAAAACTAAAATAATATGTGTATTTTTATCTATAGATATTCAGTATAATAATGAATATACGTTTGTATTTATTGTAATTTCAGTTTCAAATTAATAATTATTCTGTAAAAACTGTAAGTATTTGGTTGAAATATATTTACGAAAATAGAGTTAAAATTCTAAAAATTCATAAATTTCCATTAAAGAACTGAATTATGTATAAATAATGGAATTCTAACTAAAATTAAATAAATAAGTTCAGGATGATTACAAAAATAGAATATTAAATAATCATCTTTTCAGTAAGAACAAGCATTCAATAGTATTAAATTTAAGCTTAGAATTTAGTAATAGACCAATTATTTTATCTCAAAAACAGTTAAAAAATCATAGCTAACCAAAAATAATTAAACAGATCCTCTATATGTTACAAAGAATAGTTAAAATTAATGTAAATTTGACTTCGAAAATATTGGTTATAAACAAGTATATATATATTAATAGTTTATGGTTCATTTTTAATTATGTAAGATTGTCATGATTTGTTCAGCAATTTTATTAAATTTTTCAAGAGAATACTTTCTTTTGATTGCAGTCATATTACTGCTTTGTAATAATTTGATGACTGGGAGGAATTCTTATAAACACTGCCTAAGGTCTTCTTGGTTATCGACATAATGAAGTGAGGAGGGCAATACCTAAGGTGATCGAAGTAGATTAATGGCTAGGAGAATGGCAGTCGTAGCTAATAGGGATGATGAAAATCTGAATAGATGGATTATTAATACTTGAGACATCTGATGTCTAGGAGAGATAATTCTAGAATCATTCTGGAAGCAAAATTGATTTTGTCACACAAATTGGCTCCAGAAATTTGTCTTTCAAGGAATTTGAGTGGGGAAGTGGAAGTCAAGTGGAATTAGATTGTTAATAAAATTTTGCTTTCCATTTCTGGTATAATAAGGGGTGATAAATACCAAGTATTTCTTCTTTAGTGTATGCATTGTCACAAACGCATACAAAATCTTTAAGTTCAGGAGCATAGATTTCTTCATATTTGGATGCTATGAAGAGGGAGGCGATTCCGACTAGTTATAGTTTATTTCGCATGATGGTGTTTTTGGCAAGGTATCGATCAATTAAATTGATAGTCATATAGAGTGTTTCTGATTGTAACTTAAATTTAAGATGCACATCGACTAGCCAGTCAATTAGAATTGAACGCATTTGATTAGTAATGTCTAATTGTAAGTTCATGTAGAAGGGAGTCTAACACATGAATTTATGTTGATTGACACGTAGATATTCGAAGATATCAGCAACATATGGATTTACGAATTCAGGAACAGGAGGAGGTGTTTCTTCTTCTATCTTCAACATGGGTTTGGAACAGAGGAATTGGGAAGTAGATCGAGTTGGTACTCGTTGTATGTTTGTGATCTCATTTCCGAATTGTCGATTGCGTGTGGTTACAAAGTTATTGTATGACACTCGTACATAATTGTTCTCGTTGTTCGACTTCATTGATTTTTAAATTAACTGTTATAATTAAAATTCTAATCGTAAACTATTAACCAGCAATTCACATTATTTATATTCCTTCATAAAACCATACTTAATATGTATCATAAAAGGGTTTGTTCTTGCTAGTGTTCATAATATGTGCAAATTTAAAATATATTAAATGACCAAAAAACAATAATTTCTAAACATTAATTATGAACAATGTATAAATCGTACTATTTGTGTTTCTAACAGCCAAGACTATAGTGCAAATCATCCATCCACAAAAGACAGAGGTCTTGATTTTCCAATGGTAATCTCAATTCATTATTTCAGGTTCGTCTTGCTATTCATCTAATAAATATTTGATTTGTTAGGATTCTTCAATTTTTTCTATTGGGTCTGTCTGATTGCTTAGTTGACATTCACATTTTTGAAATTCCAACATTTAAATTATTGTGCTGTCTATCTTCAGAACATTTAAATTGATAAGGTCCTAACAGAAATGCGATATCAAATGTCTTACATCTTAGTTACAACAACATCTAAAATATTTAAATTGGTTTTCGTTAAGATATTGCAATCCATCGACAATTAGCAACTGAATGATGAGCGATAATCGAGATTGCAATAACAATTATTGGATGTCAGCTAATTTATAGAAATTGAAACCCAAAATAGATGCAACAAATCTCAACTTAATTATACTTAAATTATGGATTAGACTCTGAATCTCAATTACACAATTATTGAAAAGTGTGATGACTTGCCATCATAACAAAATCGAGAAAATGTAGAAATTTTAAAAGAATTAAATGCCACAACTAAAAAAGTTGAGCAAGTTAAACACCAAATAAACGTTTAGCCAATAGCTTAGTAGGTTTAACCAAAGAAGCCGCCATAAGAACAGTTGAAATAATCCTTATAAATTTAGAACACTATTTAAAATTAGATCACCAATTAGAATTCGAATAATATTTAGAATTAGAATATTGTGTAAAATTAGAACTCTATTTAAAAATCGAAATCTCCTGAACAAATGAAATCATCAAGAGCATCCACAGATTTGAATTCATTGAGGAAAACTTTGGATCTCTTATAAACGGATGAGAAGATCTCATAAAGAATTGTAGTTGAAGCATTATAGGAGAAGGTGCAGGAGAGTAAGGCGAATCCTTCGAAACATGAGTTATTTTAGAAGATGCAGAAATGCAAGGAGAAGATCTTACAATAGCAAAAATAGAATTCTAATTTTTATGAATGAAAAACAAAACCAAAATCATAATTACAAATTATAATTATCTTTATTCACCTAAAATTCTTTGCCGTATTATTCTTCTGTTCCTATTATTTATGAGACTATTGATTTTCTTGAGTTATCTAATGCAACCAGATTAGCCTTCTCAGCTATAACAATCATACGAGTAGCAATGTTTCTTTTGCGATTGATAGCTGCAAATATTACAATTAATGTCAATAGGAGCCAAGAACCCAGCAATATGAATATCCAAGCCAAGCATTAATTTTGAGTTCCACACTCAACTGTATCTCCATTGTAAATACAACAATAATCACATTCAGCATATTCGCATGAGTCTAATGGAAATCTTATTAATCTGTACATTTCTCAGCACTGTAATAACAATCAGTCTCTTATACAGCACAGTAGCCTTCCTGAGTGCAACACTTCAAAGTACCACAATCCACAGCTGCCTTGTTGCTGAAACATGTTTAACCCAAGAGAGGCACAATGAATATAAATAGCAACAACATTAAATATAAAAAATATTGTTTCATAATTAATCATTCGATATTTGAACATCCATCACTCCTACTTCGATGGTGGGATTCGGCATTTCATCTCTTTTTGAAGTGTTGATAGCACTATTTTCTCTTTGGGCTTAAGCTGCTCTATTGTGGATCAGAGCAATTCTTCGCATCGTCGTATTTCGAACATAAAAATAGAGGGCGGTATATATTAAACAGATGGCAATCCAGATCGAAATCGTGATGGCAATAAAAGTGTAGCAATATTAATAGGTTTCACAGAACCAATCTCCATCATACCAGTAGCAACATTCTTGACAGTAGTGCTCAGCCCCCAGTTGATAATAGTCTATAATGTGATATGATCGTTCTTACAGCACTCGGCTTGAGCAAACACAAAACATGCAAAGAGCAACAATATTTTCATAATTAATTAATAATCACAACATTTAATCCTTCTTCAAACCTAACACATTCTATCCGTCTAATTTATAGTAAAACTTCTTCTGTTTCATATTGTCGAAAGGATCAATGATCTTTTGTACCAGTCGTAATGAATCATATGCTCTGTCAAGACACTTAGCCAAACAAACCTTCTCTTGTCCTGCTACATGTGAAATACAAATATTTTTCATACAAATAGGTGTAGAGTAATCAGCAAAACATGTATCCAAACAAGTCATGTAGTAATTTTCCTATAATGTTGTCTTGATATACTTTTCAAAGTCATCTTAAGGCAGTGATTTGGATTACCCTGAGAAATTAGGTTTAAACATAAATAAAAAATTTAATTATTTATGGCAAAAGTAGAATACCACATAATGAGACACAAGTCTTCATAGTTATATTATAAATAATAGTAACTATTCATGATTTGAACATGCTATAAAATTCCTCCTCAGTGATGTATAAACTATCCGAAGGATTTAGGAGATGCCAAAGATTGGAGTGGTTCTTACCCATTAAATGACAGAAATCTGATTCCGATATCTTACCGTCTTGATCATGATCAATCAATTGAAAACAAAACTTCTGGCATTTCTTTGTTTAAATTTTATCTCTGGCTACTGAGGCTGCCAAGAATTCTACTATCTTATTGATAACCATACCCTTGTAAGTGAGTGTATCATCTGGTTACTTATTCAGAGTTGCGTATAGATCATCGATCTGCTAATTTGAATTGGGAAGATCCAGTTAATGTAGGGATTTTTTGAATTCCTATTTCGAAATCTACCCATCCTAATCTGCATCCAGATATAAATATGTTTATATGGCTGAGCCATGATCATCACTATTGTGAAAAAAATAAGTTATGAGAGAGAATATCAATTCTTCGAATAGAGTTGTGGAATGATAATTTATTAATTTAAATATCAATTGTTGATTGATTTGACCTGCAAATTTATGTTTAACAAACCAATCCTCCTGTAATGCTTATAAAGCAGTGATCCTTTTATTGGGATTGATTTGCAACATCTTACTCAAAAGACATTATAATTCAGGAGTAATAGATTTATCAAACGAGAATTTTCCACTCTTAATAGCATTTTTCATCTCTTAATTGGTCCTCCCCATAAAAGGATATCTTTTTTGAACCATATAGAACAAAGTAACACCGCAAGCCCAAATATCAATCTATTTGCCATAGTCTTTGCTGAAAATCTCAGGAGCCATAAAGTACATCTAATATAAGTTTTGATTTTATTACTGATCCTAATTGAGAACTTAGTTTCCGATTCTTCTTGATTTCAGTAGAAATACCAAAATCAATGAGTTTTATGTACGTATTTCCATTGTTATATTGATATAGAATGTTTTCCGGCTTGATGTCTCTGTGAACCACATCCTGATTGTGGATGTAACTTATTGCCAACAACAATTGATAACCTATTTTTGCAGCCTTCTCTTCCGTGAAACTGTGATTGTTTTATATGTCTTCCTAGAGATCAGTTCCTTAAAGCAACCTATGTAAACTAAACTAAAATACTCCAAAATCATGTTCTAACTCTGTTCGTCCTAGAATAGTTCTATTGCTTTCACTATAAATGGATGATCCAACTTAGAGAGAATCTCCATTTCTCTTAGAGCCTTCCTAGTCATCGAACTTTATTGTCTCTTAATCTGTTTCATGGCTCTCAATTAATCTAAAAATTAATCCTATCAACTTACTTGTTTACTTATTTCTGACAATAAACACTTCACCGTAACTGCCAGAACCCAGGGATCTTTCGATCTAATATGAATCAGCAAAGTTCTCATATCGAAACTTCACGAAATCGTCAGATGTTATATGAAATTTTTATATTACAACTGAATCATTAGGAGTAGGCGAACTCTAAGGGGATCTTTACATCACGTCTGGAGATTTGGGCACCATTGACTTAGTGGTAGTAAACTCCTTTTCAAAATCAGTAGGAGACTAAGATTCCTCGATTATCTCGTCATCCTATTGATAATCAATCAATGGCTTGAGAAAGTAAACACTTGTGCTCAATTGAGTTGTGTATTCAATTGCACAAGAATGCGATTAACAAATTGATCCCATTTATATAAATAATTATTAAATATAATCAATTAAAAGAGAATGTGTGAGATTATTAGAATTAGAGGTGGGGTTCATCATCGATATTAAGAAAATGATCAATGTAGGTGTTTCCCTTCTACAATTTATTGTATCTATTCTTCAACATTATTTCCTTCATTTACTACAAATATCATACTGTTCTTCCCTCAAAATGCTTGTTTATCTAACACCACTTACTCCCATATCTCTGATACAAATTTAACAACAACTTGTCATCTTCCTGAGTCCAACCCTGCTTGTTCTTAATCCCAGGACGCAACTGATTCATGTAATGCTCTCTTATTTGTTTCCCATTCCTACCCTGCATTCCTCTCTTTAATTTACATTTCATACTTGAAGCAATCAAAGCCCAATTATTAAACTACGGATTGTCCTGTGTAAATGACAATATTATCTAGTTTTCCTCCTCTGTCCATTTCCTCTTCTTCTCCTAACCACCACTCAAACGTTGCCAGTGCTATTTACATTATGAAACTGTTCTTCCTTCCAAAAATTTCACTATGGTCTCCCACTCTCCCTTATAAATTTGAAACAAATCTTCCAAATTCTTATCCTCCTCCTCACTCCACTTCTTTACCTTTCTCTTCTAAAACATACTATTAATGATTCATATCTTACAGGTTCTTCTTTATTCCTATTCCTCTTCCTTATCGATTTCTACAATGTCCCAGAATTACATGTTCTTGATTGACTGTATATAATAATTATATATTCACTTACGTTCCTTGAAGTTAAGATTCCTCTTCTGACCCATCCGATTCATCTTCCCTCATGCAAAGAGTTGAAGATACCTTCAACATCTCACTCTAATTCATATCCTCTTCAATTTGATCCCTATCGTTAACCAACTCTATACTATCAAACACTTTAAAATAATTCATACTTTCCCTAATCATTTTCATATCTCATCATATCATTCTACCCTAAGTCCTCAAAATCAATGTAATCCTCATCTTCTTAAAATCTGTATTCCTCATTTTAGAAATCATTCGATTCAGAGCTGTTCATTTGAAATTTTTTATATAAGTAATTATGATAATCAACATAAATTATTTTTAATAAAATCCACTACTCAATAATATTTTCTACTTAATCCCATTCTACCGGGAGTCTCCCTCCTTCTTCATTTTACCTCCATCCAAGAAAAGCCTTTGTAACTCCCTATTTGGTCTCATTTCCTGACTCACCAGAGTCAACAGCCTAAATCACACTCTTCCCGTGATCAAAATCCAAAAAAGATGCAAAATAAATATAATTAAAATAAATTCTTATATAAGATTTAATTAATTTGTTTATTAGTTTATTCAGAATATAAAAGAATTGTACATTTAAATCCATATATATTCTCTATTATTTGAGTTTATAAATTAATTTATAATTTTCCTTGCAAATCAAATGATCTTTCACTTAAAACTACTCCACAAAAATGTTGAAGCACACATGATAATAGAAAAATAAACTATACAAATTTTATACAATCCCACAATTACAATTTGCTTGAATAAAGATATTAAGTATAGTTTATCTAAAGTGGAAGAAAATCAACCTTGGGTTACTGCTAATAATTTGAAAAATAATTATGTAATATTAATACATTTAGAAATGATTTTGCTTAATAAGCAAATCTGTAACAATTTTTTATCAGTAATAGTATGTATCTATTATGTATGATATATTAAAGTATTAATTAGGCCATTGTTTAATAAGTTCAAACTTGCATAGCTAAGGAGATAGCCAGAATACAGCTCAGCTACTTAAAACTATTTTTTAACTTAATTCCTACTTTTTGTTTTAATATTTAGTATTGCTGCCTTAATGGGCTTAAAAGTAGCTGAGTCATCAATTTTATGAATATCTCATGATGTTACTTAAGTATTAGGCTTGTCAAATCAAAAATATGAAAATTTTGGAACTTATATTAAAAGATATGCTTGAGCAATTATTAAATTTTGAATTATGATATATATTTAAATTAATAGAAGTAATTGAGAGATTATAATTAAGAGATGGGTGAGCTTGGGTTTTTGAATACTACAACTCTAAACCTTAGCAGCAGTCATGCTCCAAATTATGTCTACTTACAGTCATGATGCCTCAGTTTCAGTGAAGTCCAAGCGTATCCTTTTTTTAAATCATTCTTGAGAAGGATCTCCTTTATGGTCAAATTGAAGAAGGATAAATCTGAAGTTTAATTAGAATAACCCTAGAAGTATCCTTTATTTAATAACACTCAAGTTCTATATGAGGATGTCTAGAAGATATTTTATAACTAAAATAAATGATAAAATGCTAGATTATTCTTTTGCCGTTAACAACTCCATCGGCATGTTAACTATAAAACCTACAAATAATATTCATATTATAGTATAATTAATACTTTTTGATCCAAAAAAAGGGTGCAAATAGTTTTAATCATAAAATAGAAAGATTCAATTTCATGTTTCCTCATTTCTTGCTCTAAATACTTATGATATTATTTCATTATAAAAGTATTATGAAATTCCAAAAAGATATATATGCAAGTATTTTTTCAAACTTACATATAAAATGCACTCCTTAACTATTATTGAATGACATTATACTCCAATTGCATGAAATATTAATCATCTAAATCATAAATTTACTTAAACGAAAACTAAAGACTAAACTCTCTTCTCTATATTTATAAATAATGGAAGAACGGACATCACAAATAAGATATTGATATCATATTTATATTAAGCATCTGTTTATCATTTTTACTTGCCCCTCCTCACCTTATTCAATTCTTCCTTCTCTTATAGAACCCTTTCATAAGACACTTAAAGTTTACTTAATATCTTCTTTCATCATAATCAACAATTAAACAAATGAAATAAAATCAATTACAATTATTAAAATCAACCAATATCAAAATAGGATGATTAATACCACTTTCATATTCAAATTTTGAAATATCAGAATATATCAATGATTTTCAGTTGTTTATTGAACTAAAGATATGGCCAAGTATCTATATTATCAATTTAGATAGTTCAGGAGTTAGTTAGAAAGAGCAATTAATATTGAATTATCAAATATTAACAATTAGTATCTAAATATAAAGAATTTTTGATTAATAAAAATAATGAGCAATTTCATACCTGAGACCAAGACCTTTGGTAAATTTGATCCTCTGTTTACTAATAAGTATGATAAAGTAGGCCCAGAATTCGGACAATTACAATAATGTATGAGTTTGATCGATATTTAAAGAGAAAAGTGATTTCTTGGCTGCTAATGTTGGAAAGTTTGAAGTACAACCAGAGATCCCTTAAAATATTGAAGGATTGGTATTGAGGACTGCTAGAACATGTAAGATTGTTGATTGATAAGTAAAGAAAGAACTCCAGCAACAATGGCTTGGTTTAGAAGAACAACCTCATTCGAAAGAAATGGAATATTCAATATTCATACTCCAGTAATGAATACAAGAATCTTGCCTTGGGTTTTCTTCATTTTCATTGCTTATGGCTGGTAAGGATACTAGATTTCTTCATGGAACAGTGTAGTAAAGAAGGATTCTAATGAACCGTAAAAAATATAAGGTATATTATAGTCGTAACACTCCTTATGATAAATTATCCTTAAGAGAATTACCACCTGCTAAGAATTGGGCTAGACCAGGTTGAGTAGGCTACGTGAATAATTATAATATATTAAATCAAAACAAAATATTAAAATAAACATAGTATATTAATAGTAACTCTCCTAACATATAGGTATTGTAAGAATACCCAAAATGATTAGTAAGAGTGATAGTATTAATTATATTGTAATCTTCAAAAAAGTAAGGATATCAATATTTCTTTGTAAGTGAGATTCTTCTTTGTATTACTATACTTGCAGATAATATAGAATATTTATAAGTTTTCTAAAGAAGAGAACCTGTAGAATTTCTTATTCTAAGAGATTCTGAAAACCTACTGTAATTCAAAATTGAATGTCATTTGGTGTGTATTAGTTTTATACTCATTGTACTGATTCAATTTAAAATTTAGTTGAGAGATGACAATTAAGCTGTAGATGTATTAATGTTAAGGCTATAGTTAAACATATGGATCGTAACACAAAGTAAATATAGATAACATAAAAATCATTAATTATTAGGACGTTTTCTTTATGTGATAGGTTTCCTTTCAGATAACTGTTCGAAATAGGGACTATGCTGTATTTAATTGGGCTGTTTAATTTAGATGGGTGCAAGTCGCTTAGCAACTTTCATCTGATCATAACGTTCTAACAACCCATCATGAGAATGATCTCTTTCGATATGATTAACCCAACTAAAATCTAAATTAATTTTAGGAATAGTCTGAACTTTAGTTTGACTCATGGCCTTTTGATAATGAAGTTCTGTAATTTTTATCTTTAATTCTTCAATTTATTATTTTAGTTATACTTCAGCAATTTGATGAGTTTCATTAATAGCAGTTTGCTTTTGCAATTTCTCTTTGAGGAGGGCGATTTAGTTGTCCCTATCCTTCAATTAATCAGTGAGATAAATATTCTTTCTTTGCAATAAGACAATATCCTCTTCCAATTTTGAGATCATTTCTCTATCAAAATTAATTTGAATAGATTCGTCTTATGCTTCAGCCATATCTGTAAGACTACTCACCATGACTTGCTTATCTTCCACATCATATTACTGTTCAGCAATCGATTGATAAAGCAGTTAGGATTCACTATCAGAGTCTGACATAATTATTTGTATATTAAATATATATATATTAAATATTCTCTCTCAAATTAATCCCAATCTCTTTAATTCGTAGTTCATTCTTTCCTTGATCTCAGCATTCTCGCACGAATTCAGATACTCTGCTAAGTCGCCTTGCAATTCTGACATCTGAGCATATTGATTATTCCGGATGTTGTACTACACTTTGATCAGAAAACATACCACTATTTTGTTGAAAACAGGTGAATCCTCTTCTCGAAACACTTTCGTACAATTCAAAAATAGAATGACTTAAACTAATTAATTCATATTTATTAACTGTTTTAAATAATTTCAAAATACAATATGAAATCAGGCACATCATGGTTGAATTCTATGTAAATGAATCCAATAGACTTTGCTGAAATCGATTACTTGGATCCAGCCTTAAAGGATGGACACAAGATCCTATACGATCGCATTTTAAACATCAATATTCGATTCTAAGATCGGTTCTCAGAAGTCCAGGAACTTAGTTAACCAGAACCTATTCGTCTCCGAGTCTTACAACTAGTAAGGATAATGTTTTATTAAGGGGAATTGATAGTAATCCCTAATCCATCAAAATCGAAATTAGTTCAGAAAAGGATCTATTCTTTTTATTTCATCATGAAGCCACAGTTAATGGTTTCACTTAGATCAAAGCATTATAAAATTTGCAAATGCCATTTAAGGATTATGCTTAGATAGCAATTGCTACTTTAAATAAAGTTGAATAAAACTACAATGGGTAAATATGATCACTAACTATTAATTAGGTATGGAGCCATCTTCCAAGTAATGTTGGATGGTTCTGCTCGTTTGGAAATCAATCAGACAACAGAATTTAGAAGTGTCCATATGATTCACTTTGACTTTCATCAAGTTGAGGAATCATTTTTACGTTAGACCATTGTATTTAAATACAATCAACAACGAAAAGAAATCAAATATCTTACTCAATCACTTGGCGAATGCAGAATGAGAGCCACTGGAACATTCAAATGATTACAAATTTATATTTATACGTGGTCATACAATATCAATTTTAAAATTTGTCATTGACTTGTTACTTAACTCTCTCTTAAACCTTTTGGAAACCTTTATCGATTTTCTCGTGATACTGTAAATAAAGGGGATGTACAAACTAAAAACATTATCACCATAAAACATTACCTTGTCATACAATTTCTCAGCTCCTTTAACTTGTGGATGGAATAAAGCAACAAATAGTGCCAACTTCAAGATGTGGTAGAAGGGAATGAATTCTAATGCAAATCCAATGGTGGCATCTGTCAAAGTGATGATTGAAAATAGAATCCAGTAGGTCAACCATTATTTGTCATCAGATTCACCTACATTAAGGGGGAATAACATACCTGTTGACTCTATGGCTTAAATACTTCTGTAGGCTGGATAAAGGATGGAAATGAATGTGGAGAGAAAACGTGCTGCAATTCCAAACAAAATGCTGAAAAGTGCAACAGAACCAAAAATAAAAACCACATAAGCAGGTCTAACTCCGATTTTACTGCATGGTCCTTTGAGTATTTCAATCTGATCTGAATTATCAAGTCCAAATTTTGTAATGAATGGATCAAGCTTTGATAACACTGCGTTCATTATTTTATTAAATTAAAAATTATTAAATTTCCAAATTCATTTTCATTCGCTTTCAACTGACCATCTTGCAATTCTATCCAAATTATCATTCAATAATTTTTATGCCTCTTAGACTCTATCCAATATAAACTATCTACTCAAATGATATAATTATTCACCTCTAATCATTTCTGTCTTACAATGTCTCTCCTACTTCACGAACTGCCAATTTCTTAGAATTCAATTCATATTCCCTTTATTCAAAGTGAGCTTCCAATTCTTCATATGATCTAGTACTTTAAGCCAATGAACTTAAAAATATAACATAATTACAGTACCTTCTGATTTCTCCACTCAACTTATTGTATAATCTAATATTTTCTTGTTCCTTCTCTTCATCAATAGCTAAACTGTTTAAGACTGCATCTCTCAATTTATTCAATAATTCTTAAATGTGTTCAGCCTATTCAGTTTGTAAATGGGCTGTAATCTATTAATATATAGATAATCCTAAATTACTTAGGCCAAGACTTCAACATGCTTTCCTCTTCCTAAAGCCTTGATTTCATCCAACAAGTTGTCCTTCTCAATCAAACTATGTCCTCCTTATTGTAATTCACTAACACGTACTAACAATTATCCTATGACATCCAAAATAGCATTTTGATCACCAACTCTCTTTTGATATGCTTATTGATCATTTGCAAATAACCCATCAATGATAGTTTATTATTTATTCAAAACTTGAATTCTACTTGCTGCTTACTCTACTGAGACTCTTAACTCTTCAACTTCAGTTGCCAAACCAGAAAATGAAGCTTCCATTTCCTGTTACTTTTCATTGAAATATTTCTCATCTTCTGATTCATCATCTGCCAAATGCTTTCTCAACTCTTCAACGTGATCATTTAGACTCTATAATGTTTCGCCCTTCTGAACCATCATCAATAACTCTCCAAATAATCTACCTCCGAATTCACTTTATTTCGACTGTTCCCTTGTAAACCAACACTCATTACATAAGTTTTAAACACTTCACTGAATGCACTATGATCTGCTGTCTGTAACATCACATTGCTGCTGGCTGTCACCAATATTATACATAACAATCCAAATCCAATTCTATTCATACCCGTTTTTTATATAATTAATGAAAAATCATAAAAATTTACAATCATCTCCAACACATGGTATCACCTTCTCAAACTTTAATCCATTTCTCTATTTGTTCTCCCCTGTGCTTCGAGTCTTCTACTTGATCAAATTGAATGTCATGACATGTTTAAATTGATCATATCTTATCAATCCCAAAAGCAACTCCTAAAATATCCCCTCTGTCTTCTCCTAACTAATCACCACACCCCTCCTGCTCATTGCAATCCTATAGTCAGTCTTCGATATATATTGTCTGTGCTTAATATCATACCAAAAGAATAGATTGTCCAATCTATCTTATGTTAAATAATATGGTTGATTCAGTAGTGCAGCCATAAAATCAGTATAGGAAATATAATATCCCCAATCATTTTTACTAAACTTCTCCATAGGCAATTGCTTAAATAATTTACTCTTCCCTTGTTACTCAAGATATTCCAGAAATTCGGTTTCATTTATAGTTCCACTGTTATCCCTATCCAATTCTTCAAATTTCAGTTTTAAATAGTTCTATTACAAATCGGTTAATTGTGATAATAGAATTTTCAATGCCTCCTTCTTAAATTAAGTACTCTCACTATATTGTCTCAGCAATTCAATAATTCTCTCTATTTCCAAACTGTTTTCTTCACTTTACATTGTTGTCAAAAGTCTGCACTAATTCTAATCACGTATCATCCATGGATGCTTGAGAGCTTACAAACATGTTATCCTCTTGTTTGGATTGGGTTCCAATAGTTTAGTAATTAGATCTTAGCATTCTGATGAAATACTTAATTTGAACTTCAGATGAGGTTTATTTATTTATTATTCCAATTAATGAATATTCTATCCGCTAAATGGAGGTTCAGCAAATAAAAGTGCATACATAATGCAACCTAAAGACCATTCATCACATGTCTCTGAGTACACTCCCTTTAACACCTCTGGAGCCACGTATATAGGAGTTCCAACTTTGGTTTAATGTCTACACTTGGATCTCTATTGCTACGGCTTTTTTATAACTTGTTCGCGCTTACTCAATCCGAAGTCAATAATTCTTATGTCAAATTCCCCTTCCGCATTTGCCATCATCAAATTCTCAGGTTTTAAGTCTCTATGTATTATACCTCTCTCGTGGAGATACCCCACAGCAGAAAACAATTATCTCATGATAACTTACGTCATTCTTTCGCTTTAGGCACCATGCTTTAAGATGTATTGCAAGAGTTCTCCACCCTTGCAATACTCCATCACAAAGTAGAAGTGACTTAAATCCTCATATTCCTCATAAACTCTAATTATGTTTGGATGATCAAGTCTTGATAAAATCTCCAACTCCCTTTGGATCTACTCTAAGCTTATCCTCTCCTTATCTATGCATTTTATCGCATAGCACTTTGCTTTGAATCCTTTCCGCTCCTATTCTATCTTGTAACCAAGCTAAACTGTTCCAAAGTTGCCACGACCTATCACTTATCCCAATTTGTAAAAATGACGAATATCTTGTTAACTGAATTACCTGACCTCTGAATTCTTTTGAACATTCTTACGAACATTAGAACTACAAGAACCCATTTATTTGGATTAAAAAAATAATAAAAGTATATTCTTTACTGTGAATAATGAAATCATTCCGAAATTAATATTGTGCCAAAGTTACTAAAATTAGCCAAGAATAATTTGCCTAGCTTATTTTAATTGTTTGATTTCTAATAAAAGAAGTTTAATGATTCTAATCATCAATAATTATTTGTAATTAAATTGAAAAACATATATATTTGTTGAAATTATATTAGAATTTACAATGTATAATTGATTAACATAATATTTTCTACAATAGTCATTAATATTTATTCACATTTTCTTTTTAATCATTTTTATCTTTTTCATTAAAAATATGTGTTATTTCATTTGTATATATGGTAATTAACTATTTGTTTTTTGAAATAAATATTCAATTAAAATGGTTGTTTAAGCATTCATTCTATTTTAGAAAGTAATTGCCAATAATTGTTAATTAATCAAGATATGATATGAAAGATTTATAAGAAATAATATTAATTTAAATATTTATAATTCAATTATCAAAGAAGTTAGTATAATTAATGCATAAATCTGCTTTTTGAATATATCTTTATAAAGGAGTTTAAGCAAGAATATCTATAAATAAGTGAATTCCACCTTCAGAATTAAGGTTTCTTTGTAAATCCACACTTGAATGATCCCCCATTTGATATTTTCTCAATATTATTATGAGTGATATTATCATTAATTTTTTTGATTACACAAATATTGTAAATATTATGGATTAAGAAATGATTCGAAAGTGGCTGAATTACTAGAGAATACAAAGAGTGATTAGTGCATAACAAAATTTGATGAGGAATGTAATGATAGTCCTCCAGAAATTAGACCATGATACCTGACATTGATAATAAGTATCAAATCAACATAGCTAAGTTGTCAAATGAAAAAAGCAAGACAGTTTACAATTACGCAGTCCACAGGAACACGAAGGTTGGGGAGACAATCAAAAATTATATTATCTAAGCTCAGAATAGAGTCAATCAGAGGAGAAGACAAATAAAACCGATTCGATTCAAAACTTAACAATCAACGAGAACTGAGACAAGTGCTGAACGTTCATACAATATATGTCCTTAACACTCTATTTATCTTAACAATCGTAAATCTGTTAGAACAAGTTCTGTGATAGGAGCCATTAAAACATAATAGTCGAATTCACAATTGAGTTTCTATAAGAAAAGCTCAGTGCCCAAACTGATCACTAAACGAAACACTTTATTTTCTTAAACAAGACATTCTCAATAAATTGATTTTATTAAATATGAAAAAATATGATGCTATCATTATAGGCGGTGGTCACAATGCACTTGTGGCAGCCTGCTATCTGAAATATAAAAACATCTTGCTCTTAGAAAGAAGACACATAACCGGAGGAGCTGCTTAAACAGAGGAAGTCTATCCCGGATTTAAATTTAGTCGATTCTCATATTTGCTTTCGTTGATGCGTCCTTCAGTAATCAATGAATTGAATCTATATTCACATGGTTTGAAACTCTTTAGAAGACCCATCTCCAGTATTACAGTAACCAAGAACAAGGGGGAATACCTGCTGATGAACTCAGATTCAACTTTTTGCAAACAAGAGATAGCCAAGTTCTCCAAAAGAGATAGTGAAGTCTATGACGAATACAACCAATTCCTCTCAGAAATTATAGATTTGTGGAGTTTTTACTAAGATAAATATCCGTATGACACATCTGCAAAAGGCAAAGGATACAATTTAAAGAAAAGCTTTGATGATCTTGGATTATTGTTAAAGATGGGTTAAGACGGATGGAAAAACAAAGACAAAGTATATCTTGTATTTATATTTAATTAGATATATGATTACATTTAATTTATGTCATAATCGTCAAGTTAATTCTTAAATAAATGGTTCGAATCTGATATCTTGAAGGGAACACTCATAACCGATGGCATCATAGGTGAAATGATATCAATAGACACTCCAGCCAGCGCCTATATCCTATTGCATCATGTGATGGGTGAGATATTCCCAAATTCTAAGGGAGAATGGGCGTTTGTAGAAGGTGGAATGGGATCCATATCTAAGATCCTCACTAAATTGAATGAACAAAAGGGAGTAGAGATCAAGACCAACATAAGTGTCGAACAAATCCTCACTTCTAATAATTAAGTCACTGGTGTGAAATGTTCAGACAATAACACTTATTATAGTGATACCATCATAAGCAGTGTAACTCCAAGAATCACTTTTGAGAAATTGTTATCACCTGATTAAAAAGCTCAGAACCCTAAATATTTCAGTGATGTTAAACATATGGAATATAATGGTGCCTGCACTAAATTTAATTTTGCTGTATCTGAAATGCCTAAATTTAAATGTTTCGAGGGAACCAAATATGAAAAACCTGAATCCGTGTTAATCGGTACTACTCATTTAGGATGTGAAAGGCTAGACACCTTGAGATAAGCTTACTAAGATTGCATAAATGGAAAGTATTATTAATCAATCATTCACTTTATAGGTCTTTCAGTGATAACTTATTCGTGGATTTAGTTGTTCCTACTGCTCATGACAAAACAATTGCTCCACAGGGATAACACATTGTACAATGTCTTGTCTAATATACTCCTTATAAGGCTAATTGGAATGAGTAGATTAAACAATAATTGAAGGAGTAAGTCATTGATTACATTTCTTAATATGCCCCCAATTTTAAGTATCTATTGTTTTCACTCTAATAGAAAGTCAATACTCTATACAGATATGGTTACACCATAGGAGATTGAGTAACTTCTTAATATGACTGAAGGCAATATTTTCCACGGCGCTTTGACTTTAGATAAATTGTATGGAAATCGACCAAGCAATGGATATAATAGTTATGGAACTCCTATCAATGGGCTATTCTTATGCGGTTCTGGAACTCATCCTGGTGGAGGGGTCATGGGAGCACCAGGAAGGAACTGTGCATAGTATATTAACAACTATATGAAATGAGATACATAATAACAAGAATTATCATAAAATAGAAGTATTTAAAAGTTCATTAAGTTTATTCGTCATTTCCTTTTTCATATGATCTATAAACTTATTGAATTAATCATCATTCATAGAATCAATTAGGGGTTCAACTACTGACACAGCATTTTTTATTGTATTAATTTTAAATTTCCGCTTAGATTTTAATTCCTTGATTTCTCTACTATTAAGTATTCTTAAAGAGGGTTCTAATATTTCTATTTCTGATTAATTTGGATGTTGTATCTATTGATTTTGTGATATTTTTATTCTATTTTCTGACTGTTCACAATGGTTATCTTATTCATTAATAGTAATTTATAAATCTTTTGCATCCGTTTAGTTATTCTAATTTTAATTGTCTAATTTATCTATATCTATGTATAACTGATTATTTGGGCATATAAATATTTATTATTATTAGCTAGATTCCTCTAGTACTACATTATCCTGGGTCTCAATTATTATATGATTTGATTAATCACTTATAACATAAGGGCTAATTTCTACTTGAGAATTGTCATTCTAAAAATGGTTACTCTATCTCGTTTAGCTTATAAATAGATCATCATCATGTTTATTATTTTATTCATCTATTTATACTAGAATAGGATGGTTAGCAGTCTTAACTATCTTACGAGTATCAATAATAATAAATGGAAATGTGATATCTTCGGCATTATCATCTCCAATTTCAATTGCATTTTAGGGTATTTCATTATTTTTTTAAACAAATTTACATTAAGTTTTCTTATGTTATTTGAACGCTGCCAATGTGCCATTCCATAATAAGCACCTCAAACATTTGACCTAAACATCTCCAACTATTTTGGTTGCTAGAATATCCTTATCGAATTTATAATTGCGTTCTAATTGATGTCTACAGAGAGGACAACTCTTCTTCTATTGTATCCAACGAACCAAACATGTACCACAAAATGTATGTCTATAATTTGAATCTAATTATACCCACATGTTGCTCGGATTGGATTATAAAATACTTCTCTGCAGATGGAACATAGTAAGTGTTGATTCACCTGTTACAAACCCATGACTTCAAATTATCTAATCATATAATAAATAAAATATTCAAAAATTCTATTTTCTTGATCTCTTCATTTTTAATGAAAAAATATCACATGATATTAAATTAAATCCAAAACCAATTTAATAAATGAATTTGTGCTTAAATTACATATCATCATTCAAAACACATTAAAATCATAGATGTGTAAGACATCATTCTATCAAATCATATAAGATACTATTTTTTTATCAAGATAAATAAGAGTATAAATTAAAATAACTAAATAAATGAGATCTAGTCTTTTTACAAATATCATGAAGAATACAGAATAAGAAAGGCAATAATTTGATTACTCAAAGTATTAACAATACTTCTATATATATAGAAATAAGTTAGAAATTAGTGATAATTATTTATTATATTATTATATTGTATTTAATAATGAGTATTATAAAAATAAAAAAATGTTAAAAAACGATCTTTTGATGGAAGGAATCACTATATTGATAGTAAGCTTGATATTTTTGATAATCGGTTTGGGCATGAATCGTAGTAATGGAGAATCTGGAAGGATGGGAAAGAATGCAAGATAGAGATAAGAAAAATGTTAGAATTCGGATATTTTGACAGATTCAGAATTTAACACTTTATTAGATGAAACCAATTATATTGAATGATGCATGACCTTATAATGATAGATGATCATCAAAATTTAAAGAGTTGTCGTACAAGCACAATTCCTTATTTGAATGCTTGTTATGATGGTTCGTAATCTAATTTGCTCATCACATAATCACTGACAATTGCAGGGTCTTTTGAATTAGGTCTTCCTATTCCAATTTTTAATCTAATGAATTTATCATCCATATATTAAATAATGGATTTCAAACCATTATGTCCTTCTGCACTCCCTCCTTGCTTTATCTTACATCTTCCTGGCAAGTTGTCTAAGTCATCATGAACAACAATAATATTGCTAGTTTGAATATTGGCTTTGTCTGCAATTTTTTTGATTGGATGACCACTTGAATTCATGAAGGAAAGAGGATTGAACAAAATAATGTGTTGAAATGATCCAATTGACCCATTTTATCCATCACTCATTTTTATGTTAAACTCTTTAGCAAGATGTTTAATGAACAATTGACCTGCATTATGTCTAGTATTTTCATAAATTTTGCCTGGGTTTCCCAATCCAACAATTAAATGAGTCCCATTCGGTATTCTTTAAACAGCGAAGGCATATCGGATTTTATGTATGAGATATGACATAAATGAAATTAAAATTTTCATTAATTAGTAGTATTTTATACATATACTGTTATACATATATAATTGAGAAAAGGAATAATAATTTAAATTATGAATTTACGACCTTAACCAGGCCATCAGAATAAGAATGGAATAAATCCAATAACGAATACTCCAATAGATTATGCATAAAGAGGGAATTAACAACCTTATTACAAACAACCTTACCCATAGCCTCCCATATAATACACTCAAAATCCGTAACAGTACCAGAATCCTTATTATAATTAAACTCTTCCATAAGTTGTACAGCAGAGTATGCCAGAGGCAGGATAGAAACTACCTCTATAGAGCGATGCAATAGAATTAGATCACATGAATGGATTTTCTGGGAGATATCGAGATGTGATTCACTTGCATCCTCAAAAGGAGTCCACAATAGTCTATGCATTGGCAGGGTTGATTGTAATAGAGAACTTGAATGACAAACATTAACAATTGTTTTTGAGAGGACATGATATGGACATTAGCGCATTGACATTATCAAAGACTGGCAGATACATAGCATCTGGATAAATGGGATCTAGAAATGCCAAGACACCAGAAGCACCAGTAATATTATGGGATTTCAATGCAAGAAAACCAATGCAAATATTTAGAGGTTTAAGAGATGAAATTACAAATCTTTCGTTTTCAAGTGATGATAAATTCTTAGCAGCCACAGCATCTAACAATAGTCTAATAATCTGGAATTGTCAAGATTATACTATTGTTCATAATAAGTTATTGGAAGTTCCAATCAACCTGATTACTTGGTGTCCTCCAAGAAGATCATCAACTAAACATTCCTAATACTTAATTGTCACTTCTCAGGGTTCCAACATCTTCTTAAATACAATGGATTTTGATGTTGCTTCTATGCAATATCAACTCAAATAAGCTCCATGTCAATTGCCTAGTAGTGGTTTAGTAAGGAATTACACGAAAGCCGTAATTGATTAAAATGGGGATTATTTATATGTGGGAACTCATGCTGGTGAAATCTGCATTTTCAGTATATCATCATAACAAGGAGGAATATTCAAAGCGACAATACCAGTGAGTAATAATGGAGTTCTGAGTATAAATATATTTGGTAGGAGTCTATTTGTTGGTTCAGGAGATGGAAAGGTGAAGAAGTTGACTGGAAGTGATACTAGATGGAATTTAGAAAGAGAAATATGTCTAGAAGGCAGGATGAATTCAATTACAAGTGACCCAAATGGCAATGAATTATTGGCAGGTACATCCAATGGCAGAATCTATAGAATCAACACTGCAAATCTAGATTCAGTTGTTCACACTGAAGGACATTTGTCAAGTATTGTGGGTTTATCAGTTCCATTGAATACGTGTGATCTCTTTGTTTCCATAGATTATGAGGGCGTAGTTATGGTATGGGATATGAATGAAATGCTTGTAATTACTAGATGCATTCCGATTAACATGAACAGAGTCAAAGGATCATCTGTGTATTTGGATCCTGACAGAACTGTTGTCTCTGGATGGAGAGATGGTTTCATTAGAGCATACATGATAACTAATAAACCAGTATCTCCAATCAAATGGGAGATTGTTAATGCTCACAAAGGAGCTGTGACTAGTTTGTATAGTGATCAAAATTACTATCTCTCGGGTGGCGAGGATAGTATTATTAGAGTTTGGTCAAAGACAGCTAGATAATTAATTACTCAAATATCTATCCATTCGAAAGAAATAACAAAAGTATTCCCAGATCTTATGAAACCTAATCTTATACATTCATGCTCAGCTGATAAAACCATTTACACTTATGATCTCAAAACAGACAAAAAGGTTATTCAACATTAATCCAGAAATGGAGTTCTCCTTGATATGACTTAAAGAAAGGATAATGAGTTAGAACTAAGTAATACTGATTTCTTATTTAATGTTAGTCACTTGTGGTATTAATATGCCCATTCAATTTTGGGATATCGACATCGTTGAGCCAGTCTAATCCATAGATGTTACTAAATTGAATTCAATTGCTATTAGTCCAGATGGCAAGATATTGGCTACTGGATCAGATTCTGGGGAGGTAACTGATAATCCATTATGTTAGTTAATTTTGATTTCTATTTTAACTCAATCGATTTTGGGGAAGTATTTAGGACATTCTTCTGGGGTTTCGAAAGTTGCGTGGACAAGTGATCAAAAATAAGTTATTACAACTAGTTATGATGGAACTGTATGCTTATGGAACATCTATCTATGATTATGATATATTATAGCATATATTTTGTTTACGAATTAAGATATCAAAATTAATAATAATTAATATTCATGGATCATTATGACATCTTGCAAGCATATTGTCTTCAAAGAGTTACCGGTCTCATAGCACATCAAAATCATCTAAACACACCATATTATTCCAAACCCATGCACCCTTCCAATTCAGATCATATGTCCAAGTCTTTCAACAATCTGGATTTAATTTCTTTGGATAGGTAGTAACCTCCCAGACTAAAGTAGTTCGGAAACTTCACGGAATTCTTAATTTAATGATAATGAGAGTTGTTGTTGTTTTCAATGTGGTAAAGCCAATAAAAAAGTTAAGAGTCTTTAAAAGAAATTTACTGTTTTTCACACCCAAATGTCCATTCTTAGAAACTTTAGATTACTTAAAAGATTCTAAAATGCTGTCTATTGCATTATCTATTTAATAGATAAATAGAAGAAAACAAAGAAAAAAGAAAAACAGAAAAAAATGTATAGATTTAAAACTAAAATAAATTTTGATGCTTCTCCAATCATACCTCAATCACAATAACTGGTCCAAAGTGAAAAACATGATGACAAATAAAATTATAAAAATCAGCATATGCAATCAATTCAAGCCAAAATTATTGACAGCAAACATAAATAAAGATAATCAATCAGAGTCTATCTATAATAGAAATTATATGAAAAAGGTAATCTTTTACTAACATTACATTAGATCATTAGTAAATATTGCCCAAAATTCATAAAATAACAATCAACTCCTTTACCACAATTTAACCATTACGATTTTCTAAAAACGATGAACAAAAATCCTCCCGTTTTTCTTCACAAATTAAAATCACTCCTTAAACTGAATTCAGTCCAACTTCCTTACATCATCAATCCCCATATTTTAGTAACATTACATCTAGAAATCAGGTTGATAGTATTATTCAAACTTCATTCAAAAGATCACCCAGAACCATCATTAAAAGTATTTCATCTGAATAACTAATACAAAAATAACAAAAACACCAATTTCACTCTAGAAAAAATACTCCATCTACATTAAAAGGAATTTTTTGATAATTAATTTTGTAGTAACATAATAATATTTTCTTAATTTGATTCTTTGTCATTTAATAATAGTTTCCATTTATTTATATAAATAATGAATAGATCTCGTAGATAAGAATTATTACAATTAGTTAACAAAAAACGAAGTTTTCTCTCGCCTCCCACCAAAAGAACATCTAATAATAAACCCTTCAGAAGACAAAGTTGTAGATGTTCAGAGTGTGGACATGTAGGGGCCTTCTAAGATAGATAAAATGCTTTGCATCCATAAACGTACATAAGGGCTCATCATTGTAAAAAGAGGAAACGAAGAATGCAAAGAAGAAAAGGTACTTATGTTACCTCCACGAGTTTAAATATTGGAGATTCATAAAACAATACAATTATCATCGCTAACAATTAAAAATCACGAAAAACCAAATCTATATTGGTGAGTTCTAAATCATCGGAAGCCATTGCAAAATGTAAAAGGCTTTTAACAAAAGATGATTAACAAATTAATTATGAGTTCTTTTATAATAATGAATTAAAATATTCAAAAAGCATCATGGAAATATCGTAAAACTCTTAAACTTATGAAACAGCTTTGATTTCATTTGTCAATCTAACCAAATCACCAAGTTTTGCATTTAATAGTTTTAAAAATATCATCAATGAATCAAGAACTAGTTCAAGTGATGAATAAAATCAAAAAGTCTCAGAATCAAAACCTATCTAATCAAAGACTCCCTTAATCAAAACCAAAAACATTTCTATGCATAATCGCAAACTTACTGAAGGTATTATGCTTACAAATGTAAATAAAACTGTCTAATAATTTGTATCATCCTGCACTTCAATGAAGGTAATCAATACTCCAAAGCCACAAAAACAAATTTAATTGCCATAAATAAATTTAAAAAAAGAATAAAATAAGTTTTCTGTCTATTTATTGAGTTCTCCTCGAAAAGCACTCTTTGAGATGAAGACTCAAATAACATCATAAAAAAAAATCAAAACTTCAAAAAAGTGATGTTATTTATCTACATATTGATTTTTATTGATCATTTTTAAATTGAAATATTTTTATAATAAACCTTAAAATTTGAGAAAACGTAGATCTATCTTACTATTTATAAATAATTTTATTAAGAAAGATAAGATGTTTATTATAAAGTAATTGAAATTATTATATTAATGAAGACACATCTGTAAATTTATTATATTAAAGTATCTTAAAAGTTTGAGTTTATTTGATAGTTTGAATAAATTTATCTAAATGTTTTAACTTGTAATAAACAAAACTATCATATAGATAAATAATTTTAAAATTAGATTCCAATTATCTAAATGTTGATTTGGAAATTTTAAAGAAATCCTCTTTCAATAGTTTATATTCTTAAAATCTACTTTTCAGTTAATTGATTTATACCATTCATTACTTCTTACTTCTGTCATGTTAGTATTTATCAAGATAAACCTGAATTATATATGATAATATTAAGTCCTTCTAATATAAATCATATTTAAGAACAATAACATTAATTCAAAAGAAGATAAAAACTACATTAAATATTTTATTATTGACACAAAAATGAATAGTACAGAACAGAAATAACAAATATTATGGTTATAAGTGTTTTTAATAATTTATTTGTAAGAATTAATATTTAATTATGGAGAAATTGATACCCTTTATAAATGATTTACATGTACTATTCATATATCGATATCATCAAGGATATATTAAGTTCAGCTGGTTTGAGTAATGAGTTGAATTTGCCATCAATTGTTGTGATAGGATCATAATCTGTCGGAAAATCATCTCTTCTTGAAAGTATTGTGGGGAGAGAATTTCTACCAAGAGGAAAAGGAATTGTAACAAGGAGACCAATAGAGATATAATTGCATTAGGTTATAGATGCTGAACAGAGTTGGTTTGAATTTATGGATAAGAGAGGTGAGAAAATTTTTGAGTCAGATGAAATAAGAAAGTTAATTGAATAGGAAACGGATAAAGTGGCTGGAAAGAACAAAGGGATATCCCCAATAGCTATAAAGGTGAAATATTTCTCAAAGGATATCTTAAATTTATAGTTGATTGACTTGCCAGGAATTACAAAGAATCCTGTTGGAGATTAACCTTAAGACATAGAATAGAAGGTTTTGGATATTGTTTTGCCCTTCATCAAAAACTAGAATAGCTTGATTTTAGCAGTTTCAAAGGCTTCAGATGATTTGGCAACATCAGATGGGTTAAAATTAGCTAGAAGTGTAGATCCTAATGGTTTAAGAACGATAGGAGTTATCACTTAATTAGATTTAATGGATGAAGGATCCGATATATTGAATGACTTGCTCAATCAGACTTATCCTTTGCAATTAGGTTATGTTGGTGTAATCATGAGAGGGCAGAAAGACATACAAAAAAATAAAACAATTTAGGATTAATTGAAGGATGAGAAATAATTTTTTGAGACTCACAAAATATATAAGAAATACTCAGAGAAGATGGGCATAGGCTATTTGGTAAAGACTTTGAATATGAATTTTATCTAACATATTAAGAGAGCGCTACCTGTAATTAGGGAGACAATAATAAGTTTGGCTTAGATGAAGGAATATGAATTAAAACAATATGGTGATTATGACAATTTGGAATCTAAAGAAACAAAGAACTTATTGGTATTAACTTTAATTTCTAAGTTTTCCAACTCTTATAAGGATATGTTAGAAGGAAGATGCTTAGATATTACTAGTAAAGAGTTGATTGGTGGATCAAGAATAATTTATGTATTCAACGAAACCTTCAGAAGAACAATTTAAAAAATGAATCCATTTGATGTATTGAGCGATGATGAAATAAGAACAGCTATCAAAAATGCAAATGGAATTAGACCTAGTTTGTTTGTTCCTTAAGGAGCATTTGAATTATTGGTTAGACAATAGATCTAAAGATTACGCATGCCTTCTATTGAATGTTCTCATATAATATTTGAAGAATTAAGAAGAGTAATCAACCAAATTTCAATACCAGAAATTGAAAGATTTGATGTACTATCCAATAGAATTTAAGAAGTTATTGAAAATCTGTTAAATAAATGTTTAATTCAAACAGATGAAATAATTTAAAATTTATTGGAAATTGAGATTGGATATATTAATACTAGTCATCCTGATTTTGTATCTGGAATGGATTTAGTTAATAGAGAGGAATAAAGATAATAACCATAATAAATTATAAGAGAAAAATCCCCCGTTTAGAGTGAAAGTGAATCTGGTAAATTTTTAAATTTTTGGCCATTTAAAAATAACAAACAAACAGAATTGTACGATAGTAAACTTGATATTTTGAACAATAAAAGAAAACAGAATACATTAAAACCAAAAAAGTTGGAATAAATAGATGAAAGTCAGATATTATAATAATAGTCAGTGATAAATAAAATTGCCTATGTTAATTAATAGTATTACGTAAATGATCCAAAAAGACAATTGCCTTGTGTTCCAAATGTCATCAAATTAAACGACAGACCAAGCAAAAGAGAATAAACAGAGATGGATATGATCAAAGACCTTATTGTTTCATATTTCAATTTAGTAAAGAAGAATATTTGTGATTCAATTCCAAAAACTATAATTACATTTCTTGTAAATCAATCAAGAAATCTATGCGAGAGAGAATTGATTGGAGTCTTGTATAAATCAGATTCAGTTGATGAATTACTGCAAGAAAATCAATTTATTTAGAAATCTAGAAAAGAGACAAAATAAACATTAATTAGTTTGAAAACATGTCTAAATTTATTGAATGAATTAGATTAAAAATTCTGATTAAATAATTCATGTAGAGTAATTCCAATAATATAAACTTATTATAATAAACATTATATGAAAATTATAATAAACTTTATATTTGAAGTATATAAATTCTTTTGGTTTATTTTTATTTATACTATATATTTTATATTTGTTAAATTATTTAATGATGAGGATGGTCATTATTTTTTCTTGTTTTATTTTAACAAAAGCAGTAAAAGAGGTTTTGATTACTGAAAATGAAACCTATTGCTTTTCAAAGAGAGCCATAATAATAGAATCACAGAAATCAGAAAATAATACAATTACAAATGCAAAATTCTCAAATGCTATATCTGAAATATCAAATAACTTGATTGAAAGTGACCATCATTATTATTTAACTGAAGATGTTTCAAACGTTATGACTTTTAAAAATTATGAATAGAATGAGATTTATATCTGTTTAGTAAAAGCAACTGCAATTGAATGTAATTACAAAATTATGAAATATTTATCTAATAATTAATTAATGAAATTTTAGGATGACTTTTTTATTTTTAGCCAAACAAATTGCTAAAGGTTATATAATTTTGTAGAGAATTTGTTTATTTTAGAATGCCTGAATCAAAATATTTTAGTATTCAAACTAATAGATTTAAATAATTAACTATTAGATATTTTAGAGATCACATCATAATTCAATACTACTTTCTATAGCTAAGAAGTTGATAATAAGTTAATCCTAATGGAAAATATAAATTAATCATTTTTTAGTTATATTATAGAAATTCAAGAAGCAAAATTAACGATGAAAAAAAACTAATTGAATTTGAGTATTGTTGATATATCTATGATTGGCCAAATCACTTCAATCCAAATAAAAAATGATAACTCATTAAGAATATTTTGTCAGTATAAGATCTTTGATTATTATTTTAATTCTGGAAAGATTGAATTGATTTAACACAATTTAGTAGAAAATTATTAGTGTATTGGTACTTTTTTTTACATGAAAAAGGAGTTTTTTGTCGTTATTGATTAAAGTAATTAAAATGAAATATCTGTATCTCTAAATATAGTATACTTTAATCCAAAAGGCGAAAAAGTACTCTCAATTAATTTTATTAATGAAAATATTATCATTTATTGCAATGAGTCCTTATATATTTATAATAATGATGTAATTTCACTAAAATATGATGTGAAAGACAAATAGATTCTATTTTTAGAATAATTACCTTTTATAATTAGCGTAAAATAGTAAAGAGATTTAGAATTCCTCAAAATTAAGAGTATGCCAAGATGCATATCTAAAACAAAATAGCAAAATTTATTGGCTTTTTATATTCATTAATTCAAGGTCTCTTAAGAGCCTATTATTATAAATATAACAAAGTAATCCACTCCTTAATTCATAATTTAGACAGTAAAATTTGAAACTTTAGTTATAAATTAGGATGGGTATTATATCCTTAACATTCTCTAAATTCAATAAGGATTACAATTTTCAAATTCAATCAAATAATAATAAAACAATAGCTTGTTATTTGCAAATAACCAGTTTGTAATAAATAAATATAAAGATTTGATTTGGGGTTAGGAGGCTTTTATTATAGAACATAATATTAGTGATAGTACAATTTTTGTAATTAATAAAAAGGCTATATCTATAATTAAAAACAACAAAACAATAAGTTATCGCTTTAAATTCAGTGATAATAATGAAGATTTATAAGTCAGATTTTTTATCGAATAAAAAAACTTCATAATAATATCTAAAAACTCCATAGCAGCATTTCACTATGATACGATCATAGAATTGAAGTGGTAATTAAGATTAAAAAAAGAGATCAATAAAATCATTTAAAACGGTCAAGCTGTTAATATTTAATTATAGGATTGCAATGAAGTCTTTATTCAATTGACTAATTTAAAATATTAAGAAATATAAAGTTCAATATAATTTGGTTGTAGGTTTAAACTATTTGAATAATAGGAAATTATAATATCAAAATAAAAAATTGATATTTTACCTTTTTCTAATAAATTTAGTTTCACTTTTGATTAGATCATTGACTTTATCTATTTGTTAAGCTAAAATAGAATAATCATTTTCGAAGTAATTGAATAAAAGATTGTTCCATAACTGTATAGCTTATAATTTTAGGAATTATACTTTTATTTTAACCTCCCATTGTATAATTTCACAATTACCTATCCTCTAAGATATGAAATTTTTTGGGATTAGTTAGCGATTGCAGCCAAAAACACTTCTAATTAATAGGAAGTGCTCCTTGTCTATAATCTTAATTACTAACTCTCCAATATTTTGATAAAAGTAATTAACATAGATTAAAATTAACATTACTTTGCTTTTTTAAATGCTCATTAAATTGTTTCAATATATAACTCCTCGCTGATGATTACTTATTTAAAATAAGTGGTTCTACAATTTACTGATCAATATTTAGATTTTGATACTGTGTTCAAGCGTGAATAAGTATTATTAGAGGCTAAAACTGACATATACAATTTTACTAAAATAATTTAATTAGATATTTTAATATCTCATTTCAATTACTCCATAAAAATAAAAGATACTAGGATTCCATTTCTATAACATTATGATAAACAGAAATAAATAAGCAAAATAAATTTTGAAAATGTTTTTGGTTAAATTGATTATGTATATTTGCTTAGAGAAAATGACATTAAAAAACTAGATCCAATTGTTATAACTCCATTTCTTTAGTGTAGATTCTATTCTAATCAAGTTTGTTATAATGATAAAGAAATGGTATTATTCAATTCTGTGAATCAAATCATGATAAAGCTTCCTAAGTACTGCAAAGATTTAATTTTCATAAAAGACCTATCCAACAAGTAAGAAATCTTTTGTCTGGCATAAGGAAGGTTTTTGGAAAAATATGAAATAAATTAGATGTAACTGAGTAAGAAATCAGAATATTAATAACATATTTAGATTAATTTTAATGAAGATAGTATCGAAAGCATAATTTTCATCAATAATATTGCCATAATTAAGATCATGAATAAAAAAAAATACTAAATTCTACTATTTAAAGAAAATGATTTCAAAACATTTTAATATTAAGTTCATATTGACTTTGAAATTGTATAAGCTATATATGAAAATAATCATTATGTAATATTTTGCTATGATATTAATGAATTTCATCTAATTCGTTTTGTATTGCTGACTGAAAATTACAGTAATAACAAGACTTTATAAATTGAGATATCCTAAATTATTACAGATCATTATGCTTTAAGTTTTTCCCTTTTAAATTCATTATTAATTCTAAATCACACTTTACATGATATGATATTTGAATCAAATATAATTTTATGTTTCATTACATAAAATTGCTTTAGAATCAATTTAATAATAGATTTTTAACAAGGTTTAATTCAAAGCGATATGATCAATTTTATTCGGTATTAATAAAGTAATGGGTAATTATAGTATTGCTTAGCAAATAAATACAATTTAATCATATCTTTGCTTATCGATGAAGAAAGTGTTATATATTTTTATAACTTATCTTCTATAAAGATTCTAGATAGTCTCTATCGATATGAAGGAATAAATACAACAATCGAATATTTTAATGAAACTCATTTTGTTTAAATAAAAAGTGAAAATTCTAATTAATTGCTTAGTTTTGTTGAATTTTAAGGATACCAATTTGAACCTAAAAGTCCATTTAAAAAACAAATTGAAATTATTAAATTAAATAATTCAGTATCTACTTTAACATTGGAGTTTTATCCTAGTTTAGATAGAAATGAAATGATAAATTTTTCAAACAAGCGAATTTCTCTTATTAATTTAGTCAATTTTATACTCTTAATTCTATTCTTGAAAACCTTTAAAAATAAAAGAATCCATCATTAATTTAAAAGATGACCTTATTTGGAATGATAAAATTGAATTTAATGAAATATTATGAATTTAATATAATAACCTACTCTTTAAATAAAATATAATCAACAAATTAAATGTTTAAAACTCTAATACTTCTAAGAAAAATGATATTGATAATAATTAAAATATAGGTTAATCAATGTTACATAAATTCTTTCTTATTCTCAATTCTTTCTATGTTATATTGTTTTAACAATACATAGAAAACATATCAATAAAATAATAGAATGATAATTTACTAAAACTATATCATTTTATTAGATAGTACAAACCATGAAACTTTAAAAATCATTTTATAGCTGTTTTTAAACATTAAACGGTAAAATAATACTTAATAAATTAAATTAATTGATACTTCTACATAATTGTAATTTGAGTGTAAGATTACATAAATAAAACACTTAATTTAGTATTTTGACAACTAAACGAATCGAACTTATAAGCATCTTATCAAGCTAAAGGATTAAATGATGTGTCTCAAAAATATCTGAATTATATAATTTTAATCCTGAATTAATTAGATTGCATCAAGTTCGCTCTTTTTTTAGATTGAACTTAAATCGTAAATCAAGAATGAAGATCTTGATGCATTTGATACCTTTATAATTATGAAGTTCTAATCATATATCATTTTATTAAATTTTTCGATTAATTAGCATATATGAATGTGATTAAGTATACATTTCCATCACAATGTTTAATCAATATCATAATAAAGTGAAAAAAGAACGGTTAAAGGATGAATTTTTCCTTACTCAAGATTCAATGGAATCAAATCTAATTGATTATTCCATATTTATTAATAAGGTCTATGTATCCTTTTGAATCAATTTTAATGAAATCATCTTTTAACAGAGCCAAGGATTATAATGAACTATTAAAAAAAATATGACTTAACTTAACTATTTGCTTTTTTGAAGCGTGATAATATGATTCCAAAATAACATTAAAAGTAAGCAAGGGAATAAAACTATGAATTTTATGTTGATATTCTTCAAGAAAGATTTGGATGCTATTTATTTTTTGAGTAACAATAGACTTATTTTTTATATAAAACTCTAGATTTAAATTGATAAATCCAAAGAATTACTTCTTAGTTTTTCTTGAAGACAAATTTCATTTAGCCATATGTTTATATACTGCATATGTTAGGCGATTACGAAAATACCATCAAAAAGACTATTGAAATAGATCTTATTGAGGGTGCTAAGTATATTGCATTAAAATAGGAAGACAATAACAAATAAAGATAATAGTTGATTCTATAAATTAGATTGATGTTGGAGAAAGGTACATTTAGCAAGAGAAATTCCCTTAATTAAGGCAAAAGATATAATACCTTATTTGAGTTAAAAAATTAAATTAGACGATTTCAAAGACGAAATCTGTGAAACTTTGGAGGAATATTATGTAGAAAAATAGTAAAATAAATTTGAAGGATTCATCAAATAAAATGAAATTTAAAAAAACTATTGCTGCAAATTAGTAATAATAACATTTTGTACCCTACAAAACTAAAATGTGAAAATTGCTTTAGAAAACTGTTCCAAGAGGGTTATATTGTTTTTGAGTGTTCACATGGTTTTCTTAGGGAATGCATTTTTCAATATATTAAAAGTAATCAAACTGTATTAGATTAAAAGGCATATCGAAGTATGCTCTATTTAGATAATAATTAAATGATATTGAAAACCTGTAAATACAAACAAACTAAAGTAAGCCTGATAAATCGATTTTTGGATTCTTTACTGCTTCGAATTAAATTACTTTAAACAATTAAAGAAACGCTAGAATTAAGTTATGAAAGTAATATCAATCAGAATTTAATGATATTTTATATAAGGGTTGTCGTGCGTGTGTGGCGATTGTATATTTGATTAAATTCTATTACCATTAGATAATAATGAGTTTACTGAGGAGACTTGGTTTATTTGAGAATTTTTTTAAATTGAATATTTTAATGAAATTATTTATGGCTTTTTGTCAAGGGAAATCCATTCTTCTAAAGGATAAATAAAAGTTGACAAAATACATCGATCTTTGTCTAAAGACACCTGTTAATTATAAGGGTATTCAACAATCTATTGGGTATCACCAAATCATGGTGGCACAATTCAATTCTAAGGAGTTTAATAAAGGATTATTCCCTTAATTTATCAATTTAATCGGAAGAGATTTTAAAGAATTAGACCCATACGAGTTTAACTATTTTATACAAGCTCTTAGTTGCTATGTAGAAAGTGCTATAAATCAAAATGTGTATGATAAAAAAATCTTTGAAAGTGTAATAGACTCTATAAGTTTGAATGCAACTTATGATTAAAAATGCTTATTTTTCATAACTATATTTTGGTATATTGGGTTTTACAGGGTCATACCTTTAAGCAGACAATCAGTCGATAAATTCTAAGCTGAGTTGTTCGAATAGGTACCCTAAACAGCGGAAGAACGTCTTTGGAGAGTGTTTTTAGAGTTGCATCTATTATAAGGGAGGAGAAACTTAGAAGGGCAAAGTGAAGCAATTTAAATGGAAGAACGTAAAATAATGAATAAGTTTATTAATCAAATTGAAGAAATTGATATTAATTTACCAAAATTAAAAAACATTATGAGTAGATTCATGTTGTTAAAATATTATCCAGTTTTAAAGTACTTTTATGTAATATTCGAAGTATATTATTTAGGCATAATCTTATGATAATAGGGTTCACAAATTGTTATTTTCTATTTATTAAAACTGCCACAATTACATTTAGAAAAATCTATCATCTTTAAATTCATTTGGATTTCATATATATATTGATTTATTCTCAAAAACTAAGGACATGTTTTAATCTGCAAAGTGGGATCTCCTATTGAATGAAATAAACTCTAGAAATTTGAACGAAATGCCAACATTTGATATAATAGCTTTAACATTTGTTATAATAAAAAATGAAAAAATGACACCTTAATTAGGCAATCGAATCATTTAGTAAATTATATTTTAAATTAGATATTTATATGAGAATATGGATTCTATAAATTCTTACAATTACGCCGAGGTGTTTCAGATCCTTCATGAAGTAGATAGTAATATAAAAGATTAATTTGTGACTAAACTACAATTAAAAGTAGTACCAAAAGATTTGCCATTAAACCATATATCTTTGATTCTTTTTGTGCTTAAAAGACTTCATAGAATAGATCAAAATATATTGGAGAAGTATTTGGCAGGAATCGGAACCAGAATTAAGGAGATAGACAATTAAATTGGTTTTGAAATTTTATCTGCTATCAATTCTGTGGGTCAGTAAAATCCCCTGATATTTGCTTAGATTCAAAAGCTTAAATTAAATGAAGAGAAGGATTAATCATTACTAATAGAGATCTTAAAGTATTTATAACTGCATGATCCATCAAATGGGACATCAACTAAAATACAGGAGGGAATTGTAAGACTTTTGGATAAAGAATTTAATTTAAAATTAATTTGTTCGATTCTTGAAATTCTAATGAAAATTAATCGAACCACTAAAAAATCAATCACATTAATTCCTGAACTTAAAAAATATATAAAAAGAGGAATAGATGAAATTAAAAGTTTGAAACTTTATAACGACAATGATTACGATGAGGTAATCCTGATTTTGAGAATTTAGTATCATATTGATATATGAGTGAAATTATATAAAAAGATTGAATATTCTAATTTTGAAAAATCATTAATTCATTCAGCATACTCCAAAATTAAGATATATATCCAAATTTGTTTCTGTAAACCTTTTTTCTCTTTGTTTAAACCAATTGATTGATATAGGCTTTCAATTTGAATTCAAAATGAGGAAATCTCTTGTCAAGGTTGAACCATCCTTTTAATCATATGAATTAGTTTGGCAATGGAAGGATCCATCGCATCTAATAATGTTCGAAATTTGGTATCCAATAATCATATGAATAGAATCCTTCAGTATATTGTTTAATGTATTGAATCCCTTTAAAATCTTCGCGTCACTATTTATTTCATAGGTTCTTCCTGGTGCAGTATTGCATTGATTAAATTAGGCAATGGCAATGATATTTTCTTCTTCAAATAATTTAATGGAGAAGCAGTTCATAGACCTTAGCAGATTTTAGTTTGATTAATTGATTTTTAGGGGTAGGCGATTTAGGCATATCCAAAATCTTTAGTGGCTTCAATAGCTTGATCAGTCGACGGTTAAGCAAAATAAGGTCCTTAATGAGTTCTTTCCATGTTTTATCTAATAGGATTCAACCTGAATTAATCCATTATGTGACAGGTTTTTGAAAATAAAAAAGAAACAGCAAATAATAAGTTAGGAATTCCTTTTACATATACATCCATTATGAATTTGAAGCATTCTTTTGATTATTTCTTCTCCAACTCCAACTTTACTCAACTAACCCTAAATGGGTATGATGGAAACAAAATTGGCTACTGAAATTTGTTGCTAACATAGAATATAATTTAATTGAATTCAATATCTCTTATGCATTATTTAGCAAAATATTCTTCAAGTTTTTTTTGATTCCGATCGTAATTCTTCGTAGGTGTACTCTCTCATCTACTGAGTAGATGGATTTGCATATGATTATATGAAATGTACTGAGCGATTACTAAAAGCAAGTTCTAGGTATTGGACATCATTATGAAAATCAATGACTTCTTGCACCTTAGCTTAAAAATAATTCATAGAAAGGAATGAAATAGATTAGTTCCAAAGCATCTATTTAAAAACCAGAGCCAATTGTTTATCCTAAAATTTCTATTTAATCGATGATCGATATTTCTGTATTCTTATTTGAGAGATTACTAACCATTTTTATATAATTTCATAAGAGAGTAGTACTTCATGTGTGACAATTCATCGACCTCCAAAAATCTTTAGATCTCATTGTCTTAATCGATCAGAGCTTGATTCAAGTTTTGAAACAAAAAATAGGTTCTTACAATAGAAACTCTCCATTTCGCTATTTGTATTTGGGCAATATGTATTAAGAAAGCAATTCCAAGACATGAAATTATTCCTGAAATAATATAATGGATTAGTTTAATCAATTAGATTAGTTGCCGATTGGAAATAATAGGATAGTTTAGAGTATGTTACTTTCTTCCATGTTTGACAGATTAAAACGAGATGAATAAAACTCCAAACTCTTTAATTCTATGAAATAACAATGGCAATTGATCTACCCAGAAATCTTTTGCGAAATAACAAGATTTCCTTTAATCGCCGTTATTAGAAAAGAATTGAAGATTACAAATATCAGTTGAATTAGTGATACAAAAATAAGGCTCTAAATATTAGGCATAGTTGAACATCTCAATACATGATAAGTTAATCTGTGTTAAACAAAAAATCCTTTATCATTTATATATAAAAATTAATTATTATTATTCGTTAATGCAAAAACAACCTCTAAAACTGATATAAACTCCATCCACTTATGTCACCAAAACTCCTGAAAAAGCGATTAACACATCACCTTTCAAAGGATACAGTGTACAATAGATGAAATTATTTCCATTAGTATAGCGACAAACAGTAGATGACTCCAATTAAATACAATGTGGGATACCCCCAAGTTCAGCAAACCATAAACCAAAATATATAGCCTCAATTTCCATATTATGAGAACACTTCACCATTTCGTTAAGAATCTAGGGAACAACTGTTTTAAAGGATTTATAATTTGGAGGATAATCTAAGGGTGATCTCTAAGAGATATGAATAATTGAAGGAGGAATAAGAGAAGGAGAGGATGAAGAAATGCGAGACCGATCGAAGTTATACTCAATTATAATAAAAATGTTAGGAGTAACTATTGTGTTATTGAGAGTAGTTAAGAGAAGGAATTTCAGAAATATCAACAGTAGGCTAAGTTAAATGAAGCGAAATATAAATAGATCTCGAGTTAACTTTAAGAGTTTAAGGAAAAGTTGAATGCGAAAGACAATGAGATTTTAGAGTAGAAAACAGTGTAGGAGAAATTCTAAAAGATATTAAAATAGAAGGAGAAGGAGATCAACGATTTGAAATTGATGTTGAAGTAAGAAAAGGATCTTAGGTCATTTGAAAACGAGAAGCTTATTTAAGAGTTCACTTAGACTTACAGTGAGTTGAGTCTGTAGAATGATTAATTAATTCAGGAGAACGACGAATTGAAGACAGCAATCTTAGAGTTCGATAATTAAGGTCGATCATTGTCTTCTAAGAAGCAATCAGAACAGAATTTTTAGACGAATACAGATTTCTTGGACGATCCAGAATTAAGACAAATTGTACACGAATACTTATCTAAAAATGATGAGTATTATTTAAATCAGATACCTGAGAAATAGCTTAGGACTGCTGTGTAAATTATTAAGGATGTATTTTAAACAGTTACGGCCAGAAAATTGAAGGAAATCAAATCATAATAATTTTAACAGCCTAAATAAATCAGTGAAGAAATTGAAATCAATTTATAGGAGGTAAGGAAGAAGAGAGAGTTTCTAATAAAGGAGATCAAGTAGAAATTGGAAAGGGTTGTCAAATCAAAAGTATAGATTTATTATGATGATATAAGGAATTCAATTTGATGGAATTCAATGATTTACAAAGAGAGATGGAGGAACTTAAAAAAGAGTTAGGTTCTGTGGAGAATTTGATTTAACAGATGGAGTAATCACTATTGTTGAATCCACATCGAAATAGTTGTGTCTCTTTTGATAATGAGGAGTTTTAATGAGGATATACTTTTTGAATAATTCTATCTATTTTTAATTATTTTGATATTTATATGTTTATTCTATTTGATCATAGTACATTAATATAATAAATGTAATAAAGAGTGCCATATTTCAATGAGGAGAGACTCGAGGATTCCTATTTCTAGTTAGAATTGAAGAGAACAACCGATTAATTTATTGTAATTTGAATTAGTTGATAGGAAGGAATACAAGGGGAGAAGGAGGACAAATGATTACAATTACATAATACGAAGATTCACAATACACGAAATCAACAATGAGAGATTTTTGATGCTGAGGAAAATCAAGTTGTATAACATATTGCCTGTGTTGGATTTGTATCTGCCAGAAAATTCATTGGTTGGTCCAGATTATTAGGAATACTCACTGTAGAATAATTTAGAGCATATGAATTCAGATGAGAAAATCTACGTGGCCTCGTTGGTGGCAATAAGTACAAATGATAATGAATTTATAAGCATTGCAGGAGTTGTGTAAGAGAAGACTACCATTCTTGATAACACCAGAGAAGGTCATCATTATTGGTTCGCATGTTTGTCTTTAATAAATTGACTTTGAATTCAATAGAGTCATCACTCCAGATGAGTCTTTTATTAGTTACATAGAATTAGGTATCAATTTTCATTGAAGTCACTTTTAGTTTCCAGGATGGGATTAGAGTGTTAAGGCTCTGACTTTTAAGAAATTATCGACTATTTATTGGAATTATAGGATGTAAACATAGGTCTCACTGAAGATCTGCCCTATGTGGAATTTTTATAAAAAATATTTTCGTTTACAAATGATTCAAGTTTAGTGGATGAAAAGGCCAATTCATTTGTTTATGCGTTCGACACTCCAGATTTCTTGAAGACTATCCCTGGAATCAGCAACAGGACTGTAATGAAATCTGCAAAATTAGATATTGCAGATAACAAGGATTATCTCATATTGTGCTCTTAGAGAGAATTGGAGATTATGGAAAACTTTAGAAAATATGAACCTTTCGCTTATTATTTTGCTTATTTTAGAATCCAGGATCAATTGTACTTATTCATGGAAATGTACCCAACTGATTTATAGAGGGCTTTTGAGAGTTCTGAAATTTATGACAGAAATATAAGAGATCTCTGTTGTTAATTGGCTTTTGGTATCCAACCTTTACTTATATATAGCTATTCGTTAATTACACAAACATCGAATCTTGCATAGAGATCTCAAACCTTCGAATCTGTTCTTGAGTCATGAGGATCTAGATAGAGCTCAATTGAAAATTGCAGACTTTGATCACTCTACTACCTTAGACGATACTCCTGAATTCTGTAACTAAATTCTCACTGGTCTGACATCATCTACTAATTATGAACCACCTGAGACTGGACTATCCAATTACACGTTTACTTCTGACATTTGGTAGATTGGAATGATATGTAATCATTTAATTTACATAATAATGATAGTTTATTAAATCGCTAATCAAGGAGTCTATCCAGTGGAACATTCTTCACTCTTATGGACTGATGAAATGTACAGAGATGAATGCACATACGAGAGAATTAAATAGACTTTGGCTGATAAGAACATAGATGAAAACTTTATTAGATTAATTGCCGATTGTCTGTCCTTTAATCCTAAAGATAGACCCAGTGCTGAAACTCTTATTGTCCGTCTAGAATAGTGTTTTGAAGACTTCGGATTTGAAAATGAGGACACCTTACAAAGCACTCATTAACTAAACTTAATAGAATCTTTTGGTCAGTTATTGTAGAGATCCCAACCTTTAAGATTAACAAAAAGTGGAAAAATATGATCAATTATTAATATTATTAATTAGGAGATTTATGTATCTAACAACTAAATTTTATTCTATTATTGGAATATATGATGAATATTATTCAAAAAGAAAATAATTTAATAATTACAATCCAAGTATTCCGATCACTTTTTCTTTTTCTTATAAATGTTGGAAACTAAACTGGCTGCTATCAGGAATATGCCTAAAGAACTCAGAATTCCTATGTTATGCTTCATGATGAGGACATCCAATAAAATATTGAATACGATTTGAGATTGTCCAACCAATGACATCTATGTTACATCTCCAATCATCATTGATCTATTCATGAACAACTATGCCAAGCAACCCAAGAATCCACTGATTATCATCAAACCCATTTCTGATAAACTCAAATAATGAAATTGCTCAAATGGGGAATAGAGTTGATAGATCGAAGCCATCGTTATTCCGAATAATGAAAAATACTGTAATATAACTAATTGATGAGCCTCTTTCGAAAGTGAACTGATAAGCACTTAGGTAATGGAAGTAGTCAATGCTGTCAATAAGGACAGACACAAACCAATGAAATACAAGTAAGTGAATTCTAATTCATGAGTTTCATAACCAAGTACTGACATTATGATAGGTGGTTTTGCAATTAGAACCACACCAAAAAGACAGAAGAGTATTTCCATCATCGATCTCCATGTCATCCTCTCAGTTTTATAAATGTAAACTACCAACAGGGTTGTCCACAAAGGATTGGTTTTCATCAGCACCACTGCTTCAGACACAGTCGTCAATTTTAAGGCAAGAAAGAATGAGATAAACCCAATACCTCCGAACACTCCTCTTCCAATCAACTTTACCAGGGTCCCCTTACTTTTTGGGTATGATTAGCAAGGGAACATTTAAATAAGGATTTAGAGTATAACCAAAGTCAAGACAGACCTCCAAACTATGATTTAGCTGGCAGGAATCCCTTCAAAAAATTTAATACTAAATGTATGGAGTGCGAATGTCAAACTGGACATCAACTAATAAAAGGCAGGCAACCCTGTGGGATATTGTTTCTCTAACACTTTAAGCTATTGTGTCAAACCTATAAGCAAATTTGCCATATTTATATTTAATTAGACATAAATAATTTGTTTAATAATCAGTTCTTCTACATTATATTTGAGGTCAGACTTGTGGCTATCATCCCAATTCCTATCCAACTGGTCATCCCGATCATCTATTTCAAAATCAACAAATCCAAAAGAATATTGAACACTATCTGAGTCTCCCCTATTAGAGCCATTTGTGTGACTTTCCCCAACATCATTGCTCTATTCATGAACATCGATCCCAAACAGCCCAAGAATCCACTGAACAAGAGTATTGCAGCTTCCTTCCAAGAGAGAAATCTCATATCCTCGAAAGGCGAATACAATTGAAAGAGCACTGCCCCTGCCATTGCAAATAAGGAAAAGTATTGCAATATTACAAATGAATGAACTTGATTATTTAATGATTTAATAATCACTTATGCCACAGCTGTTTCTAATGCGGTTACAAGTGCCAAACAGAGCCCTACTAAATATAAAACTGAATATTCTGAATTCTCAATTCCAAATATTAAGGGAGGCTTTGTTATGAAAATTACACCTATAATACAAGTCAGTATCTCCAAGGCTGTTCTAATGTTGATCTTCTCCTTCCTCTGCACGTACACCAATATGAGGGTAGTCCAAATAGGATTGGTCTTCATCAGTACTACTGCTTCAGACACGGCAACCAATTTCAAAGAGGAGAAGCAGGCCAGGAATCCAAACATTCCTATGGCACCTCTAATCAAGAGTTTGCTCATTATCTTCTTGTTTTTTGGGTAGGATTGCAATGGCAATATTTGATTAAGCAATCTGATTATTATAAATGTTAAGCAACATCTCCATATTATTATCTGAGTTACGGGTATGCCATCAAACAATTTTACACTAAAATGATTAAGGGCGAAAAAAAAACTACTCAAAATTTGGTATAAAGTAGGAACCAATGTTTAATGTTCTTATTCAAATTATTAAACCTATTTAATTATGTAATTTGCCATTCTCTAAATTTTAATTATTATAAAAAAAGCATAATAATTTTTATAGCTTATTCTTACTAACTTAATAAATTTAGAATTCTATTCATATTACTATGCTTCTTATCGAACACACAAAACAAAAACCCTTCCTTAATAAATACATGTTTTTGGATTTGAAATATTGGAATTGAGTTGACTTAAACATCAATTTCAAGTCTGAGAAGCATTCTCTGTAGGAAATGAAACTTACTCACGCTCTAGTAAGATTGGATTTTATTTCAAATATATATATATTATTAATTCCTGATGGGAAATAGTTCCAAACACCCAAATTAATAGGGGAATCAATCTTCCTTACAAATGAAGCAACCCAATAAACCTGAAGATGAATTGACCAAATATTTGACCTAGAGTAATGTTTAAATATACATGATCAGGCTGCTCAACTTTTCCATCATCAATTCTCAAAAACCCTGAGTACAAAGCATCAAGAGTAAGTTGTTTAAGGTGCGAGTTTTTACTATTCGACGATGGATTGGGCAGAACTAACTAATGTGAAGAGTGTCAGATTCCTTATGTCATAAAGGATGGAGTGATCACTCTCTTGAATCAGAGTTAGGAGGTTCAATGCTGCTCATATAGTTTCCCAATGTAGTATCTAGATTAGGTTGTGCTCCGTGTTAATCAGTATTTCTATTAATCACAATAGGACCTGCATTAATCACATCTCATATGGACATTTGATGACCCAAATCATATTGCCCTTCTTCCAGACGAGAGAGAGAGTAATCACATCAGGGGCTTGCTTCAATATCGACCAGTTTGAATTCCGAGTGGTTGGATGTGGTTCCTAACTCCAAGGTATTGTGGGTACTGGCACAAAGATCTACTGTTATGAATCATATACAGACAGAATCCTGTACAGATTGAAAGTGTATACGCAAAGAAAAAACTGCTAAGATGAACTTTTCCATTATTTCTTCTCTCATCCGAAAGAAAATCAGCTCATTTAGGGTATGAATTTGTGGGGATATTATTAGATTCATATATAAAAATCAACAATCAAGAATATTTTATATTGCAATGCACTGAGTAATCGGGGAGATTGCACTTATACACAAAAATGGAATGTATTTCGAATGTTCCGAGGTTGTCTTCAGTGTAATTCATCATTTTGAAACAACCCATAGAATTCTCTCGTAGCATTAGAAATCAAGCAATTTAGTAAGTACTTAACCAAGTCATCCAACCGTACTTTGCAGGATTGACCAGGTATTTGGAGAAAGGGTAGATTTTGAGGATTGGCGACTTCATTTTCGAAGTGTGTTTAGATGAGGATTATGGCTTTGTCATCCCAAATTAAACACACATTCAAATCACAGATTAAGTTGATTAGCGAATGAATCTATAACAACTGCAATCAAATCAAAGCTATAATATTATAAACAGATCTACTAATAATGGAAATAACACAAGATAGGACTAGATTGAATCCTTGCATAGATTGTTGAATACTTTCATATAGTTAAATGAAAATGGCACTATCGATGGTCATCTGGGATGTGAAGATCATGAGATATAGTAATTGCCAGTAAGGAAGATTAATTTAGAACAAATTAAACAATTGGATGAGGACCATATGAAATGTCTGATATGTCTTTGTGAATATGAGGAAGAAGATCTAGTTAAGACGATTCCATGCTGTATTAATATATTCCTATATATGTATAGTACATTATTTTCATGATGATTGCATTGACAAATGGCTCAAGAAAAGCAGACACTGTCCAATTTGTAAAAATGAGCTAGAAGTTTGAAAATCTTACTTAATTACAATTCAACATATTTTATCAATTCTTTCATAACAATAATAGTCAAATATTCTTTCATAATGAATTTCTTTTAATTTAATTTATCTTTTAATCTATGGGAAAACATAGAAACAAGAATTAAAGCAAATATGAAAATGCTCCTTAGAAGAAAGTTAAGACAAATCACTGGGATCAAGACAATCAATAAATTTGCGTAGTCTAATTTGAGAATTCCATCTTTCGTCGTTTCTATGAAGTATGATATCATCATTAACAATATTTTAGATCCAATTACCAGAAATAACTTCTGAAGAGTTTCAGGTCTTCTGGTAATCGTTATCTCTTCCATTACCTGTCACTTTCAGAATTAATCCATCCTAATACAAATACGAGAGTTTGATTGAAAGATTGCAAGATGGATCATTAATAAAAGACATGGTGAACGAAGAAGAAATAGTAGAGCCAATTAGAGAAATTAAATGGTATCCAAATCATTTGGTATGGGAATCTAAGGTGCCTAAGAAAAGTCTTAGAAAATCAGCTGCCCTCACTAAACTACATCAATTCATATAAAAATGCAACTCAACTGGACTTTTGACAAGATAAGAACTTGTGTCAATGCTTCCTCCTTTATTATTGGATCCTCAACCAACTGATTTTGTTCTGGATATGTGTGCAGCTCCAGGATCAAAAACTTGTCAATTGTTGGAAGTAGTCACCAAAGGATTGATTGTTGCAAATGATGTAGATCCCAAAAGAGCATATATGTTATCACATCAACTATCTCGTATGCCAACCGCATAGGTTATGGTCACTAATTATGCAGCCTAATTCTATCCCACCTTATATATCAATGGATAGAGATTACAATTCGATAAAGTGTTATGTGATGTTCCCTGCACTGGAGATGGAGCTGCTCGTAAATTACCTACTAGATGGGTCAAATGGTCAGCAAGAGACGGCAATGTCATTCATCCTTTGCAATTGAGTATTTTGATGAGAGCACTTCAATTATGCAAAATTGGAGGATATGTCATGTATAGCACATGTTCACTCAATCCAATTGAGGATGAAGCTGTAGTGGCTGAAGTCTTTAGAAGGGCTGGCTTTGAGGCTTTTGAATTAGTTGATTTGCATACACTTTAAGGATTCAAAACTAGAAAAGGAGTCAAGGATTGGAAGGTTATCGTTACTGATGACTTTCTAACCTAAAAGTATCTTCAAAGAGAATCAAACACAGACTAAGATGAAAAGACTTTCCTTGAAAGTGTCACTGTTGATGATTTAGTCTATGAAGTTAATAATGTTAATCAAAAAGTGAATATTAAAAAGTTGTTTTCTAAGTTTTCTAGAAAATAGGAAGGATAAATGATTAATGCTTTAAAGACATTAAAGCCTTCTTTATGGCCAGACACTGAAGAGTTTATGAATAAAATTGGTATAGAGAACACAATGAGAGTACTTCCACATGATTAAGACACTGGTGGTTTTTACTTGGCATTATTTAGGAAAAAGTAAGCTGTAATATGGAAAAAGCCAACATACTAAGAATCAATTATATCTTAAGAGTAACCAATATAATAATAATAATAATAGTAATAATAATAATAGTAATAATAATAATAATAATAATAATAATAATAATAATAATAATAATAATAATCATAAATTGAAGTTGAATAAATTATTGATAAATAAGAATAACCAAATTAATCATAATAACCTGAATAAGTTTAATAATAAACTTAATAAGAAGTAATCTAATCAGAAGATGTTTAATAAGAATAATTTATTTAAGATATTGATGTCAATTAAGATCATCTTAAAGATATCTTAAAGTAAAGCAATGAATAAGATGGCAAATAATAAAATGAGAAAGATAAAGCAGCATTACTTGAACCCTATACTCCGATCAATGACTATGATTGGAAAGTCATTTGTGATTATTATGGTATCAGTGGATTTCCTTAAGGATAAGTTCTAGGTACTGGATAATCACTTGACATCATCATGTAAGTCAACAAGAAATTTAGATATGTTAGTGAGGATGTAAAAAATATACTGTTTGATCCCAAAAATTGTAAATAATATTTATATTAAATTAGAAAATCTTAAACTCATTAATATTGGTTAGAAACTCTTTGAGAGAGGCAAGGAAAGTTTTGGTGGATAGGTAACTCCCTTTAAAATCACTCAAGAAGGACTGCCATACATTTATAAATATCTGACTAAACGTGTTGTTGAATGCAATAAGGAACAATTTATGGAGATCTTACAAAAACGAAATATTAGAATGGGCGATTTTGATCATGAGGAGTTGAAGAAACAATTCGAGCAGTTGATTTAGGGATGTTTTGTCCTTTTCTACAAGGAAACACCAGAAGTAAGCGAAGCAATAGTTTGCCAATATTACAAACAAAGTGTTAATTTAATGTGTAGTACTGAGAATATAGAAAACATTCTTATTAGACATAGATTGATGTGATTTATATATATATAATATATATAAATTAATTAATGGCTCTTAAGAGAATTCAAAAGGAATTAGCAGACTTAGCCAAGGATCCCCCTGCCAATTGCTCTGCTGGTCCAGTTGACGATAAAGACAATTTTCATTGGCAAGCTACTATAATGGGGCCAGAAGGGTCACCCTATTAAGGAGGAGTCTTTTTCTTAAACATCCATTTTCCTACAGATTACCCATTTAAACCTCCAAAAATAAACTTTGTTACTCGAATTTATCATCCAAACATCAATTAAAATGGTGCTATTTGTCTGGATATATTAAAAGATCAATGGTCTCCTGCACTCACTATCAGCAAAGGTATTTAAATAGTTTATAGAATAATAAGTGCTGCTCAGTATTTCTTCCCTTTTAACTGATCCAAATCCAGATGATCCTCTTGTTCCAGATATTGCAAATATCTTCAAATAGGACAAAAATAAATATGAATAGATTGCTAGAGAGTATACCAAAAAACATGCATAATGATTTAATGAATGCAATATATAAATATATATATATAGTAAGAATTAAAATTCATAAATTTATTTTGTGTGACCCTTAAATTTTACGAGCCCTTAAGTAATTCACTAGTTTCTCATAATGCATTTCTTCTTGATTCTACTTAATTGTCTATGAAAGTATTCTTAATTCTTCTTCATAATGAGGATTAGTATTCTTAAGAATTCCTTTCCTCTCAATCTATTGACCAATCTACGATAACTCCAAAGATATCTTTTAGGATTGTTGTTGTTCAATCTGATGTTATGAAGTTATGCTTTTGAATTGAAGTTCCAAAGTTGAAATAAAATTGCAGGACATAGTGCTGACCTGATCATTAATGGCTTATTCTTCAGCAACTTCTATGTCACTCTAAGTGATAGAGGCCAAATTTGGGTGTTTCGCTACACAAATGGATCCCATTGAATTAATATTTTTAAATCTTGTTGAAACTCTATATGTATTTATTAACATATCCAATTCACCCAACAATCAAACAGAAACTATGTTTTCTTAACTGTTTAATTCAATTTATAATCAAATTACAGAGAAAAAACAGTTGTATTACTAATCTATTTCATACAGTTTTGCTTTGCTACTAAAATAGAGATGCGTATAAACACTTAAATTATGCAAATCAATTCTGTAGCACTTCATTTATCCATTTATTTAATGTAATAGGGACTATAATTTTAATTTAAATCTAAACCAGTTTCTGAAGAAATTATATTATTAATTTTAACAATTTAACTCAAAAATATGTGTTATATAGCATCTGTATTGTGCAGGACTTGATGACTAATCCTTAATTTATTGTATGATTACGCCGAAATCAATCCTCATCTTATAGAATTATTGTAAATTATCAAAATAACATAGATAATAATTTAATGTATAATTTAAATAAATATAATTGAATTTGATAAGTGCTATCATTTAGTTAATCTTTTGATGTTATTCTAAAGCTATTTAACCTCCTTTCCATATTAATTAATTGAGTGATCAGTTTGTCTGATCATCCTACGCAATTATTTGAGATCATCATATTCTTCGTATGAAATTGGATCAATTTCAACTTCTTCATCTGTTATGATTTGTTTTTTCTACTTAATTTGGGTACAAAATATATCTTGAGTTTTCTGCACTTTTTTTTCATGGATTCTTTATTTTGCTAATTATAATAAATCAGATGATAAATTCATTATAATAATAACAATACAATAATAATAAAATTCAATAGTTTTTGAAATTTGCAACTCTGGCATCTCTGTTCGACTTCATTCCACATCGAAGTATTCAATGAATCAATCAGACAATTATACTTATTTAATTTAGTCAAATTGAACCCCTATATACACTATTCTGTTTCCCATGTACAAGGCTTTGCTCGTTTTAAATCATCTGTTAAAATACTCTTGCAATCAGCTTCTGTTGCATAATCAGAACATTCCTTCTCCATACATGTACTATTATCCTTAATCCATTTGCAATAATTTTCTCTTTTATCACACTTATCTTAAAATCCTGAGAGATCTGCACAATCCTTACTCTCCTCCCCAATACAATATTGATATTACTAACACAAATTAACTTCATCAGATTCATCTTGGCATTGCTAAAATGTTCTCCAAGTGCAAACAGCATATTCGTATTGATTGCACAGATTCTCATTATTTAATGAGAAACAAGTCATGAAGCTACCTCCTGATTTTGATAGATCATTGATGCAATTGTATTTCCCATTACTCTGCTATTCCTCATCGTATGTACAAAACTTAGTTTATGTGCTCTTTAACAAGCAATCTTCTTTTTTATCAACTTAATAGGATCCACAGCCAGAAAATAGTTCACATGCGCCATTATTATTCCAGACACACTCACCTGTGTTATCACAAAGTTCTTGGGTTTTGATATCGGTACAATATAAGGCTGAACACTTAAATTTGGGGACTGCTAATGATAGTGCAGTCTTATTTTTTAAGGAAGCTTTATCAAGATTGATTGTTTGTTGTGATAATGTGTATGGTGCTATTTTGCAATTGAATCTTAAGCAATCATCTTTGGTTATCATTTATGCACATGAACATTGAATGGTAGATAATTGTATGAAATCTAATGCTTAGATAGTGGATGTTATTAGATTAATAATAATAAATTATATCATTATTATTGTATTTATATTTCATTCCTATTTGGGTTGTTGATGACTTTCTCTTGAACCCTCTCAATGTACAGTTTCTATTCATATTTGTTTTTTATTCCAAACGCTCCCATTCCCAAATTCAAAAAGAAATCAGGCCAACCCTCCATAAATTTAATGAGTTCACTTTCCAAATACTAGGCCCTTGAACCAGGATCCAATTGCAATTACTCTTGATTCTCCTTGTTCAAAAATACATTCAATAGTTCTCCAGAGAAGAAGTAATCCAATCTTTCAACCAACACATTCGCAGTCTGCTGAATATCGGACTCTTCCTTATCCTTCTGTCCACTCTCAATAAGAGTCTACAAGACCTGGATCAAAGCAGCCTCATTTCCTTGAAAGAATTCCTCAGTCAAATAGGCAATGTGAGAATGGCTACTCAACTTAACAAATCCTTTCTCAACCAAACTTGCAGCATCATAATAAATGACTCTGAAGGATTACACAATGTGCTCATATACAATTACATCTTTGAATGGTTTAGGTGGTCTTGAATCATCAAATGCCTATCTAGGGGGCAACTCAATGACATTGCCTTAAGAAATGCCCAGACATTGATCCTCAGCTAATTTGCTCTCATTCTTGGTCACTTCAACAAACATGGGATCCTGGGACTTCTTTGCACCTCCTCCTCTTGGTCCTCCTCCACCGCCACCTGTTTGTGTGTTCTCCTCCTATTTGGTTTCGTAGATCTTGACTATTATTTCACCAGCACCTCCAGGATAGTCACGATAATCATTCTAAGTCATATCCCAGGGTGGTCTGTACACATTCCTCTTGAACACGTTGGTAGATTCTGGGTCTGATTTTGGCCTTTAGAATTTGAAGCAGTTAATATTGCCATCTGAATTGGTGAAGCCTTGCACTTTGCACTTACTCTTGAAAGTCTTCTTCCCTGGGAGAGTGTAACCATCCACTATTACCCTGATGCCATAGACGCCCTTGTCCTTGCACTCGACATTGAGTATGAAATGTTGATCGACCTCGCCTATGATGCAGATCCCTTCAGGTGTCATGATGTGCTTGTATTCCAAAGGTTTTCCTTTGCATTACCGAAAAGGATCGACAAAAGTTAGTTCGAATGTCTCATCATTAGAGAGTACCATTTTTAATAATGAATTCGATGGCCAATTTGATCAAGCTTATGTATGGGATCAATCTCGAATACTTCATAAAAAGCGAACTAAAATTAAGGTCTAATTTCATTTCTTCTTCAAATAATTACATTATAAAAGAAATAATCAAATGCATTAACATATCACAGCATAATCACTAAGGAAGCAACTCGAAAATAAAGAATAATTGATGCATACTCTCAAACATCTGGAGAATAGAGTGACCCACGATATCGTACCCGTCTTGATTGAGATCCTCAAAACTGTTGACTAAGCGATCAGATTGGTGGCTAAACTCATTCAGCTCCAACCCAAGGAATTCAATTCGTAAACCTTGCAAGTGGCCATCCAAAGGTGTCTAACCTAACCAATCAATATTACTTTGTTGAAAGCCATCGGAGCATTGCTTTAAGAATTCAAAATCGATACACCAGATCAATTCATCAGATTAGTCTTCCGATGTTGCTTTACAGGCATTCCGCAGTTTGGCAATCTACAGCCCGAACATGTCGTAACTGATCTCTCTAGTGATTCAGAAGGATAGAGTGATGCAGCTCAGAAAGCTAATTCGAAAATAAGATCAACCAGCATACTAGTGTTAAAGACTCTAATCAAGGAATTCCCACTGTATTTCTAAAGCAATTGGTAACTATTCTTGTAGAAATTGTTACAGCTACTGCAACATGAACCTAGAAAGAATACAAAGATTAATTTGGTTCATTTAATAATAGTATTGTTGGATACCTTGAATGTCTCTAAGTGGATTCAAGGAATTGAGATAGTTAAACATCAACATGGATTTTAGCCCAAGGCATATGTGTTATTCTAGGGTGTGAAATAGATTCATGAAACAGCACTTGCATTACTTTCTGGATGGAAATAGAATGATAGTTAATTCAATATTCAATTATGCAAATTAGAGGTTTATCTGATGCAGGAATGCAGAATCCTTACTAAATTGTAGGATTAGGAGGGTGCGATTCCCTTATATTAGATTTCATTGTAGTTGATCAATGACCCCACTGTGAAAACATCAGCAATGTAGATTTTGAATTTCTTGGTATATGAGGGTATAAAGACAATAGATGTTAAGTATTTGATTAAGCAATGTTTGCAGGGCATTAAGGAGAGGAATGAAAATAATAATAATGAGTTGTTCATTTAGGAATGCTATTAGTTATTGCAAAAGTGTTAGTCACATTTCCATAAGGAATTCTGTGAATTAGTAAATTGTTAAGAATTGCAAAGAATCAAACAGCCAAACATTTAGTATTACAGGATCTTCGAGGAGATTAGTTGCGTTGCTGAACAAGGATTTCAAGAGATCTTAATTGATGTAGCCTTGGAATGCTTATAGTCAAATGCAGTTGAATTGGTTCCTGCAGGATTCAATATCATAGGAAATCTTCAGGAGGAGTTTTGGCAGAAACAGAGTTAGGAAGTGATTGAGAAGTTGATCAAACAAATTAGTTACATATATGTCTAACTGTTCAGCGATACTCCATTTAATATGTCTAGTTTAAAAATCACTTTTTATAAGGCAATAGGGACATTGTGCAGTTCAAATAGTGTTCTGCAGAATCCGATGGCAGTTCAAGAGTTGTCTCAGATGTTTAACAAATTGCAAGGGAATAATGTGCATGTCTTGGAGAAGAGCAGTTGGGCAGCTGCTAATTTAAGCAGTTTGGTGAATTTGAATCAAGAGTTTTATTAGTTGTTTTTGAATTTCGCTATGAATACTAAGGAGAAGATTTCAACAAATGGTTTGCGTGGATTGGGATATTATTTGATGAAATGTCAATAAGCAACAATAAATTAGGATTTGATAAATTGTTATGCAAATGCTTTGGCATCTAAGAATCCAAAGATAAGTTGGAATGCTTCTACAAGTTTGCATAATGCAGTGTAGGGGAATTGCTAAGAGTTGTTGGAGAATGCAAAGATTAGATAGAGTATTCTGGATGTGTTGACTAAAGGAGGTATGTGAATAGAATAATCGTTTAGATAATTTAAAGGCTTAAATGCATTGTGTGGAGTTGGTGAGATATCTGAAGAATGAACATGCAAAGGATTACTTGAGATCTTTAATTTGGATATTAGTGAAGTTCAAGAATCACGACAATTTCATAGAGAAGAAGTATCAGACAAGGATGAGAGAGAGTGTTCTATTTGTTTTGGAGGGGTTTTTCAAGAAATTGAGTTTGGAGGAATTGATAAAAGCGTTGGATGAGACTTTGCATGAGGAGAATGCGTTGGAGAGAGTGGCAACAGAAATCTATGCGGCAGTTTTGGATAGGAAGCCTAAGGATTCTCAAATTATAATAGCGAATAGTGATTTGAGTAAGTAGGAAGTGCTATAATTATAATAAAATTTTAAAGATGATGAAAAGACATTCAAACAGTAGTAGGAACATTCATATATAATTAATCAATATTTGAGTGTTCCAAAGGATGAGGAATTTTAGAGATTCTTTTAGCAAATGTCATTTATTGCAACTACTTTGTATAATGTAATAGATGAATCTCCTTCTGAGAAATTAATCAGTTTTTCTGCATTAGAGGCATTGCAAGAATTGAGTACAGACTCCAGTTTAATTAAAATATATTCAATCGATTGATATAAAAATATATATATCTATATTCATTTTTAGTATTATGGACAACACTCAAACAGTTTCTTTGATTTATGGGGATAGACAAGCTTAGATGATTCCGAAGATTCTTGATTGAGGTATCTTATCTAGTTTTATGGGTTTAAATGGAAGCTCTGATTAAATGCAGAACATAAATTATTTTATTTAAATCGAATGATCAAAATCGTATTCGCTCTATTCTTTGTAGGATGTTTGGGAAGCAGTGGATAAAGTTCAGGATAATTCTATTCATCAAATGCGTGCACATGTGATTAACTGTCATACGAGAGTGATTGTACCAAAATGGGACTGTAATGCACATGGAATGGAACTTCATGCTCCACTTTAGATTGTAATTTGATAACTGATGCTACTGCATGTGCTGCAAACTTGAAGTGTATGTGGACCCCAAACTCCTCAGGTGGAAGTTCATGCAAAACCTTCACCTTCTGTAGTCAATTAACAGGAGCCACCTAAGTAGCATGCTTATAAATGTCTAACAATTGCCCATTCACTGATGGCACAAAGTGTGGTTCTTCAAATCAACTTCATTCTTGTTCCCACTTAACTGCCAGTCAATATTGTGAAGGATATATTTCATAAGATGGAATCTGTATGTGGAGAGATTCCACAGGATGCACAGCAGCAACCGAATGTGCTCCCTTAACATTAGCAGAATGTAATTCAGCCAAATATGGATGCAAATACACAAACAATGTTTGTTCCTAATAATTATGCTCTGATTACACAACTCAATAAACATGCACTTTTGTCATGGAGACCATCAATAAAGGTGTTTATCAATTATGTAGTTGGGACTCGACTGCTGGAAAATGCCAGATTGCTTAAAACTATGGAGGATTAGGATAAGGAAACTGTTACAGCACAACCTTAGGTACTGCTAGATGGGTCTCTACTTCTGCTGGAGGAGAATGTCTATCCTGCTATGCTCAAACATTATTTGTTTTCATCATAGCATTATTCATTATTATGATCTGATACTTGTAGTTCATGATCGAATATTAGCTGTTCAAAATAAATATATTAAATAATTTATCAGTATTACTAACCCACCAAATGAGCTACACTCCTGGCACTCTCCATCTCTCCAGGTGTACTACCCATTTGTTGATTAGTAGCAATTCGTTTCCGATAAATCATCAATCGAATTCATCTTCTGACATACTCCATTATCCCAATAGCAAATCATCTGATCTCCATTCAAATTCTTTATTGCTCCATTACAATTTTGTGAATTCAAATCACTGCACCTTTTTTCACTGCAAATACTTGTGGTTATATCCCAATTGCATTCCTCATATAAGGAACAAGCAGGTGTTCCATTCATATTAGAACATTGAGTAACTTGTATACTTACACATTTATTGTCAGTTGATACTACACATTATTTTGTATCCAAAATTTAATACTTCTCACAATCCTCTTCCACTTCTGAACAGTTCCCAATTAGTATTTTCTTTTTGCAATACCCATCTTATCCATTATAACAATTTGCATTTTTCAAATTACATTTCTAATTCCCACTAAATTAGTAATCTTCACACTTTGTAAATTCTTTGCACTAATTTTGATTATTTATTGCACAATTTTCACGTAATTCACAAACCTCTAATGGTATATCTGCACAGGTAGACCAAAAATGATCTTTACATACATTGTTCTCTAAATTACAGTTGGCAATGTAGTTGCACTCAGATATCGAATAATCCTAACAACCTTTTATTTGACATTAATTTTAGTCGAATTTACATTGTTTTGCTAACTTACAATCGCTCTCTCCTAGTTCATCACAACTGCATTCGCTTTCATAAGTAGAATTTACAATCAATAGGAGAAGAAATAGTAATTGCTAAATAAAATCATCAACAATTACCATTTTGTTGTACATAAATATAGATTAATAATAATTAAATTGATTTCTTTATAATAATGAATCACACTTATAAACTAAATTCGAGAAATATTTTTTTTTCTTCCTCCCACTTTTTCATTGAGATAATTGATTCTTTTGATTCTGGTTTGCAGTGTAAATTAATTTGATTTCATAAATTCATCCTTGTTACACTTATTCTAAATGATATTTTATTAATAATAATATTAAGTTCACTAATTCCTACTAATCAATCCTTTTATATTAATAAATTATATCGAAAGATTTAAAATAAAAATAGAATGTTTAACACATTATATTTGATGTTATCCTTAATTAAATTATACTTTCAGAATTGATTCACAATCTATCAGAATTATAATTAAATTTAACCATTATAACAAACCACATATATAAATAAACCTTTTAATCAATATGAATTTTATATTTTTGTTTATAAGCTTCTAGTTTAATTGCATCTGCTAAGAAGTCACAACAATACAATTGACAGACGAACAATACTTATATTTTTTGGAAAATGAAAGGCATTATATTGAAGAAAGTATGTTGGGCATGCACTTTGAGAACGATGAAGATTTAAAACAAAAATTTTTAAATTACTCCTCTTAAAAGTTAATAGAAAAATACGAGGAGTTTGATTTAAGTTTGGATGATAATGCAAAGTTATTTAAATTTTTTAGTCACTAAGGAACCTAGATTAATATCTGTTTCTTATAACATTCATCAATAGATTGTAAAATTAGAATAAATAATACCTTGTACAATGAAGGTTTAATAGTAAATGAAATAATCTCGAACTCAATATCACTCCCTTCTAATTCATGTTATAATGCCTTTTATATTGACGAAGAGACTTTTCTTATTAATTGTCTGAATTCCAATAACTAAATTGAATATATTCTGTTAAATCATTAAAGTGAAATATTTGATAAAATTATATTTGATTAACCTTATAATTGCAACTTAGATTCTAAGTTTAAATCCAATAGACTATTAATAAACTCTTTAAATTGTTCAGAATCTATCATTTTGATTATTGAAATAGATGAATTAGAAGGGAGATTGCAGTTTAATAAGAATTTCACAAAAGTGCTTGTATAAGAAACATTCCAAACTGATAGCATGTTGATAGACATTAAACTGTGCAAATAGGATTTGATTATTTTGATTTATAGCACTTTCATGTGTACTTATAATTTAGAGAATCATAGTGTAAATAAAATAGAGAGTCCATATCAAACATGGTTTCTTTACATTTAAGATTCTTGCTTTCCTTATATTCTGAATGAATAATCCTCTGTAAAGAATAGAGAAACCATCAATTACTCTTTTCTCAATTCAAAGGTTAATGTAGAATCTTAAATTTAAAACATCTACTATTTTGAGAGAAACTTTATTTTGTTGTACAATGGAGAAGCAGAAGTTACTTTTGAAAACTTTTTTGGAGAAAAAATTCTAAACGTAAAACAAATTTACAAATTAAATACCTTGCCTTTCCTTATAACACTGGAATAAAACAACAAGATTCAATTTTATAAGGTTTTATTTCTTAACAAAGCCTTCAACTACTAAGGTTTACCATATTACGGAATGGCGTATAAAACCTAATTAAGGCGCTTTAGCCACAAAATTTTCTAATACTACTCAATTAACTAATATTCTATAATTTATCCTATGAAAATTGAATTGACTGGAGATTTACACATTAGAAACTACGAGATAGATCGGAATGCTTTTACTATTAATTTTATTAATCTTTCAAAGACAATACCTTTCTATTTAGATTTAGAATCATATTAGGAGAAGGAGGTTTAAGAATATTAAAATTTCAAGATCTACACTCATTATAGAAGTTTACCTATCAGGAAGATTTTGAAACTAATTTCACTTGAAATTGACTTTATTGTTATAATTTACGAAAATTAGTTTAATAAAATTTATGTTCATATAAAAAACAATGAAATGTAAAAGAACAAATTAATAATGAGCAAAACTTCTGATGTATAAATTGAATTTATATCCGAAAACATTGATCGAATTACTATATTTATTATTTTTAAGCGTTAAATCATGCCATTTTTAATTATTGCTAAGAATGAAATAGAATTGTTAGATTCTTTTATGTCTTTATTAGATATAAAAGAATGCAAGATTGATCAAAAGAAATTATTCTGTCTTCTTGATGATGGTACAGTCTATGCATATCAATCGACTAATTGGTACTATTACTTTATAGAGAATAGCATTTATTCAGAAGAATTTTTGAAGTAACAATAGAAAAAATATAATGATTTCAGAATTCCATAATTATACATTGATCATTAAACTTGCACTATTGAAATTATGCCATTACTACCTTATTAAAATAATGTCCTAATAAAAGTTAATGGGTAAATAATTCATTCGCACGTATTTGTACCATATAAAAGAATATTGTTAATATTACAAAATGACAATTTGATCTCATTGGAGCTCTATTACTTTTCCACAAATGAAATTCTTCTTCTATATTAAATGCCATTGTACGAATTTACCATTCTTTTCCCGATTAAAGTCAAATGTTTATAAAAATTGTTTAGCATAGTAACTAAAAAGAATGAGTAAGAATATTCATTTACATATGATATCACTTAATAAGCAAGGCATTGCTTAATATAGATTATCAAAATGTATGATAATTACGAAAATATTGATTTGATTGATAGGACTGGAATTTTCAGTTAAATTCTGCCAGACCAAATTATTATACATTATCCATATTTGAAAATCAAATAAAANAAAAAATTCTAAACGTAAAACAAATTTACAAATTAAATACCTTGCCTTTCCTTATAACACTGGAATAAAACAACAAGATTCAATTTTATAAGGTTTTATTTCTTAACAAAGCCTTCAACTACTAAGGTTTACCATATTACGGAATGGCGTATAAAACCTAATTAAGGCGCTTTAGCCACAAAATTTTCTAATACTACTCAATTAACTAATATTCTATAATTTATCCTATGAAAATTGAATTGACTGGAGATTTACACATTAGAAACTACGAGATAGATCGGAATGCTTTTACTATTAATTTTATTAATCTTTCAAAGACAATACCTTTCTATTTAGATTTAGAATCATATTAGGAGAAGGAGGTTTAAGAATATTAAAATTTCAAGATCTACACTCATTATAGAAGTTTACCTATCAGGAAGATTTTGAAACTAATTTCACTTGAAATTGACTTTATTGTTATAATTTACGAAAATTAGTTTAATAAAATTTATGTTCATATAAAAAACAATGAAATGTAAAAGAACAAATTAATAATGAGCAAAACTTCTGATGTATAAATTGAATTTATATCCGAAAACATTGATCGAATTACTATATTTATTATTTTTAAGCGTTAAATCATGCCATTTTTAATTATTGCTAAGAATGAAATAGAATTGTTAGATTCTTTTATGTCTTTATTAGATATAAAAGAATGCAAGATTGATCAAAAGAAATTATTCTGTCTTCTTGATGATGGTACAGTCTATGCATATCAATCGACTAATTGGTACTATTACTTTATAGAGAATAGCATTTATTCAGAAGAATTTTTGAAGTAACAATAGAAAAAATATAATGATTTCAGAATTCCATAATTATACATTGATCATTAAACTTGCACTATTGAAATTATGCCATTACTACCTTATTAAAATAATGTCCTAATAAAAGTTAATGGGTAAATAATTCATTCGCACGTATTTGTACCATATAAAAGAATATTGTTAATATTACAAAATGACAATTTGATCTCATTGGAGCTCTATTACTTTTCCACAAATGAAATTCTTCTTCTATATTAAATGCCATTGTACGAATTTACCATTCTTTTCCCGATTAAAGTCAAATGTTTATAAAAATTGTTTAGCATAGTAACTAAAAAGAATGAGTAAGAATATTCATTTACATATGATATCACTTAATAAGCAAGGCATTGCTTAATATAGATTATCAAAATGTATGATAATTACGAAAATATTGATTTGATTGATAGGACTGGAATTTTCAGTTAAATTCTGCCAGACCAAATTATTATACATTATCCATATTTGAAAATCAAATAAAAATCAAAAAGAATGACTGATTATTCTACGATAAATTATGAAATTAAATTTTAGGCTAAATCTTTCATATATTCCATCCCTTCTAATTTCAGTATCCACTTCAGTCTAACTAATTTTGAGAATTCATTAAGATATAAATTTGATGTTTAACAATAAAACTTGATAATTAATAATTAGAATGAAATAACAAATATGGATTCTATTTATGGTAGTATTGATAACTTACATTTGGGTAGCACTTGTAAAGGATTTCTTAATAGGCCAATCTAACTGATAAAAAGAGTCGAACTAGATCATTGTATTGATATTTATCAACAATTCTGCTTGGTCTCTCAATCTAAGATAATTATTGATTACTTTTCTTAAAATAAAACCTTAAACTTAGTAAATGGAATTATATAATTAGATTCAATCTTAAAATATAGCGATAACCTACTCATTTTTTATAGTAGTATTAATTTATAAATCGAATACTTTATTATTTCAGGAAATGGATCAATCAAATAAGATTTAAATAATAAATTAAACTACATACATTTGGAAACAGTTCATTTTGATATCGATGAAATGATAGTAAACATAGTAAACGACTTTCAAACTTTATAAAATATGTATTAATATGTGATATACTCGATAAACAGGGATAACGATAATCAAAATTAGAAATAAGAATGTTAAATTGATTTTCCACAAAAAGTGTAGTAAACTGAACTTCTATACAAGCTTGAATCTTCATTTATTATCTTAATATTAACTTTAGACTCAGTACTTTAGTTTGAATACTGCCCAAAGCCTGATAATTAATTAGAAGGATAAAAACAATTTGTATTTTATCATCAAAAAATAGTATCTTTTTATATTTATAATTCAACATATGAAAATTAACACATCAATTTGATTCTTATACTCTTTAGCGCAAAAGATATAGCNTTTATAGAGAATAGCATTTATTCAGAAGAATTTTTGAAGTAACAATAGAAAAAATATAATGATTTCAGAATTCCATAATTATACATTGATCATTAAACTTGCACTATTGAAATTATGCCATTACTACCTTATTAAAATAATGTCCTAATAAAAGTTAATGGGTAAATAATTCATTCGCACGTATTTGTACCATATAAAAGAATATTGTTAATATTACAAAATGACAATTTGATCTCATTGGAGCTCTATTACTTTTCCACAAATGAAATTCTTCTTCTATATTAAATGCCATTGTACGAATTTACCATTCTTTTCCCGATTAAAGTCAAATGTTTATAAAAATTGTTTAGCATAGTAACTAAAAAGAATGAGTAAGAATATTCATTTACATATGATATCACTTAATAAGCAAGGCATTGCTTAATATAGATTATCAAAATGTATGATAATTACGAAAATATTGATTTGATTGATAGGACTGGAATTTTCAGTTAAATTCTGCCAGACCAAATTATTATACATTATCCATATTTGAAAATCAAATAAAAATCAAAAAGAATGACTGATTATTCTACGATAAATTATGAAATTAAATTTTAGGCTAAATCTTTCATATATTCCATCCCTTCTAATTTCAGTATCCACTTCAGTCTAACTAATTTTGAGAATTCATTAAGATATAAATTTGATGTTTAACAATAAAACTTGATAATTAATAATTAGAATGAAATAACAAATATGGATTCTATTTATGGTAGTATTGATAACTTACATTTGGGTAGCACTTGTAAAGGATTTCTTAATAGGCCAATCTAACTGATAAAAAGAGTCGAACTAGATCATTGTATTGATATTTATCAACAATTCTGCTTGGTCTCTCAATCTAAGATAATTATTGATTACTTTTCTTAAAATAAAACCTTAAACTTAGTAAATGGAATTATATAATTAGATTCAATCTTAAAATATAGCGATAACCTACTCATTTTTTATAGTAGTATTAATTTATAAATCGAATACTTTATTATTTCAGGAAATGGATCAATCAAATAAGATTTAAATAATAAATTAAACTACATACATTTGGAAACAGTTCATTTTGATATCGATGAAATGATAGTAAACATAGTAAACGACTTTCAAACTTTATAAAATATGTATTAATATGTGATATACTCGATAAACAGGGATAACGATAATCAAAATTAGAAATAAGAATGTTAAATTGATTTTCCACAAAAAGTGTAGTAAACTGAACTTCTATACAAGCTTGAATCTTCATTTATTATCTTAATATTAACTTTAGACTCAGTACTTTAGTTTGAATACTGCCCAAAGCCTGATAATTAATTAGAAGGATAAAAACAATTTGTATTTTATCATCAAAAAATAGTATCTTTTTATATTTATAATTCAACATATGAAAATTAACACATCAATTTGATTCTTATACTCTTTAGCGCAAAAGATATAGCTTACACTTACGAATTTAGTTTTGATTTAACGGAATCCAGGATTATCAAATCTATAATGAGATCATAAATTATTAGATATATCAATGTTAATTATGAAAATTTCAAGAAAATAAATGATACTAATTTCATTTTGAAAGGAAAATAAGAAAATTCAATTTCATCTGCTTATTTCTATAAAATCAATATAAGTTCACCAATTTAAATTATTGATTATTATTATAAAGATGAGGAATTTTCAGATATCGATTATTATAATGAAACACATTTCGTTTTAATCAAAAATAATGAAAATCGAAAAACTGTATAACTTATTTAAATTCATAATTATCAACTACATTTGCAAAACAATTGTGAATTAGTTTTACATAATGATGTATCTAGCCTTAGATCTCCAGTAATTCTGGGTCATCTAACCGAAAACCAGTCTCAAACCACTATATATTTATTGATGGGGAATTTCCTCCTAATCTTAATTATCTGTAATAAATACTAGAATAATATCAAAAGCAGAAGAATATGATGAATTTACAATTTATATAGTCATTGTAAGAAAATTTTTCTGAAATTTAATATATAAAATATATTATATATAATTAATGGATGTTTGGGATATGAAATTCGAGCTAAACTATGGGAAATACTACTAGGTCAACAAACCCAAAAATAAACCAGAAGAGCTCAATATGTGACCTATTCTCAAATATCAAGATTTAATAATTAACAGGGATAATCTATCCAGGTAAAAAAGGGAAAACTTCAGAACTTAGATGAGAAATGACTCTCCAAATCACGCTTTTTCTTAAAAGAGAGAAATATCGATAACTAGGCCTCTAAATAATTAGCATAGAATGGAAGAAGCAGGGCGGGACAACTAGGCAGATGAGCAATTCTAAAGTTAAAGGATTCTCCCAAAATTATTTTATATTGCTTTTTATTTTTAGAAAAACTGAAGTCCTTTCATTCTATATTTGGAGCATTAGATCTATTTAGACTTAGAATTTTAATTTAGAGCAAATAATTATGATAATAATTAATTCTAGCATTAATTCTAGCTAATATTTAGAAATTCATAATGCAAAAACCCAAAAATGTCAGATTTAATAGGATGTTTCAAAAGGAGGGATCTTAAAGACATTCTGTTTACTGACGGATCGCCACAAGTAAAATGACTGCTTATAATGGGAGAATTATTTTCATGCCAAAAATATAATTCAAAATTTAGTCTGGAGATTCACTTGTAGAAATTATGAAATGTTGAAAGATAAAGTGAACCAACCTGATTAATTATATCTATATTTCAAAAATATTTTCTACTGACAGCTATAACCAACTAATATTCTAACATTAGTTTAAATTATTAATTAATTAATCAATTGCACAACACATAAATTTCTACATTTTTCTTAATATAAATCAAAAAGTTCACACTAATGAATAATCATTAATTTAATGACTGAATAAGTTTAAGATATCTCAGAGCAACTATTAAACAACCCAATAAACGATGATAAATATTGGGAATTAAAACAATCAATAGAAGAAGAAACTTAGAAAGAAGAATAGTAACAAGATAAAATTTCTGATTAACCTTAAACCAATGAAGAAAAACCAAAACCCGTCCAAGGCTTTTGGAATGGACTTATATTTTAATGTATTGGGGATTGCTTAGTAGCTTTTTGCATTGAAGTTTTTGTCAGAGGTTTATGCTGAAATTTACTGATTATATTATAACTAATAAGATATTTATACAATTTACAAATGATATTGATTAATGTTGTGTAAAACAGATTCAATCAGAATAAGAAATTTTAAATAAAAATTACTTTAACAAGCTTCTAAGAATAATGGTATTTATTATGATATATTTCTCGTCATAACCCAAAAATACAATTATGATTCCACTTTGATTTATACCAAAATTAATTTTCCCTATGTAAAATAATTTACTATTCTAATAAATAAGAATGATTTTAGCCTTTTCAAAAATTACATAAATAAGATATTGAGAATGGTAATATCAAACATTATATTTGAGATCATTGATATACAAATTCCATGAATGTTCTATATCAATATTAATGAAGTAAAAAAATGCATTATATTTGCTAAAGGAGGAGGCAAGAATTAATATTATACTATACTCTAATTATATATGTAATCATTATCAACCTTCTTGTCATCGCGAGTTCATACCATTTTTTGTTTTTTTTTTCCAAATTATAAAAATAATGATATTGATATCAAGTCAAATATTATTGTAATCAATCTTATATTATATTAGAGAGGATTTTCAGTATTATTATTTTGAACAGTAATAGTTAAATTTGATACTTCATTCTTTAATATTAAAGTGGCTGCTAAGTTGCATTTATTTATGCATTCTAATTTATATTATGAGAGAGCTATAATTTAGACTTCGTAAAAGATGTTAGATAGTATCACAAGAGCAAGATGACTGTTGTTGAATTATTCTATTATATAATAATTTATGTTACCTATCTTTTTGTAATTATTTTCAGGGAACGCATCAATTGAATGAATCAACGATAAGTTTTTGTCTTAAAATCTATCATAAAGAATTAAACTGCGAATATTAAATCTGATAATTGAAATTATTATGTAGTCTTTATTTACATAAAATATTTGACTCAACTAGGAATTATGTGGATACCTTAAAGTTTATAGAACATCTATCTAACAAATTCCATATTTTATTGTATCCATTCTTATTCTAATGACAAAGCCAAATTATATCTCAAACAGCATGAGTAATTCTATAACTAGAACATCATCGACTAAAGTAGTTTCAATAGTCTTAATCTTATGAAAATAGATCGGAAGTAGTTACTTAATTTCTTCAGAGGCGTCTATGAATTGACTATTAGAAATGCACATTTAATCTTGTATTTGTTTCTTATAAAATATTTATTACCGTTCATTTGTCCTATTGACATTAATTGTCACTATCGAATACAATATATTATCTTAACTTTATTATAAAAAGACATAATAATCATCTTTGATTCTACTAACCGAAAGTAAAGTATTCTCTCGATTCGAGTAATTAAAACCTAATTATTAACCTTGCTATAATTTTAAGATAACAAAAATTTAATTGGTTTTTCCTGGCTTTACAATTACAAGATCTCTATCAGCAAAAATAATCTCTAAATCGTCTACATTAATATAATGTTGAAATTCAGGATCTTCTAGAATCTTTTATTCATACATTTGAGGTTTAATAGATTAGTAATAATTTTGGAATGATATCATTATCATCTAATATCTTAAATTTGCATAGCAAATAATAGTGCATTCAGAATGACTATCATTAAAATAAATGGCTATGACATAACAGCGGAGATCAGGGGACTTGTAGACAAAGATTTAATTATTTTTGAAACATTTAAGTTGATTTTAATTGAAACAACAATTATTTTAATAAAGTTCACAAGTCATTTTTTCATTAGTAAATGTTAAAGGGCGAATTAACTAGTAATTTTACGAGACGACTTCAATTGAAATAATATTACTAAATATATTTGACATATCCAAAATATTGTTTGAGTTCAACCTTAGAGTATCATTCTAAATCAGCATGATATTGTAATCATTGTTGATATGTTTTACTGTAAAATTGTAATTAATAATTTCATTAAGAATTGGAGTTCCAAAAGTGAAATTATAATTTAATTCTTTGAATGCAGATATTTATTTAATAGAATTTTAAAAAATAATTGTATAAGTTCCCAACTCTCTTATTTAAAAGGCATTTTGATAATAATAATATAAAAGGTTCTGACTCCCAAAGATGAAATCAAAATGGATGTGATCTTAATCTAATTCAATAACTTAAATTAGTGAATTAATTGCTTCATTGTTGGTATTATAAACTAATAAAACAGACTATTACTAGGAATTTTCTGCTAATACTGATAGTAAGGGACCTTGAAGCTTATAGTTTAATGGGATCTTCAGAGTATAATTATACAAAGGGCAATCATATAAAAATTATAATTCGTAGGAGAAGAAACTGAAATGCTGTATTTTTAGCTTCTATTAATATTATGTAAAAAGAAGAATTTTACGAAAATGTAGCATAACTTCAGCTTTTATAATTGTTTCTTTTAGTATTAATTATTCTTGATACAACTCTTAGTTTTTAAAAAATATCTAGTGTTCGGTAATAAAAAATAATTCAGATTTTTGTTATTTATTGCCATTACATTCTAAATATTATGACTTGATTTCATGGATTTATAAATCATCATTATCAATGAAATAGGATATTTGATTACAATCTTTGAATACAAGGCCCAAAATATTTGCGTTATTTAAATTACTAGCGGCAATTATAGTATGATTGAAGGTATAATATTTTCCAAGCAATTATTAATTTTAGAATTTATAGATCCTTAATGAATTTTCTTGAACAACACAAAATTGGTTTTAATTAAAATTAATTATATTTATAAATCCTTTTGCGAATTTTATTTTCTTAATAATTTACAACGTTCCTTTAGCACATCTTGTTATTACTATTTGAGTTGCGTCATTCTAAATATACAGAATCAGAAATGAATCATCTCCTAAACTAATAATAATAAAAATTTGGTTTAGATTACCGATATCGATATTGCAACCTAATTAGCGTGTTTCTTCATAAAAATTTATCAGTTTTTCATTTATATATAATTATTTTATTTACAAGGGAAGAGACATTTATATCTAATTTAACAAAAACTATAATCTAGAGGCTTCAGATATTCCTATGAATTCGGTGTTATTTTTAATTAGAAACTTTGGTTAACTTTCAGATAAAATCTGTAAATCCAAGATTTGTTAATCAAGTAATTCTATGTAATTTTTGGATTATCTTTAATACTCCAAAATCAGACTTTTACTTGAATTTTAATATGTAAAGCTTAATCGAGGTATCTTAATCCTATATATTAACAGGTCCCCTTTTTCTGTGACACCTAAGGTATACGGTAAGTTTGATAGGCTAAAAAACTACTAAAATGAGTTTCTTATAACTATTTGCAGATTATCACTATAATATACTATTACATGATCATTCTTTTGCAAAATAAATATTTGATTTAAAAGAAAACCTTGAATGAAGCCTTCAGTACTAACATTAAATGAAAATTTATTAAATCTCAACTAATTATCTCTAACTTGTACAATTGGCAATTCTATACATTGGAAGACATTAGAATAGTATTTTTGATCGAAAAGTAGAATATTTAATAAATCCAACGATTTAAGATCTAATATTAAACTTTCATTATTTGTCTATATCTGTAAAATAGTTGAAGAGCAAATGTTAATCTTAGTAATGAGTTGGTTGGACTTATTGTATTCTTCCAAGATAAAATTAGTTTAATTGATGATTTCTTGATTATTTTCATCTATGAAAAAAGTCTCCAATTTTTAATGTGGGCAATTTTTTTCGAATATCACAAGCAATGAATACTCAAAATTGGTTTCGAATTCGCAAAGGGGATTGTAGTCCTAAACATTTAGGGCTTTAGTAGTAAAGTTTAATGGGCTAGATTGCTGATTCAAATTAAGTATTTGTATTGCTATCTTGTTTTCTGGTATTTTACAAATTAAAAGGTAGGACTCCTCTTTTAGGTAGAATAAGGAGAAACAATTTTGTCCTGTTAATGGAATAGAGTAATTGCTGAGATTAATTAGCAACTAATTATTAGATAGATAGTTCTTAATTTGGTATAGAAAAGTAAGTTTTTGATCTTCCAATTAAACAATTTCAATATCTTGCTTTTCAGATTTTATTAATGAAAACAATTTCGCTTTGGGTGTAATTGAGTATTTGTACTCCTCTGTGAGATTTTATTCTTGGACTAATGATTATATTTGAGATTGATTTGAAATGTCAAAATCTAAGGGAATGGATATAACTGGAAAATGTGTTGGGATGTATTCATTTTCAAAGAAGTAATAAGTACTTTGTGAGAGTTTGAGATGGACAACTTAAAGCAATTTGAACAAGATGAGCGTGGTTATAGTGATATGTGACATTTGAGGGAAAAAATGGCTCGATAAAATATTGATTGAAAATATAAATAATCTGTTGCCATTCTGGTTGAATTTTAAAGAATTAAAAATTATAGGCTTAATAACATTATTTTATAATATAAAATTTAATAACAAACAATGGACCCAGAAAAATAACTGATGGATTAACCGATAGAAGAGGAGTCTGATATGGATGAAGATGAAAAGAGATAGAAGGGAGATTGGCATTAACAATTGTATGAAAGTATAATTAGCCGATTAGATTAACTGCATGTTAGAAGGGAGATTTAACAGCAGTCCAGCGTTGTTTAGATAAAAGAGCAAATGTTTTGTATGAAGACAAGAAAAAATGGAATCCATTAATGTGGGCATCATGTAGAGGGTATACGGAAATAGTGCGTGTTTTATTGTCTCGTTAAGCAGCAGCACCATATGTTCCAGAGATGGCTTTGATATTGTAGAACTTTGCATAGACAATGCCCATTTATTCGAGTCCGATGAATCAATCATCTCCAAGCAAGTCCACTTATTTTGGAGGAAGTCCTGGAGGTGGGGCATAATCTGCAGTGTTTACTTTCCCATAATAATTATCAAAGAAGGTGGTTTAGGGAGTGATAAATTAATAAGTGCGCTCGACTCCATTGATGTGGGCATGTTTCAAAGGACATGTGCAAGTTGTATGGTTATTATTAAAGGCAGGATTGAGTTGGGAGGTATAAGAAAATTAGAGATTTTAATATAGGATGTGGATCAATTCGGGAATAATAGTGTTCATTTGGCCGCATCAGGAGGGAACTAGGTAGTCTTTTAGACACTCCTGTTTTATGGAGTAGCTGTAGATAGACCAAATACAAGGGGACACACAGCAAAGGATTTGGCAACGAATGCCCTTATATTGCAGTTGATTAAGTTGTTGGAAGTGAGTGGTTAAACAGCCAAATATTTTTGTATGACTTGTCGAAAATTTTGGAAGTAGGAGGAGTATAGAATGGAATGGGTATATGAGAATGCTGAATCTACTGATTTGGAAAAGCCAGAAGGGAGATGCGTGAATTGTTGGAACACAATATAGAAACACACAGAAGAATTGTTGAGCATAATTGATAAGTAAGATCATAAGTTGTTGACAGAGAAATTGAATGAGATTGAAAAGGGAATAGTAATTAAGAATGAGAATGGAAAAGAAGAATTCTAAAGGATAGAAATTGATCCCAAAAATTATAAATTCGCCTTGATTGAATAGGAGAAGTTGAGGACTTAGAATGTGATATTGGATTATTTGAGTACTTTGAAACATGTGCCTAATTATAAGACTATCTTGAAATCTGTCAATTAGATTCAGGCAATGTTAGACGATGCAGTAAATAGGGATGTTAAGATTGATGCTCATGTTAAGGAGGAAGCTGAGAAGGAGATGGAGAGACTTAGAGCAGAGGTACATTTAAATAGTATTGATAGAGAAATCTATAATTCGAATTAGATAATTTGGATATTGGATTGTCAACGCCTGAACAGGTGGTTGTGTTGAATGATAAAGTAGTTATAGCGACAGATAAAGGAGTGGATAAGTAATATATAGATCAGGCCTCGGAATTAAGGGATAAGATGGCTAAGGCTATTCAAGCCAAGAAAATATTGAAGATGTTTAATGAGTATCCTGCAAGAGAAATTCCAGATCCTATTAAATGGGATCCCAAGACCAAGAAACCTATTGATCCAATCACAGGGAAACCTATTGATCCTTTGAAGTTGGCATTGTAGAATCAGAAGAAGAAAAAGAAGAAGGAACCCAAGTTTGTTATTCCAGAGTGGGCTAATGATGTTAAATCTTTGGATGAGAACATCAAGGGTATCTTTTACAAATGATCATAGGATTGGAGGGATTGTTGAAGGAGGCTGAAGTGCTTAATTTGAATCATGAATTTGTGGAGGAGAGTGTGCAATAAATAAAGAGAATGAAAAATGAGATGAGATACAGGAAGGAAGTTGATGAATAATTGAAATGGATTGCCGATGCAAAGGCTGCTGAAAAAAAGAAAAATAAATGATATATATAATGTATCAATCTAATAATTCAATATTCTTGACTGCATTAATTATGACTTGCTTTGAAGTTTCGACAATCTCACCTCCGACAATCATTTCATCTAAAATAGAGTATGCCTTGCAATAGTAGAGTCATTAATTTACTTTATTGAAATTGAAGACTATGTCCAATTCACAAACATTTCCAAAGTATTTGTCTAATACCTCGACATACAAATGTATCAATTCTAGCATTGTTAATTCATTGTCACTCACATCAACACACAAGGCAAAAAACAATCCTGCATATCTTTTGTAGATGATTTTATAATTCCTAAACTAATTATGATGAAATTCTCAATACTTCCAAAAAGTTAGTGTGCTTAGTGTCTCGACAAACTATTAATCGATGAACTTCATTTTGCAATTTTACTTTCTCAGCATCATCATAATACACATACCATTTCGAAAGTCTCGTCTTCCCCTATCTATTCTACAACAAGATGAATCTAATCTGAAATGAATAACTATATATATTCATACCATGATTTTTCAAATTTATTTATTTAATTATTATAATATATATTAGTAATTCATTAAGCAATCCATGGATGATTTAAAATCTATTAGATTGTGGGTCTCTTATTGCAATCGTGTTGAAGGATTCCCTTTACGAAATTCTGAAAATCTGAGCTACTCCACTACGGAAATTGGTATTACAAATGTTAGATCTTTCTTTTTGTGTCATTCTCATTGTGAGATTCAAAAGGCGGTCTCCCTATTCATAATCTAAATAATTACCAACTACTAATTCATATGCTAACACTCCAATAGTCCATACATCCACTCTATTATCATGAGGTTGATAATTAATCATTTCTGGACATAAGTAGTCTAATGTACCACATAGTGTTTTCCTTCGATTGGATGGTGTGTGAACACTCCAACCGAAATCTGAAATCTTGAACACATCGTCATTGAAACACAAAATGTTTTCAGGTTTCAAATCTCTATGTATCACATTCATTGAATGCATATATCCAATAGCCATAGTTATTTGCTTGATAATATTTGATGCCATTTTTTCGTTGAACCTCTTATTCTATTACTTCTTCATTAAACCATACAAGTCTCCCAATGGAGCCCATTCTAGCATCAAGTAAACACGTTTTTCTGTTTAAAAGAAGCCATAAAAACTAATAATATTTGGATGTTTGAGATGTGTGAGTATTTCTACTTCTCTGGTTAGAGATCCAGTCAATTAACAGAGATTGAGTTGTCTTTTGCTTATCACTTTCAAAGCCAGGATGAATTTACTTTCACGCTCCCTAATCGGATATAAAAGAATGAATACCTCGCTAAGTAAACATGTCCAAATTTGCCATTTCCGAGGTACCTACCCATTTCAAAGTTTCTTAAACTCCATTAAGTAGGATCGAATTCTAATTTAGACATGATCAATACCTTTATCTGCCTGATTGAAATCCTCATTCTCACTATAATTATTTCGAGTTTCTTCATCTATGGAGTCCTAGATTTGAGGTTTCTTGTCCAAACATTCCACTCCTCTTGTGTTTTCGTAAGTATTTGTAATAATCGATAGAACTGAGTTTGCAGTTTACCACATAAAAATTTAACAGCAAATTTATATTATAATTAATGAGGGAATCACAACAAATAATAACTGATTATATATTTATTCATGATATAACTATTCTACTGAGATCACCATTGTGTTTTCTGTATAAATCACAAGCCTTGCGCAAATTGCCAAACCACCCAAATGGACCCTTTGCACTAGCATGATTAACCAACAATTTAGGAATTGAGCCTTTGATATCATTATTAGAGACAAACGTAATTTTAGTGCCAGAGGAAGTGTTCTCAAATACATAACCTTAAAATAAAGTAAATTCAACATACCAGCAATTTCAGTATGCGCTCGCACGGGATTCTTTGAAATTGGAAATTCTGGCAGATCTACTGAGTAGAACAGCAGACAAATTTGTCCCTTATATGGAAAGTCATATCTCAATACTCTCCTTTACAGCCATTCTCTTGTGCTCACTATTGGTATTGGAGGAACCACAACATAATACATGATATCGATGTCTTCTCGTTCATGTCTTACTATATTGAACTTCTGCATGATTTTATCCCACTTTGTCCTAAATTCCTTCTAGTACACTGCATTGAAGACCACCTATTAATCGTGACCGTATATAAATGAATGACCTTTGAGAAAGACACTACCACAACCCGGCTTCATTGATTTGTATATGTAGATGTCTTCTTTAGTGGTAACACATTCCCAAGTGTCCGTTGATTCCTCAAAAAATTGGAAAAAGAGATCAAACTTTTTGGTTGTCTCCTCAGAGTATTATACAAGTTATTGATTGATTTCAACTGATTAGTGATGTTTCAAAGAGATTTGCTACTCAGGTTCAAGGATTTGCTTGATATCAGCTGAACTCAAAGATTAGGCCAGAGAATTTTGGACAACCAAGTCTCCTTCTTTAGAATCTATGAACACCAAATTTGGATGTTGAGTTATTTTTAATTATAGTTCTTATTGTTTTTGTGCTGATTTTGGATACTCCTCTTGTAGTGGTTAAAACTCAGATTCACTACCAGCTGACAATTGAGATTTCAATTAATGTTTAGGAGACATATTTTGATCATTCTCTTCTTGAATAATCTTCAGTTCGATTTACTTAAGTTCTCCTCCCTACTGTTATTCTATTTGTTAGTCAGCATGCTGATCTATTACAATGCCAATTTGTTCAATATCTCTGAAATGTTGTTTCTTCAAATATGAAATTATACTGTCATTTTTTATTGGTAGTTTCATCTTCTCAGCCAACATCTTAATATAGGTAATCCTCATTTGTGGATCTGGGAATTGCTTAGTCAATTGAACGATTTCCTTTTGAATTAGGAAACTTTTGGCTTAGTCCCTTATCTATTACAGTACTTTAAATTTTGGATCTGAGTCTTCCAGCAACCTAACCAATGGCCTCAATACATTGTCTATGGCCTTCATTAAACAAACCTCAAGTTCAGATCTAAAACTTTTGAAGTGCTGAAATTCTTCAATGTCTCCACGATTCAATTCACTGTTTTCACTCAATAACTTCAGGATGCGTAAGTATTCGTGAGACATTTTTAGAGACAGAATGAGAGCGTGTATGAAATGTTTCTCTTTGAAGAGTTCAGCTACTTTAAGTATGATTTTTCTTGCTTATTTCTACTGATCAGCATTGAATTATTTGTAATGCAAAGCAGTCTTTGTCTCCAATAACAACTTTTCTGCTATGAACCTTACAAAATTGACATTGCATCTGTAGGTCTTACCTCTCTCCTCTGCCCATTTGATAAAGCAACGTAATCTGATCGAATAGATGTCAAACTCCAATAAGACCTTCTGGGATGTAAATGTCTTCTTCATACGGCGACCTGCATATCTACCAAGCATAACTCCGAGAACTCCTCCCGCTATCATGCCCATGATCGTGAAACCCAAGGCTAAGAAGCCGACGATTCCCATAAAGGCCATGCCCAAAAGAGAACTTCAATGAGAATAACAAAATACCCTACATTCCTTCTATCGAATATATTCCGGTCATCAAGAGCTGTGCTAAACTCGTAAAATTAGGCCTAATTAAAAAAAACCTAGGGCAAATAGAGGTGAAGTCGCATGATGTGATTCAAAAGATCCTTCTCATTTTTAATAGCAGGATAAAACTCAACACCTATGGTTGGTTTACATTCAGTTATTATGGCAACTCGGTTGTATTTGTAGAGTTGGAGACGTTTGTCGAACATATCTACCAGGGCATCCCAACTACCAGCAAAATGTTCCTTCTAAGCCATTTATTGTGCTGAATACACAAGCTTCTAAAGAGATAAAGCTTACATAAATTTAAAAATTATTTTTATGATAATCCTTGAAAAAATATAAATTACATAAAAAATAAGAATATATCATCACTTCAAGGACTCTTGCAACGCCTAGATCTTTTAAAGTAATTAATTAATTTCTTATTCTTAATATTTAATCATCTGAGAAGTCTGAGCCTATAATTTTTCTCGATTTTGAATTTCCTCCGCTATCCTCTTTTCTATCATCTGAGTATGAGGCACCACCTTGAATGCATATTTATGACCATCCTTATCCTGCTTCTCCACTTACTCCTCCATCTGTTCACATTGATCCACCAAAGCTTTCCTCCACTTCTGCAATTTGTCGATGCTTATAGTCTCCACTTCAGTAGATTGAATGTCATTTTCTATTTCCAACAGTTTTGTTAAAGTTTCCGAGCATGGCACTTCTGTTTACATCCCCATGCTCCCACAACGCGATAATTGAGGTTTTTTCAGTGGTGCCTCCTAATTCTATTAATTCAGATTTATTGTCGCCATTCGCTATTATTATAATCTGTGAGTTGGATAAATAACAGGGCTTCGTGCCTTGACTACATTATTCGATGGAGGTTTTTCAGGAAAAAAGCGGACGTTAAAGAGAGAATTAACTTATTTCTTGTGTGTTGCCATTATAATTAAATTAAATATTATGCAGAACTTCTTAAATTCTAATGGTCAGTGAGAAAACTTCGTATCTACTCAGATCTGTCTAAATGCTCTCTTTTTGGAGAAATTCAATAGTTTTTACCAATTCTTATAAATTTAGTCAAGCCAATTCACCATCATTGCTCTACATTTAAATAAAATTATAACATCAGTGATCATTCACTTTTAATGTCTTGACTAATAGATTAATTCAATTTAAAGTCTGAAACATTTTTGTCTCTATTTACAATTTCGATTAATTTATTTCTTGACACCATAATTAATAAACCAATCATTTATTTGAAATAATAAAAATATGGAGATATTTTTATGATTGATTCATTAAATGAACATAAATCACTAGGCAAAGTTTTGAAATTCAAATCGCCTTCTAAAAAGATGAAAAACTCAATTAAATTAACAGAGATTTCAACCTATAATTTAGCACCTCCTTTGAAGATTTTGTGTATGAGTTGTTGGCAAAAATAATACAACAAGTACAAAAATGTTCTCAGCTCTTCAATTGAAAGGAATGATATCATAGAAGCCTAAATCATTCAATAAAACTAATTTGTTCCATCATTCAAATCAGATGATCAATTATTGATTCATTTAAGAATATGGGTCTAATAATGAGTGGATTTTTAATATATTGTTATATGAAATAGAACTGGTAAGATATTTGGATCTAGTGATTAACTTTATTAAAATATTTCTTATCATCTATTAGTCTTTGATAACTTAAAATTATACCAAAATATAAATTAACCCTATCTCCCCTATCCATATCCTGTTTTTTCCCTTTAGGTTCAATAATAAATTAATCAGAAATATAAAAACTATTTTAAGTATAATTTCATGCTTATTTAGATGGATCAGTACATTTAAAATTTAACTATATTAAAGTGAGTTCCCTTCTTTACAAGTGAATTTACACCATACTCATAATAAGAACATATATTTTATTGATTACTTTCAAATTTAAATGTTCTGTTCTTAATTGATATCTAGTGATATCAAATAACGTACTAACAATACTGGATAGATGTGATATATATTTAATAATTTAATTCAATTAGTTTTGATTATCAATACATTATAATATAAATAAATTGAACTAAAAATAGTATTAGATTGTCTTATTTAGATCAAATAATTTCATATTTAATTAATATGATATATGTTTCATTATTTTTTACTATAATACGCTGCTGCAGCTGCTATCAATTTAGAATCCTAAGTCTTTAATACATTTTCCCATGTAAAATCTTGGATCACCAACTTTATTTATTCTCCTTCCCCTTCTTCTCCATGTGTCTTCTAACACAACTCATCCAATTGTGCCTATTCCATATTCTTCTCTACAACAAACAAATGAATCACTTCGTCACTTCCTCCTGGAGATACGAGCATATCCTATAAATAATGCATCTCATTATGCTAAATGCTGATTCCTGTTTCCTCTTTGATCTCCTTTGCTGCCACTCCTCCAAAGTCTCCTTGCTCGTCCATCATACCAGCAGGTGCTTCTCTTGTAAATTTACCCACAGGTACTCTAAACTGTTATGTAAGCACCATCTTCTTATTGACTAACAAGAGAATTGCCACTGCATCCCCTCTCAGAAATACGAAGCCTGGCAACCTGATTCCATTCAAATATGCATCAACCACTAAATTGACAAAACCAACATTTTATCCAAACATGTACACGTAAGATACCTCTATTTATTTGACTTCAACGTTTGACTGTTCCCAGGAGTTTAAATAATTTTAAAATTTCTTCGCCTACTCCACCTTATTGAAATGATCCATCAAAACATTCTCTCCTTTTAAAAACGGAACACTTTTTCCTCGTATCAAGATATTTCTTATCATTTAAACAATATTAATATAATATTGATAAACCAATTTTGTAATAAACAAATGAGAAATAGCAAAACATAAGATCAAATTTCAAATGAACCTAGGATGAAAGACTTCTAATCCATCAAATCAAGATACAGAGAGTAACCTTAAATCATAACAACTTGAGGGTCACTCTTTGCCAGGCTTTACAAGAATCCAAATTGTATGAAAATTTTCTGAACATGAAAGCTAGAGCTAGATCCAATAACATTTTGTTTCTCAAATAACCCTCCTTAGGTTTGGTTCAAATAACTTACTTTTTGGATAATTTTTTGTTCATCACAAATAAACCTGAGAATATTGATAATTAGTTTTACTAATCTTTCTTGAATTTAAACTCCTCTGGGGATTTATTTAGTATTGCATTTCTAAACAATTACCAAAGTCTAATTTTGTGCTCTCTATACTTTCCTATATCTTTAACATTTAAATCTGTTCCTTTAGTTTAATCTTCTAAACTTCCACTCAGAAAGAAATAGTAAATAATATGAATTCTTCTCTAACACTTTAATTGTATTAATTGGAATATAAGATTAATTAAAATTCTTAAATGATTTGCTAGTGACAATCAACACTATTATTATATCTAAAGTAGTTGATCTAAGAGTTTGTAGTTAAAATTTGACTACTCTAAGTATATCATTCAATTACGATTTTGAGATTTATTTATAGAATTTGTTTTTTTCTCAGTTTCCTTATGAGTTTTTCATTAAGTATTTTTTTTTTCCTAATTTGAAAAGGCCTTAGAGTTCTGTAATACTAAACAATTTCATGATGATGACTTACTTCAATAGGTTTTACTAAAAGGTATCAAAGTAAATCTAATTATATAAATCATAGAATATTCAATATTATTGCATAGTCTCAAATAGGAATCAGAATTTATTAGGTCTTTGAGTATTAATAGCATTTAAAGAGTTTGCATCAATTTGTAATTAAATTACCAAAAATGGGATCAACTTGCCTAAAAATCCCTATTACTACTAATGATATCAACTTAAACGAGGAAGTGGGTTAAGAATTGAAATAAAGTAACTAATAGAAGAAGGAAATACAAAAAATAATAGATGAATCAGTATGCTCAGATGATGAAATATAACTAACAAGTCATTCATTTGAAGAGATTTAAGAGAATTCTAACTAATCCAAATACTCTATGATCAAAAAACTTGATTAGAGTGTCACCATTAAAAGCATTCTCAAATCAAATCACAATTCTCAACTTGTATAGACCTCAAGTATTCGAAAATCAGTCTCATTTTGTTTAATCGCTCCAGACAAATATAAAGAGATGATTAATTGCTCAGCAAAGCTCAGTTCAGCTCAAAAGGAATTCCTAGATTCTCTCTGCTCATCTTAATGAATTTTATTTATATAATATACTTACTTTAATTTATAGAATTAATACATTTCTAGAATGCAACAACAATGCTTTATCGTATAATAATTTCATAAATTAAATTAATTCAAACTCTTTTGTTAATATTCTTCTTATTAAATGTTTAAAAAGGTTGATTGCCTTTTTCAAACTCCTTATTGTCAGTATTTTGCGTAACTTCAGTTAGGATTTCTGTGACTTAATCAGTCTCTTTGTAATTGATCAAATGAGAGTATTTTTTAGTGATTGGAATCTGTTCGCTGTTTTTATTATTTTTACAATCCTTATTTTGGCAGCAGTGACAATTGCCACAACCACTGATTCTCGTATAGACCTTTGCTAATCTAAGAAAGGAATTAGAGAATTTTTACATAATTTTTATTTATATTAATTACAATAAAAATATACGAATAAACCACTATGATGTTAATTTAGCATAGTAAATTAAGAAATTACAGATAAAGAGAGTTAGAGCTGAATGGTTTCCATTTAGGTTGTTTTCTAAAAGGATCTTCAAAAGTTAATACCATCAAAAAGATCTATACTAATGTGTAAAGTAAGTCAGATTTAATTTTAATTATTTGTTGTTATTTTTACCATTATTCTTATTTCAAATTAATGGGGTTATTTTAATTCTCTATAAGGAATGAATAATAATCAATAAATAATAAACTAAGTAATTAATCTATATGATGAATTCTCCAAAATATAATTGCTTTTTCCATTTAAAATTCAATATATTTAATAATTTAACTTATTGGCATTTTGTATTACTCAAAAATTTAATATTTGATTCAAACAACAAATTATGAATTCACTATTAAATATCATTTATTTAGTGCTCATTAATAAAATAAATCCAAAATATGTTACTATTTATTGGGATATTATGCCTGATTTAAGAAGTTAGATCAGCCATAAGCACAATAACTCAAACACTCAATCCAACTCAATAGCAATTCAATTAATAGTTAAATTTGACTTACCTCCAACAGTATATATATATTACTGCTGAATTCAAATACGTTCCGTTGTCCTACTAATATTACAACAATTTCCAGTCCGACCAAAATAAATATATTATATTTTCTTTGACCTCAGATAAATCCATTGCAGTCAATGCTTACCTAACAATAGATTCAGCTTTTAAAATATGCATGGAATTGCATTTGATCAATGATGTAACTTAAACAAGGACTTTGGGCTTATTTGAATTACCCCAAGATCCATTGTTGATTGAAGGCAATTGGTTCACCTTGGAATTAAGAAACAACATGGCTCTCAAGTAAGTCAACGTCACATGTTATCAAAATTAGAATATGACAAATTTCCTAAACAAAATTTATTCAGGATTTAACATCGAAGTATCAGAATAATTGGAATTGTAAGCTGGAAAGACATAAGATGTATGAATAATCAATAAATCATAGATTGGGCAGTATTACAATTTATTCTTTCAGGGACCAATCAGATTGCAGGTTTTGGATAAGAGTAGCAAGTTTAGTTCTTAGAGTATTTCTTGCACATATAACTCCTATTATGAAATTATGTCTTTAAGAACCTTCGATAAGACACATTTTGAAACCCATCAAATTACTTCCAATATTAACAAATGCTTTGGAATAGGCACATGGATTAAGGTGAATAAGACTAATGAATATGATAAAGTTAATGTACTAAAAATATTAGCAAGTCCAAATGCCAATATTGGTGATTAAAATGAATTGATTAACTTATAATACTAGATTTATAAAGATTTAACTTCAATTCAATTAGATTGCCAATCATATACGTTCCCTGTAATTTCAACTAATACTATTAACTCAATCCAAAAACCCCTTCATTTTTTAATCCCAAAATCACTGAATGAGTGGCATCACTTATCTATTGCTTATCGACAGAACTAAATTTCTATATCACTGTCATTTCCTTAACAACCTCAAGACAATGTTGTGTTAATTTTGGACTAAGTTTACTTATACTCAGATACAAATCAAACTATATTTTTTGGAGGATATATCAAAGATTAAACCCACTATTATAGTAATACACAGGGATAATTTAATTAATTAAGGTATTATTCAAGGTTGGGGAGTGCCTCTCCTCTTCCAATATCATGCCATATAAATTGCCTAACTTGTTTTGGCCCTTATTCAAATTAATGCTTGAGTTGTTAGGCATCTAGAAACAGGGATTATTATGTGGAAACCAATCAATGCTTATGCAGAACTGGATATTTGGAGGTCGGTTCTAGTTCATGCATCGATGGGTATCCTTAAAGAAAAGAGAAACTAATACCGTTGTCTCTTGATCCAAGATACGATAGCGAATATCCTAATGTAGTTTGCTCCTTTGGATATTTTAAATATGAGAATGTTTGTTATCAATGGTAATTTATTTGTTCTATTGCTATATGCTAGTCCAAAAGTCAATAGAAAATATCCATGCTTTCTTTGTCTTGCAAATCCTAATAGTTGGGTTTACGAGCCAAAATGTCTAAAAACTTAGGTTTAAATAGATATGAATGATGATAATTCTCCATACAAACCTAATGATAACCTTGTGTAATTATTGGTTTTCTAGGATGATTAATATGATGTTTATGTTTTTCAAGATTTCGAGCTGATTTTGTGTGAATATTGTAGCTAGTTATGTTTAACCCTACCTTTTTTCGCAAGTTGCTATTTATCTCAATATTTACACTTGTCCAATCCAACTTACATTATTTGTCAACTCAGAAGTTATTTCATCGATGGCAAATGTAAGAGACCGTTCCTTAGTTGTTCAGCTGGATTACTCTATTTTAGAGAATATGTATGCAACTCTTTTGATGTTCAATAATCACCAATAAAAAATTGCTTATCATTTCCGTATGGTAAATGCAATGCATGTGAAGATAACTACTTTTAATCTTATGATTCAGATCTTTGTTTGCCTTGTTCAATTCAGAAGTGCAAATTCTGTTTCGAATATTATGAGGATGATGTAAGCTATATTTCACTTATTCATTTTAACAAATAAATTAGCAGGGATCAATTAGTCACTGGTTGTGCCTAATGTTATCAAGGCTATTAATTTAATTTTGTTACTGGCATTTGTGAGATTGTTTAACAAAAAGATACCAATTGCTTAAACTAATACATTAATTTCGATGGAAATGCCGTTTGTTATGAGACTGCGACAGATGATTTTTCTAAAGGAACTTTGATCCATAATTGCCAGCAGTATTTGCTCAATTGTAATAAGTGCATTCAACCAGCTTCTAATTAATATTATTGTGGAGAATGTCAAAAGGGCTATTATTATAATAGGTTAAAGGGTATCTGTTTGAAATGCTCTTCTTATAATAAAGTCTATACTGAATGTGCAACTTCTTATGTTACTCAAAAGGATGAACGATTCAGTTAAATACTAGGTTTTGCTTTCTAATTCTCAGGGATATATCCAGTCAATTTGTTAGAAGATAGTGCATCTGAGAGTCTGTATCCACTTTCCTGTGTTGATGGCTATTCAGTAATCATTAATGAGTGTATCTTGGTGAATTCTACTTATTGTACTTTGTTTGGCGATTAATGTGTCTCATGCGAATCGGATTAATATGGAACAAAACGATTGACTGTTATGAATATGGCATGTTAAGAATGCCCATTTTACTGTGAATATTGTTAAATTAGAAAAGATCCCATAAATTTATTGAACCCCTATTTCAATTCTAGTCGAATATACTAGGGATATTAGTGTCTCCAGAAAGCAAATAGAGCATATCTTTTTATTGATAATTATTACGGTCATGTCCGACAATGCAATTCCACCATTACTAAATGTCAAACTTAAATATCGTTAGTATTGTATTTTCCATATCGTTTAGATAATTACCAACTTAGCCGACTTAAGAGATTATCTGTCCGTTATTTATGACACTCAAATTGAATTTATGATCTTAAAAGGGGTAAGCATTCTAACATTCCAATTGGATGTTTCCTAACACATAGCCTTTGGTCCATCCTTCCATCTAATGGATATCCTCACTAATCAATACGTATTTCAAGTACTCACCTTACAAACAACTGAGATCATATTTAATGGACTCAACTTAAATAACTAATACTCACTTTCTTTTGGGTTGATCTAATTTAAATATATGCAGAAAATTATCATTCAAAACTTACAGCTCAACTTTTCTATCTACCATGACTCAATCATACAGACTGTCAATATAGATCCCTTCCAATTGTATTTAAATAATGTGACCATTATGGACAGTTATTTAAAACCATAATTAACGTATAATATAAATTTGACTGTTCCTATTGGCAACCCATTTGGAAGAGCCTATCAAATCCAAATTCAGAATCCTTAAGTCGTTTCAATAATTAATGTAATCATCTCCAATATGAGTCTGCTCAACACCACTTTTATTAATCTAATAAATTCCAACAATGTCGATTTAGATCAGATCGTCATCCAAAACCTAACTTTTCTTAATTGTTCCTTTATTAATACAAACTTTTTGGCTCTCACTCAAAATCTATTATACTAAAATATTTAAATAAACAATTTGAATATCAAGAATAGTACATTCAATAATGGGTCAATATTACACTTTAGTGATTATAACTTTAAGGGGAATTTGAAAATTTAGGATTTGTCACTCAGTGATTCGATCTTTATTAATACTATACTTTTCATATTGCCACAATCAGATTTGGTTGATATCAGCAGTGCTACCTTTGAGAATTGCAAGTTTTAGAGCTCATCAGGTTTTAGAATTAGATCCAGTTCCACTTTTCAATAGTTTAGCATATCAAATTGCGATTTCATATACTCATCCTTGATATCATCCAATATCTATGGTTCTAGTTAGACATCGTTGAAATTCAATTAAATGGTCTTTTCAGCAGTAACTCTTGAGTCGTCCTACCTGATTGAAATCATAAGTGCTTATAACATATATTATGTCGTTTCCAATATTGATATTAGAGGTATTCTGGCATCGAATTCGATGAGCAACACTCAAGAGAAGGTGTTTAATTGTTAGGGCTATTCCTTTAAATTGAGTAATGTCACCATGCATAGATTCAGAGGTGTTGTTGAATTTCAATTAGAAAATTTTCAAGTCCTGGAGTTGAATCACATAGTGGCTGATTCAAACATGGATCAAACGGTTAGTCAAATCTTTGATATCAGTGCTTCCACTTTGATAATTAATGATTTCATAATCAAGAATCAGAAGTCAGAAGACTCAATTTTCATTTCTGTATTGGAAGGGATAAACAATAGACAAAATTACAAGAAAATAAGTAATCTCCAAGTAATGAACATACAAATGAAAAAGAAACAATACAAGTTGCCTTCCTCCATAATTCAAATCGTTTCATAAATTGAGTAATCAATATCAATTTAGGATTCATACTTCGTGAATATTTGGCAGAATTAAGAATTACAAGATCCAGAAATCAGCACTGCTAGTCTCATTGTTCTTAACGTACCATAGAGTTCAGTATTTATTAAAAATCTGAAAATACTTGGTTGTCTCATCTCAAATGCAACTGACTCATTAATGTTAGTCAACTCCAAGACATTAGACTTCCAATTATGCTTTACAAACATGACAAATAATCTGGAATCATATTTAGAAGCTATGAAAATTGAAGTAGGTATATCCTAAATCCAGTAAATGTCATATGGTGGTCTGGCCTACATATAAGTGCAAGAATTAACGATTCGAGACTCCTCATTTTATAACTCAATCGGATATTATGGGGGAGTCTTCTACATAATCACAAAATTCAACGGTATTGCCAATATTGTTGGAGTAAGATTTGAAAACATTTCGACATTTAGAAGTCCTTTTGCCCAAGGAATGGGAGGATGCTTATACATTGATTCTCAATACTCTTACCTTCAATTGAATATCATTGATGCATACGTCACCAATTCAAGTTCGAATTACATTGGAGGATTCTTATATGTTAAACCATCCATTTATTAAAATGTCATGAATCTAAAAAATCTTGAGTTCTTTAATGTATTCTCCTCTTAACAATCTATTATCTCCTTTATTTAAATGTATTCACAGTAAAACAACTCTACTATCAATTTACGAAATGTTACAATAAGAAATGACAAGAATTACTATAAAAATTATTTAGAGTATTATGGCTTAACAAATTCTGAGGAGCTATATGGTTTAATTACTATCTAAGGAAGTCATGTAAGCATTAGCAGATTGAATGCTGAAGGGTATTTTTATGAATCAATTTTGCATGTTGAATATTCAAAATCATTTACATTGTACAGGGCAAGTGTGTTCAATTCCATATTTGATGCATAAACCTCATTGAAGATATAAGATATAAGCTCAGACACACCGACATATATTCATATTGACCATTTATCCCATTTCAATATTTAAGGGAAAAACCGTCTACAAACAGCAATAGTTTAATTAATCCTATCTAACAATTGCATGTTGGCTTAGTTCGACGATATCAATTTTTATAATATAACTTGTAAGAACTGTTAAAGTGGGGTATTATCCTTAAGCACAGATTCTAAGGAGAAAACTACAAAAATTCGGTTTTAATTTTTGACTCTAAACAGAAATCTATGTGGTTTAAATGGATGCTTTAATCTCATGTCTAATTCAAGTGCCAATGATTAAGTAATCATAATCAAGAAAAGTAAATTTATCAATAATATTGCAAATGATGGAGGATCAATTTTTATAAACAATCTTCAGCTCTACATTAAGTCAACATTGTTTTTACAAAATGAGGCTGATAATTCAGGAGGAGCAATCTTTTATTAGAGTCAAAAAGACATCCATGTTTAAGATTGCTACTTCTACGAGAATAAGGCATCAACAGGAGGTGCAATATTTTTAGGATCTAATGCTCTTATATAGAATTAGAGCAAACTTTAGTTCACATAGAATTCAGCAACAAGTTTCGCCGATAATTTGGCTGAGTAACCCAATTTCTTGTAATTAATCATTAATAATTAAGAAATCTCTAACCTTAGATAAATTATAGGTTAAACAGTAATTGATTATCCCATTTTAAAATAAAAACTCTATTTCCCAACTGGCATCAAATTATCGTAATATGAATTCTTCAACTATACATCCAAACTGTTTAGCTCAATCGAATACTCAATTCAACTGAAAGCCTATAATCACATAAAGGAAGAGATTATGTTTTTAGATGACTCCAAATGTCTAATTGCCTATGACAGCGAATAAGCTATTACTACATTTGAAGATGATTCATTAGCCTCATATTAGATCATAGTTTTTAATTCAACAAAACAATACTACGATTTGAATGAATTATTAATAGTTCACAATCCATATGATGATTAAAAATCTATTATGCTTGACATTAAGTGTGACTGTATTACAGATGACTATCATTTAAAATTTTCAGTTGAAACATTGAAATGCCAAATTGGTGAGTACTTTTATGAGGGTGCTTGTTTAAGATGCAACTCCGCTGCAGGATATTACTCAGTAGCATATAATAGTACTTCATGTAAGAGAATTGATATTAAATTGATCAACCAAACCAATGGAGCTATGCTTCAATTATAGCCATTTTATTGGAGACCACATTTAAGATCTGATCTAATTGAGAGATGCTAAAAGTATCCATCCAAATGTTTGGGAGGGTGGTTTCCAGGAGAACTCTCTTGTTCAATAGGCAGCATTGGAGCACTTTGTGAAGAATGTGATATCTATAACATTAGAGGAGACGGCTATTTTATGAACTCTGGGTAGACAAAATGTAGTTTCTGTGGTCATTTAAGTGTGTAAGTTATGCTCTTATTGATTTCATCATTTTGGTATATTTGATTTTCATTTATTAGGTCCTCCTTTTTGATTATTATGACAGTCAAAAGTACTCATAATTCTCTTTAAAAACTTGCCTAATTAAAAGTACTCTATTTGAAATATCAAACCTTATACACTTTTAGTTTGGATTAGACCAGTATATTGATTAAGATGAGTAACAATTACTTCTAAATTTTGATGGTAATTAGTACCTTCTAGATTGATTTCTTTACGAATCTTAGAAACACCTTATAATTTCTTGGAGAAGCCTCTAGTTTTGTGACTTATCAAATCGACTGCACAACGTCTCAAATCACAGACACACCAATTATTTACAGTCATTTCATTTTGATCCTCCTGATTCCATTCTTTAATTTCGCCTTGTCTACTGCCATCTATTGCATTTCAATCATGGCCAAGGTATCTAGATTTTCACAAACCTTTATTTTTACTACCATTATCTACCTTTATATCTACAATCAGCAATCAATTTTAAATTGGTATTTCCTTATATTATTCTATTAGGGGAACCTCCTTAATTTCAAAAAGGAAGATTTCTGGGGATGACTACATCTAAGCATCTGTCTATTATTATTATGACACAGAAGAACATGCGAATTGGTTATTCAAATTTGTTATCCCAATCGTAGCCTTTCAGGGAATAATGATCCCATTAGTGTTGCTATATTATCTATATTACCATAAAGAGAACTTATATAATAAAAGTGCAAGAAAGGTGTTATCATACTTGATTAATGAATACAGTGATGAGTCATATTATTGGGAACTCATTAAGATTGCTTATAAATTGCTCATCATAGTGATAATCAACTTCTTGGAGTAGCAGATCTTGATCAAAGGCATTCTAATATATATTATCATTATCCTCTATTATCAATCCATCGCTATTTTTAGACCGTACAGGCAATCCTAATTTAATGTTTTGGAATAAACGATTTCCTATTATGTTTCAATGACAATATTACTATCTTTACTTTTATACTAAATTCAGAAGTTGGACATATTTTATTTGGAAATCTCCTTAATCATTTTGATTCTTTACTTGATCCTCAAATTGATCTTCTTGTTCATTGAAAAGATATTCATTGCTTTCTTCAAGAGATTGGATGAATAGTTGGATCCAATTCGAGGAATGATATTAATGAGATTCCCCAACATTTGTAAAATCTGTCCTTCTCTCAGAAACATCTTAAAACTAAGGAAGCAATAAAAATAAAGGATATTGGAAAGATTTTATAAAATTAAAAATTATTTGAAACTTAAAATCAATAGATTTCCAGCTAAAGACTCGACTAGAGATCAAGTAAAAGCTAAGGATAGTAGATCAATGCTTTTCATTTCCTAACATCGAAACACCTTCACTAGTATAGAGAAAATTATAATGACCCAAGGAAATGAAACAGCACCATTAAAATGAATTAATATTTCATATGTTTGATATTTAAATATCAATTTAAGGGATTATTTATATTACTATTTGTTATGTATTTTAGTTAACATATTTGTGTAAGAGTTTTTATAGAATTTCTATTTATTTATATGTTATTGAAAATAAATGAAAAATAAATGAAAAAATGAATGAAAATATAGTAATAAACAAGTTAATTCAAAAAAGTTCTTTCTCTTTTTACAATTACATATGCTTGACAATTTCTCTTTTTTAATTTACACTGTCTTTTAATGTTATCATGATGAGGTTTGAAATTTCCTAAATTATTAAATCGAATGATTACTTTAATCTCATGTTGGAAATGCAATCCAAATTGTGATGCAAAACTATTCCAATTCATTTAAATATTTAACATAATGGCACTGGTATAGAGAGAAGCACATGCAATTTTGGAGGGTTCGTATTTGATGATATTGATATTGTAAACAGCAACATCCAACAAGAGTAAGGAATAGGTCAGCCAATTGGAAGTCTTCTCTGCTATGTTGATAATTGTCCAATAATAGTTTAACCACACGTAAGAGGATGCTGTAACCAACTTAAAATCCAAGAGAGAGAGCAGTTCTTTTTCAATCTAAAAGATCTCCTGCATTTCGTCTCTGTCATAGGTGTACCTCCACAATGGACTTGGGTAGATCTAGGTAGGGAGAGACAAATACTTCTTCATATTTGGACGCGACAAAATAGCATGTCTTGTATATCGAATCGATTTGAGCGGTAAATATTCTATTTGTACTTAAATAAACATCGAGCAAATAAATGGTTTGATGGAAAGTTCTTCGCTGAGCCTTGTGAGCTGTGCATAACTTATGAACCTCGTCTATCTATTAAGGTTATATGGGAAGGAATACCATCTGGGCTCTCATCTCTGGATTGAGATCAGATTGGATATCTGAAAAATAATTCGGATTAAGGAATGACATGTTCACGTTCTAAAATGATCAGAACACTTAATCTAACCTATTATGTTTGCAGAGTGAAGAAGATCTGCTTGATATAGAGCAACACTTATTGTGGATCATGGGTGTGTTTTGATTCTTTCCTCTTGAATGAGTTGGGCTGTGACACGTAGTAATTAGAGCGATCTGTAAAAGGTCTTATCATTTTTTGGATGTACTCCATTAAATAATTAAATGATTAATAAAGCAGGCAAACAATTAACCTGGTTATTTGCTTTAAAAATATTATCAAGAATATTTGATTTGACTTTGAATGTCTTGGTCCTCCGAGACCTAGAACCAGGCATTTATGGTATGTCCATTTTTTGATATATATAGAGGACTCACAACTAATTTGGATTTGTTGACCAACGTCACTCTCTTCTATTTAAAGATTGTCTTGAAATAAACCTACTCCAGATTGAAGGACCCCAATCAAGAGCAAACCTAATCGGCTGTCAATCTAATGTACTTTGGATTGCTCATCACAATCTGCATTGCTCCAATCACTGTTTTGGTGATGAGTTACAATCAAAGTGTCGCATTTGCCAAAACAGCTTTTCTCTATGGAATCTCTGCAAGTAATGAATGCCATTTGATCTTTAGTAATTGATGGAGCCTCAGAACCCTATGCTGTATAATGGGTCATTTAATTAAAATTGAATGTGGTGGCCAAAGCAGAAGGCTTAGCAGTTTTTATGAAGACCATAGTGCTCTACATATTGTTGGGCAAATATACACGCGAATTCTTCCAGATTGAAACTGTTGTCGGGTTTGGAATTGCTCAGGTTATCTATTCCATTTTCATATTCGGCTACATCTTTTCACTCTCCACTTAATCAAAATTTAAATAAATAAATAAAGAAGGAGTGTATGTTGTAGCTGAGATGAAGTAAGTGGGCTATCAATTTACACTAATGGCCTTTATGAAATTTCTATTGCAAGAACTAGAAAAAATAGTCATGGTGATATACAACAATCCCATCATCTCAGGAGAGTTTACCTTAGTCAGTCACATTGGCTCCATAATCCCTCGCTTTATATATGTCAACATAGAATAAATAGCATTCAATTTGTTCCCAAAAATCAACCAAGATGAGTAATCCTAATTATTGGAAAAGTATTTGAAGTTTTTGAATTTGGTTGGAATCAGCATTATAAGTGCTGGTATTCCCTGTGCATCTGCTTTCTTGCAGATTTATGGTTCTTAATGGACTTCTGATTCCTGCATTTTGGCTATGCAACTTTACTGTGTTTACATTTGGATCATGGGCATTAATGGAATCACTGAAAGCTACGTGAATTCTACAATCGACACTAAAGATATGTGGTGGTACAGATACTTACTTATTGCTTAAACAATCATATATAGGTATTCCATATCCCTTAAATATCTAGTTTATCTTTAATAATCATGGTCCAATTGGGATCATCAGGCATAATTATCTCAAATATTCTATCAATGTCAGTCAGAATTGTTGTGTCATTTCTAATCATTAATAAATAAGGCATAAAAATCTAATGGAATGCAATAATGCCAAAATTCATGATCCTTTACTTGCTTGGATTCCTTTTGTAATATTTAACAGAAGGGTTCAAATTATTAGTTTTGACAGCCCTGTACTAAGGAATCCTTGGTTTGATAAACATAAAAACAGTAATAGAGGTGATCAAAAGTAATTGAAATAGTATTATAATATTGGGTTTAAATATTATTATAAATTTAAAAATTATTATTGTAAATCAATATGACAGAGAAATCTATGATAATTTTCAAAAAATATACCGATTGCATGGTAATCTCAAGAGACTTTTTAAAGAGTTATATCAATTTCAGCAGTATAACCTATTTGTAGGTATTCAGTCTCAAATCATTTGTATCTAAAAATGGACTATTGTGATTAATGTGTTCTATAAAGAAGAACATCCAAATTGTTCATTAGCCAAACATAATATGGTTGTTACATCATCATTAATATTTTATTTTTGTAAACATAGAGTTGTAAATCATTTACTCTGGTAATCTTAAATTCTTAATTATACTGAAAAAGCTGCTTTGTTTATCGTTTTTTATGATTCCCAGTATCTAGTATCATGGATATTGACTTTAGCATAAACCTCCCCTAATTTCTATATTGGAATTTAACATATGATAGAGAAAATATATATAAATTCAAATTTTGTATGTTGAAAATATAAGGTTTTTTCTTCTTCATAACTAAATTGAAGTGAATATTTCATTATTCCAATTCTATTAGTTATCACTAGGTTAATTGAAAATACAATTGATTATTTATATATATTTATCAAAACAATGTTTGCATTGATGAACAACCTTTTATTTTTGTGCTTTACTATCTCTTGAGTAATCTGGCTTATATTATGTCTGCTTATTAATTTAAATCCTGCCTAACCTTCTAATCCGTACTTGTTGTATTAGTTGTGAAGTCAGTGACCATAGTATTGAGTATTTCAGCTAGAATGTATGTGTGTATAGTTTACATTATTAATCCGCGGCTTCATGCAACTTAATTTATAATGTGACTTATTTTGATCTGAGTTTCTTATCCATAACCTATTAATCAGACAATTAGGGTGAGGGTAGGTCAGACATGGAGGTTCTTTTGACTGGACTGATAGTTTTGGAGGACTCTAATTCGGATTTGGAATTGATGATGAGCATAAGTGTTTTGGTTTCACTCAAGGCTTATTGGATTTTGTCCAAAAAGTAATATTTGATGGGATCCTGTATGTTGTCAAAGTACTCCACACACTTTCTATTGGTGAATATGCAATAAAAAATACCTATACATAGCCAAGGCCTATTGTACAGCATCGAGATGTGGTTCTTTAATGATAGCCTTCTCGAGAGATAGGAGATTATAGTAGAATTGTTTGTCAATGGCATTTCCTTGAGCAGGAAGAGTCTATTCATTATTAGATTTCCTCATCAATTTGTTAATTATAAATAATTTTAACATTTTTTATCATTTGCACTCATTTACTAAAAAAAGTTAGATTATTTTATAGTATGGTCATCTCATCCTTTTGAATTTTGTAAAGGTCCTACAATTCTTTGCCAATCGGCTTAGAAATTTGTTTGTAAGTGGATAAGATATTCTTGATGTTTTGAATCATAAACTATTTGACCAACAACTCATTTTCTTCACTGATTTTTTCTTGGAATGAATTAAATTCCAATTGTGGATTTTTGGAGAATTCTTGTTCAGTCAGAAAATAAATCCTAAGATACCTAAGAGTGTAAGGCATAAATGTTACTGTAATAATTGCACATTAATTTTGTTAGCATACAAGGACTGCCTTTCAATGTTGGTGATTTCACTCTGTCTCAACCACTTTTGCTTTTACTCAAAGAGCTATTCGGTGTAATTAATGGCTTTAGTGAAGTCCAAGTCAATGGGCATTTCATTATAAGGATTGTCATCCACCATAATCCCATGTCTCATTAGTAGATCATGATTACTCAAATTACCGTAATTGATGGTTAATTTCTATTAACTTAGGGGAGTATATCTTACGTCGCCTGGTTCAATTTGCTTTTTGGCACTGAAATCAACGAAACTCATGTTTTCATGGCTCAAATAACAGCCATCCAAGTAGCAATTTGGATCGAAGGAGTGATCAAATTGATAAACCATTGGACTTACTATTTAGACTGATTGCATGTCAAAGTATTTCGGTTTTCTAGAATGTATTGATATTGGTCATACTGTGGATTGAAGCAAATTAAGGATGCTCTGATAGCTTGGAACAATTTCAAAAATTCAAGGGCTGTCAAACCGTAAACTTTGCTCAATTGCAATTCATTATACATCGATTAACATTGGAGAAGAGTGCCTTCAATCAAGGAAGCCAAATTCCTTGAGGATATCAAATCAATCACTGTTTGAGGCCACAATAACGGAGTATTGGGAGGCTGAATCATATTTGCAAATGGAGAGTGAGTTAGAGATTGGTCCTTCTGATGCACGAACACTTGCAATATAATTTTGAGCAACCCTGTGACCAAATACTACTATTCCACTTTTCCACCACATATTTTGTGAGCTATTTGTGATGCTATGGTCTAATTGATTTGCAACTACATACCTGAAGTTCTTGAGATTTCCTGGTGTCACAACCGACGAATTCCACACTTGTGAAACACTTCTCTGTCGATATAAGCATTATCTATTGATTTGCCTTTATTTGCTAAGCTGCATACATCCCCTTTCTGTAATCGATGGATTGCATCACTCTTAAATAAGAAGGAGGCATCTTCAACCACTTCAAATACTATTGACCCAACAAACTGCCATAACTCGATGTGAGTCCAGCTATTAATTTCTCTTGCATTTAATTAATAATGGAATTCCTAAATAAATATACATATAATTCATAAATAAATACTAATACATTTCTTGAGATTTACATAATTTATCCCAAATATTATAATTACAACCCAACCCCATTTCTTCCTCTCCATCCCACCTTCCTCACTCCAATCGCTAATTCAAGTAACCCTGATCTCATTCTCATCAGACTTAAACCTATCAGGTATCAAGTTGAACCTTCTCTCCTCTCCATATCCTTAATATTCAACTCTCTGGTGTCAATAAATACTCAACATTGAATTTTGGGATCATGATTCGAATTCCATACCTCTTACAACAATTGATGTTCAATCAATCAAAAATTCAAAATTACAATAACTTGAAATACACAACACATAAATAAGAGTAATCAATTAAAATAGGAGTGGACTCTGTACACTAACTGGGACAATAATACTTTGAATTCTGGAAAGATCGTCATTTCATCTATGATTTAAGTTAGATCACTACATTCCACTTTCTTACTGTCTTGCTTGCAATTCAGTCTTCTGTAGTCACTAAATAATCACTAAAAACAAGGATATACCTCCCCAATATTGAATCCCATCTGAATCTAAGGTATTTATAGTATCTATTCTTTATGGCGTTTTGGTTCCTATCATTGAAGTTTTTCATTATATTGCCAAACTTTGGACCATGCTCGAGCACGAGAGATAGGATTTTTTTGTCCTCCTCAACGGTGAATGTGTTGTTGTTATTGATCCCTGTCAATTTAGTATTTCTTCTCTTCTTGTAATGGAAGACCACTCGCTTCCTCTTCTTTATCTTCTTGGCTTGGCGATTTAGTGGACAACCTTCTAAGTCCATGATAATTGTTCGAGAAAGATTTTCATGATTCAATTGAAGTAACGATGTAGAATTGTCATCAATTAATCCTACTTCCTTCTCTAACTAGAGGAAGTTGAGGTAATTTTGATCGTCCCAACAATCTTACATTAAATTTAATATGGATTTAGTTTTTACAGCATAGCCATTTATATTATTTTATAATTGCAAATCTTTATTTATTTGTATATTATTACAGTCTTTATAATTAATTGTAAATTTATTAATGCTGTTCAGTTGGTAAAGATATTTTCATTAGTATTTAATAACATTCTGTCATCAGGAATTTAAACCTACTCACTATTGAGGACAAAACTATTTGGATAATCACTTAAAAGTAGACTAATCAATTGGAGATTTTGAATCTGCATATTAATTACAATTAAGTTCTCGTCTATGAAGACAGATTAATTATTATTAGAAATATAATAAGACCTTTGCCCTTCTGCTCAAGAGATGACATCTAAAATTGACAAAAACTTAAATATTTATCCTATTTATATAGCCCCTAATAAAGTATTATTAAAATATCCTTATAGTTGAAAAGCATAGATCTGTAAGTATATTCAGAATTTATAATCCAAAATATAATTAATATGCTCTTAAAAATCTAACTTTGTATCTATATTGGATTTGCTTAGCCTAGTTACTAGTTCCCACTATTCGGTTTATTATAGAATTTGAGATTAAATTTCAGACAAAAAGAATTTTCGTATTTATACTAATTCAATATAATAAAATTCAAACAAAAAGATCAATAATCATATGGTTAGTTTATTTAACGATAATAGAATAGTGAGGATTGGTTCAAGATCAGGAATTCGATTATATATAAAACCATCTATTAATACCTTAGATTGCTATTATATACATATTAATATTAATTAAAATGAATTAAACTGCACCAGTTCTCACTTTACAGAAAAGAAGTTACTTTTTCAAAGCTTGTTTAGCCTCTCTATTTGGAGGACACTCATTAAACCTACCAACAAAGCTATATATCGTATAGGTAGAATTTATATTGATGGGTAGGTGATTATATAACTAGTATCTGTAATTCAAACCTACATAATTGGAAAATTTGTAGACAACTATGTTATTGTGTTGATAGTGCCTGCCATTATCAACACGATCCTTTAGATAGGCTTGAATTACTTTACAGATGAGGAGCATCGCAAGAAGAGATCAGAGGTTGGATCGCAAATTGCAATACTGATTCCTCAAACAATAGGAACTGCTTCGGCTATCAAATATGGGGGGACAGTTTTGGATGCGATAGTATTTTTTTTCTTGTTTCCTCGAGAATAAAATGTTGAACTCGGTTATACTCAATTCGAGACATACTCTCGATCTAGATATGCTTGTTTGTTTTTAAAATTGATTCTGATTTTCACTCATGTGGACAGGATGCTCATAGCCAACATCATCAGATACATTTACTACTTCACGCCTATTCTGATATGGATGGGATTGTATGGGCAGTTTTCATAATTGTAAATAAATTTACGACTTGAATTAGTTTGGAATATGTGGGTGAGCAATTCAATTTCCTGATGGGATCATCATACCAATCGAGTTAGAAACGAACCTCTCTAACTGTATTATTGAACGTAGCATTAATTGCCGTCTGTCTTGGATTGTCATACTTAAATGAGAGTAGAGTGGCTATAATAGTAAGTGGTATATTGGTGAACATCAAGATGTTCAACATTTTTGGGTCTCTGCCCAAGGATGACAATCAAATTTACAAGTAGAATTACTTGGATAGACCATATCTGTTGGCTAACCTGCTAAGTACTTTGTTGAATGCAATTTCAATCATTCTATGCGGCATATTGGCGTCTTCTCATTACAAAGAACTCTACTATGCGATTATCCCTCTATTTTTGTGTTACATCGTAGTTCAATTTAAATTTGAATCATACATTAAACACTACAAAATCTTTTATGCTGTAGTTGAATGTGCATGCATATCCATGATGGATTACAATTTTGAAGGGATCTTCTCTCAAAGGTTGTTTGAATGCACAACGGTAATCAGATTGTACAGTCTGATCCATTCAAATCCGAATTATTTGTTCTTTGAACAATTGGTTTGCTTTATAGTTTCCTTCAAAACCAGTTATTCTATGGCTTACTGCTAATTGATTGGATTCTTGGTGTAGATAGTTCTGAGATTTGCGATTAGAATGAAATCTCGATTCTTAATTTGGATAATAGCAAAGTAATAATCAATTCAAGTAGATTAGTTAGAAGATGTTGACAGTGAAGAAGCAGAAGGTAGAGGGAGCTGCCTGTATTACCACTTTGCAGTTGATAATGTGTCCGATAACATTCTTGATTATGCTTATTTCCAGCATCTTGGATAGTCCTTACATGCCATTCTTGGGATTACCCCTATTTTACTTTGCATCCTTGAGACCTTACCGAAACACCATCAATATTCAAAAGCACATTTAGAACTCCTCAGAGGGCTCAATCTACAATGCCTATCTGAGTAAGGCATTCAATAAAATGCTGAGTTCTCAACCCTTGTGGAGTCATTACCTAATAAGAATAGGGAAGTACTTGGGAATCATCCAAGTGTTGGAATATCAAGGGGGATATGCCGTCATCCAATTCAAGGGTTTGGAATCATAGGAGACCACGAGTTGTCATGGCATAGAAGCCAGAGAAGTCGATAGATTGGTGGATGCAAAGGATTGTGGATCACTATGTGGGAGTGCTTTGACTTTGCAGCATAAATTCCAAATCTCCAGTTATGAGGAAAATCAGTTGAGTTTGACTGGTACAATAGAAGCATCTGAATTTGTGAGTGGATTCAAGAAATTGTATTTAAGAACACTATGCTATTATGCTTAAGAATTAAATGAGACTCATTAAAAATCAATTGTCGATTTATCTAAACGATTTGAAGGGTATGAAAGTTAATTCCCGAATTCATTTGCGGATAATATCAAATTGAGAGACTTGTTTTCATCCTTTAAGAATAACGATCTAGATCAATAATCAGAAATCAAAATATAAATCAAACCAAATCCTAAAGTTCAAATTAAACATGAAGAAGATGATCTCTTAAATATAATAGATGATTTTACATAAGACATTCCGCAAATAACTAAGAAATTGTAATAGCCAGTAGGAAAACTCTACAATCACGTTTAGAGAGCCATCTTGTACATCTATTAGGTTTCTTTGGGGGATTTAGACTTCAATTACGAGAGCAAATTGAATTAGAAGAGTCTCTTCAATTTATTCCAGAGTTCGAAAGCCCTATAGGAGCAACGACAAATGAAGGGAGTGGATCAAGTGCTGTCAGAGATTGCGACTAAGGCTGTAAGAAGTGCTTTGAAGTTGGGTTTGGACTTTTACTGCGTTGAGGGTCATTTGGAGATGAGCGATGCAGATTTGTTGGAAGAATTGAAAAACAGTGCTGACTGTTTTATTGGGATGGGCAACGAAAAAGGATGGCAAACAGCCATGCAAAGCAATCTCCTGTTGTGGTCTTTGGGTTACGATTCTGGCAAGAACAAATTGACAGTGTATCGACATACATACACTGATATCTACTGTCAAATATACAGATTCGATAGCGAGGTTGTCAGGGGGATAGAGGCCAATCTGCAGATGGAGTTGTTGTTTGCTTCGAATGACGATGAAGAACGGTACTTATGGTAGTATTAATTAGGCAGATATTCTATTTAGACACACGAGCAATTTTTTAGAAACATGATCATCGAGGGTTCCGAATTACCGTTAGGATATGCTCCGTTTTACTCTGGACCCGTAGTCATTAGTTTAAGGTGATTTATTTCTTTTTAGTTTATAATATTTATTTATATTTATTATTATATTATGTATTAACAAAACTAAGTAATGTATCAACAACAACAACTTCCACCCCAGCAACATCGGGATTACAACATTCCACCACCTGGTAAGTGAAGAGTTTAATTTTATATCTCAGGGTATAAGGCTCCTCGTTATCCCAGGGAAGAGTTACCTGAAAATTAAGAGCAGAATCTAGACTTGGGTGGTTCATATTAATCCTACTTGTACAATTGTGGGGAGTGCTGTGGAAACTGCAAGGCCGTCTGTCCTTGCAATCCTTTTGTCGAGTATCCCTATGTGTAAGTGGAGCAAAGTTTTGTTGGAGTATATTTGCGCTTTGGAAAATACATCAAGACAGGTACACGAGACTTCTATCTAAGTTCAACCTGGATTAATTTACATCAATCCTTGCACCGACACCATTTAGAAAGTCGATTGCAAAGTGCAGATGATCGACTGTCCTCGATAGCAAGTGATGACCAAGGACAACATTCTGGTGAGCATTGATGCAACTGTTTATTATAGAATAGTGATACCAAGACGATCCATATTTTATATCAATGATCTCCATCAGGCTGTGACTCAATTAACATTGGCTACCATCAAAAGCATAGCTGGATCTCACACTCTACAGGATCTATTGGAGAAGAGAGCTGAAGTCTAGTAGCAAATTGAAGGGTTCGTGGATGAACATGTGTGGGAATGGGGAATCGACATTGAGAACATGTTGATTAAAGATATTTAATTGAATGCTGATTTGCAGAACACCTTGTCCATGGCAGCCAAGGAACAGAGAGCAGCTCAAGCCAAGGTCATTTCTGCTCAAGGAGATGTTTAATCGGCCAAACTCATGAGATAGGCAGCAGAACTCTTGGATTCCAAGGCAGCCATGTAAATAAGGTATCTAGACACAATCACCACTCTGGGACAGTAAGGATCCACCAAAGTAGTATTGCTCCCCACCGATTCTAAATGATAATGATAATATATAGAAAATAATATTATTCTATATAAATTTAAGCGTGGATTTAGAAATATTATTTATTATAAATGCTGCTCTTATTGGGTATCCCCCTAGTGTGGACATAGCAATTTATTGACATCACATTCAAAGAGATATGCAATTGCGATGAACTCGTCACGGAATAAGATTGTTAGAGAGATCTGTACTGTTATTGGTCGAAGAACAAATGTGAGAACATCAGATGTGAAGACTTGAATCCTTATCTGTGTTAGACATCGAGGAAGTGCTTTAACAACTTTACAAGTTCTCAAGATCCGAAATGTTCCAATTTAATCACTAGTAGCGATACCGAGGATTTCTGCTCTCACTTGTTATCCAATGGTACAAGGAATTGCTACGATCAAAATGTGTGGTGCACTAATTAGACAAACAGCGAGTATTGCACACTACAATCGACCAGTCATTGCGAATCTTTATTGAGTCAATAATAATGTCTATATAATTTTGGGTATTGTGCTTGGAGCAATGGTGTGTGCACTGTGGCTTAATGCAAAGATCTAGACAACGATCAATGTGCCTTGTACCCCTTTTACTGCATTCTCAATAACAATGCTTGTGTAAATGCAGAATGCCAATATTTGCCTGAGTACTTCTGCAATTACATCATAAATTCAACACTGGAAAATGGATACCAAATTCAAGTGTGTTAATACAATTACAATGCATCTTAATGTTAGGCAATTACAGCACATGAATTGACACAAGATAATTGCTTTAAGAATACTCTACATACATATTATTGGAATCGCAATTAATGCCAAAAGTGTTATGAGAATATTTTATTTATGGTTTGTTTAATAATGTATTTGTTATTTTGAGTGCATTCATTTTACAAACACTATTTATTATCTAAATTTATGCTTCGAACTTGTCTGAAGAAGCGAATCCATGCTTACTCTTCCATTCGAGACAGAATCAACCAAGAGAGAGCAGAGAGATTGAAGAATCTGCCGACTACCACACAAGAGAAAATCAGAAACTTTGGAATCATAGCACACATCGATGCAGGCAAAACGACAACCACAGAAAGAATGTTGTTCTATGCAGGAGCCATCCCATTCCCAGGGGAAGTTCATGACGGCACCACCACCATGGACTTCATGCCCTAAGAGAGACAAAGGGGAATCACCATCAGATCTGCTGCCATCTCCTTCAATTGGGCCAATCATCAATATAATCTCATCGACACGCCTGGACACATTGATTTTACAGCTGAAGTTGAAAGGTCCCTCAGAGTTTTAGGTACAAAATATAATATCTAATTTCGCAGATGGAGCCATAGCCATCTTTGATGGAGTCTCAGGTGTCCAAACACAATCGGAAACTGTGTGGTTGCAAGCTAATAAGTTCAATATCCCCAAAATTGCATTCGTAAACAAAATGGATAGACAAGGAGCCTCATTAGAATACACACTTCAATCAATGAAGGACAGATTGAACATCAAACCTTTTATGTATCCATCTCAATTCATTACTTTAGAATGCAGATCCCCGTGGGTGAAATCGATTACTTCAATTCTGTCATCGATCTCTTGACTCTCCAAGAGATTGTCTGGTTAGACAAGTACGGCTCAGAAGTTCAATTCAGAGATGTCGATAAATCTCATCGTTATTATGACAAAGCCATCTAAGCCAGAGATGATCTATTGTCCACTGTGTCTGAGTACGATGAGAAAATTGCCGAACTCTATTTGGAAGACTCCAAAGAGTTGCTCAATCAATAGTTGCTGCTTCATTCTATCAGACAAATCATTAATTCGCATTACAACTAATGTTGTCCCATCTATGTCGGATCAGCACTTAAAAATAGGGGTATCTAACCAATTCTGGATGCTGTCCATTAATTATTGCCAGGACCTAGTGAAAGACCATTGATCTTCGATATCAACAATCCAAATAACAAAAGGAAGTTAGATAAGAGTGAAAAATTAACTGCCTATGTGTACAAGGTTCTACAGGATCAAGACTTGGGACTGCTAGGATTTACTAGAATCTATTCTGGAGAAATGACCTAAAAATAAAACTATAATAACAGCACCAAGGATGAACTCATTAAGGTCGGCAATCTCTATAGAGTCAGAGCCAACAGGTATGTACCCATCAACAGTGTTCAAGCTGGAGACATCATTGCAATTCAATCCAAACAGGCCATTGCTGGGTCCACCATAATTGGACCCAATGATGAGAGGTAAATCCTTATCATTCATCTAGATTTGTATTACAGCAATTGCAATTACCTCAGTGTGTCTTCTTTGCCAATCTAGAGTATGAGTCAGCCAAGGACAAACTCAAATTGGATCAGGCTTTGTAATAGTTGCAGTTGGAGGATGAGAGCTTGAAGATTACGGTTGTTGATGAGACGCTAATCACTATTGGGGGACAAGGAGAATTGCATCTTGAAATCGTAGTGCAAAGATTGAAGGAAGATTTTGGCTTAAACACTAAACTCAAGAAGATGCAAGTAGAATACAAGGAGAGCATTAGTGAGGAAGGAGTCTTGGAAGTCAAATATTAGGATATTCTTAAAGGAAGACCTTTGTGGTTCAAATTGAAGTTGAAATTGTAACCAAGTGAATAGTAGGAGAACGAAGTTATCTTTGATTTTGACAGAGAAAACGACTTTGACATCCTATATAAGCAATTCAAAGAAAGCCAACTCAGATTGGTGCCCAATCAAAAAAATGAATCCTCAGTCAAATACATCAAGAATCCTTGCAAAAACATTGAAGTAGATTCCATTTTTGATGATCATGGAGAAGAAAAGGCTTATCATATATCTTCATTGCAATTTCCCATGTTCTTTCAATTGGAAAAGTCAATACTGGCATCTCTCAATAGGGGTTTCTTGAAATCCTATTAAATGCAAGGCGTTAAGGCCACTATCTTGGATGGTGCTTTCTCTGTTAAAAGAACCAATGATTTGGCAATCGGCAGAGCAGTCTAAAAATTGATGGCAGAAATCCATCCCTTACTCAAAGTAGATATATTCATTTCATCTATTAGCCCATCATCCTAGAACCCATCATGGATCTTGAGATCTCTTGTCCCAATTCATTGTAGTAGAAGATCATTAATGATTTGATTTCTCACAGAAGAGGAAAAATCATTGAAATCAAACAAGATTAAAATAGAGCAGGATCTCAAAACAGCAATCGAGTCATTCTTACAGCCACTATTCCATCTTAGGAGACCATTGGATATTCCACCGCCATTCGATCAATTTCTCAAGGAGAAGCCTATTTCTCAATGAGTTTCAAGAAGTATGAATTTGTGGGTGGACAAAAACAAAGTGAACTAATATCAGAAGTCTTTTGAAAATTTAGTGTGTTTTTTAATATTTTTCATCCATTTTAATAGTTTATTTAAAACAGTGTCATATTTTTTGAAAAATATTATGTAGGTACTATAATTAAATTTCAAAATAAAAATTATGAATAGATATTATGATCATAATCTTCTTCTAAATATTCAAGACCTTGTTAATTTTAGATGTCATTCACCTAGGCGTTCATATATCCATATTCCCTATAAATCATATTATGATGTGATACTGTCCCAAAATGACATCCCATTGAAAGCGCAAGGTCTTATAATATCTGTTCTTGACCATGCTCAAAGTTCTCCCTTGAAAGCCTTTGGCGATTTTATAGAATTTGGGCCCCACTTCTAAGACTTAGAGAAGAATTTGTCTATCCTCTTAATAATTAAATGGAATAGGTTGAGGTTTCCTATTCTAAATATAGTTAATTAAAATTTGTTACAGATTTCTTTTGGATGGATCTTTTTCTTCTCTTATCGTGGAATGCTTGTCTTCTTCTTCGCTTTCTTGGCTTCTTCAAGGGTAATTTTTAAATTGGATTATAATAATCATCCTCAGCATCCATTTCATTAAAATTGAATGTTTCCACACTCTCGACTACGTAATTAGTGTTATAACTTACTTATTTAGAGTTGATCGTGGACATCCTCAAAAGACAATTCAATGTGCTATATTTAAGGTAACAGGCAATGAGTTTATAGAAAATCTAAAGCTGACAAATGTAATACTTGATTAGACTGGAAGAATTTCGTTAGATTACATATGTGGAAGAGGTTGAGAGTAGAGATTAGGTTTATTTAAATTAAATCAATATTAGTCAAAAACAAAATGATTTAAAAATGCTAAAAAAACGATTTCGATAAATCTTATTAATTAATTGGGAACTTTATTTGTTGCAATAACTATTTTCCTCTTACTTCCAATAACAATAATGAATCAACCTTTGGAAAATTGATTCACAATTATGTTACAAGTCTAATTCTCATTAATAGTACTTAATATTATTGTAAAGTACTTTTAGAAAATAAAATATTCATTGCGGATCAATACTTATATTCATATTAATTGAGATTTATTTATGAAATTCTATCTATTTAAATTACGCCTAATAAAATGGGATATTAAATTATACTTATTGTTAAACTAACCATAAATTAATTTGATCATATTTATAATTAAAATCTTAAGAAGATGGGAAGATACACTCTTGCTTGTTTAGTGATCAGCCCAAAATCAATATTATTCATTATAAATATAATGTTTAAAAATGAAACTTTTCTAATTAATTACGATTTGGGCCATTTATTTCTATACGAAAACGATGGACACGTCAATCCTATTTCAATTAACTTATTAAAATGAAATATATTAATATAATAAATTTAAATGGATATCGATGCTCATAATGCAGAGATCAACGAACTAAATGATGCTAAGATTTAATAAATCAAGGCATAACGAAAACTATTTGGGGGAATCATTAAAAAAGGGGATCCCCTATATAAAAACATCATTAATGTGATTTTGTTTGCTTTACTTTTCCCTTGCATGATTATTTATGAATTAGTAATCGGAATAAAAAATTTACTCATTTACACTTGGGAATCTCTTATTTCCATAATACATTTCATTGCTCAAACATACAAAAGCACAAAGTAATATATTATTGTTAATTATTATTTTGTAAAAAATTGGATATATTAGAAAAGCGTGCTATTAATCGAAAAGTTGAAGGCTGTTCTAAGAATATGTTCACAATACATTGCTAAAAAATGGTAATAGGTGGTACTATTTATCGCGAAGTATTTTTTGATATTTATTGACAACTATCTTTTCGTCCTATATAAATGGGTAGCTAAGAAAATCAAATTTCTAGTTGGCATTTGCAAATATTACTACTAACGAATATCAAGTTTTATTAGAAGACAGATTAAACAATTAATAAAGTTTACAATAGCTAAAATTAAATATATCCTTAACAGAACAAAATAACTAATATTAATTATCTACAAAGCCATTAAACGATTAACATTATATCTTAAAGAAAAGATCACATTGTTAATAAATTATTTGGAGTAGTAAATTACAAAGGCTTCACACTTCTTTTATGAGCGTGCGATCATACCACTATAGAACAAAATTGTTTAATTCAGCTACTACTTGTAGGATTAATTTACTCTTGCAATGGTCAAATTAAAAAGTGCATTGACTCATTATGTTCCTATAATCTTATACTATATCAAAGTTAAATATTTGCAATTTTAGAATTGGATCTTTGTTTAGATTCAATTATTAGGAAGAGGAATGAAGTATGTCAAAAATAGATTAATCCACTATTCCCTTCTCTTAATCGATTACCTTCTTGGAAAGTACAAGTAACTAAAACAAAATGTAATCTCGCCTTTCAATCTCAAAGTAAAAGAAGTTTTGAAAAAGATTAAAAGATCAGTAATTGATATCTCATTGAAGGCGATCGATCTCATTAAGGCGGCCTTATTGTTCTTGAGAGATGATGTCATTGTAAAAACAAAAGTAAAAATAATGGAATACTATAGAAGTGGATAAAAAGTATCAATTCAAGTATTTAAGATACTTTAGAATAAAGGAAGAAAGCTCACCCTGAAATTAAAATTAATCTATAGTAAAATGAGGGAGAACAGTGCAAAAAGATATGAGAAATTCCGTATTATAATGTAGAAACTAAAGGATAAGTTGAAAATATTAGCTACTATTATATATTAAAAAGCTAAAACCTTATATGAGAAAATAAAGATCATTACAAATTACATTATCTTAAAAATCAAGGCAGCCTTTGAATTCATCAAAAGAATAATAAAATTAACAGGATAGTCAATTAAAAATTGCGTACTTTTGATGGTTAGGTTAATTAAGAAATCAATAAAATGGTCAATAGAATAACAATGTAAGATTCTTGTAAAATTTATATTGGTCTTTAGAATATTCATCCCAATTATATGGCTTACAGAGAAAATTCTCGATATAATGTTTGTCATTCTATCATACCCATATTTGTTATTTAACAAAGTATTTGAAATAGGAATTGATTTCTTTATATATCGAATCCCTAATAAATTGTATAGTTGGATTGCTTACATAATTGAGAAATTCATACAATTACTCATAAAAATCGAAAGACTCCTAGAACTGATTTTTAAGTAAGCTAAGAAAATAGCTTCAATAATAAATTCCAAACTCATCACCCCAGTTCTTAGATTTATTATGGGCTGCTATAAAGTCATTAAAAAGGCAGTCCTAGCCATTGTCTAATCGCTGATAAATTTCAAAGATATGATGAAATACAATTATGTATTACCTGCTTGGGCAAGCATAAGACTATTTGCAGTCAGAGTTAAGAATAGTTACATTAAAATCAAATAGAAAGTAATAAGAATAGTAAATTATGGAATTAATAAATTAAAATAAGCTTGCATCTTTTTGAAAAACTAGATTCTTTTTATTAAAACAAAAATTACTGAATTTTTCAAATATTTAATAAAAGTACTCAAGGAGCTAGTTCAATTAATTTGGTAGTAGATTAAATATGTGTATGGCATCATGATTGATCCTCTTATCTAGTTTAAGGATTATGTCGTCTAAGTATTCATATCCTTAAAAAATACTATTGTTAATTATATGCAATTTTTGAGAGGAGTGATAGTGGCTCAATGCATAGTAGTGAAAGAGGCAGCATAGGCTTTATAAATTAAAATGATAGGAATCTTAAATCAAATTAAGTAATCAATAATTGAGTAGTTCTAAGCTGTGAATGCAATACTTTAAAACATTTATGGTTCAATAAAGCAATAACTTATTTAAATTAAAATTTAGATTGCTTAATAAATGCAATAAGTTAAGCAAAGTCTTATTCAATAGAAGAATGCAATTGCAGAACAATTTAAAATTGTTGGGCAGAGTATTAGAATGCAAGGAGTTTAAGTAAAGTAGAGCATTATCACATTTAAAAATGATATGAAATAGACAATTTAAGCGATGTTTAAAAGAAATTGATATTAATTATTATATATTTTTAATTCACATTTATTAATGCAAATTAAACAATCAATCAATTTAAAAATGAGTGTTAAAAAAAGGAATACAAATTTGATTTGATCATTTTTTTTATTTAATATCACTTGGAGGTTATGAATCAAATTATGCTTTGATTTTTCTAATTTTGTCTTCCAATTACTTTTTATCTGCTTCTCTCTTTTTTTACAACCTTTATTTAATTAACACTTCCAAGTAGAACTTCCTTAGTTGTGAGTATGAGGCTTCTAACTCTTGATTTAAGACCAATTTAGCTTAAGGGATGATGTCTTTTAATTGTCTATCCAATTTATCTTTGACTGAACTTGGAATAGGCAAGACATCATTAACCCACTTGGTTCTTAGATACACAATGTGTTGTTGGGTTTTATTTTTGAGATCCTCATTTTTTTGGCCAACTTCTAAAATGGTTTGTAATCTGTTTTCATCTATTTCCTAGAAGGATATTTATATCTTAAACTTACATCAGTTTCTTAAGCACTTCCAATACATCTGGTGATACTACGATGTTCTTTCTCTTGTTTCTTGATCAATTAATCTAATTTTCTGAGATCTTCCTATATTTTTTTTTCATCATCACAAATCTATTTAGTCCTTTTCAAATATTTCTCTAACTCCATGTTCCTAAATCTATCATATTCTTCATCATAGACATAATTATATAATTAATGTGAAGTTTGGTTTCTCTTTTATAAGATTTCCCTCATGACACTATAATATCTATCCTTCAATTGATAGATATCTCTATTTTTGTTTTGGTATTGATATCTATCATAGAGAATGACGAAATTATAATTGAAATGTCTTAATTCTTGGAATAGGTATTTTGTTTCCTCATAATCCCAATTTTCATCTACCGTAATTTCATTTTCTGTAAATTCAACAACTTCAGGTTCAATATTAAACTTTTCTCCTGGGAATAGCTTGCCCTTTTCTTATTCAGGTACCCAAGCATTAATTCTTTTGATGAGTGAATTATTTAATAAAATCTCTTCCTGTGCCCATTTCTGATGATTAATGGGTTTCTATTAAGTAATTAGACCAACAGGATAAACTCCACCTGTTAGATTGAGCACTTCCTTGTCGATATGAGCATTGAGTTTTCTGAATTCTTTCTTATTCATTTTTTAAAATATGAATGCGTGGTATTAATTTGTATATCACAAGTATTTTTGATTATTATTATAATGCGAACAATAACGAAGTAAATTGAATTTTCACATTAGACCAGGGACGATCAAGATAAACAAAAACAAAGATAATTATGAGTAATACAAAATCCTAGTACTTGGGGACCCATTTGTAGGAAAGACAGCAATTTTGGACAGATACATCAATGGTGATTTTTCAGAGAAATACAATTCAACAATAGCAGTTGATTTCAAACATGTACAACCATCATCAAACATCTCTGTAAGTTATTGCATTTTAATTATTAAAGTTGAACTTTTGGGATTTCAGTGGACAACAAGAATTCGTAGAAGTTAGAAATGAATTTTATAAGGATGCGAATATGATAATGTTGGTGTTCGATTTGTCATCTCGTAAGACTTTGGAAACTTTGGACATGTGGGTTAGAGAAGCCAATGATTATGGAGCTGCCAATATCCCCATTTTGGTTGTGGGCAATAAGAAGGAGAAGAGAAGTATGTCAGAAAACGAAGGTTACAATTGGGCCAAGCAAAGATCCTATCAATATATAGAGGTGTCAGCTCAGTAGAATAACAATATTGATTTGTTGTTCAAAGTGATCAAGGACATTTTTACTTAGAAAAAGTGATTACACATAATATATATATTATAATTTACATGTAGAACAATAATAAACAAGTTAGAGAATCTTGGAAGATGTCATTGATCAATAAATTTGGGTTGACTGAAGTCATTGAACATAATCTCATTTTTTAACCTCCAAAACCAACTTATCAGATAAAAAATAGTTTAGATTTCAATGGATTAGAATTCAGTATGCAAGTGAATGACAATTGGATCGATTTAAATTAGTGTTACAACATCCAATACAGGGTTTCCATTTTAAAAGAAGTTGAAAATAACGTAATTGTATCATACGTTCCAATTATTCATTATTCATGCAATTCAGATAGAGTCATCATCCTTTCTCACAGTAATGCAATGGATTTGACTTTGGCATCCAGGTGGGGTGCCAAAATTTGTGAGCTGTATTAAGTTGACGTGATTTGTTATGATTACTCAGGATATGGAATCACAAAAAAAACTATGAAACCATCAGAGTATTTTTGTTATCTAATAGATATGGCATCTCAAGAGATCTCTCTAATGTTGTGGCTCTCGCATAACATCAATATGACTACATCTTTTTGTGGGGATACTCCATTGGTTCCTATCCGACTGTTGAAGTTGCAACATAATTTCAACTTTCTGGAATCATTCTATAAGCTCCATTGGCATCATTGGGAAGAATCATAGACAACAGAAATTCTTTCTATTCGGAACATGATAAGTTTTCCAATCAATCCATCATTAACAAAATAACAGCTCCAATACTGATCTTCCATGGTACCAAAGATACCATTATTAAAATTAATCATTCAGAACAATTATCTAAATGTTGCTAGAATTTATTTGCATTCATTAAAGTGGAGGGAGCAAACCATAACGATATTAGTATTGCTGCTGAAACAGAAAATTCAGAGGTTTACAAATATATAAAAGAACTACTTAATAATTAAAATATTCTACCTATTAACAAAGTATTTGAATTATCGTTAAAATTTGATAATCTCATTATTCTTGATTAAATAGAAGAATAAAAATTATATAAAAGCAATCTGCCAATTTAAGAAAAGAAGGAAATCAAAAAAAATCATGAAAAATAAAGTTGTTCATTATTTTGTACAAAATTTTGAATAATCAATATAAATAATTTAAACATTAATTGATTACTATTATTTTAAATAATTCCCTAAATATAGGTTTCATCAAGGATTTAGTAACAGGCCAGCATTTAATTCCAAAAATCTTATACAATACAATATAAATTTTAATTCAATATTGGATTCGTTATGCTTGTATGATTATAAATGATATTAAAATAAGTTAAACAAAGTAATTCTTGAACTTACAATTTTAAGAATTTCAAATTGTATGTGTTGATGAATTTTTAATCCCAAAAGGTCTCTTAAATTTATGAATAGTTTCAATAATAATAAGAAAATAAATATTATAATTCTTTAAATTAAATTTCACATCTTATAGTGCACTCAAGACATTGATCAGTTGAAGAAATTTGTGGCAATTCTAAATACGATCATCCTTATTTTTTTAATAAAAGCTGGACTTTATTCCTAATTGTGAATGAGTAAACATAATAAATCTTAATTTCCATTTAGAAAATACATAAACCTGTTGATTATTCTAATTTGGGAGATGGTAGATTCATTATACCTAAATACTCTTGAATCCTGTTATATTAAAAATGCACTTAATTAGAATTTTTAATATTATTAATACCTAATAACTAATGTATTTTTATATAAATGTGGATTATTAATTTTAATATTATCTTCGGAATTAATTTCATATTGATAAAATTATTTTATTTTATCAAAAATTATAATAAATCTTTTGACTTCATAAGATTTTATATACTATTTATAAACAATTATATTTTTAAAAAATGAGAAAAGTCTTAATCACTGGAGGAAATCGAGGTCTCGGATTTAAACTAGCTGAAGTCTTGTCCCCAAAGCATCATATACTCCTGACAGCCAGAAATCTCAATAGTCTTAATGAAGCCAAGAGTAAAATTACTGCCATAGTACCAAATGCAAGCATCACCACAAAAGAATTAGATGTTTCCAGATTTGACAGTGTCAAGTCATTTCACAAATGGATGCTCTCAACCAACACCACTGTTGATGTAATTGTCAATAATGCTGGTGTGAATGATGAAAATCAATTAGAAAATAAGGCCTTTGACATTATGAATACTAATTTGTTCGGAATAATTAATTTAACAGAAACTATATTACCCTAACTCACTCAAGATGGAAAGGTAATTACATTACACTATTTGTAGATCATTTTAATTTCCTCGATGCTCGGAAAGCTAAAATTATAACCACCCTCTACCTAAAAATTGTTATAAGAGAAATTGACAAAACAATAAATTTTATAGCTCGCCAGAGATTTGATTCACAATTACAAGGAGGGCAATTACGGAATCTGGTCATCCCACATCTAACCACTCTATAAGGTCTCTAAAGTACTGACAAATGCCTATGCCAGATACGTCCTAACTGACTTAGTCCAACCCAATCAGTCCATCTTTTGTGTTCATCCTGGCTGGTATTACTGTCATTCTCACTATTCGTAGGGTTAAAACTGACATGGGAGGACCAAAAGCACCTGGTGAAGTAAAGGACGGAATCTTCACCAGTAGATATTTGATTGAGGAATTGCCCTATGGTCGCAATCCATAATACCATGCTAAATATTTCAACGACAAAGCACAAATCGAAGACTATTGAGGATATTATATAAATCATTAATATATTTCATTAAATATAAACTAATAAACAAATTATCATATATCCAACCACATCAAAGATATACTTAAATTAGATTGTTGTATATCCGCCCAAATTGTTATAATTGTGGAATTAGGTAAACAATATCTAAAGGTAAAAGTTAAGCAGAAAATATAGTTTTATTTCCTTATTAGTGTTCTCCTACTCTGACTCTCTTAACTCATCCTTCTCTTCCTTCAGCACACTCCCCACGAATTTCAAGATTAAGCAACCACCAACATAAGGGCCTATTAGAAGAAACACTATTATTAGAAGCAGTTCCACACCATTTGTGGTCGTGAATCCTATTCTTTTTGTTGCACGTTGAACTGCGGATATGGAACATTGATTGCCTATCATAAACCATGTGTATTAGCAGATTAATGAAATTATTGCAACAAAAATCAATTT